TGTAGGACGAGCTGATTCTGAAGAGCATCAAGTTCTCACGTTAGAAACCGGGAAGAAACCGTCAAGGAAAATGATCGAATGTGACATACTACATTATCCTACTGTTGTGGAGCATACTAATGGCTTTTCTCAATATGATGGGGTATGCATCAATGGTGTTTTGTATTACTTAGCCATTGTCCATGGTGTTTCTGACCACAGGTATCCTGATGTAGTATGCTTTGAGTTTAGATCTGATAAATTCAATTATATCAAGAAAGTTGCTGGTCATGGCATGGAAATGTACTTGAGAGGACAGCTTGATTCAACTCTGGTAAACTACAAGGGTAAATTAGCTAAGCTTCAGCCCAACATGTCTGACAACGGAGTATGCACCGGTATTCAACTATGGGTTCTTGAAGACGCGGAGAAACATGAATGGTCGAGTCATATCTACGTTTTGCCTCCTCCGTGGAGGAATGTGTATGAAGAGACCAAGTTATGTTTTGTTGGAACGACTCGTAAAGGTGAAATTGTGTTGTCCCCAAACACTATATCCAACTTTTTCTACCTTCTCTACTACAATCCCGAGAGGAACACTATCACTATAGTTAAAATCAAAGGAATGGAAACCTTTAAGAGTCATAAAGCTTACACCTTTCTTGACCATGTAGAGGATGTGAAGCTTGTGTCAAGTTTTCAAGATCATGGCTTGTAACATAGTCAGTTTACTATTTCTTTTATGTTCTAGTGATGGTGTTATCTTTTATCAGTGGTTCATACACTTGACAGCCATGCATGGTTGTTTTAAGTTTTTGCCTTTTTATTGAATTTCACGAGCAATCAAACTTTGCGAATTGTGTGATCAGGCCTGTGTGTGATGATATCTATGTTTAATAAGCATACACTACAATAGAACAGAGGATACTCAAAACCTTTGAAATCGAAGAAACAGATCGAAACAGTACAGATCCATCATTATAAATAAATAAAAAAACGCAAACCAATTAGTGAGCTCCAAAAGTCCACACATCAAACTTCCTGGAAAAGGTATCAGAGAAAAGGTCGCTTCTTCTTAACTCTGCAACCGCAACGACGTCGTTTTAAATTACCAGTTTTCTTTCATATTTCGCATTCAGACCCTCGTACTATGAAATTATTATATACATACACCCTTATATTATATTTTTATCTGAAAGATTCCCCAGATCTTCAGAGGCATCTATAAATACTCTATCAGACGTGCAAAAGAAAAAAAGAAGAGGAGACTTTAGGGCTTACAGGAAGCGTATCGGCCAAGTCATGAAAATACGGCGGTGCAATTCACCATCTTTGTCAAGGAATAAAAGGGATGAAGAAGAAGTAATCTCAGAATCGATCCCGTTTGATATTGTTATTGAGATATTCATGAGATTGCCTGCTAAGTCTGTAGCTAGATTTCGTTGCGTATCGAAGCTATGTGGTTCCACACTTAGCAGTCCAGATTTCACAGAATCTTTCTACACCATCTCTTCGTCTCGCCCATAGCTATTGTTCACCGTCCTAAAAGACCGTAAAACGTTCTTCTTCTCATCATCAAATCCTCAAGGTGCTTCTCGTTTAGCAGTCAAAATTCATATGAGCGACTTTGCCAATTGTGTCTTTAATGAGTTCCATATTATTCATTTAGGTGCAAAGCCACATTACAACAACAACAAGGCTAAAGAATTTGGTTCAAGAGATAGTAGATGGATTTTAAATCATGCAAATATGGTATAACTGCGTTCCTTCACCCAAACTATGACTTATGTAAAGGTTGAATCTGCATATTATATATATACAACATAAACATATACAAAAGGAAGATATACAACCGTAAAGGCAAAAGTTTACCTATCAACTACTGGTATAAGGTGTTTCATCTATACGATACGTACATATCAAAGCTAACCTAAGGCATCACATGTTCTTAACTCTCTCGGGAAGACAATCTGCATCACTCACACCAACGGGAAATCAAGATCTATGCCGACCATTTGATGAGTGCTTGAATTCGCGGAGCTTTATCTTTGCAATGATGCGGTTACGTATGACTTTCTCAGATTTAGCAGCTTCTTGGATGTTACTATGCACAAGATCGCAAAGCTCATCTAAGGCCAACATAGGAAATGGCTCTTCTATAAGAACACCCACCTACAAAGTTTCAAACCAAAAATAAGGTTTCATGGTTAAGGATTTAAGCAAAAAGAGGATAAACAACTAAATAGGCACAGTTAAGTGTTGAGGAGGAGGAGGACAAAGTACTTCTTCTATGCAGAACAGGGATGCAGCACTAATGAAAGTAGCAGGAACAACAATCCAATGGCATTCATCCCAGAGAATGATTGGGAGAGTTAGATGCCAAAAGACTAAAAACCTCGAGGTTAAGCGTGTGTAAGAGAGAGGAATCGGAATGCCCATTAGTTGTTCACAAACTCCTATGCCTTCATGTAAATGCAACATCTTTGATTCCTGCAATGATGCAAGGAACATATATTGGTGTCAAGTGTTCATAGCAAGAAGTTTAAAGGAGAGTTTAAGGATTCAAGAATCCTACCAACAAATCTCTCTTTGCATCGTCTAGTTTTAGCAACTGAATGCTCTGAGAAATGAACTCGATTACACAACGGGGACGATGCTTTGCTTGAAGAATCAGAGATAAGTCATCTGCTTCTATCAAATTCCGGAGATCTCTTGCGATATCTGAACCATAAATCACATGACACTGCAAATGAAATCAAACTTCCAATCAATCACAGAAACCAACATTAGACACAAGAATCGATCCAAGCAAGCAAGCAAGCAATCGATTTTTACCTTAAGAGCCACAGGGAAAGCTGCAATGTAACGAAGAAGCAAATCTTTGATAATCAATTCATCACCGGAGCTATCAACGGAACAAATCACTTGCCTAGCTAAATCATTAGTTCCAGCAATTATCCCAACCCAAGCTTTCCTTCCTTCTTCATACCTAGAATACGAAGCCTCCGTACGAAACACCAGAAGAAGAGCCAAAGCCGGAGCCGTGAGCTGATACGGCAACGACGAGGATCGAAGAATTGGGAAAATACCAGGAAGCCAATCCAAAGCCACGGCGGAATTGTAGCTAGCGATCACAACCGCGACGCTTGTGAAGAAGAAAACAGGTGGAATCAAAGAGAGTATAACTCGTGAAGAAAAGCTCGAGAGTAGATGACGCACATGGCGAAGAGAGCTTCTATGTTCGACCCATTTCTCGTGTGTGTAGAGAGAGCGTTTCTGCTGCATCCCACGCTCTTTAATCTCGTCGGCCCAATCTGGAACAGCTCTGAGGAGCAAGATAAGCTTCTCGGTTAGGGTTTCGTGACCGGAATCGCCGGATTCAGGACCGGATGACACACGGGGAGGTTTGAGATTGACGGATTTGCGGAATCCGGTGGAGAATATAGGGAATCGTGACTCGAGGAAGGATCGGTGAGCGAAATTGGAAGAAACGGATAGATTCATGGACTGATACATTGGCGGGAAAATTAGGGGTTTTAGGTTTAGGGTTTGGTAGAGACGAGGATGATGAAGAAGAATGGTGGTGAATACATGAGGCTGCGTAAGGTAGCAAATCGGAGTGATAGGAAAAAGGTAGTTGAAACGGTTGTTCCAGGATTGTTTACGTTCCGCAGTCAAACGACGTCGTTTAGAAACAACATTGGGCTTTATTGTGCTAAATACTGGGGCTAATTTTCCTATGCGGCCCATAGAAGTTTATAGCAAACGTCGTCGTTTATTCATCCTATATGGTTTTAGGCTGAGATTGTAGATTATTGTGTTAAATACTGGGCTAATTATCACTATCCGGCCCATATGTTTATAGCAAACGTCGTCGTTTATTGAGATTAGAAGGTTTAGGCTGAGATTATAGATTGTTGATCTCCACTTCACATGACATGAGTATTAAAGTTCAGATTCTGTATTGTTGATAGATTCTTGGGGTCAAATTATTGTTTTTGGAGAAAATTGAAGATTTAAAGTGAAAGAGAACAGTAATTACTTGTTTTATCCACAAAATGGCAGTTTATATTCATGTTATATTTCTCTTAATGCCAATGTATAATTGTTAGTCTAAATTATTTATGGTAAAATAGAATCTAAAGATTGGGATTCATAAATTTTGAAAGCTTAGGCAGGTTTTTGTTTATCATCATCAATAGCTCTATATGATGAAGTGGAAGCCAGTGAGGAACAAAGAAGTCTTGACTAGATCACATCACTATTCTCTCACTCTCCAATTCAGAAGCGTGAGATTCACTCTCTCATTCCCAATGCTTCGTTTGATACACGCACCTAATCTATAGCGTTGAGAATGAGCCACACAAAGATGATGATGATGGATGGATGGATCCCTCCTAAGTCATATAGCTAGATGCTAGAAAGAAGTCTATTAGAGAGCTTACACAGTCAAAAGTCAGACATCAAATTTAATTTCGAATTTTGAAATCCTTACTCATCATCCCATTGTATTGTAATCCACAGTAAATGCTTTCAACTCTTGGAGAAAGGATCTGATTGGATCTTTTTTTTGTTTGTTTCTGTTTCCCTCTGTCACCCCAGTAAAAGCAAAAAGCAACATCACATACTCTGAAGAAAGAGAGAACCCTAGAAATCTTTTCTTCTTCTTCTTCACCATTGTTGATGCCTTGATGGATGAGAAAGCTTCTTCATACTTCATTTCTTTGCTTTTGGTGAGAGAAAGAACTGATGAAGAAAATTAAAGCTCTTTCCTTTTTACCCCTTCTGGATCTGATTTCATCTTGAGATTTATATAGCTTGATGCTAAAGCTACATAAAAACCAATTAGGTGAAACGATAGTTTGTGTTTTTGATAAGTGTTCAGAGATTTTCGGTTGCATGTTGTTACCTTACTCTCTAAGTTTTATCTCTTAAAGTCTATCGAGAACCCTTTTAGATTCTGATTTTGTTCTCTTTCTTATCCCTTTCAGAAGATTTTTTCCTCTCTTCCCCTATTAGTTAGCCATTAGCCACAAAGTTCGAACCTTTTATCGAATTTCACATCCTTTTACTAAGTTAAAGTCAGAGTCTTTTTGTTAAGCTATGGATCGAAGAGAAGCAATGGCGTTATCCGGGTCGGGTTCTTACTATATCCAAAGAGGAATACCCGGTTCAGGTCCTCCTGCTCCTCCTCAAACTCAACCTACGTTTCACGGATCACAAGGATTTCATCATTTCACCAGTTCCAACTCTCCTTTTGGGTCAAACCCAAATCCAAGTCCTGGAGGTGGCTCTACTGGATTCGTGCCTCCTCCTTTACCCGTTGAGTCTTCTCCGGCTGATTCTTCAGCGGCGGCGGGAGCCACAGTGGTTGCTCCTCCTTCAGGTGACACGTCTCTGAAGCGGAAGAGAGGACGGCCTAGAAAATATGGACAAGATGGTTCTGTTTCGTTGGCATTGTCACCTTCTATCTCCAACGTTTCCCCGAACTCTAACAAACGTGGCCGTGGAAGACCTCCTGGCTCCGGCAAGAAGCAACGGCTATCCTCCATTGGTAAAAAGCCCTAATCTCTCTTCCTCTGAAAATGGTGTAAACTTGTGAGCTTTATTGAATATCATGTAGTTTTCCGACAAGGACATTGGCTCTGAAAGTGGTGGGAAGTTATGAGCGTAATTGATTATATATAGTTTCTTCAAATAAGGACATTGGCTTTGAAAATTGGTGGGAAGTTATTATAGCTAATTACAACTGTCATTGGCTCTTTTAAGAATTAATTATCTAAAGCTCTGGAATTTTATAATGCCTAATTGTTGAATTCAATATATATTCTTTTAATATTCCATGGTCTTTCTCTTAAACTTTGTTATCGCATCTGTTTCTCCTTGATTGCAAGAAGCTGTGATTGTTCTGAAGAACTTTGATTCTTTTTTTGTAAGGTGAAATGATGCCTTCATCGTCTGGAATGAGCTTCACACCGCACGTAATCGTAGTTTCCATTGGTGAAGTATGTTCTCCTGTCTCCTCTTGATCAAATGTGTTTGTTTTCTTTGTGATCTTTCTTCTAGTTCTTGAGATAATCACACTCTTTGTGTTGCTTTCAGGACATTGCGTCAAAGGTTATATCCTTTTCGCATCAAGGTCCACGAGCGATATGTGTCTTATCCGCAAGTGGAGCTGTCTCTACTGCAACTCTTCTTCAGCCAGCACCATCTCATGGAACTATTACATACGAGGTTTTATCGAATTTTCTCTCACATTTTATTATCTTTTAGAAGACAAAAACGTTACTCATATTGGTGTATACTTTAAAATCTGTAGGGTCTATTCGAGCTAATATCTCTCTCAACTTCTTATCTGAACACAACTGACAATGACTACCCAAACCGCACTGGAAGTCTAGCGGTCTCACTTGCTAGCTCCGATGGTCGTGTCATTGGTGGTGGAATTGGAGGTCCTCTAATAGCAGCAAGCCAAGTCCAGGTGAGCTAACGCTTGTTATCAAATTCCTTACATGAATTTAGATTCCTAATTCTTAACTTTGTGTGTTTGCCTCCTTAAAAGGTCATCGTTGGGAGCTTCATTTGGGCAATTCCGAAAGGGAAGATTAAAAAACGAGAAGAAACTTCTGAAGATGTCCAAGATACCGCTGCTTTGGACAACAACGACAACACAGCAGCAACGTCACCTCCTGTTCCTCAGCAAAGTCAGAACCTTGTTCAGACTCCTGTAGGCATTTGGTCAACTGGTTCAAGGTCAATGGATATGCATCACCCCCATATGGACATTGATCTAATGCGTGGATGATTCATGTATATAGAATCATTGAATCTAGGAGAAGAAGAAGAAGAAGATATTAAACTTGAGCTAACCTCCCTGAAACAAGATAGTCTATTGGTAATGTTTAGGAAAGAAAAGACAATTAGTAAGTTTAGGAATTCCTGCGTGTTTTCGAGCTTTCAATTAGTTGATTTGGTCTCTTGACCTGTGATAAATGGGAAAAAAATTTGCTTGTTTCTTATACGTTTTAGCATTCTACAGCATACAATCTGTTTTAGCAGGAAGTCGTCGGAAGAAATTAATAAGTCCAGGAGGTGTCTTTCCCCTGAATCTTGGATGTCTCATGATGTATAGTCCGGCAAGAAGAACAAAAACCTTAAACGGCACAACATACAAAACAACAGTAGAAACCAAACAAAGCACCATGAAGATCGAAGTTGCTCTTGGATCTCTCCAGCTTAACAGAGCCTGAACTCTTTCTCCTTGACCTGCTATATCTCCCACAACCGTTTGAGCTCTACTTGCGATACTTCTCAGCCGCTCGTACCGCATTTTTACAATCCCCGGGTCTTGAGACGAAACAGGGAAGGTATCAAACTCTTCGTTAAGCTCTTCAGGGTGGATATTATCTGCAAATGAAAGTCTTGTGTCCATGTGTGGAGGTTGTCTTGGACGGAGCCTGTAGTTCCATACCCCAAGCATGAACAAGCAAAGCGACATCACCGGAAGAATCATCTCCGGCGAACACACTAACACAAGGTAGATTACATGAATAGCTGTACTTGCTACCGGTTTCTTCCACCTGCAGATGTCTTGAAACCATTCTCCGGTTCCGAGTAAACCAGAGAAAACTGAACTTAATCTGAAGAGATTCGCACGGCTCTTCCTCATGCTCCATAAATGCGAATTTGAATCCGAAATGTATTCAACTACTTCTTTTCTAAGTGGCGGCTCGGCTCTACTTAACCGAGCTGCCACTAAGTTAACCGCATGCTGCCTAAGAATCTCCTGATGCACGACTTTCAACGGTCTCGCGTAATGCATTTTGGGAAGAAGAGGTTTCTATTACGGATCCAATTACGTCAATTACGTCAATCGTATATGAGCTGATTGTGTCAATCATATCTCTTGTATTTATGTTGTAGTTATGTGTGATTAGGGCTACCTTGACTCATTATCTTGTATATATACTTGTAACCTCTCATCTAATACAATCATCCAATTCTCATATTCCATATGGTATCAGAGCCTCTCTCTTCTTCTCTTTAAAATCTCTCTCTGTTCTCAAACTTTTCCGACACTTTTTTTTAAATACCTCTCTGTTCTCTCATTCCTCTCTTCAATGGCAGAGAACAACAACAACAACTCCGAAACAGTAGCCGTCAACCCCACCACTCTCGTGAATGTTAACATGAACAATGTTATCAAACTCAATGCCACAAACTATCTCATGTGGAGCAGACAAGTTCATGCCATCTTTGATGGTTACTCTCTTGCAAAATTCCTTGACCCATCCGCCGCCGTTCCAGAGCCGATCTTGGTTGTTAACGATGTTAACACACCAAACCCTGCCTTCGATCTATGGAAGAGACAAGACCGCTTGATCTATTCAGCCCTCATCGGCGCACTCTCAGCCTCCGTTCAGCCCCTTGTGTCCCGTGCTCTCACTTCTGCCGATGTGTGGCTCACTCTTGCTCAGACCTACGCCAAACCTAGCCGTGGTCACATCAAGCAACTCAAACACCAAGTCAAACAGTGGACAAAAGGTACACGAACCATCGACGAATACTTTCAAGGTCTCACTACTCGGTTTGATCAATTGGCCCTTCTCGGCAAAGTCATTGATCATGAGGATCAGATTGAGTATATCCTTGATGGTCTCTCCGAGGATTACAAAGTCATCGCCAACCAGATGGAGGGCCGTGATGTTCCTCCGAGTCTGACTGAGCTACATGAGAAGCTTCTCAACCATGAGGCCAACCTCATGACAGCTGCTCCTCCGTCGGCGTTTCCGATCACCGCGAACTACGCCAACAACAATCGCAACAACCGCTCTGCCCCAAAACAGAGCAACCCGCAGCAAAATTGGAAACCATCCTTCCAATCAAAGCCTTACCTTGGAAAATGTCAGATTTGTGGCGTACAGGGCCACTCCGCAAAACGTTGTCATCAACTTCAAGCGCTAGCCAACCCTTCTGGTCCAAATCAACCACTCCTACCAACGCCGCCGTATCCTCCATCTCCTTGGCTACCTCGTGCAAATCTTGCCACTGCTGCACCTGCTCACTTTGGTAAGAATCCATGGGTCCTCGACTCTGGATCTACACACCATATAACTTCTGATCTCAGCAACCTATCACTCCACCAACCGTACAATGGAGGGGAGGAAGTTCTGATTGGTGATGGCTCGGGTCTCAACATCACACATACCGGTTTTTCTTCTCTTCCATCTCTCTCGAGAAATTTAACTTTGCGTGATGTCCTATGCGTACCAAATATTCAGAAAAATCTTTTGTCGGTATACCGTCTTTGTAATGCTAATGGTGTTTCTGTTGAATTCTTTCCTGCTCATTTTCAGGTGAAGGACCTCAGCTCGGGGGCCCAATTACTCCAAGGTCAAACTAATGGAGAACTCTATGAGTGGCCTATCATCAAATCCTCTCCAACTTCGTTTTTTACTTCAAAATCAAATAAGCCTTCCTTACAAGAGTGGCACTTTCGTTTAGGTCATCCTTCTTTTCAAATTTTAAAAACTATTGTTTCTCAATTCTCCTTACCTCATTCAAATAAACAGTCTACTTCTCTATGTAATGACTGCTCAATCAATAAAAGTCATAAACTCTCCTTTTCCGAAACATCTATCTCTTCTTCTCGTCCTCTCGAAATTTTGTTTAGCGACGTGTGGACATCACCCGTTGTTTCCATTGACAACTATAAATATTATCTCATTATAGTTGATCATTACTCTAGATACACATGGTTGTATCCTCTTAAACTCAAATCTCATGTCAAAGAAACGTTTATCAAGTTTAAAGCCCTAGTCGAAAATAAGTTCCAAACAAAAATAGGGACTCTCTTCTCCGATAATGGGGGTGAATACATAGCTCTCAAATCTTTTCTCGCCGACAATGGCATTTCTCATCTTACAACTCCTCCTCATACACCAGAACACAATGGTTTATCCGAACGACGACATCGTCATATCGTCGAAACCGGTTTATCTCTTCTCACACACGCTTCTGTTCCTAACACCTATTGGACGTATGCGTTTTCTACTGCGGTGTATCTCATAAACCGTATGCCAACTCCTCTCTTAGCTCTTCATTCTCCTTACCAGAAACTCTTTCGTACGAATCCAAATTATGAAAAACTCAAAACTTTTGGGTGCTTATGCTTTCCATGGCTTAGGCCATATAACAAGAATAAATTAGATCCCAAATCCTCTCCTTGTGTTTTTCTAGGATACTCCCTCACTCAAAGTGCTTACCTCTGTCTTGAGCCTTCCTCTAGTCGCATATATGTCTCCCGCCATGTCTGTTTTGATGAAAACTGCTTCCCTTTTTCCTCACCACAAAATTCGCCTTCCCCATCCACTGTCCAAAGTGACTCCACTGCTCCGTTTACAACAATTCCTATTCTCTCTTCGCCAATCATAGAACTTCCTCGTGACCCGTCTCCGAGCTCTGTTTCTTCACCATTGGAAGTGTCTGGCGAGAAGACAACATCGACATCATCACGTTCATCGATGGAATCCTCTCCGGCTCCGTCACCACCGCGACAGCCGTCACCGGCATCACAATCCTCACCAGCTCCGTCGTCTTCGAACTCCTCCGCTGCAAACGACGATGTCTCTGCCTCTGCAATGTCGGACTCATCATCTCAACATTCAGCCCAGCAAGATATCATAATTCCTAGCAGATCAGAGGTCCAGGCCCAACAGGCCCAACAACAACAACAAACAACTGCGGCCCACCAAACTCAAATTCAGCCTGCTGCCTCTGCTTCTTCTTCTCAACCTGCTACGGTTCCGACCAATATGCATCAGATGGAGACTAGATCAAAGACGGGGATTGCAAAGCCAAACAAGAAGTACTCTCTAGCCTTGACACTTGCGAAGTCTTCTGGTCATGAACCACGAACACCAAATCAAGCTTTAAGAGATGAAAAATGGAGACACGCGATGTCTGAGGAGTACAATGCTCAAATTGGCAACCATACGTGGGATCTTGTTCCACCGCCGCCACCAACGGTCAATGTCGTGGGTTGTAAGTGGATATTTACGACTAAATATAATCCTGATGGTTCGATTCGCAGGTACAAAGCTCGTTTAGTCGCAAAAGGTTATAATCAACAACCTGGACTTGACTATTCTGAGACATTCAGCCCTGTTATCAAATCGACAACGATTCGTCTTGTCCTTGGAGTTGCTGTCGACAAGGATTGGCCTATTCGACAGCTAGACGTCAACAATGCGTTCTTACAAGGTACTTTGAAGGAAGAGGTCTATATGGTTCAACCTCCAGGATTCATTGATTCTGATCGTCCTGACCACGTATGTCATCTCAAGAAAGCCTTGTACGGGTTGAAACAGGCACCACGAGCTTGGTACCATGAGCTCCGAAATTTTCTTCTCTCCGTTGGTTTCACAAATTCTGTGGCCGATACCTCTCTCTTCATACTACACCGTGGGAAGTCCTTTATCTACATGTTGATATATGTCGATGATATCCTTGTCACCGGCAATGATAATGTTTTGCTTCAACAGACACTTGACACGCTAGCAAATCGATTCTCTGTCAAGGATCATGAAGAACTATCATATTTTTTGGGTATTGAAGCCAAACGGACATCCTCTGGTCTACTCTTGACGCAACGAAGATACATTCTTGATCTACTTGAGCGCACAAACATGCTCTCTGCGAAGACAGTCACGACTCCTATGGCTTCATCACCTAAACTCACCCTTAAATCTGGAACTCCACTTCCCGATGCTACAGAGTACAGGTGCGTCGTCGGTAGTCTACAATACTTGGCATTCACTCGACCCGATATCTCGTACGCTACCAATCGTCTATCCCAATTCATGCACACACCAACTGATGAACATTGGCAAGCTGTCAAACGAGTACTACGATACCTTGCAGGCACACCTTCTCATGGTATCTTCCTTAGTCGTAATAACTCTCCAAGTCTACATGCTTTTTCCGATTCAGATTGGGCAGGAGATAACGATGACTACGTCTCTACGAATGGATACATTGTTTACTTGGGAAAACATCCGATTGCTTGGTCCTCGAAGAAGCAAAAAGGAGTAGCTAGATCTTCAACGGAAGCTGAATATCGGGCTGTTGCAAATACGTCCGCCGAAGTCGCTTGGATATGTTCTCTACTCAGTGAACTTGGTATTTCTCTCACGACTACTCCTGTGATTTATTGTGACAATGTGGGTGCTACCTACCTATGCGCCAATCCAGTTTTCCACTCACGAATGAAGCACATTGCTTTGGATTATCACTTTGTTCGCAATCAAGTCCAATCTGGTTCTCTTCGTGTTGCTCACATATCCACACATGATCAGCTTGCAGATACGCTAACTAAACCTCTTCCACGATCAACGTTTCAGCGCCTAACAAGCAAGATTGGAGTTTCGCAAGCCCCTCCATCTTGAGGGGGCGTATTACGGATCCAATTACGTCAATTACGTCAATCGTATATGAGCTGATTGTGTCAATCATATCTCTTGTATTTATGTTGTAGTTATGTGTGATTAGGGCTACCTTGACTCATTATCTTGTATATATACTTGTAACCTCTCATCTAATACAATCATCCAATTCTCATATTCCATAGTTTCCAGTACTGCATTAGCATCTGAAACATTGACGAGCAAGAAAACCGTATCGCTAAATGCAATTCCCCCATTTTCTTTAAACCTGAAGGTCGAAGAACAAGAAGCGGATACGAAACAGTGTAGATCCTTCCGGCTTCGAGAGTCGATATTCTAACTCTGATTTTCCCAATTTTCCCATCTCCTTTGTTACCGTTACCACCATTGATCTGATTGTTATCGAAAACACCGATTGTGATTACGGTTGCTGGCTCATAAACCTCCCATGTGTACTGCTCGTTGAACCGCGGGTTTAAACAGTTCGTAACGGTCCGAGTCCTGACCCATTTGGTTCCATACTTAGCCACACAGTAAGCATCCACCGTCTCTTTCTTACCTTCTTGGCTCAGACTCAAACCTTCAATTCTCAAGATTCCTAATTCAAGAACACCAATAGACGGCTGCTTATGACTCAACAACTCTTTCATCGACGGTCTTAAATCGCTGCTGTAATAAGTAGATTCATCAAGAACGTGATAGCCTCCTTCTAGACAAACGTTTAGATGAAGCCTCGTCGTCGCGAATCTGACTCTTCTCTGGTTCTCAGTTTTAAGACTAAACCAACGGTTAGGTACTGTCCGGCTATCGTCAATTCGTTTATCAATTGTACCAATCGGTATATGTACCTCTCCCAGCGTTTCCTCTCGGTTAGCCGCGACTCGGTCTTCAATCGAGATGATCAGATCCTCAAACGGTTCAGCCGCGACGAGCGTGAACTCTTCATTCCATCTTGGATTCAGCGAGTGACTCGGTTTGGTTCGAACCATTTGGTTATTTAACCGGATTTTAACATATGGATTTGGCAATCGAGTCCGGTCTGGTACAATAACTAAGTCTTGTGCCTCGATGACATTAACCCGGAGGTACCAAAGCCTAGGAGAATGATAGACTTTAGAACGCAAACTCGATTTGTTAACAGCGTTTAAAGCGTCTGAGTATGTCGCGTCTGAGAACGCTTCGTCGGCTTGAGTACCGAACCAAACAGCCAACATAATCTCGCCTCCTTTCTCGTTGTTGACTCTGTACCATTCTGGAGCTAAAGGACTGTCTGGTGCGACACGTGTCGGAATCTCATTGAGATCAAACTGGATTAAACCGACGAAATCGTCTTTGACCATGTCTTTGTCCATGACGATGACTTCAAGAACGTTTGATTGTTGATTGGATTTGGAGAAAGCAAAGACTTCGTTCCAAATCGGGTTTTGATTCTTCTCGAAATGTTTTGTTTTGCCGGTAAAGTTTCCGAGTTTGACTTCGATGTATGGATCTAGACTTCCGGTTAAGTCCATGGATGGAAGATTTCTAGCTTTCACGATTTTGACGAAGAGAAACTCCATTGGCTCGACGAGATCATGATCACTCGATCTTGCTCGTTTGCCTCCTCCGAGAATCGGATTCGTCTCTTTGACAGAATAATCCGGTGGATTCGGATTAAATCCCATAGTTGTAGGTATCGGAGAACTAAACCTCGGTGCTTGAAACAGAGAAGAGTCCATAATCGGTGGCGGTTGAGGCGGTTGCGGCTGAAGCGATTGCGGTTGAGGTTGAGACGGTTGCTGATTCCCTCGTGGGCTATGTTTACTTTTCTCATTTGTGGGGACGTTGTGAAATTTGTGCCTTGATTTAGAAGAAATCTTATTTGTAGGGATTAGATTCGGTACCTTGGGATAGGGGTTATCAGTGAGGAACACTTTTAGAGCGAGCTCGCCTCCAATGGCGGCAGCGGAAGAGAACATACTCCATTTCTCTTTCTCAAGAGGGTAAGGCAATCCAACAGCTTCTGAGTACGGCAGAAATGCAGTTCCCAAGATTCGAATTTTACCTAGACATGATTTCGTTATGCTGCTGGTTTTATTGTAAACGTAAGCCTCAAGAAACTGATTTGATAAATCCTCTGTATCAGAGATGTTGAAGAAGAACTTCTCGTTCCACACCGGACTTGAGTCATCGATCTTAGTCGTAGTTATGACTTTCTGATCGTCAAACCGTAGCTCGACGAAAGAGTTAACACGGCCATAGTCCTCTCTAGGTTTGAGTCTCGCGCTTATGACTTCAACGCCAAGTTTCAGATTACTCATCATTTTTACTTTCTGTGGAAAACAGAGCAGAGGTTTTTGAAAGTTTCTTCGGCACTTATGAGATCGTGGAGACTTGTCTGAGAAGGCAACTAGGCAAATGTTTTTTCGGGGGAAATTGTAATGTAATTAAACGTTGACCGTGTTTAATTATGATTACGCAACGCGCTTATCTGTTATTAATCGTGACGCCAATCATAAGAATTCTTTTGATTATGATATTAAATAAAAACTTTAGTTGCCAACAAATCAGATTGGGAGTGGCCAGTTGGGGATAATATTCTAAGGGCTTATTATGTACATTGTCTTATGTAAATCCAAAATGAATACCTTCTATAATTTGGCTATTTACATTATTTTTTATGTTTGTGTGTGGTGCAAATGGCTATTTTAGTATTTTTACAATATAAACTCGTAATTTAAAGTCTTACTCTGTTTCCGTATCTGAAAATTGGGCCTCGAGTTTTTTTTTTTTTTTTTTTTTTTTGGTAAAAGGTGAAATTAATTGGGCCTCGAGTTTATCTCTCGTGGTCCTTTATTAAATATTGGGGGTCAATTATGCAATGTCTCTTTGACTTGTAAGTTGTAACATTCGCAACAACAAAACAAGGTTCCAATTATTTTTCTTGCATTCTCTAAATTATAATATTTTTGTGAAAATCGGACGTCTAACCAATAATGATAGTTGACAAAAAAAGTTTTATGATATATGATACCATATTAATTTGTGAAAAAATAGTTGGTGCTTATACGACTAACTTTGCCAAAAGTAATTAATATATCAGACGACTGACTTATAAAGTTTTAAACATTTAATATTGTATATAACAATTTTTCTGAATTGGAGAACAAAACATATGAACTATTTATTTTCACCGCCGACATTTCAAATCCTGACTTTAACAAAAATCTATGCTAAGAACTCTATTTTAAGAGTTCCCTAGTATACCAATTGTATTACTCCAGGGTAAATTGTACTTACTTTCTTTGTTGAAGTATCTTGTCTTGGACCTCCCAATACTCATTGGTCCACTTCTCAACCTTTCTCTCCGCACTTTCTTGTCTCTCAAGAAACCTCTTGAGCTCATCATTTCTATAAGGCTGCGGCAAATTACAAGCCGGCTTGACGCTCGGAGACATTACCAACGAGTCGTCCATGCACTGCCTGATCAGACCACCGTCAGTGATCGGACAAGCCATCGCCTCCGAACACACTTCGGTTGCATTTTCAGGTACAGTCACATCCAACTTCATCAGTTTCCCGTAGCCTTGCAATACATACAACATGTAATCATACACATACTTCATCTCTAGGCTCTTCATCATGTACTCACTTCCTTGTTTCCCTATAGCTTGCGCCTATACATAGATTTATAAGATCATCCATGATTGAAACAAATATATATGATTTTGGACACTATATATATGTTGCTTACCTTCTTAGTGTTGTTATTACCCCATTCAACGGCGAACTTAAGATCACCACAGTTCTCGTGAGATTTAATGGGCCAGTAATGTTCTAACGGAACCAAACTTCTTCCGAAGAAATCGAAGTACTCTGCTTTGATCAGTAGAGTCATACTGTCACATGCTAATATATATTTTTTGCTCACTGACCATGCTCGACCTTCTATGTAAATCTTGTACCTTAATGTCCAGTTCCACAAATGGTGATAATTATAAACAACAAAGATTTAACAATATCCAAAAAATATATAAACATGAGTAGTATTTGATAGATATTCATTGCATACCTATGGGTGCATTGGTCTTCTAGATTTGAACTTTTGAACCCTATCTCCCTCTCCTTCCCCCAATCCTGAAGTTGCCATTACTATTACATATCAGATTTATTTTCTATAAATTCGTGAGCTACTATTATACATCTTATTCTTAGGATAGAACTATTCACAAATTTTTCAATAAAACTCGATGCTTAAAATGAATGGACATATATACCTGCTCATAGAGACGAACCATGGGGTCATACTTATCGGAGAAGTTACATTTCATAAGGTTTCCTCTTACCGGATGAACCCCAGAGTTCCCTTTCCAGTAAGCATATGGAACTCTATCGTTCCATTTAACCCTTTTGTTGGCTTCTCTTATCGCCACGGATAATTTTGTCCACTCCTTTATATTCACCTCCGGCCTATATCACAACAACAAATTAATAGTTATAAAAAGTTATTTCACAGTTACGTGTAATAATATCCAGCTTTCTATGTCTAGCGGACGAGTAGAGGTTTTGGCTCTGTTTTTTGTTCGGTTAATGACTTAAATGGTCAATTTTCAGTGGCTGCTTGTAGGATTTGGTTAATACCAGTTTGGTTCAATTGTTTTTGTCTATTGGGTTCCAAGAAGGATTTAAAACGTTGTCCATTTAATTTATAATCATTATCCGAAAGAAACCTGATTTCAATTTCCTATTGCTATTGGTTTACTAATGATTTTGTTTTTTTTTCTTCGAAATGCCATTCGAAAATATTATCTAGATTTTAAAGTGGTCAAAAACATATAAAACTAATACCAAAATAATAATTTAATGAAAAATAAATATATTTATACTTGATAAATAAATAAATAAAACACTTAATATATACGTACCAGCCCCAGAAGCTCCAATCAGGGAAAACGATGCCGTAGGCTTCACGGTGACCACAGTACTGAAACAACGGTGGAGGAGGCCACGTGGCATTTGGTTCTGGTTGCATAAATTCTCGTTTCCAAATAGCGGGTGTGTCATGACAAAAGAAGAGAAGCTCAAGATCAGGGACTTGACCAGGATACATTCTTAGAAGCTGAAGTATCCCCCAGATTGTGAGCACATCTCTTGACTCATAAGCCTTGTCGTACTGATGAACATACAATTTCCCTGACTTTATCACTAGCCTGAAATGAGCCTTTGGTTTTGCTCTCTCTAGTGTTTCCCTTGTGATCCCTGTCTCTTCCCATACTTTTAGGTCTTGTTGGATCCATCTGAAGTAGTCAGGACAAGTTTCCGAGGAAGAGATCGCTGGTTCGAATCTGCTTGGATAATTTGAAGGGCATGTTTGTGTTGCGTTGCAGTTTAAAGGGATTTTGATGATTGTGTTTGTCGTTGTCAATATTGATGTGGTCATCATTTGGATTCGACCTATTACAAACTATATGAACAGTCAAAATTTAGTTGTATGTATGAATTGAATTGATTAGAAAAAAAAATGATTAGAAAATGAGAAAGAGTTTTAGTACCAAATCCATCCAAGCACCGAAGATTAGAGTGGAGATGATGATGAAGATAACGGTGGCTAATTTAGAATTGAAGCTCAGATTTTGATAATAAATTCCACGTGGCTTCTGATTAAAACCTTTGTTGTTCATCTTCATAGTTGCAGGTTTCAATTCGGATGACCTCGTCTAATTTCTCAGGAAAATCCCAAATTAAAAGAGAGATTTTATTTATTTATTGTCATTTGATATAATGAACATTACTACAAAAGGGTTTAGAATAATAAGCAATAAATATCTTAAATTATTGGCAATACAGGAAATATATTTGACCAGATAACTTAATTGCCATTTTATATTCTCTGTTTCTACTTAATTTATATTATTTACAACATTTCTTTACTAAATGCATGTATATTATGTCTGCAAATTTAAATTTTTGCACAATCGTTGCCTCGATTCTCGAGCTTTTCTCTCCCTTGAAAGCTTTTTTTTTCAGATCTCCGTTTTTACGATTTGCTTGATCTTAATTGTTGCTATTGAGACTTCTAGTTTATGGTCCAGGAGTTAGTAAGGACGCTTCTCCGACTGCGGCGGTGTGGATTTTGCCACCGATGTAGCCGCTGCTCTGGTTTTAACGGAGGTGGTGAATCGAGGTCGTGGTTCGCGGTTGAGGACACCGTGAAGTGCTTCGAGGATCCCCATGGCTCAACCGTTTTTCCTGTAGTGGAGGCTATGGCGGAAGTTGGTGGCGATATGGTGGGTTTCGCGGTTTTGACGCGGTGGTTAACAGCTCCTCTGGATCTGCTTGGCTGACGCGGAGTTCGTCTTCGGAGGTTTGGGTGAGCCACCACCCTCTGGATTCGCCGTGTTTGGTGTTCACCGGTCCGGTCGAGGCGTTCTTGCTTGGTCTAATCGGAGAGATCTGGAAGTGGAGGGAAGGGGATAGATCTATGGGTCGGATTGCTAGGTCGGGATCTGACTCCGTAGAAGCGGTTGTCGCGGTGGCTAGCTTTTCGGGAGATAAGTGGCGGATCTGGTGCGTCGATGGTGAGAGAACGTGGTTGGAATTTGGACCCTTCCCGTTGTGTTCTTCGATCTGTCGAGGCTGCCGTGAAGCTGGGTATCTTGGGTTCACCGGATCTAATGCTTCGGCCACCGTGCAGTCGTCCATCAGCAGGGTCCGAGCTTTCTGTTTCGTTTCCGACATCTCTTGTTGGGCTATTTTGTATCTGGGCCATTGACTTGTAAGGCTTTTTATGCCAAGCCCATTTGGGAAGTTATTATAAAAAAAAAAAAAAAAAAAAAAAAAAAAAAAAATTATGTCTGCAAATTTTTAGTAAAGATAGATTTTCAATGTATCAAGTAGGATTTCAGTTCGTTTTTAACACTTATTATAATCTATAGATTATAAATAAAATTAGATATGAGAAAAGATACGCATTTATTATATTTGTCAATTTGAATACAAAGACTAACCTGCAGACTGGCTAAGTTGGATTATATTTATTTTCATACAAATTAAACCAGACTTACAATTATACTTTGACCACTAAGAGCAACATTATTGGTGGTATGTTAATATTGGCTCTTAGCCTTATTTTATTAATAATTTTGAAAATTTTAAACTTAAGAGATTGGATAAGAGTTTTAATTTTTGGCATTGTCCAATGGTAGTATCTTAAGTTGGAGATCTTACATTGGTCCACTTCTCAACCTTTCTCTCACTTTCTTGTTTCTTAAGAAACTTCTTCAGCTCATAGTCTCCATAAGGAGGTGGCAAATCACAAGCCGCCTTGACGCTCGGAGACATAACCAACGAGTCATCCATGCACTGCCTGATCCGTCCACCATCAGTAATCGGACAAGCCATCGTCTTTGAACAAACCTCCGTGTCATTATCCGGCACTGTCACATCCAACTTCATCAATTTCCCGTAGCCTTTTAACACATACAACATGTAATCATACACATACTTCATCTTTAAGTTCTTCATATCATGTACTCACTTCCTTGTCTCTACGATTTGTGCCTATATATAGATAGATTAAGATCATCACAAAATAATCATGAGTCGACATTAAATTGCAAAAACTAACCGAGTGATATGAGTCTGGTGACAGTATATTACTCATCAGAAATTAGAGAGTAGTCAGAATTTTTATTCACTAGAATTAAATTATTTAAAATTTCCATATATTGTAGAAATTTCATGATCAATTCCATTGTAACTAAAAAAAATAGTATTTGCTTATTTATGTTGTATCGATCATAATCTAATGCACACTTTTATTGTGTTATTTAGATACAAGCTAAACCAGACTACCAAAAATTTGGGCAAGTAACAAACATCTTAAAAATTGAACGACTCACAGTTATAATTTCGATGTTTGACTTGTAATTTCAATCGATTACGACTTGGTTGCGGTTGATCTCGTCAATGAGGAAGTAAAAAACAGAACAATTTAAGGTTTGTTGGTAAGATCTTGAAAGTATTTGCTTTCCCACAACTCAACCTGACGTGTTAAATTAGCTTTTCTCTCAAGAACCTCTTTTAAAGCTAGAGGGTCAAAAGGAGGAAGCATCTCACAAGGAGACTCTTCACTTGGAGATAGAACCATAGACTCCGCCATGAAATCTCTCCACCGTTCCGCCGCGGAACATCCCATACTATCTGGCGTGATCTCCTCAGCATCCAAAGGAATCTCTGGCTTAAATTTCAAGAGTGTTGCATACTCTTTGAGTAAATGAAACATGTAGTCATACACATACTTCATATTCACTTCCTCTCTTATAAATCTACTCCCTAGCTCTCCTATCTCACGAGCCTATACACAACAAAAATCAGGGTTAACTTGATACAAATCAAACTTGCAATGTAAGAAATCTGTAGTTAGATGGACCTTTTCCACGTGGGTATTTCCCCAATGTACGGCGAATTTGAGAGAAGTGCACTTGGAATCGTCTCTGATTGGCCAATAATGTTGTAATGGCATCATTCCTCGTATGTAGAAATCGTAGAATCTTGGTTTAACATATAATGTCATTGAGTCGCATGCCATTATGTATTTCTCACTAACCGACCATGCCCATCCTTCTATATATATCTTGTATCTGTTCTAATTCCAAAAAACATCGAATTATGTATTAAAATTAAAAGGTACTAAATGCGTATATATACTATATAGTAATAATACTTCTTTTTACCTATGGGTGCACTGGTTCTCTAGATTTGAGTTCTTGTATCCTTCTTTTGATTCTTTATCCCAATCCTTTAAAACCAATATTATTCAAATTCAGATAAAAGTTAAAACTATGGCAAAACTAATATTTATATCATAATGTTTTGGAAAGTGAAATTTGGGAAAAAAAAATACCTGAATATAGAGACGAGTATTCCACTCTTCATTTTCTGAAACATTACACTTGAGAAGATCTCCTCTTCCAGGATCAACATGAGGATTACCTCTCCAATAAGCGTACGCCACGCGTTCCTTCCATTGCGTCATATTGTTCCCTTCTTTTATTGCCTCCAACGATTCTCCCCATGGCTTTATGTTCACTTCAGCCCTGGCCCATTAAAAGCCCAAATATTACAAATCAGGAATAATAACAACAAGCCCATTACCATCTAATTGGGCTACTTACCAGCCCCAAAAGGACCAATCAGGGAAGACAATGTCCAAGCTGGCGTCATCTGAACAGTAACGGAAAACTGGAGGTGGTTTCTTCTGTTGACCAATAAAGTCAGCTGATCGGACGACGGGACGGTCATCAGCGTCGAACATAAGCTCGAGATCAGGTAATTTCCCAGGGTACCACCGTAACAACTGTACGATTCCCCACAGAGTAAAATCATCTCTTGTTTGAATTGACTTCCTATATCTCTTAACGTACGCCTTCCCGTTACGAATCACCAATCTAAAATGCGCCGTTCTACTCGCTTCTTCGATCATCCCTCTAGTTATCCCCGTTTGTTTCCACGGCCGTAGATCTTCATGGATCCAACGGAAATAAGAAGGACACGTGGATGGTTTTGAACGGATGGGATTTAATCTCGAGTTACGGTTTTGTGAGAAAGGAGTTTGGTTTGATTGGTTTTGTACGAAGTCGCATCCGTAAGGATTTGGTTCTTTTGTCTTTGTTATTAGCTTTAAACCTGCAAAAGCATTCTAACAAAACACAAAACAATAGGACAATGATTATGATTAACGTTAACTACTAAATTTTATATTGAAGATTAACTAAGAAATTTAAGTTGAATTGAAGAAACTTACGAAATCGAGATAGCCAAGAAAGTCTAAGAGAGCAGCTGAAATGAATAGAACGACGATGAAAACAGTAGCCTTCACGATGCTTTTTCGAGGAAACGTCACCGGTTTATGTTGGTCGTCTTTGATATTCATCTTCATGCTTTTGTTTTGTGTTTATGTTGAAGCACGGGTTTGTTCGATCATTATGTAATAATAAAAATTAAAGAGAGAGGATACATATAAAAGGAGAATCAACAGAAACACAAAACAAAGGCATGAAGACCTACAAAGTCGTCGCTTTGTCAGAAAAAAAAATTGATATCACATCAAACTCCGTAGATATTATAATTCCCTATATAACAGACAAAACAGAAGTTTATAATTATTTTTTTTGTTTTATTTTTTCATATTTGTTCCGCCACAGAAGTTTATAAGTAATTGTGACCTTTTGTATTTTTGTTATTGATTGGTAAGATCTTTATTCGATGTATTTTTAAAAAAACTTATTTTAATTAGGTTTCAATATAATCAAAATGAATGGTTTTTACTTTTATGTTTAAATTTTACTTTGCATGTAATAGATCTTGTTCAAAATTTTCAATTCTTTTTTTTAGTTGGAGGGTTAAAGCAATTGTTTTTTTTCGTTATATGTTGTTTACTTTTTATTTATTTAGTTAGGCTTCTGTTAGTTCACCTCCTTGTTCTAAAAATCGGCCGCCTAGCCGCCTAGGCGCTGATCGGAGGAGCACCGCGGCGATTTTGTCCAAATCGGTGAGAAAAATCGGAGATCCGATTTTTTGTCCGCCTGGACCGCCTAGGCGGCCGCCTAGCCCGCCTAGACGGCGCCTAGCCCAATTTTTTTTTTTTTTTTTTTTTTACTTTTTTTTTCATCTAAAATTCAAAACGTCCTACTTATGTTCGTAATTTGTATAAAAATCATAAATTTGAAATTAAAATCTTGTTTTCATGTGTTTAATACAATTTTAAAAACAATATTATATAAATTTCTTAATTATAATGGATTAATATGTTTTTAAAATATTAAATAGCCCTAAAACTAATCCCCGATTAATCCCCGTGTAATCCCCGATTTTCTTCCTAGGCGCTAGGCGCATCCTCACCGCCCGACTAGCGCCTAGCGATTTTTTGAACACGGGTTCACCTAAGTATTTTTCAACCCTCTCATATTTTAGGTTACCCAAATACCTTTTTTTTTGTTCACCTAGTCTACAGTTTTTAATAATTAATCTATGTAGTATTCAAGACAAGATCCACAGATAAACATTTTGTTTTATGTCATTTGTTTCCAGTAACGTGGCGTGGCAGTGGCACGGTCTAATTAAGAAGTCATTATATTCTAAACTACCTTCAACTACGAGTGAACGTGCCAAATTGCACTTTTAATGGCACATCAAGATCGAGGAAAAAAAAAATAGCACATCAAGCTCAAGGATGTAAGATAAACTTGAAAATTAGGCAGATTCCAGTCACTAACTTTTATTCTTTTTCCCATTTGAGGTCTATTATTTATTTTTTCTTGACTTCTTTAAAGATTGCTCCTTGGATTAGACAAAAAAAAAACAGTCACTCGCTTATATCTTTAATGTCAAAAATATTACGATGAATACGAAAGCTCTGAATGGTGAAGGGTTATCGGATCAGTTTAGTTAACCAGTGGTAACATATAACCCACTAAACTTTATTACATCTACGAATTTTTATGCTTAATTTCTCTTGACTTGCATATAAACCAAACATTATAGAGTGAAGAAATTAGAAGCTACTATAATTGAAAAGAAAAACTAGAAAAAGCCTTTAGTATAATGCGGAGGGATCTCAAGTAGTTTTGCTTTTGGTAAACAAACCCTGTCTGGTAGCTATTTGAGTTTTCTTGTGAGATGATAAATAGTACGAATTCAAGCCCAATAAATCAGGCCCATCTTATTTGGCACGTCTTAATAGACACGCGCTCCAACGATATAGAACCAAAGGAAAAAGGATAATATCCACGCGCCAATAGAGTGCGTGGGGTCACAACAGCTCACAAAAGACATCCGTTTTTGTATCTTATCTGTCTCCAGCGTGTCCTCCTCCACGTCACGCTTTCGTCCGACATAGTATTATTTAATAAAAAACAAAAACAATTACAAAGAAAAGAAAATGTCTAATTTTCTTACGTGGCATTTATTTAACCGCATTACCTGTCTGTCGGCAAGCGGAGTTTTTGTGTTCAGGTGCATCGCAGTTCACGTATATCTAGAACAGATGGTTTTATAGCCGTACGATCTACTGACTTTAAAGATCAACGGATAAGAAAATAAGGTTATTTTAAACAAAAGAACGCGGCTAATAATACGTATAAACCTGTTTCTGTTGCTTTGGAAAATATCTCGGATTTAATCAATTTTTTCTTTTCGTTTTTAATTTGTTTTTTTGTTCTCTCTGTTTCTTCGGCTGAGAGACGACTATGGCTGAGGAACAGAAGATAGCGTTAGCCCCAGAATCTCCGGCGAAGGTCCCGGCCCCAGCTCCCGCAGAGATTCCAGCTCCAGCTCCCGCAGAGATTCCGGCTCCAGCACCGACTCCGGCTCTGGCTCCGGCTGATGTCACGAAAGACGTTGCAGAGGAGAAAATTCAATACCCATCTGTGGAGCAAATTTCCGATGACTCTAAAGCCCTTACTGTTGTCGAGAGTAAGTTCTCTCTCTATACGCATATAATTATGGATTACGATCTCTGATAATCTTCTGCTTTAATGATAAATTATTGGTTTTGGGGTTAACTTTATTCTGGATTTTAAAAATTAGGTTATTTGAATTGGGTTCCCCCAGAGATAATATTGGTCCTTGAGAAACGATTAAACTTAAAGATTTGTTGGTTTCGATTAAAAGTCTCGAGATTTATCACTCGGCAATTGATGGAATGAAACTGTTCTTGATTGGTAAATATTGTTTTGTTGTCATACATACCTTATATAATTCAATGTATATGGTCATTAATCACCCAAAAATCGTAGCTTTATTTCAGAATCATATGCATATGTTTTGTATGTGATTGCTTGTGACTCTCTTTGTGTTGAGGCTTGGCAGTTTTTGCTGTTTATGTTTTAATGGAATGAAAATTCTTACAGAACCTGTAGAAGAGCCTGCACCGGCGAAATCTTCGTCTGCTTCGCTCGATAGAGGTGAGCTTAAACAAAAATATGTGACTACTTTCTGGTTGTAATGGTTGTGGAAGTTACTGAGTTCCATTGTTTGGTATGTAGATGTTAAGCTAGCTGATTTGTCAAAGGAGAAGAGATTGTCTTTCGTCAGAGCGTGGGAAGAGAGTGAAAAGAGCAAAGCAGAGAACAAGTAAGAGATTTTATTTTATCATCACTGGTTTTAGGTTTTGTGTTTTTAGGTTCTTTGTCTGATTTTGCTAACAATTGACGTGAAACAGAGCTGAGAAGAAGATTGCTGATGTTCATGCTTGGGAAAACAGCAAGAAAGCAGCTGTTGAAGCGCAACTCAAGAAAATCGAGGTACAATAAACTTTTAGCAATAGAGGGGTGAAACTGTTTTAATGTAATTGAGAAGTTAAGTGTTTGTGAATTTGTTTTAATGTAGGAGCAACTAGAGAAGAAGAAAGCAGAGTATGCAGAGAGGATGAAGAATAAAGTTGCAGCCATTCACAAGGAAGCAGAAGAGAGAAGAGCAATGATTGAAGCTAAGCGTGGAGAAGACATTCTTAAAGCAGAAGAAACGGCTGCTAAATACAGAGCCACTGGAATTGTTCCAAAGGCAACTTGTGGATGTTTCTAATCTTGAATTTGCAAATCAAATTTTCAAGACTTTGTAACTGTAAAGTGTAAACAAATTTCTCTGTTCTCTTCAATGGCTTGTAATGTTGTTTGTATATTGATTTTGTGTGCAACAATCAGAGTGAAAAATATGTTCATTGATTATGTTCTGCAATTTTCTCAAGCATTATCACGTCATGAAGAGAAGACTGATGACTCAAGTCATTAAGAACAAGAGGGGATTTTTTAAAGTTCTTCAACTAATAATAACACTAACTAACCGACCCAAAAAAATCTTAAGAACGGGATGCTAAATTTGGTTTGTTTAATTATAAAGTATGTACATATATCACTTCAATTTCATTTAAAATGAAAACATTTTATATAACCAAAATTTTTTAGTTAAAAATCAAAACAATTTGCTTAAAACATTATTTGTGAAAAACCTTAAAACTTAACTTAGTGTAAGATTTAAGATATGTGAAAACGTATGGAATTTATGATAACACAAGACTTACAGACTAAAAAAGACGGGATGCTAAATACGGTTTGTTTTCCCTTGTTTAAATTTAGCACACAAGTTTTAAAACATTTTTTAGTTAAAAATTAAAATATTATTTGTGAAAAACTCTAACTATTAAATTTACAATATGTGAAACGGGTTGGATTTATGATACCACAAGACTTACGGTAGGCATGACCAAAAGCTAACCGTAACCGTATTTCGGACCGTAACCGGACCGTTTCTCAACCGTAACCGGACCGTAACCGTATAAAACGGTTAAAAACTGTAACCGTTAACCGTAAAAATAGATTAGCCACGGTTAAAAAATATACTAACCGTAACCGTTTGTTAACCGTAAACGTATCAAAACCGTTAGTTAACCGTACGGTTAACCGTGCGGTTAACCGCATAATTAACCGTACAGTTAAAACTTTAAATACATAATTATTCCACTACTAAATTTAATCCACTCCACTACTCATTTTTCATATATCAAATCATAAATAGTTTACATAGTTATTATTTATACTCATGTACTCGTTTCTTGATTCTCACAACTTCCTTTCTATAGTATTGTTTGGAATAGGACAATAAGACAATAACTCAATCATTATAATTATGACCATTTATTTAGTTATTCGATGGTTTACGTAACTAAACAACATAGCTAATTAACTATAAATATTATAACCATATAATCACATATATTACATACTATAAAATAAATATTATTTGATATATCATCATTAAATTTTTTATTCTAAAGGTTAAAAAAAATCTAAGCTTTTGTCTTTGATATTAACCGTATCGTAATAATTAAATAATCGTAACCGTATTTAACCGTAACCGTTGTAACCGTAACCGTATTTAACCGTAACCGTTTTAACCGTATATATAGTGGTTAAGGTTACGGTTAGAGAAAATTTATAACCGTAACCGGTGGTTAATAAACCGTAACCGCAATAACCGTAACCGTGGTCATGCCTAACTTACGGACCAAAAGGTCGGGATGCTAAGTCAAACTTGTTTCCAACGTTTTTAAATTTAACACTTAGTTTTGTTTTTAGTTATTAAGTTTGTTTGTTATTAAGTTTTTAAATTTTTTTACTTAAAATATTATTTTTGAAAACCGTTTAAAACATAACTAAGTGTTAAATTGTTATTAAATAAAAACATGTTAAACATATGACACCTCAAGACTTACGTACTAAAAGGACGGGATGCTAAGTCGAACTTGTTTTCAACGTTTTTAAATTTAACACTTAGTTTTGTTTTTAGTTATTAAGTTTATTTTTAGTTTTTAAGTTTTTAAATTTTTACTTAAAGTATTATTTTTGAAAACCGTTTAAAGCATAACAAGTGTTAAATTTTTATTACGTGAAAACATATTAAACTTGTGACACCTCAAGACTTACGGACTAAAAGGACGGGATGCTAAGTCGAACTTGTTTTCAACGTTTTTAAATTTAAAACTTAGTTTTGTTTTTAGTTATTAAGTTTATTTTTAGTTTTTAAGTTTTTATAATTTTTTACTTAAAATATTATTTTTGAAAACCGTTTAAAACATAACTAAGTATTAAATTTTTATTACGTGAAAACATGTTAAACTTATGACACCTCAAGACTTACGGACCAAAAGGACGGGATGCTAAGTCGAACTTGTTTTCAACGTTTTTAAATTTAACACTTAGTTTTGTTTTTAATTATTATGTTTATTTTTAGTTTTTAAGTTTTTCAATTTTTTTACTTAAAATATTATTTTTGAAAACCGTTTAAAACATAACTAAGTGTTAAATTTTTATTACGTGAAAACATGTTAAACTTATGACACCTCAAGACTTACGGACCAAAAGGACGGGATGCTAAGTCGAACTTGTTTCCAACATTTTTAAATTTAACACTTAGTTTTGATTTTAGTTATTAAGTTTATTTTTAGTTTTTAAGTTTTTAAAATTTTTACGTAAAATATTATTTTTGAAAACCGTTTAAAACATAACTAAGTGTTAAATTTTTATAACGTGAAAACATGTTAAACTTGTGACACCTCAAGACTTACGGACCAAAAGGACGGGATGCTAAGTCGAACTTGTTTTCAACGTTTTTAAATTTAACACTTAGTTTTTGTTTTTAGTTATTAAGTTTATTTTTAGTTTTTAAGTTTTTAAAAACTTTTACTTAAAATATTATTTTTGAAAACCGTTTAAAACATAACTAAGTGTTAAATTTTTATTACGTGAAAACATGTTAAACTTATGACACCTCAAGACTTACGGACCAAAAGGACGGGATGCTAAGTCGAACTTGTTTCCAACATTTTTAAATTTAACACTTAGTTTTGATTTTAGTTATTAAGTTTATTTTTAGTTTTTAAGTTTTTAAAATTTTTACGTAAAATATTATTTTTGAAAACCGTTTAAAACATAACTAAGTGTTAAATTTTTATTACGTGAAAACATGTTAAACTTGTGACACCTCAAGACTTACGGACCAAAAGGACGGGATACTAAGTCGAACTTGCTTCCAACGTTTTTAAATTTAACACTTAGTTTTGTTTTTAGTTATTAAGTTTATTTTTAGTTTTTAAGTTTTTAAAATTTTTACGTAAAATATTATTTTTGAAAACCGTTTAAAACATAACTAAGTGTTAGATTTTTATTACGTGAAAACATGTTAAACTTGTGACACCTCAAGACTTACGGACCAAAAGGACGGGATGCTAAGTCGAACTTGTTTTCAACGTTTTTAAATTTAACACTTAGTTTTGTTTTTAGTTATTAAGTTTATTTTTAGTTTTTAAGTTTTTAAAAGATTTTTACCTAAAATATTATTTTTAAATGTTAAATTTTTATATTAAAAAAATACTTAAAATGAATATTAAGATGAGATAGAAATTTACCAGACTAATAATCGGATGGACTTTCATGGGCTTGGAGGTTCTTTATGGGCTGAATTTCCTTTTCCTATTGTTGGGCTTCGTAGGGTTTTGAAGATTGCAATCCAACCGTTAGTTTCTCCACCACCGTGACCGAAAACAAATCCTATGATCTCCGATCAATCAACCTCCTCAATCTTCCCTCACTCTCGCCATCTCCGTCGTCAATTGCCGTTTCTATCTCCGCGAAGTCTTCTCAAAATCTTCGGTAGATTTATCAAGACGTGATGCTTGTGAGATCTCTCACTAGACTTGATCGTCTTCAATGGCAAACGGCTAAGCGAACAAAGCCGAATCACAATTCACCACCGATCGTTGGCTTTAATTTCTGGAGTGATTCTAAACGAAGAAGAATCTGTATCTTCATCTTCCATCACGATGCTCTACTCTTTTCTAGCCTGGTTGGTGAAGATTTGGAACAGAACAATGTCAAAACAACAAATCAATCGTCGAACAAGTTTGAGCCAATGATCAACAACTCATGGAATTCAAAGAAATCGAAGAAGAGAACCGAAAAAATCAAAGAATGAAATTGCATCTTTCTCACTAAATAACTCTCTTTCTCTCTATGTGTTTCTCCTTTCTCTGATTTGTTTGTGATGATCGATGATAATAAAACGATGAGACTATTTATAAACTCATGTGTTTAGGGTTTCAAGTTTCCTTTTTTCCTTTTTCTACATGTGTTTGGGATTCAAATTTCCTTTTTCAAAAACTCTTATGTGTTAATTTCCTTTTTTCACTTCTCGGTTTATTTGGCAATTACTTAACCATTAAAATTTAATTTAATTTAAGTTACTTAACCGTCACGTAGCCACACTCTGTTCGCCACTAATTAAATTGTAGTTTCTCTGTGTAAAGGATTTGACTGTCGATATAACTTTGTGTCTTTGTAGAGTGTTAGGGTTTGATCATCTTCTTCTGTAGGCGAATAGAACATAATTGTAATAATAGTTTTTGTTCTGCAAATTTCTCAAACATAATCAAAATCATAAAGAGAGGATTGATTAAGTACTTCAACTAACTACTGCTGATTTACATAGATACTATATCTCCTCTACTTCTGATCACTAAAGATGAGAAGACCAAAAAGAAGCAAAGTTTGAATCTTTTTCTTAGATAGGCTTTCATAAGATTAGAATTTAGAAACCATTGAGACAAGACCAACAGGAGTGTGTGAGTAGCTGTCAATGTTCTCTTCCAAGAAGCTCATATCATCATCGCTTATTGGAAAATCAAGCAGAAGTTGAAGAGCAGAGTCTGTTGAATCATCTTCAAGAACATTTGAACATGGAGAAGACTCTGAGCCATGAATCGCCACAGTAACCTCTTTCCCTCCACAAGAATTTGTTGAGCTCTTTAGAAGTGCAGATGATGTAGATGTTGTCCTCGAGCAAGTGCTTTGACTAGTAGTTGTTGATTCATCTACTGGAGCAAGATTTCTGAAAGCTTCACCAATCTCAGAGTTCCAAATGCGTAAGAAGTGATCACAATCAGTTTTTACTACACCAGAGTAAGAAGAAGGACTAAAGAGCATTGATTCTCTAGAAAGCCTTGCCTCAGCTTCAACCCTAGCGCTTTCCCATTGAGCCATGTGGCGAGTAGTTGGTGAAGATGGAGCTTGTTTGGCTAACCCATATGAAGGTAATGGCTCATGGGTTCTAGGATCAAGACCCATACATAGAAGACGTTTCTTCAAATGAGTGTTCCATAAGTTCTTGATCTCGTTGTCTGTTCTTCCTGGAAGCTGTGCTGCTATTGCTGCCCACCTGAGGAAACAAAAAAAAGGCAGAATTCAGACAATGAAGAAGAAGAAGCTAGAGTAGAGAAGCAAGTAAAAGACCTGTTGCCGAGAATGGCATGAAGCTGGACAACAAGTTTCTCTTCCTCAGCAGTGAAAGGACCTCGCTTTATGTCTGGTCTCAGATAGTTTGTCCATCTCAGCCTGCAACTCTTTCCACAGCGAAGTAAACCTGTTTCACCATCGCCAACAAGAAACTTATAAAGATTCAAGCTTTTATCCATGGAAACCTCTCAAGAACACTACTAGTCAATGGAGAAAATTATAAGTCAAGAAGCATGGTTATGGAGTTTTTCGTAAAAATCTTGAACTTTCTCCAAGAATCTAACAAAGTCGAAGAGGAGAAGAGTATGAGTTTTACCAGCAAGCTTAGGAAGTGTTCTCCAGCTTCCATGTCCATTTTTCTTGATATGTGCAACAAGAACCTCATCTTCTTCAGGCGTCCATGGACCTTTCTTCAAACCTTTCTTGTCACAACAAGGAGTTCTTCCCATTCTTTTACCTAACCTCACTAACAAAAACGAAAAACTCTCTTTAATTTCTTTTGGTTGAAGAAGAAGAAGAAGAAACACAGAGAGAGAAAACTATTGAACAGCTAGTAGACTTTTAGACTCATAATAGAAGAGACAGAGAAACCCCAAAGTGAAAATAAAAAGAAGAAGATAGGATCAAAGAGAGAATTTTTGAAAAAAGGGAAAAATGAAAAATGTTTTTGTTCTGGTCTGGTTTTAATGTCGTCTAGATGAAATAAAAAGCCAAAGGAAGCAATGAATTTACGATCTATGATGATTCTTTACATTTATACTATATTGAAAAAAAAATGAAATAAATACGATTGTGTGTTGCTAGAGAGACACGAAAAAAGGACGATCAGCGAGCTTCGAGCCGGCCCTGGGCATTTATTACACGCAAAATTCGTACAACATTTATTAGATTTGTATTTAATGTTCATGACAGCAACTACAGGTCCTTCAAAAACCAAAAAATCATGATTGCAAATATTTTTGTACTTTTATTTTCGAGAAATGCAAATCAAAAAGAATCCTATCTATTGCCGTGGTAAAGGTTTGAGCATTCGGAGCCAAAGCTTGCGATTTTGTTTGATTCATAGAAGCAGTAACAAAATTATGTTTGTGATTTAGGACTTTTTCAATACATGACCCCAATTTTTGTTGTCGAAAACAGCTAAGGCAAAGTAAAGAAGTGGGCTAGGATTCTCAGGGTTTCAAATTGCAAGAAACAGGAAACAAAAGAGCATTTATGGCGGATAATACGAGACATCCCTCTTTGGCCGGGAAATAATAAACAGAGAGCAACATTTATTGTTATTTATCTTAGCAAAAAATTTTGAACAAGTTAATAAAGAAAGGAGCAGAAGTGGAAGTAATGGAGATGACAGTGACTTGTTGTTGTAGGAGCCGAAGGAAATGAAATGTGATGTGACAAACATGTTTTAATGAAATTATAAACTAAAAAACGAAAAAATTGTTCATAAATGAACCATGACCATTTATGCATATATTTTCTTTTCTAATCTGTGAGTTATTTTTGTCGAAGTTTCTGTGCTGAGTTTTTAACTCGAATTTCACTATTACTTAAAAAAGATTACACAGTCACGAAATTATGCAATAGAAAGCGGACACGTAATATGTGTAGGCTTAGGGATCACAAAGAGTCAAAGAAAGAGAAGATACTGTTGTGTAAGGACCTTGCAGACACTGACTGGGGTCCATTTATATATGTCATAAATGTGGTCAGCTACAAGTCAAAGCCTTATTTTTCATATTAATAATTTTTCGTTTTCCATTTTTTTTTATTTATATATTTGTGTTTTCATAGATATGCTTCTTTTTCTGCTACATATGTTTATTTTCATGAAAGAGTTAAATGCATCATATCTATTCATCAACTAGGGAGAGATCTCCATAGGATTCAGATTTACATGAAATTATTTTAATAACCCAAATTAATAAATAAACACTTGAAAACTATAAATTCTCAATGGATAACAACACTAAAAAACAAGATTGGTTACAGAAAAACATTACGGAAGAAAGTAGCTTAATGATCATATGAAAATTTATTGAAACACATATTTTGCCGAACTAAATAGTCACTCCATTTCCACGTGAATTAACAACCAAACGAGAATAATAAGCATGCGGAAGAAACTTTTTTTGGAAAAATCAAAATAACTCCTTGGGGAAGCCTAAATAAAAAAAGTGCAACTTTCATGATAAAGAGATCCTAAATGGGCTTTATAATTCCAAACAAAGCCCAACACGAAAATAAAAAAGAGGAGAGTCATACGGGTCCATCTTTATTACTAACCAAGTCAAAAGAGAGTCTCATAATAAGTGCAACGTAAAAAAAGTTTCATAGAACCAGAAAACAAAAGTCTTAAAGATAGATTAGAAACCAAACCACTCAGTAACGAGTCTTTACATGAACCGCCAAGTTGCCTCATCTCCTCCCATCGAGCTTGAGAAACACCTGAAATATTGGGCACACTGGTCTTAAAGATGCAATACAGGTTTTGACAAGCTAAGAGAGAGATTTGTCTTACTCTTACCATTTTAATCATCCTGTATCTCTCCTCGGGTGGAGACACGTTTCATGCACGGTTACAAGTTTACTGACAGTAGATTGCTTGATCGATATTAGAAGGAATTGGTTTGATTTCAGTCCCAAGTTCTTGTTCAGTCTGATACCTGTTTTCAAAACATGATAAATGACTAAGCAAACTATAACGAAAAGAAAAACCAGTTAGAACAGTGTGAAAGAAGGAACAACATACATTTTGAAACGGTCCTCGTATGTTACCAAATTCACAGCCAAACCAAGGTGTCCAAACCGTCCTGATCGGCCCACCTGAACATTTCACAACATGAGATAAGAAAAATGGTGACGTAAGAAACTAGATCACAAACCAGTTTTGTTTCGACTTACCCTGTGTAGATATGACTCAGAAGTCCTTGGAAAATCGAAGTTGATCACTACATTCACAGCTTGAATGTCAATTCCTCGAGTAAACAGATCTGCAGTCATTTTTCAATAAGTCAGATCATCATCATAATCTACACTTGGTCAATGTTCAAAGTACATGCTCAGAAAACACAAAGCATACCCGTGCAAACGAGATTCCTGCAGGCACCATTGCGGAACTCGTGGAATACTCTGTTCCTATGGTCTTGAACCATCTTCGCATGGATGTAGAAGCATGAATAACCAAGTTCTGTGATTTTCTTAGCCAACAGCTCCACGCGATTGACAGAGTTGCAAAAGATTATCGATTGATTTATTTGCAGCTGGGATTCAAAAACCATAACTAGTTTAGAACAGCCAAATCAAGAGCCAAATAATTCTGTAGTTACAGGGATATGTCTAAACATCTGACCTTAGAGAAAAGTGTGTTGAGGCAGTGAACCTTCTGTCTTTCTTCAACAAAAGCATAATATTGCGTGACACCCATAAGCGTGAGTTGATCCATGAGATTGATAACATAGGGCTTCCGGAGATGTCGATCCTTAAAAGCCTTCACAGTGACAGGGAATGTAGCAGAAAACATCAAAAATTGACGATTTTGGGGCAGAAACTGTATCAATTCCTCAAGAGAAGGTTGGAATTCCGCAGATAAAAGCTTGTCGGCCTGGCAAAATCATTTTTAAGGAGTCAGACACTTTGAAGCTTATGACACAATTAAAAATAAAATCAGGTAGGTATAACATAGAAGAAAGAACTTTAAAGTTCACCAAAGTAAGGGGTAATGTTAAGTGGTAACATGAGCAATTATAACTATGCATATATATAGAGGAGGACACAATTTGAATCTTTAACAGAGAAAAACCAAGAAAAAATTAAGAAAAATTCCTTTTAGCAGTAATCCTACAGTTTGTTCATCATCTATTTTAGCAATATAGCATGTGTAACATACACTTGAGGAGGCATATCACAAAACGAAAATATAGTTAAGATCTAGGTATTAGGAAAAGATATCAGGAGCTCACCTCATCCATTACAAGCATCGCACAGTCTTTCAAGACACAGACACCCTTTTTTGTAAGATCCAATATTCTTCCAGGAGTTCCAACCAGTAGATGCACAGGCTGATGTAATCTCATAATATCATCTCTCAGACTGGTACCGCCAGTGGTGACCATAACCTGGATATTCAGATATTTGGAAAGCTCCTTGCAAACTTGTGATGTCTGAAGGGCCAGCTCTCGCGTTGGAACTAGAATCATGGCTGCATAAGAAGAAAGAACAACAAGTGGTGCAAAGACAAACACAAACAGTCAGCAACTATTTTTTCAAAAATAAAAGAAAGAACCCACATTGGTTTCACTCTAGATGACTGATCACTTATCAATTCAACAAGGAAAAAGGACAGCATACCTTGAATAACGTTGTTAGATGGATCAATTTTCTCGAGGACTGGAATGCAGAAGGCACCAGTCTTTCCTGTACCATTTTTGGCTCTAGCAAGAATATCACTACCAGTTAAAGCAATTGGAATGCTCTCTTCTTGAATTGGAGATGGCTTCTCAAAACCCTTCTCATATATTCCCTTTAACAGATCTCTTTTCAGAAAGTAATCTTCGAATTCATTTCCTTTCGTAGCTGTCACATCCTGCAGACAATTTTGAAGACATTGTTAATCATGAGTTTTTACCAAGAAAGAAGAACCAATATCCTCAAGATTAATAGTTCCTATAAAGAAAAACTCGGAAGAAAGAAGCCATACCGCTGTCTGATAACGAGTATCAGGAGGTGGGAGCTTTAACGTTGCCTTCCAGTCTTGACCACTGAGAATAACAGAGAATCCATGAGCACACAAAAGAGATACAAAAAACTTCACCTCAAATCAAATCACATTACACAGACATCTTTAACCACCAAAAATCATTACTCAATGCAAACGAAATCATTCATAACAACTACTCCAGGATCAAGAACTTACTTAGCATCGCTGCTTGCTTCGGGCTGAGACGTCTTTTGAACCTCGTTAGCGTTACTAGCGTTTCCAGGAAGCTGAGAGCGTCTTGACCACTGTTGTTGTTGCTGTTGTTGATGCTGTTGCTGCTGTTGCATCTGCTGAGGGTTCTGCGAATAACCGCGTTGAACATACTGCTGATCTTGAGGTTGTTGCTGACGATAAGATTGATAATCTGGATTCGGCGGCGCACCACGTCCGGTACCAACACCCGGGGGATATCTTCCTCTGTTATTCATGACAAATCTCTCTCGATCTCGAAAACTAGAGACAGACAAACCCTAAATCTACCGAAAATACCTTTTACAAAAACTACAAAGAATAGAACGAAAGAGAGAAAGAGAATGCTCGTTGAAAACCTAGGGTTTAAAGAAACTGATCGTGGAACTCAGGGCAAGATCGGGAATGTTCAAATAAAACCACAAAACCGGTCCGCCAGAAAAACTGGAGAAGAAAGCGAATCGAGAGTTCCGATTGGAATTATCACAATCTGAAGAAGAAAAGAAACGAAAGAGACAATCAGAAAAAGTTTTCTCGGGAAAATTTGAGAGTGGTTCGTTGGGTTAGAGGAAACTAGAGAAAGTGACGAATACACACACACTCGCCGGCGTCTTTTTTGTTAGGGCGTCAATGGATTTTCTCCTCTTTCTTTCTTTCAGACTCACTCACTATTTATCGAAATGGCCCTTTATCTTTATATTAAATAAATAAATGACCCATAAGCTTTTATGTTATTTATCGTATAAACCCAGAGTTTCCTTTTCTTTCAAGTTCACCCTTTTTGTGGATAATTCACCCCAATGTTCTATTGTTTTGTCAATTTAGACCCCCTGATTCTTTGCACCTAATCGGGGTTATAGTGTTTTTGTTTTTTGATGATAGCCAGAATTAGATTATAGAATATAGATGATTGAACATTTTAAGGGCTCTCCTCATTCGAATCTCAACCATCAGAAGAAAATATTACCCCTTAAAATCTCAATCCTACATTTTGATATAATAAAAAGGCAGAGAGCTCATAGATGAAGGAAAAACAAACCTTGATTCGTGTCTAAACGAACAACAACAAAAACTTTGATCCATCTCTTTCGTGATTTAAAAGAAGAAGAAGAGATAACAATGGCGGCGTTTACAGGGACACTAGACAAATGCAAGGCGTGTGACAAGACGGTATACGTTATGGACTTGATGACATTGGAAGGAATGCCTTATCACAAGTCATGCTTCAGGTGCAGCCATTGCAATGGCACTCTCGTGGTATCTATCTATCTTCTTCTTTTTCCTCCATCGTTCCTTTGTTTCTATGAAAAACACAAAGACAAAATCTTTCTTCTCCTTTGCAGATATGTAACTACTCATCCATGGATGGAGTTTTGTATTGCAAGACCCATTTTGAACAGCTCTTCAAAGAATCTGGAAATTTCAGCAAGAATTTCCAAACAGGTTACTAAATATCCTCTGTTTTCTTAGCTCTGTTCTTTTATTATCATCTGTTGAAAAAGCTAACAATCTTGGCTACTTTCTCTTCTTGATCTTTTACAGCAGGAAAGACCGAGAAATCGAATGATACGGTATGCACGTAATTCATCAACATTCCTCTGTTTTCTCTTTTTGTTTTTCTTATCTGATTTCTTGGTGTGATCATCTGCAAAGGCGAGGGCTCCAAACAGGTTATCTTCGTTCTTTAGCGGAACACAAGACAAATGTGCAGCTTGTAAGAAAACAGTTTATCCTCTAGAGAAGATGACAATGGAAGGAGAATCTTACCACAAGACTTGCTTCAGATGTGCACATAGTGGTTGTCCATTAACACATTCTTCATATGCTGCTCTCGATGGTATCCTCTACTGTAAGGTCCATTTCAGTCAGCTTTTCCTTGAGAAAGGTAATTACAATCATGTTCTCCAAGCTGCGGCTAACCACCGTCGCACAGCCGCTGAGGAAGACAAAACCGAACCCAAAGAAAATGAAGCAACAGAAGAAGAAACTTCTGATGCAGCAGGTGAAGAGCATGAGTCCTAAGAAAATCCAGGAGTTCCTTTGTGAAATATATAAATCATAAATTGTTAAAGAGCACATATTTTTTAAGTACTGCAATGAAGTAGACTCAAATTTTGTTTTGTTTCTTCTTATGGAACTGCATATTATTCTATATTTTTGTAAAGTAATTTTATTCAAGGTTTATGAGTAATGTTTAGACGCCATGTTATAACTAGCTTAGCCTCTGTGGACTTGTTCACTCTTAAGTGCTTCAAACCAGAAAAAAAAAAGAAACAGTAGAAGCAAGTCAGTGAATACAAAACATATGTGGAAAGCACAACTCTTGCTGTAAAATCCATTAAATTTTATCTTTTTACAACTTGAACTTAGAACAGAATCAGCCTACTTGGGAAGTTTCACGTTAGCATCTAGGAAGTTCAGTTTTTGAATGCTCAAAATGCAATTACCAAAGCGAAACCGTCTGCATTAAATTTATTTGAAAGGTTTTCTAACACTCAACACACTCAGCGGCAGAGCAAATTTTTTGTTTATCTAAGAGTTTATGTTCGACATTCAAACGATGATTCTCACACAAGTAAAATTCAGAATTCTGAAACTTGCTTGCGACTAAAGAAACAACCAGAAGGAGTTTCTTGATGCGGAAGCAAAGCCAACCTCACAGGACTTGATGCTCCTTCTTCCACAGACAAAACTCCAGTCTTGAAGTTCATATCCGTCTTAACAAATCCAGGACACACCGCGTTTACGCGAAACTCGGGATGTTTCTTCGCCAAGATCCTCGTGTAACCATTCAAACTGGCCTTTGAAACCACGTAAGCTGACATAAATTTAGCCCAATTTTTTTCCTTAACTGTACCTTCTTTGAAATCATTGAGAAGTTGGTTGATCACTTGGTCGATTCTTTCCTCCGTGAGATTCTCTGCATCGCTCAGGATTCCTTTTGCCCATTCGTTTTGTACATTCTGGTAAAACAATAATCATTTGTAACGTAAATAGTGTTTCTTAGCCAACAATACATCTCCCAAGCTTTCTTGATATTTATTCTTTTTTACTTACCTTTAGTAGACCCATGGAGGATGATACATTGACAATTCTTGGTGAATCAGATAACTTCAAAAGAGGAATAAACGCCTCACACATTCTCTTTGGTCCATAATAGTTAATCTTGATGCATTCTTCAGCTAACTCATAAGTCTCCGTGATGATTTCATCCCACTTGAAACCTTCCTGCCATATCAAATATAAGAAGAAACCATTCAACTTCACAAAGATCATCAATACCAAAGTAATATCATGAAAGTAATTGATTGCAAAATAAACACAAAGATTATCTCATACTTTCCCTGCCCCAGCTCTTAAAGCTTCAGCATCAGTGATTATACCACCAACCCCTGCATTATTGACCTGTAAAGCAATCAAAAAAATAATTCAACATTACACAAAAATGGTACAATTCAGAAACTAGACAAACCTAAACGGCTTCATTATGTCCCTGCTTAATCACTCGTCTACTAGCTAGGAGCAGATTAAGACCTAGTGTTTGAGAGTAAACTGATCAATGAGAGTTTACTAATCTTACCAAGATATCGAGTTTCCCAAATAGGGTTTTCACAAACTCAGCAAGAGATGTGATACTAGCAGGATCAGAGACATCAAGCTGATGAAAGACAATGCTTTGATCAGAAATCTGAAGTTCTTTCTTCAGTGTCTCAACAGCTTCAAGTCCTCTTTTCTCATCTCTAGATGTCAAAACAACTCTAATCCCTTGACTAGCTAATTGTCTGCATATCTCAAATCCAATCCCTCTGTTTGCTCCAGTAACTACAGCATATCTACAAAACCCATTAAAAAATCTGAAAAAATCAGAACCAAACTCACTAAAATTACAGACTAAATCAAGAAGTAAGAGAAGCTTTGAGACATACCTAGGAGTTTCCTCTGCCATTTTCGAACCTATTTTTCTTCTGGGTTTCAGACAATAATTGGCGTTTCTTTTTTTTTCTTCTTATGCGCATGCAGTGAATGCATAGAAACCATACGACGAGTGTGGAGGCCAACCAAGCCACGTAGCTCACAAATTGATGTTCTTGGGAGATTAGACTTCTAATCCGACGCCGTTTTTTTTTATCTTGTATTATTTAAAGTTGAACACGTTTAGTATATTTACATGTGACGTGGATTTTCATATGTAAAACATAACTAAATGTTAAATTTTCATTACGTGAAAATATGGTAAACTTAGGACACCTCAAGACTTACATACTAAAAAGACGGGTTGATAAGTCGAACTTGTTTTCAACATTTTTAAATTTAACACTTAGTTTTGTTTTTAGTTATTAAATTTATTTTTAGTTTTTAAGTTTTTAAATTATTTTACTTAATATATTAATTTTGAAAACCATTTAAACATAACTAAGTGTTAAATTTTCATTACGTGAAAACATGTTAAACTTATGACACCTCAAGACTTACGGACCAAAAGGACGGGATGCTAAGTCGAATTTATTTTCAACGCTTTTAAATTTAACACTTAGTTTTGTTTTTAGTTATTAATTTTATTTTTAGTTATTAAGTTTTTTAAAAAGTTTTACTTAAAATATTATTTTCTAATTTTTTAAAACATAAATATTAACACTTAGTTTTGTTTTTAGTTATTAAGTTTATTTTTAGTTTTTAAGTATTTAAAATTTTTTACTTAAAATATTATTTTTGAAAACCGTTTAAAACATAACTAAGTGTTAAATTTTTATTACGTGAAAACATGTTAAACTTGTGACACCTCAAGACTTACGGACCAAAAGGACGGGATGCTACGGGATGCTAAGTCGAACCTGTTTTCAACGTTTTTAAATTTAACACTTAGTTTTGTTTTTAGTTTTTAAGTATTTAAATTTTTTTACGTAATATAGGTTTGTAGTTTTTAAAATTTAGTTTTAAATCATAAAATCCAAAGTGAAAAATCAAAATCTTTACTCCCTCTGTTTTGAATTACTTGTCGTTTAAGGTTTTTGCACATGAATTAAGAAAGCAATTAATTTTTCTATATTACCCTTGTTCAATATATTCTCTAAATTTTTTTATTGGTCAAGACATTAAAATTGTGAGGATAAAACTGGAATTTTTACAAAACATCTGCACTGAAAATCTAAAACGACAACTATTATGTGACAAAATTTAAGTGCTAAAACGACAACTAAATTAAAACGGAGGGAAGTATTAAATAGAAAAAAACAAATTTAAGAAAGTCATACCTGGAGATGGGCCGTCACAGCGAAGCCCATTGCCTAGGCCATACCAAACTCTGATTTTCTATCTTCTTCATCCTCCCTCAGCCGCGAAGATGTGAATTCAAGAAAAAACCTGCAATTGGCGAAGCAACAGTCCACAAGTAGTCTCGATTCTAGAAAACTGCTCCGTAGAATTCCGCATCATGATGATTAGAACACGCTAAATCCTTCTCTCGAAACCTAAAGACAAAAATTCCCAATTATCAACATCATCACCGATAAATTGTTTCGTGACTTCGATTCTCAACTACACAAATACCAAATAATTCGGAAACAAATACAGAAATTTTCTCTGTTTCCTCCGCAGAATTAAAATCACAAAATCGCGATGACGCATGAACTGCTCAAGATCTTTAACATATACAAGAGAAAAGAGCGAGATATAGAACCTAACCTCTGGATCAAAGATCAGCGCCAAGACGAAGAAGTTGTGAAGAATTGATCAAAGATAAGAGAGAGAGAGAGCAAAATTAGGGTTTATAAGTGTTGGGAGTATAACGATGAGACTATTTCTCATTATATAACTCTCTCTCTCTGTTCCTTGTTTCTCTGGTTTGTGTGTGATGATCGATGATACTAAAACGATGAGACTATTTATAAACTCATGTGCTTAGGGTTCAAGTTTCCTTTTTTTTCTGTTGTTTCTTTTTTTCACATGTGTTTGGGATTCAAATTTCCTTTTTTTTTTTAACTCTTATGTGTTGTTTCCTTTTTTCACTTCTGGGTTTATTTGTCAATTACTAAACCATCAAAAATTAATTAAACTTAATTTTATTTTAGTTACTTAACCGTCACGTTGCCTCCTCTGTTCTCCATTAATTCAATTTTAGTTTCTCTGTGCAAAGAATTTTATTGTGGTTCTAACTTTGTTTTTTTGTAGAGAGTTTTAGGGTTTGATCATCTTCTTTAATAGGCGTATAGAACATAATTGTACTAATAGTTTTTGTTCTGCAATTTTCTCAAGCATTATCACATCATGAAGAAAAAAAGAGAACATTTGTTTGATGTACATATACAGTATTATACTGTCAGTATACATATGTTTGATGTGATACTGTATAAAGTTGATGTAAATCAATAAAGGTGAATCTAAAAGAAAGTTAACCAGATAAAAAGAGAACATCTGAATTTATCATAATCAAAATATGCATATCTTACTTATACATATAAAAACCGATGTATTATAGTGTTACCTTAAGTTTGGTGTGATTTATCACCCCCCATTCCCCTTTCTTTTTTTTTTTCTAATCCATTTCCTTAATGCGGACAAATCTATAACGTAGTTAACCTATGCGATAATTGTTATTTCAATTCAGTGAGGAATAATAATATAAACATGTTCTTTTATAGTGGATTGCAGCATAAATGCGATGTTAGACGTTATATTTCTGTAAATTCGATATCATCTTTTCTAGCATACTTAATTCCTTATCTTCAAAGAATAAATAGACTTAAGACCTAATCTAGTTGAGTAAGGTATTAGATTCGAGTTTTTTCTTTTCCATATTTTCGAAACTATAAATAATATTAATTATGAAGCAAAATTGCAATCTATTAACCAAAAGAAAAGAGAGAGGAAAAAAATAACAAACAGAAAGAAGAGAAAAATGGCTCAATTGGCTGCTTTGTCGGGAAAGCAAGCTGATGAGTACTTGAACGCAAGGCCGAAATATCCTACAATATGGTACAAAGTGTTGGCTGGTCGAACCAGCAACCATAAGGTGGCTTGGGATGTCGGGACCGGTAACGGTCAGGCTGCTATTGGGGTTTGTTTTCTTTCTATAAAAAAAAAGTAGTTTATAGACTACTCAGAAAATTAGAATCGACAAATGAATATAGAGTCTTATTTCGACTTTTTTGATACATATCACTTCCTCAAAAACTCTTTAAGCCACGATAATTTGTATTTGATGCCTAAATGAACTAATCATGAGTTAACTATATATTATGTAATTAGGTCGCTGAGTACTACGAGAAAGTGGTGGCAACTGATATAAATGAATCACAACTCCAACGTGCAATGAAACACCCAAGAGTCACTTACCATCACACTCCATCATCAATGTCCGACGACGATCTAGTGACTCTACTCGGTGGAGAAAACTCCATAGATATCATAATAGCTGCTCAAGCTCTTCACTACTTCGACCTAAAGAGATTCTACCCCATAGTGAAACGTGTTCTTCGTAAACAAGGCGGTATCATCGCAGTTTGGGTTTACAACGATCTCATCATCACCCCAAAGGTTGATTCCATCATGAAACGTCTGGTGGATTCAACATTACCTTACAGAAACCCGACTATGAATTTGGCGTTTGATGGTTATAGAACAATTGAATTTCCTTTTAAAAACATAAGAATGGGGACTCAAGGAAGGCCTAAAGCTCTTGATATTCCACACAAGCTTTCGCTTAATGGATTTCTAGGGTTTTTAAAATCATGGCAGCCTCTAGTGAAGGCAAAGGAGCAAGGAGAAGATCTTTTAACTTCTTGTATGATTGATGAGTTTAAGGAAGCTTGGGGTGATGACAAACAAGTCAAGAATGTTTTCTACAAGGCATACATGCTTGCTGGGAAACTTTAGGTGATTATATACCTTTGTGATATTTACTATTTATTATACACACCGATATAAAACTAACTCATATGTTTAACAGGTTTCGAGAGCAACCTAGTGGATTTACAAACAAGTCAAGAATGTTTGAACTTTTTCAATTCTGTTTAAACTAATATATTTATATCACTGTAAAATAAAAGATATTATATATAAATAAATCTGATAAATAAAAGATTTATATCAGTATGTTGGTGGTGTATTACACTATAAGCAATAAAATTCTCATATTTCCTTTTTCAAAAATAAAATACGATGCTCATATTTAAAATAATTTTTTTCACCAGTTGATTTTCATTAGTTACACTTTCTCAAGAAAACAAAATTTTATAAATCCAATTGAATATATTTTCTAATTCAAAGTTTTAAAATAGTGAATAAACTAATAGATCGGCATTTTTAAAAAAATGTGGCTGTAGTTTTGTACACTTAACCTTAAAAATTTTCTTACTGTTTTTTACTTTCTAAAAATAGAAAAAAATTAATTACAAAAGAGAGAAAAGTCAACATTTTCAAAAAAAAAATCAATTTGAAAAAAAAATCAGATTAGGTTAAAAAATGAATTGGGAAAAATTCCGTGAAACTGGGTGCCCAGACGACACCATAATGTCGTCTTCTCCGATCTCGTCAGAGACGACGGCTGTATCCAAAGAAATCGATCCAAATTACGTATTAATGGTTGCTGATTTCTTCAAAGCTATTTCCCCAGACTCCTCTTGCAACGATTTCACCTCTTTCGATTCTTTCTCCGTCTTATTTCAAAGCAACACCAGAGCTCTCTCCATCTCACGTGGCCGTGTCTCGTGCTCCGTCATCGTCACGCCAGGCATAGCCGTAATCATCTCCTCCATCTCTCTGTTTATTTTTTGCAATTAGATCAAATGGGTTTCGTAAAGTTTCGATCTTTGATTTGAAAAATTGATTGTGTTGTTGTGAAATCAGAATTTCTTTAATGGGTTACATGGAGGAGCAGTGGCATCAATTGCAGAGAGAGTAGCGATGGCTTGTGTCAAAACTGTTGTGTCTGAAGACAAACATTTGTTCCTTGGTGAATTGAGTATGTCTTATCTCTCTTCTGCTCCTATTTCGGTAAGCCACCACCAAACATTCATTCTTGTCTCTCAAGACTCTGATCTTCAAATCAGAGAAGCTTAATTGTGTGAGATTTTGCAGAGTGAATTGGTGGTGGAGGGATCGGTGGTGAGGACTGGGAGGAATCTGTCGGTTGTGACTATTGAGTTCAAGATCAAGGAGACCATGAAAGTCACTTACCTATCTCGTGCTACATTTTACCATTCTCTCATCTCAAAGCTTTAAGCTTTTTGACATGCTCAGAGATCTTCAAATCAGAGCTTTTGTTGATTCTTTTTACATTCTTCTATTCAATAAAACAAGATTCTGTATACAGATTAGTCTTGAGATATATAATAAGCATTACTTACTTTCATATGTCTTTAATCATATTATACAACACACCACATATCAACCGCCTTTTAAGAAGACATTTGCATCCCCATTTAGCAGAGTAAGACAAGCTGAGATCTCTGAAGTCTCTAAAGGAATCAAGTGCAGTTGTTTGATATAGATACACGAACGAATGCAGTTTGTGTTGGAGGAATAGATCTATGGAAAAGCATTCGGGAACCGGGTTTACCTCTCAGGCGAATATTGCTTAGAAGAAGGCCTCATCACGGTTCTCGATTGAATCCTCTAGCTTGTGGAAGCATAGTCACACCGGTGTTTGCATTAAGGACACAAATAGGATCTTCTGAAAATGGTGACTTGTATAAGTGTGTCTGATGTCTGTAATAACACAATAAAGCAAGTTAGAAACAGAGTGGGGAAAATTAGAAAGACTCAGATTTGATGCACCTTACAAAAGAAACATTGATAGTGAGCTCTGTTCTTGTGCCACAACAATCTCACATACAGGTCCTCTTTTAATGGTCAATCACTTGCTGCTGCTCAAAATGTATCCACCTGCTTCCATTAACATCTATCACAGTTCATCGCAAGGTTTCTGATAAACACATCCTGGTTAAAATGCTCAGAGACTCAATACAGCACCAACTTTCAAATGTCTCATAAAATTCCTCAACTAGTGCTCTCTATTTATATATACATCTTTTAATATTGAGTTCCTGAAAACATTTACAGAGCAAACCAAGTAAAATTCCTCAATTAGTGCTGACAATATCTACAGAGCAAACCAAGTTTGAGAGATTGAAGAATGCATCAGGACAAGCAGAGCTTATATATATGCATTGATGGGAAAGGAATAAAACTACAAATCATTAGGAACCAAAACAGAGCTTAAGACGTTGTGAGATTAGAGTTTGGTCGATAGACTTTCCTCCAAATGATAGGCTACTCCAAAGCCATACTGCTTTTACACGAGGACGTAGCACTCCTGGTTGGACCTTATCAGGCAGTGCTAAGAAAACATTGAAATGTCTCCCTTTCAAAGCTTCGAGAGTAGTGACGAAGTCGGTTTCTTCTTTGATGCTTTTTGAGATTACCACCAAATTTGGGTCCTTACCATACTTGTCAGGATTGTCCAGTGCCCAGAAAAGAAGGTCCAATAACATCCCACTAACTCTTGCATATTTATCCCCTGGAACTATATATAATATTTAGAACGTGTCAAAATTAGGGCATTATTTGGTTACTTCCTCTTCAAGCTTCTTACAATTTTATGTACTCTGCTGCAGATAAGTTCATCTAAACATCTTCTATTAATCCACGCATCGGTCAAAACCACAATCTCCAAGAACCAGAAAAGCCATGCCATACCTTTTTTTTGGTGAGGATGAAATGAATTCCTAAAAAGTGATTTCATAGATTTGCTATAGTAATTATGTGACATTTATTGTTGCTCATGTGTTTTGGTTTTTGGAACAGAGGGTTTGATATGCATATGGAGTTCTAGGTTTGTTTGGGTCAGCAATCTTTGATTTGATTTAAGAGCTGTGTTTTCATCTATTATAAACTAGTATTGGTAGCATATGTGTCTCTTATGCTATTGTAAAGCAATAGGCAATAACCTTTTGATCAATTTTGTGATAAAATCACATGACAAAAGTTATATAATTTAAGATTAATCTCCAAAGAATTATGAAAAACTAATAGAAGAGGAAATTTTCATCACTACAAAGAGTGATCGCCTATATATTTGAAAAAATCGCCATATATACGAATATTCGAAACAAGGCCTAGGTGAATCCTACTATATCATGAGTTGGTTACAAAACACAAGCATCTATACACAATCATGGGGAAGGGATAAAACTGCAAATCATTCGAGCCCAAAACAGAGTTCAACACAAGAAAGATGAAAACATCTGCTCTTCCGTTTTTGTAGCCCTTTGGTTAAGCAACAACGCCTACAGTATCCTCGCTGCTTCGGGTATCCTCAATCTAAAAGGCTTGCACAAGGCCATACTTCGCTTACCGTATCACGTATCATCAGGTGGTGCTAAGAAAATATGGTAACCTATCACTTTCAAAGCTTGAAGAACACTGACCAACTAAAAAGCTTGTATCTTTTTCCCTATTTTAGTTCGGAAATGATGATTCATGTGTTTGGAAAATTTTGATGCCATTCTTTGAAATTTTGCTTACAGATTTTGGCATTTGATAATGGAGATGAAAGGATCTTAGCTATTATTTTATCTTAGCTAACAACATCATATATAAGACCAGCCAAATTAGTTTATCTAAACACCTTCTATTTCAAACTCGACCAAAAATCACAAACTCCAAGAACCTGAAAGGCCATATACTTTTTTTTAGGTGAGGATGAGATGATTTGCTAAAAAATAACATTTCATAGAAATATTCTTTCCTCATTATTGTTTTCTTGACCTGCTAAAAAAAAGATCGAAGAGTCAACCTTGACATGTATATGTACTACTGTTTTGTCGTATCCATGTTTAACTTGGATAGTGTGAATATATGTACGAGTTATAGACGATATCCCTTTTTGATCATTTTTGTGATATATATATATGCATGTCAAGGCTAATCTCCAAAATTTTATGAAAGAAAAGAGAAGAAAATATTTTCAATTAATAATAAATGATCATTGATAAAAATGTTCCAAACAAGCTTTGGTTGATCCTATCATCAATTGTTTACAAAACACAGTTTGTCTTTCTCAGTTTTATCACTGGTTTGTGTGATTTGCCAAAAAAATTAGCAGCTCTCCTTTATGGTAATATGGTATATACTACAAGATATGATCTTTCATGTGGAGCGGGTCATTGACTTAATCAAGATATGTCCAAGTTTATCTTGTGATACGATGCAACTGTTGTTTCTTTCCATTTTTCCAAATTATAGACCATTAAATGTCAATTGGGATACACAGTACACTGCATTCCAAATTTCCAACACTGCTAGCTCAGGACCAAAATATTAAGTATCAATAATCATTTTTTCATTTAATGAAAGGTGGTAAGATATGTTATGAGAAAAAAAAAAAAAAAAAAAGATGTGTTATGAGGTCACCGAGTATCATGTCACGCACATGACTCTGCATTATCTGACAGAGATGCAAACGAGAATCACAAGATATAGTAGATATGTGGAAGTTCATGGAAATTTAGTATCTAAAGACTTGCTATAGGTATTTATAGGTCAACTTCTTTTAATGTAGAGCTTTTCGGATATATATGCAACGTCAGGCACAATTTTCGTCCAATAATTACTAATAAATCCATTCACCTAACTTTCTTTCGAATAATTGATAAGATTATGAAGTGACTAAGCAACAATAAGATGTACTAATTTATACGCTTAAACATGAAAAATGATGCTGACATATAATCTCAATTCAAATATTAGAAATATTTTACCCTATGGCAAATAATTTTTCTTTTAAGCATTGAAAAATGTTCTCTGCCAGTTGAATTGGCTCAATTATATGGTGGGAAAATATGTTGCAAATTAACCACAAGAATTTTTTTTTAAGAATTTCATTTTTAATAATATCTATTAACTAACTTGGTATATATATTTAAAACCTAATACCAATGTTTAGGTCAATAGGTGGAAACATATGTTGTTGGCAAATGGGAGATTTCATAATCTTAACATAATTGTAATTGTTCAAAATTTCCCAAAGTAACAGCGAGGCTTTTGTCTTGATTTCACTGTCTTTATCGAATGTACTGTAGTAGGTTTCCCAGCCACTGCCTTTTTAAAATATGTAATATTTTTCTAAGGCTCGATCGGAATCAAAATGGAAATCCCCATCACATCCTATCAAAATGGAAATCCACACCATATCCTATCATTTCCATTTGTCGTATATGTAAAAACTCTATTAAATTCGTTGTCACTTGTTAGGAACACTTGAGAGTGGCTTCTATCGGGTGACTTACTCTTTAGATTAAGTCAACGGACTTTGCAATGTTTTTTTACCCAAAATTTCTGGTTTTTTAAATCCTAGTGTCTGGTCATATTTTAGAACGAGGGAAGTTCCAGACACTAGGATTTAAACATTATATTGGAGGGGGGCTAAGTTATCCGTTTTAGTCTCTAACCATCTAGACGTATAGAGTTCAGTTCCAAATTTCACAACTAATTAAAAAAAAATCTTCTTATGGTTGATATACGAATTGCTTAAGTTTGGATTGCTAGATGATACGTCGATTTAATTACTTCGGTGGCAAATTAGACCCTTAGTTAGTAAGAAATTGATAAATTTGCAAACCTAACTACAAATACGATTATACGATTACATATATTGATTAGATATCATTGTTTCGCCAAGAAATTAACTATAATTATTTTCAGTGTCAGAATATTTTACACGTAATATTATAGTTGATAGATCGCACTATAATAAATAATTGATTCATTATCAAATGGAGCTTTTATTCCACAGTATGCTGACAAACAATACATGGTGACGTCACACATTGTGATGCATGCATGCATGATATATCCAAGGCAAGCTATAAGATTAGGCAACGTAACTCCTCCGCGGATCCTGTTATAACAATATATGATCATTGTCCTTCAATAGTATATGGCCAATCTATCTCAAATTTATACAATTAAACCAGTTTTTGATTAGTTATTTACGAATATATAGCACACACATACGATTTAATTAGAAACACATGCAAATCGATTTGAAATAAAAATTTACGAATGATATTTCAAGTTAACTTTTTGAACATTAAGGGGCGTTTATCTTTTATTAAAAACATTAAGGGGCATTTCCATGTATATAGAATCGTATATATGCGACTATGATCAGTTTGCGGCTCTCGAGTGTTGTGGGACGTTAAGTTGTTCTTCCTCCAAATCGAATGGCCGTAAATTGTAGCTTTTCAGATTATGAGAAGACTACTTGAAACCTTGACGCAAAATTGGAAAATTGAAGCTGTCGAATTAATGTATTTTGTGCTACATCCATTTATAATTATACTTGAAAAAGATATACAATGCGACTAGAAAACAAATTACAAATAAGTTTCATGGAAATCAACAATAAAAAAAAAGGTTACATCGAAATTAGTTACACGTTAACCCAAACAAATGCTTCCAATACATGAGAGTCTCATTGAGAGATTCGAAAGTTATGTTTTTTTCTTCTACAAATGAGGTTTTGATAATATGCGTACATATTTTCTAAAATAGATATATAACAAGGCATATAGTATATATTACGTTGTGAAGACTTATTAGTTGTACTTGTACCTTACGTGCAAACATGATCACATAATCATCCTAAGAAACCAGAAATTTCTTTACTATTTGTTTTGCTAGCTTCACTCTATTTTGAAAATTAATTTTTTGCACATTATTATAACCTGTCCAAAAATTAAGGAATGGTACAAGCCAAAAATAATATAAAAAGGGAATGGCACAAGTGTAGTACAACCATACAAGTAGGACATAGAGTCAACGACTTCGATCCCGCAATATTTTCCATGATTTTGCGTTCCACTCGCAAAACAAAAAAAAAAACGAAAGTAATCTATATAATACGTATTTGATTTTTTTTTGATAAAGTCTACGTATTTGAATGTCTAAGTAAATTCTAACCTTCTTAAACAAAAGTTAACTCCTTTTACTAAAAGTCGTACGAAAAAATTATTCAAATGAGTTGAATAATTCTTGATCAATACTTGCAAAGCTAATTATAGTTTTCCGTTCAAATAAACGTTTTTCGAACGACATTTCCACATGTTTTCTCACAAGTTAGCTTTTTGAACATTAAGAAAAGTATTTTGATGTTATTCCTGAGTATGCAAGTTCTAATTGATGTTTAAATATATAATCAGACTCTGTTGACAACAAAATATCAAGGCCATATATAGTACTCAAAAGAAATATAAATAAAAATCTTACACTATAATATGAGATCAACATGGACACTTCATAATTTTATTAAAATGTATAGTAAATTCTTTAGAAAATGATTATATACGTGAAATTATAAAATTTATAATTGGAATTTAACTCCAAGTCCAATTGTATTGAGACATCTTCATCCACTGCAAACTTTAACGACTTAGTAACAATGAAACATTTTTCAGAAGTTTTTTTACGTAAGGAGTTTGACTTGGTCAATTTAATTATTACAAAAAGGAAATTTACCTTAAGAACTGTTACCATAGTTAAAAATACATGTATCTTTGGAAATACTGAGATAGAGTTGAGAAAAAAGAGAGTCAATTTCATCGAAAACTAGGAGCACCATTAAGTAGATTTGTAACTGATAAGGAAGAAATAAACAAGTACTTTCCTTTGTTACTCCTGTTTCATAGCTGTTGTAAGAACGCGCAGTTTTTTTGACAACAACGAACGTTCCCGCCGCGTTTATCACGCTGCTGGATTCAACTGGCTTATGCGGCTATGCCACGTTATTTTAACCTTCTTCTTCTTTTTGTCGTCTTATAGTTCCAATTTTGTTTGTGTATATATATTAAGTTATCGGAAATCTTGAAATTGATGTTACGTTAATAAACTAATGAAGTCATCGTTAGATTCGAAAAGTCATAATCACAAAACTAATTTAATATTTTCTCTTTTTTAGTATTATACTAGTATTAAAATGTTTTTACATTTACTTTGTTTTACTATATTATCAAAATTATCAAATTATTTTATAAATTTAAATATATTTGATAATTTATGACCATTTATACCTTTTAGTCCTTTCATAATTTAAACATTCATCTATATATATATAAGAAAATGAAGGAGTATTATTTAAGCTAAAACACAAAATTATATATGAACAAACACATCAAAGAGTTATTATCTACCAAAAATAAAAAAGATTCATTGGAAAAATGTTTATATTTTCTTGAAATATATTAAAAACCAAATATTTTGATATAAAAACGAATTCAAAGGAACATATTACTAATCTAAATTTAAACGTAATTTCCTTTTCCCATATTTTGTCTTTTTTTTTTTTTTTGTTTGGTCGACCTCTTTATATGTTGGATGAGCTGGCGGGAAAAAGAGAAGAAATCTCGTAGCGTCTTCTTTCCAAACTTCCTTGTCAGCTTCCTAAATGATGTTTCTATATATAAATGATCTTTCATTCTAGTTAAATGATTAGACCAATAAATAAGCATATACACTAAACCCACAAAATAACCCAGATGATATATATTGGTAGATCAATCGATCATCACTATACAACAATGACAAAAACATTGGAGATTGATTTGAGATCAGCAGAAGGGCTCAAGCTAAACCGGAGACCCATCAAGAAAAAGACTCTCTGCGTCGTAACGATCGACGAGAAATCTCGAAAATCTAATCTTGACGAATCAAGAAGAAGCAATCCAACATGGAACTATAAATCAGAGATACCCATCAATGGTAATGTACAGTTTATCACCATTGAGGTATTTTATCGAACAGGTTCTGGGCATGAGAAAAAAATCGGTGAAGCTAAAATCCCGACGAAAGATTTCATGGGAAGGTATTCACCAGAAGGTCATTTAAACTTCTTGAGCTATAGATTGAGAGATGAGTTTGGTGATAAGTGTGGGATCGTCAATCTTTCGATTTTAGTTAAATCGGATCCCACCACCGTAACGACGGCGATAAGAGATTATGGAGCATGTTCGTCGCAAGCGGCGGATACTGGGTTGTGGAGACCGAGATCGGAGACGCCGTCAATTGATGGATATGGAGGCCGGACTGTTACCGGAGTTCCGGTTTGGGGTGTGTATCAACGGCAATTTTAACTTTTTTTTTTTTGGGCTGAGAACATATTATTAATTCTTCGTCTTTGTTCCATATATAGATTTTCCCAATTTTGGAATTGAGGAACAAAGATGTGTGATTAATTTTTTTGTTATATACTCACGAAACAAAAGTTGAAAATAGAAAAGTCAAATTTGTTCGATGATGATATCTAAGAACTTGTTGTCCAGTTCGTGGTGTGTTGTTGGAAGAAGAAGAAACAAAAAAAAAAAAAAAGTCTTGCAATTCTGGTTTGTATTTAATGATCCTATACTATTATTTGGGGAGTACAATTTATGGATTACCCTTAATTAACCTTCTCCTTTGTAAGAATTTACTTAAGAATGCCATTAGAAATAAAATTTTATAGAGTAAATTAATTCAACTCATTAAGGTTAAACAAGTCAAATACTATTTTATGCAATTTAATTAATTTAATTTAATTATAAAAACGAAAATCTATTATTAATTTCTTTAAAAAGAATGACCAATCAAAATGAACATATAAGATTTGATATCTAACTTACCATATTAATTTGTTATTAATCATTATACTTCACCTCTCATCTTTATATGATTCTATTTCTATAAATAAATAAATCATTATATCATCTATATAATAAAAAAAAAAGTAATTTTTTTTCCGCATATACCAAAATTTGAATTTTTAAAAACGAATATAAATTATTCAATGTATGAAAGAACAAATTTAACGGGTCAAAAATTCATATTTGAGTAATATATTCCTTTTTTTTTAATATCATCAATACTTAATAGATCAAAAATTTATGAAGTATAAATACTCTAATTTGATTTTTTGAAACAAATATTTATAATAGGCGGCGGGTTGAATATAATATATTATATGATGAAATGAGTTATGATCCTTATAACTATTTGAATATTTATATTTAATTTCGTATAATTTTTTTAAAATTCATAATTTTACATAATACAATAAATATTTTTAAAGATTTTAATTTGGAACATTTTAAAATAGTTTAATTTAATATATTAAAGAATATCATAAATATTTAATAGATTAAAAAGATAAAAAAAATTATAAATACAATAATTTGTTTTTCTAAAAAGATATGTTTAAAATATTTATAGTAGGCGGCGGGTTAAATGTAATGTATTATATGGTAGAAAATTATGATCCTTATAACAGACGGCATTTTAAGATTTTATGATGAGATGAGTTAAATAAAGTTTGACACTTCTAAATATTTGAAAATTTGATTCTGCAAGCAATTTTGAAAATAATAAATAATAGATTGTACCGCAATATTTTCATACGGATTGTAAAATGAAAATATAGACTCCACACACAGATTGAATTTGGTATTATTATATACCAAATATATGTTCATAACATATTTGATTATGTGAATAATTGGTAAATTCCGTAATTAGCTCAAACAAATATTTATTTCAACAACCAATGAATCAGAATTTGAAAAAATAATTTCCTAAATTAATTCAAAATAATAGCTAATTTTCTTAGGTAATTCAAAATAATCTACGTTTTAGATACGATTCATTTATGATATTTTAATTTTTGATCTAACTAAATTATATGCACTCTCATTTTGTGGTTGTTAACATAAATTAACTCATTGTTCAAACAATATTAATTTTTTTTAATAATCTTATTTTCCGTTTTCATATCTTAAAAAAATATCCATAATTGAATACTATAGAAAAATGAAAATATATTCATTCTAATATTATACATAGGGACTGACAAAAAAATATTATTTTTTTCACTTACTATTATAATATATCACAACTTTATTCTAAAACATAAAATTTATAAATTTTGTAATAAATGAAATTCAACCCGTACTGTAGTACGGGTGATGATCTAGTTGTGAGTTATTATAGCGTTACTTGCGTGGTGATTTGTTGCGGATATGATTTTTTTAAAAAAGAATACAATATATAATGCAAATATGTTATTACTAGTGATATTTTTATAATCAATTTAAATGGTTTTGAGAATGTTATGTCATTTCCATGGATAATCTATAATATTCAATCCTTCAAAAGAAGGATGATTTTCCTCAAGTTAAAAAAAAAACAGAGAGACAAATTAAACTGTTATATATGTTCATTATGAATTTATGATAGATTATGGGCATGGTTACAAAATGAATATATATATATATATATATGTAATATGTTTATGCTTTAACAATTTGATCTGGCACAACTTTTAGACTATAAAAGTAATTCCTCGGCTGGTTAGAGAAGAGATAAGACTTCCACGGATACAAAATGTGCAGCGTTCGATGGGATGTCCTTCACGTGGACACTTTATGACTTTGTTTTGGGTTCACTACGACCGTCTGTTCTTGTATACAGTACTCCCTCCGTCCCACGAAGATGGATTTTTTAGAAAAAAAATTTGTCCCACAAAAATAAAAGTTTTATGTTTCCAATGTAAAATTTCAAACGGATTACCTATTTTACCTTTATTAAATAGCAATAAATAATATATATTTTTTCAAATGTGTTAAAGTGTTAAAAGGTTAAAATTGTCATTATACATTATTTCTTAAGGAATGTGAAATTTCTACAAAATCTATCTTTGTGGGACGGAGGGAGTATGATTTTGTGTGCGCATCCGAACCTTCCTTTTTTTAAGATTTACTAATTAACAATTTCACAAGATACAAAAAAATTTGTTATTTCCTGCGGAACCACTAACTTTTTTTTTGTTTTCCAACCATTTTTGGTAAAAGTTTGTGGGCGAAATTGGGCTTAGTCTCTGATTTCGGCCGACTTTTAAAATAGCGGCCACTGGCTTTAAGCCTTTTACTTAATCCACACGTTTCTCTCTCGTTAGTTGCGACTTACGACTACAACACAAAACCCATTCATATTTTAGATAATCTTTATATGACTCTTCCTCTTTTCCACCTCACTACAATAATGACGTCACCATAAACCAAAAAAGTTGAACCGAAACCAAACCAGTATCTGGATTAAACATCCCTATTTAAATCACATACTCATGTCAGGAGGACAACCGTGTCCAGTCCAATTTGTTTTAGTTTTCTTAGCTACGTACAGTTTAATCAAAATATATGAATACACTATCTGACTAATTCATAGTTAGAAGCCGAATTCTCCATATAATCAATTGATAAAGTCATATAGCTACTTTGAGTGTTCTCACACATTTGATGTTGCATATAACAAAACTAGTTATGATTCATCAAGTTTTTGCTTATTTTCATTTATATCAAGTTTCTAAGTCTCTTTCCTATTCTTATGATTTTTTTTCTTTATTTTCCAGAATCTATTTAATTATTTATTGACTTTTCAATATTTTATTCATTGTATCATATAATACTATTATGTATAATTTACTAAATTCGTATATGTTTTCATTTTTAATTATTTTCTAGATATTTTTCTTATTTGTTTTATAAGATCTCTTTCCGGCCGTTTACAACATCTACTTAATTACTAGTTGATTTTTTTAAAAACTAATTTTAGATTTTGTGATATTTGTAATTGATTATATATATGATATTTTGGGTGTATAATATCATAACCCTCATTATCATTTTACTTTAAAGTTTTCATTTCTATTATATCATCTAAAATGACTAAAACCATCTTTCTTGCTATTTCCATAGCCGTCCTCGTTCTAGGTTTGCTTTATACATATAACATATTAAATTTCTTTTCACCTTTTTTTCTCTTTTGTTCACAGTATTTGTGTTTATCACTTGTTTATTTTATATAAAAAAAATTGAAATTATGCTTTCATTTTTTTCTATTAGGGATGGTGACCAAGGAAACAAAAGCAGAAGGAGAAAAAGTGTGTCATCATAATCTTATAACACCAACCGAAGGCTGTGAAGCTTCGACGTGTGATGCCATGTGTGCTTCAAGGTTTAAGGGAGGAGTAGGCGGGTGTTCTAAAACCGATAAATTTACCTGCAACTGCATGTTTATTTGCAAACAATGATTTGTCTTTGTTATCCATATATAAACCATCATCCAATATATATTTTTTAGTCTCAAACCATCATCAAATATAGTAATAAAGCAACGGGTTTGGAAAAAATAATATTGCAGTCTCAAGGTCCTATTTCTTGTTCCCTCTGTAATGATCAAATAATAAACATGTTTTAAGGTAATGATGTTTGATAATGAACTCATCACATTCACAAAGACGGAGCAGCGAAAATTTCCTCCTCCTCAGACTTGTTCACTACCACTATGTTCACCATTTGTGAGAATATTGAATTTGCAGAGGGCAAGTCGCGTTGATCCTTAGCCATTTGTCTACACATAAACTGTGGAAATGATGTCTACAAGGAAGTTCCCTTATTAGTTCTACTCAATTTTCATAAGCATATAAACAAATGCTGCATACATTCAATTTGTTTTTTCAATGTCTATATATGTACTCGTCGTGTGTTTTGAAGGCAAAAAGTCCTGCAATTCTAATCTGAATTTTAATCATTGTAGGGTGTTGTAAAGTTACATGCGTGGTGATTTGTGGCAGATACAATTTTAAAAAATACAAGAATATAGAAAAAAGAACAAAATAAAAATTAATAACTCATTTTATTACTAGTAACAATTTATAAAATGTTGATTTATGATTTCACAATATTATAAACACTACTTTAAACTTTTCTTCTTTCTTTTTTCTACGGAACGGTTAACTTTCAACCATAGTAAAAGTTTGTAGGCGTTGCTGGGCTTCGTCTCTGTTTTCGTGGGACTTTAAGCCTTTAACAGTGTAACTACTCACACACGCTTCTCTGATCTTGTTACTTACGATAACAGAATAATCCCATTAGTATGTTAGATAATCATAATATGATCTCTTTCTTTTTTCCACTTTTATACGTTTCCACTTTGAGTTAATTTCTAGATATTTCTCTTATTTGCTTGATTAGATATATTCGTCCGCTTACAACATCTACTTAATTACTTGTTGATTTTTAGCTATTTTGTAGATTTTGTGATATCTTTTAATAGCTTATATATATGACATTCACGTGTAGATGATCATTACACTCATTGTCATTTTATTTTTGATATTTTCATTCTTATTGTATTATCAAAAATGACTAAAACCATCACTCTTGCTATCTTTATGGTCGTCCTCGTTTTAGGTTTGCTTTATACATAAAACATATTGTATATGTTTCCACGTTTCCTCTCTTTTAGTCAGAGTAGTTTTTGGTCAATACCTTTTAATTTTCTATTAAAACGAAACTGAGATTATGTTTTAATTTTTTTTTTGTATTAGGGATGGTGACAAAGGAAACGCAAGGAGAAGAAAATCAGTGTTATGAATATATTTCAACACCGCAGGAAAACTGCGAAGGTTTGGTGTGTGCACATGACTGTACTATGAAGCATGGTGGAAACGGCGTGTGTGTTGATACTACAAGCACGACATGCATCTGCACTTATGATTGCTAAAATAATTGATTTGTCTTTTGTTATTCCACAAACTCTATCATCAATCTCTGTATTAAATTAATACGTTGAATAAAATTTTAGTATATTATTTGATTGCAGTCTTTTATACTGTACTATATTCTTTTGTTTGAATGTGAGTTCTGATTAAATAGTGATCACTGATCTCTCTCTTTTTCACCTCACTACAATGACGTCACAGCATATAAACATGGTTCACCAATCACCACCGTAAATTAATCTATTTCGGATCTAATTTATCCGTTGCTTAAAAAACCCAAACGGCTAAAATCACACCTGACTCGATGAATAACATTTTCCAACCGAACTATATATACTTATTGCATTTACAAATATCATATCCAAAAAGACAAGATGTGCAGCTTCATCTCAAAACAAATCTCACGGTCTTCTTCTTGTTCTTTCCTCTCTAATGGTCAAAGAATAAGCGGGTTTTAACTTTTAAGGTAATGATGTTGATGTTGATGAGCTCATCACATTCCACAAAGATTGAACAGCAAAATCTTTCTTCTCCTCACACTTGTTCACTGCCACTAGGTTCACCATTTTTGAGGATATTGAATTTGCAGAGAGGGCAAGTGGCGTTGATCCTTAGCCATTTGTCTACACATAAACTGTGAAAATGATGTCTACAAGGAAGTTCTCTTAGTTCTACTCCATCTTCATAAGCACATAGACAAATGCTGCATTCCTGCAATGGTTTTTTTTTTCCGGTTTTGCTCCAATCATTTCAGTGTCTTTATCCAAACTGGATGGAAAAAAAAGGAAATTTGATTATGGTTACTTACAGCATCTTCGCTTGATAACACACGTTCGTTTTGAGACTCGGCACCTAATCCAGTCATTATCCCTCCTTGAGTTTCCCGGATTTCACCATTCACTTTCTCGGAATTCTTTACTACGAGGAACTTGAATTTTAAAAGCCTTTCTATCTCTTCATCAGGTGCACCTTCCTGAAATTTAGAAATCGCTTAATAGGATTTATCAAAGAAACATGAGACTCATTTGTTCTTCCTCATCATAGTGTTTCTTTACCTGATCTGCTAATGCGTACAAGATTGCGATGATGCAAGGTAAACAGCAACAAACAGCAATACCAATTAGACTAGCAACCGCAACGCAAATGACAACAAACATAACATCAAACGCAAGGAATGCAACACAGAGCCTGCAAAAAAAATACAAGAAACGAAGATTAAATCACAGAAACAAACTCTTGAGAAAATAGAAGCATAGCAGCAATCAACAACTGTTGGAAACAAACCAGTAGAGCTGAGGCGAAGATTGAGCTAGTGCCTCGGGATCAGCCGTGACCCAGTAAAACCCGATAATCCACCAGACAAAAGAGAACATCGTATTCGCAGATTCAAGGTGCTTGGTGAAACTGGAATAGCAAACAAACCACATGAGAGTAGCTCAATGGAAAACAGTTCATTCAGTTCTACATTATTTGTATACAATCCTAAAGTCTAAAGATTTTTTCAACCTAACATGGTTCTGAATCTAAGCTAGTATAAGTCTATCACAAGAATCAATCAAATAAAAGAGATTGAACCTAGTTCCATGGTCATCATCAGCATCGTTAATGCTATAGCCATCAGATTCGTCTTCACTTCCGCTAAGAGATTCGTGATTGGAGGAATCTTCACCACTAGGAGGAGAATTAGCTTCACGGCGACGTTTATACTCAGCAATTACACAACCAACATGAAACAAACACTGAAAATTATACCCAATTATCCACAACCTAAGAGGAACATCAGGATCTTCTTCAGAACTAAACCCTAGAATCGCGATTGAAACAATCACAAAGACGAAATTCCAAAGTATATCGAGAACAATAATGGGTTTCGAGTAAGCCCATTGACTCTGACGTTCCTCAAGCTGCTCAGCCGCCACCTCACGGACTCGAACGGAGGGCTCACGGAGCATCATCCGGCGGTTGCTAGCACGGCGGAGAAGTCTCGAAGCCGCGCCACGAAGCGGCTGAGAGGACCGTGTGCGGTTACGTCTGTTCCGGCCAAGAAGCGGCGAAACGTCCATCGTTTCCGTCGCCGGAGAAGAAGAGACGGTAAAAGGGATCGATTGATTCATCAAATAGAAAGATTGGATCTTGGGTAATCGGGTTGATCCAGAATCTCGATGGGTCGGGTTTGAATTCGCTGGAAATCTACCGACTTTGGGGGAGATGATTCTAGGTTTTGAGGACCAATTTCTTATGGAAAATTGAAAGCCGACAAAGAGAATGTCTTTGTCCCAATAAACGTTTGATCATCAGACTATTATTCTTCTGGAAATTCTAAAAAAATACGCCAAACTTTTTTATTTTAAAAGAAAATACATAAAACTAAAATTTGTCATTCTTTTATTTGCTAATCATATAAATATCATATAGATGAAAGGTAGGCGTTACAAAGTTATAAGACCTATAAGTTTGATTTGTCATTCTAACAAAACTTTATATTCGAAATCCAATTGAAGTATGCATAAGAATTTTTTATTCTAATATGTGAATGAGTTATGATCTAGTAATAACATGCCAACTAAAAGTGATATGTCTAATTATATAAGATCAAAACAATAGGGTTAAATATTTTACAATTTTGACATAGTATATATAAACATGACACATTTAGAAATTGGCTAACTAACCGGAATATACTACTCAGTTCGATATCTAAATTTTGAAAGTTCAAACTCCAAATACGTGTATGAAGTTACAAGGGCATTATTTGATGGATCCTTACTACTTAGTTTTTTTTTTAAGACTAATCCAACTAATTGTACATGAATTTCAGAATTGTAAAATAATCAATTAGATTTTATCACATGTATTTTATAGATAAAAATCTACAAAAATGTATCTTGGACAATTCAATGTATTACAAATATTTTTTAAATTTAGTTATATATAAAGCTTATTGAGTTCTTATTTGCTTTCATTCTAATTGATTTTGTGAGTATCCCCTTCCTATTCATATATTTTTTTTTTTATGATTTTGTTTCCATTCCCATCATTTATATAACTATTTATTTATAGATTTTGTCTACTTTTGTTAGTTAATGTATATACTATATGTATATATCTAATTTCATATATATATATATATATGATATTTACATGTATACTATATATATATATATATATGATATTTACATGTATACTACCACTAACATTTCTGGTTTTTTACTCTGAAAAATACATCAAAGATGGCTAAATCTACCATTTTTGCTATTTTGATGATTGTCCTCGTTCTAGGTTTGCGTGACATTTACCATTCTCTAAACATATTAAACATTTCTATTATTTTTTTGTTTTATAAAGATTCGTTTAAAGATTTTGTTTTAATTTTTTTTTAGGGATGGTAACGAAAGAGACACAAGGACAAGAAATGTGCCGTGATCTTTTAATGAGAGCTAAAAACTGTGATGCTGGCACTTGTGCCACTCTGTGTAAGCAAAAATGGAAAGGAAATGGATCGTGCTTCCCTAACTTTCAAATCAAAAGCTGCCTCTGCACATTTCCTTGCAAAACTTGAACTTTTACGGAACCAAATTGTAATTTATAAACTAATAACAGTAATACAAATAATGATAGTAAAACTTATAATAATAAAATGAAATAAAATTAAACTTACACAATGTCTTATATTTTATATAAATTCTGATTTCATATTTTTTTTTGAAATGAACTATAAGCTACTACTTGAGCATAATTTAATTTTTGACATGTGTAAATAAATAATAAAATAATAATCTAACAAAATTAAAACATTTGTATTTTGGAAAGAATCTTAGTTATTTATTTTATTATATTAAAAATATATATACATATTCATTAACTAAATCAAATCCAATGGTTTTGGTGTTGGGCCAAAAACGGAAAATCAATTTACAAAAAAGAGTTTTAATTAGTTATTCTATCATATTTGGACCCAACAAAAAAAAGGTTATTCTATCATATCTTATACATCCGATCTCTTAATTTGAATTCAATTCTATTTTATATTTGTACTGATTCCTTTCTAAATCTTATGGATATATTGTTTATTTTATTTTTATTTTCTTCCTAATTAACATATTGGATTGCTTTCCTAATCAAATGCGTCCAACTTTTTTTGCTATTCAAACATAGGATTGATTGTACATTAAATACGTGTACACACAACTTCACACATATATATAGAGATGATATTTACATGCACATATATTACAAATACCCTCATTTGGTTTAAGATATTAAAAGAACTTCAAGTCTTTTTTTTTTTGTTTTGTTAAAGACTTCAAATCCTTTTCTTTTTCCAACCAAATTCCATTAATCATCAAAAGATGACTAAACTCACCATTGTTGCAATCTTCCTTGTCTTCTTCCTAGGTTTGTTTTACATTTTCCATTCTCTAAGTATATTATAAGATCAATAAGAAATTAATCAAATAATTTTTCGCCTTTTTATGCTTTGTATAATGAGATTTGATGTTTTAAAAATATTTTTTTTAGGGATGATGGCCAAAGAAACACAAGGACAACATATATGTCATCAGATTCTATTAGATAACAACTGTGATGGAGCCACATGCACCGATCTGTGTGACAAGAAGTTGCAAGGAACTGGCCAGTGTTACAGAACCGTTGACAGAAGATTTATCTGCCTCTGCAATTATATTTGCAGAACTTGACTCTATTTTTGGTTTTGTTTTTGTTCTTATCTACTATATCAACTATCAGCAATAATAAATCATAAAAGAAAATAGTATAAGTTTCTTGCCATGTTGTCTAATCTTACATGAATGAAAAAATTGCATTCAAACTTACTTGGATACTGATTTAGCCCTAAATATGGAAAAATATTACATGTTAAATAAATTTCAATGATCTTTTATCAATTAAACATAAACAAGAATTAAGAATATTGATAGTTTTTCAGTAATCCAAATTTACAAAACTAGAAATGTGTATGATAACATCTAATACAACAACTTTGTAGTCTTCAAACATATTGAAAATTCCTAATCTATACTATATAAAAAATTTTAAAACTAAATAACATATATTCTTATATATATAGATATTTATCATTTTTAATATATTGGCTCATATATTGTCTTGTTAGAAGTTTTTAGTTACATTTTTAACAAAGTGTTATTTTGTTGTCTTGTGAAAGAGAGAGTATATAATTTGGCTCTGTCGTAATGCACAGATTGAATTACAGAAAATGGCGTCTTCCTTTGAAACCGTTTGGTAATTGTTGTATTCACAGCTATGCTGATCGAACGAAGCTTCACTCGAATCTGTTGTTGGGAGATTTGTCTAAATCTGGTCGGGTCGATGAAGCCCGCCAAATGTTCGATAAAATGCCTGAGAGGGATGAGTTTACCTGGAACACTATGATCGTTGCTTACTCGAATTCAAGGCGACTTGCTGATGCTGAACAGCTTTTTCGTAGCAACCCAGTGAAGAATACAATCTCCTGGAATGCTCTTATTTCTGGGTATTGCAAGTCTGGAAGTAAAGTTGAAGCTTTTAATCTGTTTTGGGAAATGCAGTCTGATGGAATCAAACCTAACGAGTACACTTTGGGTAGTGTTCTTAGGATGTGTACTTCGCTTGTTTTGCTTCTGAGAGGTGAACAGATTCATGGGCATACAATAAAAACCGGCTTTGATTTGGATGTTAATGTGGTTAATGGCCTTCTTGCTATGTATGCACAATCCAAACGTATCTCTGAAGCTGAATATCTCTTTGATACCATGGCAGGTGAGAAAAATAATGTTACATGGACTTCAATGCTCACTGGTTACTCTCAAAATGGTTTTGCTTTCAAGGCAATCGAGTGTTTTAGGGATTTGAGAAGAGAGGGAAACCAATCGAATCAATATACATTTCCTAGTGTTTTAACTGCTTGTGCCTCGGTTTCTGCTTGCAGGGTAGGAGTCCAGGTACATGGCTGCATAGTTAAGAGTGGTTTCAAGACCAATATCTATGTTCAGAGCGCATTGATTGATATGTATGTTAAATGCAGAGACTTGGAAACCGCAAGAGCTTTGTTAGAAGGTATGGAGGTTGATGATGTGGTATCTTGGAACTCGATGATTGTAGGGTGTGTTAGACAAGGTCTTATAGAAGAAGCTCTGTCTATGTTTGGAAGAATGCATGAGCGAGATATGAAAATAGATGATTTCACGATCCCATCCATCTTAAATTGTTTTGCTTCGTCTAGGACAGAAATGAAGATAGCTTCTTCTGCACATTGTCTGATTGTGAAAACCGGGTATGCGACTTACAAGCTTGTGAATAACGCCCTTGTTGATATGTATGCTAAAAGAGGGATCATGGATTCAGCGTTGAAAGTGTTTGAAGGGATGATTGAGAAAGATGTGATATCTTGGACAGCTCTTGTCACAGGAAATACACATAACGGATCTTATGAAGAAGCACTGAAGTTGTTCTGTAACATGAGAGTTGGAGGCATTTATCCTGATCAGATTGTTACAGCGAGTGTACTAAGCGCCTCAGCGGAGTTAACTCTTTTGGAATTTGGGCAACAGGTACATGGGAATTATATTAAATCTGGTTTTCCTTCATCTTTGTCAGTAAACAACTCTCTTGTGACAATGTACACAAAATGTGGAAGCTTAGAAGACGCGAATGTTATATTCAACTCTATGGAAATCAGGGATTTAATAACATGGACTTGTATTATTGTGGGTTACGCGAAAAACGGCAAAGCCAAGGACTCACTACAGTCATACGATTTGATGATAGGCAGTGGTATAACACCGGATTACATTACCTTTATCGGGTTACTATTTGCTTGCAGTCATGCAGGTCTCATAGAAGAAGCTCAACGATACTTTGATTCGATGAGAACAGTTTATGGAATCACACCAGGACCTGAGCACTATGCCTGTATGATTGATCTCTTTGGTAGATCGGGTGATTTCGTAAAAGCAGAGGAATTGCTGCATCAAATGGAGGTTGAACCAGATGCAACTGTATGGAAAGCGATTTTGGCTGCAAGTAGGAAGCATGGGAATATAGAAAACGGGGAAAGAGCAGCGAAAACTCTCATGAAATTGGAACCAAACAATGCTGTTCCTTATGTTCTGTTATCAAACATGTATTCTGCAGCGGGAAGACAAGACGAAGCTGCAAATGTTCGTAGATTGATGAAATCTCGTAATATAAGCAAAGAGCCTGGTTGCAGTTGGGTTGAAGAGAAAGGTAAAGTTCATAGCTTTATGTCTGAAGATAGAAGACACCCGAGAATGGTTGAGATATATTCCAAGGTTGATGAAATGATGTTTTTGATTAAAGAGGCTGGTTATTTAGCGGATATGAGTTTTGCCCTCCATGACTTGGATAAGGAAGGCAAGGAGCTAGGTTTGGCTTACCATAGTGAGAAATTAGCTGTAGCGTTTGGTCTACTTGTTGTACCATCTGGAGCTCCAATCCGGATCATCAAGAACCTCCGCGTCTGTGGGGATTGCCACAGTGCAATGAAGTACATATCGAGAGTATATCTTCGGCATATCATCTTAAGAGATTCTAACTGCTTTCATCACTTTAGAGATGGAAACTGTTCTTGCGGAGACTATTGGTAACATTTGCATTAGAAGAAAAACTTGGAAAATTCTGCATTTCTGTCTGCAACAATGGAAGCTACAAAGTTACAAACTTACAATTATACACTTTCAAACTGCTAGTCCATGTGGTTGCAGAGGTCAGTGAGGGTTCATAACCAGAACAATGCTATACGTGCCAACAAGAAACTCTCAAAATCAAAAAAGCTTTATATATCAACATCTGCGTAGAGAAGCAGCCATTAACCCAAATGGTCATTTCCTTGCATGCTCGGGTATTAAGCGATGACGCAGTTCAACAGATGCACCAGCGAGTTCTGCAAGAAGAGAAATATAAGCATTTTCCGGGTGGGAGGTAAGTTATAACGTATAAGAGAAGCAAAGTGTTGTTGCCAAAACCTTGAGCTGTGAAATCAAACAATGGAGGAAGTGCTCTTCCATTAGGCAAGGATGCTCTCGGGTCTCTCAGATCATCGAAGAATGGGTGTGCACATGCTTCAAGCTGAAAGCAGAGTCAAATTAAAGGAGTTGAAGCAGCCCTTTTAATATGGTCAGAAATCAACTTGGGTTTTCTCTTACCGCTGTGCATCTCAGGTTTGGTGAATACTGGAGCAATCTAGAGGCAAGATCCATTGCTTCTGGAGATACTTGTCTCCGGAAAATCTGAATAATAACCGGAAGATTTTGTGTGTGAAAACTTGCAGATTCATTTGTAAGCAACATATTATCAAAATCTGTAAATCTCTTAGTTAATTTGTATGTATAAACCTTGTGCCATGGCTGAGCTTTTATCTGAGGGAACTTAAAATCATTGTAACGAGGATTCATGTTCTTTATCTCTTCTCTTGCTGGTGTCCCTAAAATCTGATTGTACAAAGAAAATTGCAGAATACAACAACTCTGAGAATCTGAGACCCCAAAAAACAGAGAAAAGAAAAAAAAAACCAATCTGTTGTTACCTTAATGATTTCCACCAACTGATCAACACTTGTTTCTCCAGGGAAAAGAGGCTGTAGACATTAAAAGCAAGAGAGAGGTTCAAAGCAAATGTCTCAAATCAAAAGTTAAAAAACTCTTCAGAACCAAAGACTTTTCTTCTTACATGTCCAAGAAAAAGCTCAGCCATGACACAACCGACAGACCACATATCGATCGCGCTTGTGTACTCGGTTGCTCCAAATATCAGTTCAGGAGCTCTGTAATACCTTGAGCATATGTAAGATATATTTGGTTCTCCTGGAATCTGAAACCAAGAAGACATCACCACACATTGTTTTTCTAAAGCCCTGAAAATCCCATTTACAGCTATGAAACTTACCAGCATTTTTGCACTCCCAAAATCGCATATCTTTACCTCATGCGTAACATTATTGACCTGCCAAATACATCAACATTTCTCCAATTGAGTAAGAAAAGTACTACTACCCTCATAAAAACTACTATGAAATGCGTACCAAAAGATTCTGCGGCTTAATGTCACGGTGACAGACTCCAACCACTTGATGCAGATAGTTCATAGCCCGGCAAATCTGGTTTCCACAAACAAACGTTTCTCAGAACCCCAAAGTCAAAAATAGATTCAACAAATAGTCCAGCCCCTTTACCTGATAGGTATAGAGCTGAATATAAATCAAAGGCATATGATGATTCATCTTGGTGTAAGATCTGGAAGCGCGGTAAATAGTCTCGGGTACATACTCAAGAACAAGGTTAAGATAAAGCTCGTCTTTCTCAGTCGTGGAAAAGAAAGAATGCTTGAGCTCAACGACATTAGGATGATCAAGCATTCGCATGATCTGAAGTTCTCTGTTTTTGTATCTCTTGTCCTGTAACACTTTCTTGATCGCTACTTTTTCTTCTGTCTCTAAGCACTTAGCCTACATCAAAACCGGAATCAACATCAATCACATTATAAAACAATTTAAAATCTCTTAGACTCTGAATATTTTATTTACCTGAAAGACAACACCGAATGAGCCAGTGCCAATTACATGTTCAGCTCTGTACGAGATTGTCTACATAAGATCAAACAAAAAAAATCAGTTTTAGAAATGTGTCTTTATTACAGAACACAAGCAAAATCTGAAAATGACCTTGTCTTTTTGATCATTCAAACCCTTCTTCTTGGTGGTAATAATCCGTCCAGATTCTGTTCCATTTCCCTTGATGATTCCACAATCCATATCCTATCAAATCCATTGAACACCATTTCATCATTAGCTACAAGATCAAAGAAACCAGAAACTCAAATGCTGAAAAAAATATCAAAATCAGAAACCTTGTCATCTCCAATTCCCATGTCACGGATTTCCTTTGGTAAATGATCAGAGTTCTCTGAGGTAGAGACAGAATCTTTCTCGTACGACGTAGTTTCCGTAGACTCTGTTTCTTCACGATTCTGGTTATGCTTCGATCTCGGCGTCTCAGTTTCTCCTACCTACGCAAGTTACAATAAAAAAAAAGGGCTCGAGCTTTAAACAAACCCAAATCAAGAAATTAAATTAAAAAGCTCAAAAGTTACAAAATTATTTACGTTATCAGAAGAAACGAAATTGCGTCCAGAGGCGATACTCGTTAATCTCCGCACCACATTCATCGTTTTTTTTTTTTTAAGCAGAAAACTTTTCCAAGGAATTAACAAAAAAAAAATGGAATTTCAAGAAAACCAAAAGATTACAGCTTTCACGAGAAGAGAAAGAGAGAAAGAGAGAGAATCGCTGCTCTGCCAATTTCTCTCTCCTTCTTCCCTCTTCTGCCAGAAAACGAACAACAAACAAACAAAAAAGATCTAAGGATTTTTCTTCCTTAATGTAAACTCTTTGTATATATACACGAAAACATAATTATAGAAATATCTATATATATCTCTGCGGCGGAGCGGATATAGCTTAAACGAACAAAAAAACAGATGGCATTTCTCGCCATTGGTCAATTACACAAATCGAAGACCAATCATTCTCATACCCTTAATTTCTGTTCAAAGAAAGTAATAAAAATCTGTATAAAAGATATCAAGTGACGATCGTGACCGTTTGTTGATTCAACGGTGTGTGATCGAATATTAAGCGCGCGGATTTTTCGCAAGTTTGACTCTTCCTTTTGACTCTTTTCTTTCGGCCGTTTAATATTTATTATTATTAGTCGGAAAAATAATAAGATACTGTTTTAATAAAGGACTTAAAATCTAGCCCAATAAATTAGTTAATGATTGGCCCAATGGATTTTTAAAAGGCTTATTTAGTAGCCCATAATATAGTAGTTAATGATAGCCTTGGTCTCTTCTGATGTGAGTGTGACCTTTGGATCTAGGCCTAGCATTATCAAACAATCTCTACACCAACTCATCTTTATTTTTGTTGCCTACTTTGAATGGATAAACTGTAAGGGATTGCAACTAAATTGATGCACTCGCGTGTTCCATTCTTCTTCGTTCGTTCCATTTCCATCTTATTGAAAAAAGTACTTTTAAACTTGGAACAACATTAAATAAAGGAAATGGTCCAAACCAATCCTTTCACACTAAAGTAAACCCGGATTGGTTGCCTTGATTTATAACCTAAAATCGTTGACAAACGTTTTTGTTAATAACTTACTTGAGAAATGGTAGAAGTGGAGCTTCCCTAAAAAAAACTTGGGTGTTTCATATAATGCTTTCCCGATTTTTATCGAGTCATTACAAGAAGAAAGAAACAAAAAACAATTACATTTCATCAACATGATTAAAAAAAAACAAAACCAATCCAAATTACAACATTTTTGTTTAATGTTTTGTTTTTCAAACTTCATCGAGTCAATACCCGAACCATCACAAAAACGGATTCATCACAAAATGAGGTTCGTTCTTGACTCAATCTCCACCGTCCGATCTCAATGATCATGTGCTATCACAATGAAGAGCAGCTTTAATCTTCTGAACGGTGCACGATATCAGATTATTAACCGTCTCTACAGATTCCACCGTGAGCTTAGCCGTAGGCAAACTATTCACCAGAATCTGAAACGCCACCGTTAATAACGACCCTCCTTCCTCCATGCACCCACCGTTTCCGTTACCGTTACCACGATCCTCTGCGGCGCAGCGTTGCGTACCCGCCTGAGCGTTCGGGAGAATGGCGAATCCTGAGGGAAGTAGTGCCACGTAAGCAGAATCTCCACCGTTCATCACAGCTTGCATTGCTGGGATATCCACAGGCGCGTACACAACAAGCGCTCCTGCGGCGTCTATGCTTGTCTCTTGTAATATCAGCATACTACTCTGATTCGCATTTATCGCCTGCATGAAAAATAAAAGGAAAATTTGGTAAAAAAGAAAATTATAAAGCCCAAAAGAGAAACAATAAATTAAAGGTGACTTTTTCAACAGTGTCACCGTCACAAGCCAGAAAAGACACCAATAATGCAAAAATAAAAGAAAAAATAGAGGATTTTTCAAAACGTCAGAGCGAAAAAGGAAAGAAAAAGGTCAAAAATGTCTTATTAATATTGACTTTTTTCACCCAATACTTCCAAATTCTAGATTTGTCACTTTCCAATCACACGCGACAAGATTCATATGACAACACCATCCTGGGGTCACACTATACAACAAAGTCCTTTCATACACTGTTTATAGATAAAATATTCAATGTCCACACAAGCCGGTTCAATTTATCTAAAAACAACCCAAAAAATCAGAATATCAAAAAACTAAACTAAACCGACTAAACTTTTCAAAACTTATTTTAGGTTAATAAAAATATTTGATTAAAATTCTAAATTCACCAAAAGCTAAAGTTGTAACAAACTACACAGAAATTTGGAAATTAGCTTAGCTTACGCATGCATAAAGAAAGTTTAATAAACATAAATGCTTACGCTGGCACGGAGGAGGGAGACAGAGTTGGAATGGTCATGGCCTTTAGCTATATGGGCCATCTCTTTCATTGGCCCACCGTTGGATAAGATATCCCATTCCGATCTCAGCCGTTCATTTCCAAGGAAGTCAAACAACCTCCGTGGAGAAACCGGCATCCAAACCGACGTCGCAGCGTTGAGAATGATCCCAGGCGGTTCGCCGGGAATGTTTACGCTCTTCCTAGTCATTATCCGAACGTCCTCATCGACGTTACCAACGTTAAGTTTGCTCCATTTCTGTAACGTCGACGCACAAACACCTCCACAGAAATTATCAGTCATCCTCTTCGCTAGCTTTAGCATGCTTTTTCTCCCATTGCAATTTATAGCTGTGTCCATTAATATAACAAAAAAGATTAAATAAAATTAATCAATTCAAAGCCAAAACAAAACTATATAGTTTGATTTAATGTTATGACAGAAACAACAACTATCATCTTTTATTTTTTGTGACTCAGTCAACAGTTCATATTATTTATTAAATCTTATTTATTCTGGTAGGATAAGATAAGAATCACGTCAACAACAAATTAAAAAAAAATGATAAGAGAATAGTCAACAATTAAATCAAAACGCAGCGTTTAAGGGAGCTTACGGGTTGGGTTAGGGGAAGGGGAAACAGTGGAGGACATGAGAATGGTGAGACATTCGCATTGACGTTGTAACGCAGCCATCCATCGATGCGCACCAAACGCTAGTCCACAGCTGAGTAGTGGGCGGTATAAACGGTGGATGCGGTTTTCGTCATACTCCGTGTGCTCGATCCATGTTACCTGCAAATTTGCTTAAACCATTTTGCGTTAGATTTATCACAATCGTGTTTTTAGGTCCTATGTTAGCTTTAACAAATAATTAATGGTAAGAAAAGAGAAAAACTCTATGAACGTGTAATGTTAAAAATTAATGCACGATCCAAGGGCACAGAACTCGGAGATATTTAGATGCTTCTGATCAATAAAATAACGTTTTTTTTTCTCTTTTACCTGCATAATATATGAGTTAATTAAAAGTTATAAACCCAATGCATAAGAAACCTTTATCATAATTTCTCGGATAAAAACAAAGAGCTTGCCTGTGGTTTATAGAGAAGTGTGAACCAACTAACACTAGGGTAATTCCTAAAGGTGAAAAGTTAAAATTTCTCTATTTTTACTCCTTAAGTTTTAATAATCATTAGCCAGAAAGTATCATTTTACCTTAGAGCAGCCATTGGCCATGTCTTGTACGAGGCAACCGGACGGTAACCTTCTACAGCTGGAAGAAGATCCTTCTCTAATGGAATCAATTGAGACATCGACCACCGCCCAAACACCTTCTGCGTGCTGTTTACAGAACCGCAAGAACGACACTTGTCTAACCGGCACGAGTGGAGACAGCAATTGAAGCTCTGCGTGCATCTAATTAACCAAAAACAAACCATTTAAAGACCCATTTGGTCAATTAAGAGTTATTGTGTGTGTAAATGGTAATGCATAACTATATACCAGGTGAAGTGCACCATTTCGTGACCCTCCCATGCCACTAGAGATAATCTCTGTGGTTGAAGTTCTTGAGATCATACTTGGAAACATTTCCGCCCATCGTTCCTATTAAATAACAATCATTAATTATATCAAAAGATTAGTACTTAAACTTTGTTTGGTTAAGCACATTACTACAATTATGTGTTTTAGTTACTAACCGAGTCCATCAAGGTTTCAACGAGGGCTAAGCTATTGATGATAACAGTTCCAGCTTCTTTAGAAGCTTCTGAGACAAACCCATCTGGTTTTGGTCCAACACATCGAGTAAAACTTGTGTCGTACTCTTCCTGGTTAAGCACTTCAATACCAGTATCAGAGCTCCGAACCCAGAGCGGGTCACGTGTCTGAGCCATCTTCACAAGCTCATCCATAGCCGCGAGAGCTAAATCCAAATACCTCGATCTCTGATCAAAATCACTAACACTAACCGGTTGTTGACGGTTAACCGTAGCCACCAAACCAGAACCGGTTCCATTAGAAATCTCAAATCTTGGAGAAGCTTGAGGCAACACCGGAGAAGAGAGAGTGAAACCACCACCAACATTACAGCCAACACCAACGCCGAGAACAAGTGCTGAGTCCGGTATATGATGAGAACCGTTGGACCGGCCAAGGAATTTACCGGTTAAGGCACAGACTCGGTCTAACTCATCTTTGAGACGAGAGTTTTCGATTCGAAGATGTTGCTCTTCCATGGAGATCTCGCCGATAACGGCAGGTCCGCCGCAGTTACCACACATAGGGTTTCTCATAGCTTCGCGTACAGACATATTCTCAGCTCGAAGCTTATCGTTCTCTTGCCTCAACAAAGCATTCTCATGTCGTTCGATTTGAGTCTGTAAAAACAAATCAAAAATCAAAACAAAGAAAACAAAAAATTTCCAGAAAACGAAGAAGAGAAGACGAAGATAAAACCTTCATCTGAGTACGGCGATTCTGGAACCAGAATTTGACTTGACGAGGATCTAAGTTAAGTCGACGGCTAAGATCAAGACGTTGCTTCTCGTCTGGATGTGCACACTCTTTAAAAACCCTAAAAATCGAGGATTGAAATCGATATCAAAAATCAAAATAATCTCGTAAAAGTGTAAAAAGGAGATTTGTGTGTTTAGTGATTTTACGATTCAAGGTCTTGAATTTGTTTAGGAGTGTGACGATGGTAACGTTTCTTCTTCTTTAAAGGTCTATCGGAAGTATCTAAATCGTCACCGGAGACAGCTTCAGCGTTATCACTTTCAGATCTGCTTTCTACATCTTCTCCTCTACTACTCTTACGACTTATGTTCGACTCGAAAATCTCTCCGTTTCTACTCATTTCTCCATTTGTTTGCTGCCAAATTTAGAGAGATTCTGATAAGTAGCTATAAGAAGAAGAAGAAGAAGAAAGCGATGATTTAGAGAGCTTACGAGTCCGAGGGAGAGGCCTGAAGAAGAGAAAGGACGAGAATGAGAAGGAGCAATGGCGGTGGTTCCGAGCATGGTGGTGTCTACGGCGGAGAAAGAGAAGTGGTTGTTGTTGTACGGTACATCAGAGAGTAGCTTTGAGGCACCGGAACCGTCGTCCAGAAAACCGTTGAAATTCATGAGATTTTGATAAAAAAGGAAATATGAAAGAGCTAGAAGAAATCCGCCATGGATGATAGAAAAACCCTAAGCTTTGTCGCTTCGGTGCATGTCCATGAAAGGAGATGGAGAGAGAGAGAACAGTAAATGAAAAAGGAAAAAGACGACAGAAACGACGAAAAAGGAAGATATAAAAGGTTTTCTGATTTCTTTCGCAAAATTAATTTACTTTAAATGAAAAATAAGAGAGAGAAGAGAAAGGGATAAAAGGGGAAAAGAGGAGATGTGGAGTCATGGAAAGCCTTACACAGCCTTTGAAAAGTTGGGTTTGACTCTTTGACGTTACTAAACTCTTTTTGCTATAAAAGTCCACTTCAAGTGGTGAATCAAGGCTCAGTTTAATTTAAAATTACTTTTTTACCCCCTTCTTCTTGTGCTACTTTCTTTTGTAAAATCTAATTTTAATTATGGGATGTAAGATTCTTCTTCATTTGTTGAGCGTTTTATTTGTTAATTCACATGTTTCATCACGATGAAATACTGTTTTCGCATCTAAAGAGATGTTTTTTTCTTTTCAATACCGACCAAACAAGTTGTTTATATGTGAAATATGGTTGATTAGTCTTCAAAACAACTGATGAAAGATCAGTATTGCAAAATGATGAGATTCGATTTATGTATACAACCACATGAAATATCAATAAACTTTGCATTTAATATACTTTCAGTTTCACCAATGCAACCCCAAATAAATGGAGTATTGGGGTGAGTAAATTTATAGTTGGCCCATCTTCCAAATTTGGCGGATTCTTAACTTCATGGTTTGTGAGTTTTAAGTAAGCATGGAGTTATTGCGATGCTACCTAAGACTCATTTAAAAGGCAATATCGTTCAAAAGTTGATTAATAATGGACTGTCCATCTTTGAATAAAACCTTTACTTACTCAAAATGTCACCGACTCATAGAAACACTATTGGTTCTTACAAAAAAGTAATCTGCCCAATTTCTCGTTTTGTTCGAATCTTGAAAAACCACCCTTGAATATCCTGGCAAACACAAACATATAGAAAGAAAAATATATAAGATACCTCAAACTACAAAGAGAACAACTTAAAAGAAATGTATAGAGAAGAACTACTTCCAATAATAAATAAATAATAGTACCAGATAATGTAAACTATCCCATTCAGTGATAAAAATTCTACCGAAGAAACTAATAATAATGAAATGTAGCTATCGAGTGATTAATATCAAAAGTTCTTTGACAGAAGAAAATCAAAAGTTCACACTTAGCCTACATGATGCGTTTGCCGACATCAAATCTTGGTTTTGCAATTTTCGAGATTCTACTTACAGTATAAAAAAACAGACCTAACCGTTTTGATTATTATTTTATGTAGATAAGAAAAAAAAAGTCTTGAACTATAGAGTGACATCTGTGCAGAAACTATCATATAATATACGACGTTTAGTTGACAAAATGAAATGGATATTAGTTGGGAAATGAGATTTTGATCCCACCACCCACATGCATACAAAGATCATAAATCATATCGGCCCATGAAACCAAGTGTGTGTACTTATGTCTGTACTCTTTGACCAATTCACTATCAATCTGATTCATGCGTTTATAGATTCACACTCAGGATTTGATTCAAAGTCCAAAGATACTTCAAAGAATCTTAAACTAACAGTTGACAAAACAAAGCGAGAACTAGAGAACAGAGAAGGGCAAAATCAAACCAGTAACTAAACCAAATAAAATTTTAACAGAGATCTTATGATGATATTGGAATAGGCCATTACCTCTCAGTTTAGCAAAAGTTGATGTCATCAATTTCAAAGTTTTCTTGATGATCTGGCATGATACTCATGTTTCAGGAGGTTGGCTCTTAACAGCATCGCCCTGACATCTCTATCGAATTCGTTTCCCATCTGAAGTACCTTTTGGAAAGTTGCATTCCTCTGATCCGCGTGTCTTGCATAGAGGATTTTGTTGTGTGAATCAATCCGCGCCTGTCAGGGATGGAACAAAGATATTCACTCTTTACGGTTTTAAAATGACAGTAATATAAAACATTAAGTTCCTTCTGGAAACAGTACGGACCTGAATCTGGTTGTCCGTGATCAAGGCTTCAAGTTCTTTCTCTAGACCAGAGACGCTAGTCTTGAATGCATCAGCCATCCTGCTTAAATCAACAGACACAAATGGCAGTGTGTACTGGATCAGTGCCTTCTTCCTTATCTGATCATAGAGTGTGTCAACGTGATCATGAAGATGGATGTCCAGCAGCAAATTCGCTTTGAGACTTGCTAGATATTCCAGGCAGGAAGCATAACGGCTGCAACAAGCAAACTTAAACATTAGATTCAACGAGAATACAGTCTAAAAAGGTTGATTTTGGATGTCCTATGCATTGTTAACATAGATAAGAAATTGGAGGGTAACACGGGAAGCCTTCATAAACAATACAGGATTAGAGTCTAACGTCACAACAGCTACTTCAGTTTATCAGAGTCAGTGATTAGAATAAATAATGGATTCAAAAGACTTTATAACTATGGAGGATTTAATTTGAAAAATATGGTCTTAGTGGGTATTCACTCTAATAATTCGTGGTCCAAGGTTTGTAAATTGGTTGTACACAAGGAAATAGACGTGAGTCTTGTTAAAAACATGTTACCTTGAATAGAAATCGTTGATAAGTTCCCTCACTTCAGGCACTAGCTCCAAGAAATTCCGGAAGTTGATATTGTCAATGACTTTTTGCTGCCAAATTAGACTAAGTTATAGATCAAATATTGGAACAAAAAACTGGGAGAGTAAAAGAAAAGCTAAATAGGTTGCATGCCTTCAATTCTGATCGATCAAAGCTTGCCAGGGCACAGAGTCCACCATAGGTGGCAATATCTTGAGGAGCAATGACCTCATTATAGGAATTTCCAAGTTCTGGATTAACATCAAGGAACTGCACAAGACAATAATCAAGTTCAATGATTAGATTTCACTTAGGATATGAATAGGATCCATAAACACATGAGCAAGAATGACAAAAAAACAGACCTTACGAGCAGCTAGCTTGTACTTCTTCAGCTCCAAATGAGCCAATCCAGATGCACATCGCAATTTTGCAATAACAATAGGGTCAAGAGGATCAGGATTCTGCTCTGCCTTGTTCACGTAGCTGGTAACATGAGTAAACTGACCCATTTCAATGCTGACAAGAATCGCATTCATACACATGTGAATGATATGCTTCGTCGTAGTGCAGTAGTCGCGTGTTCGGATATAGTTCTTGAAAGCATCTCCGAGCATACCACATGCATAGTAGAAGTCTCCAAAGTCATTGTAACCCATTCTGATGCTTTCCTTGATCAGATTTGTCTGTATACACATATCAAGAAGATGAATCAACATTAATACAATTAAAGAAGGCAAGCTATTAACACGAAAAGAGCTATGCATAATGCACACGCTGAGCAAAACACATAAACAACACCACATACTTCATTCTCTAATCAATTAATTGATAAACAGTATCATCGAAATCAGTACTAGAGAGTTAACATTCTACAGATAACCATGAGAGCCAATTCTGATGCTTTCCTTGATCATATTTAAGAGCTATGCACACACTGAGCAACACATAGACAGCACCACATAGTTTCACTCTTTAAGCAATTAATTGAGAAACAGTATCATCAAAATCAGTAGTAAAGAGTCAATTGAGCAGATTTGGCTGTATACTCATATCAAGGAGATAAAAAAACATTAATGCGATTACAGAATCAAGCAAGCCAGTGTATCGAGCTATACGCACAGTAAGCAACACAAACAGCACTACATACTTGATTCTCTAAGAACCTACTTGAGAAACAGCATCATCGAAATCAAGCAGTAGAGAGTCAATAAGCAAGGAATACAGATAAAGAAAATTAGGTCAAAAATCTCGATTGGGGAAAGAAAAACCTAATTACCCGATAAGAACTGAGCTCATTCTCCAGCTTTCCTTTCTTCTGTTCAGCACGACGATCGACGGCTTCACACCAAGCAGAATCCATCCCATACTTATCCCCAAGCCTGCCGCCAATCTTATTGACCACGTCTCTGAACAACTGCGTATTCTCACCCTTTTTGATCTCATCGTAAGCCATCCTCAACGCTTCAAGCTGAATCGCGTGGTTTCCTCCGCAGTGGTTAGCGATGAAGAGAAGCCGCATGATCTTCGTGCGACCTTTGTAGAGAGCCGCGTAAGCCTCGATGTCGAGCGGTTCACCACTTATGATAGGTCTTCGATTAGACGTCTCTTCGCCACCGTTAGTGCACATCTCCATCATCGGTCCACTCGCTTCGTCGTCTCGCTCCATTGATTCGTCTGGAATTAGGGTTTTTAGGCTTTGGGATTTTTGTTCTCTGCTAAGATTTTGTTTCAGTGTTTTTGTTCTTCGTTTCGTCTTCAGACTATTTTACGGAGGGGCGATTTGTATTAGTAAGCAATAGCGTCGGTCCGATTTAAAAAGCCCATATTCTATTTTTCACTTAATTTGGGTTTTATTATCTTTCTAGTTTCTAACATAGATGGGGTTTTTTTTTTGTAATTAATATTGTTTAAACTTTTCCACTATAGTCTAACTACTGTCTAATTTTATGATATCATATCTCCATTAAACAGTTGCTTACAAAACAAGAGAATCACAAAAGATATTGATTTTAAATGCTTAAAATTAGAAAATAAAGATATACAATATTTTGTTGACATCAAAATGTATACAATAATTTAAGTTGATGCTTCTTGATTTGATCGCACTACAAGAAAAGAATATGAACATAATAATGATAACAATTAACAATGGAAAGAAAAAGAGATAAGAAAATTGGATATTCAAAAATAAAGAAAATCTAAAATGTGTAACCAATCTAATTATTAGAGAGAGTTATCTATTATTAGTCTAAACTATTGACACATCAACAAAAAATTGGATTATTATTCTAACTTATATAGTAAATGGAGAGACAGAATGTTTTCTATCTTTTCACAAGACGTTCAAGAGAATCTCCATAAACATTATCATTAGAATAAGGGAAACTCAAAAAATAAAAGAAGTGTTTTTAACCCGAAAGAAGAAGAAGAAGAAAAGAATGACTAAACAAAGATATGAATAAACAATTAACAATGTGTGGAATAAAGAGGAATGAGATGGGAACAACAGAGCATTAGAAGTAATTACCTCAAATCATCTAACAAAGATTTGATTTTATTCATGAAGGTTGCATCGACGAAGATATGGGTGATCAAACTTGATGTACTTGGTCCAATACGGCCGATACTTGGACATTGCCAACTCCAACCATGGTTTCATGTTCCCGTTATAGTGAACCACTGCTGCATTCTCAATGTCTTTCCTATCAATACTCGGATTATATCCAAGTCCAAGCACGTGCCACGCCTTGTTTAAGGGATGTGTTAATCCGTAGAATGTTATTAATCCTGGTGGTAATGTCCCTAGTTTCCATAGTGTCCTGTTCTCATTCTAAACAACAATAACCATAATGAGCAAACCACAATAAATAAACAATCCATCATGAGACTATTTGTTGCAAAGAGTTAAAGAGTTTACCATGTTTTGCCACTTATGGTATATACCAGTGATGTCTCTCTTCTTCCATTCCTTTAGGTCGAACATGTTCATTCCATAAGCCCAACCACAAGCATTTGGATTGAAGTTCCTCGCAATGTGAGGATTCGAAAAGTTAAGATACTTGTCGAATCTGTGGAAACTTTCCCCACAGGTTTCGACTGCACCGTTGACTTTGCCGTTCAGGTTAACTTCCCAGAGTGGAGTCAAGTCTTTCTGAACAATGATGTCGTCGTCCAGGAAGAGGATTTTGTTCAGCTTGGGATAAACCTCAGGGAGGTAGAATCTCAAGTGATTCAACATGGATAGATACTTGGGGTTTCTATATTTCAGATTTGAAGAGCCTGAAGTTGGATGGTCTGCTTTAAAATAGTATTCTCTCATTGCTGCAGATTCAAGCTGACGAAGGACAGGGCAGTAAGATGAATTGAGCCACTTAAACTCATCAACGTTTTCCACATGTATGGTTGCCTTTCCGGGTGGGTTTAGGAGGAACCACATGTTCATTGCTCCAAAATTCAGTTTATCCGTGACAAGGTGAAAAACATGCTTAGAAGGATCCTGCACAAAGAGGGATCAAAAACATTTTAAATTTCAGCTCTGCAATTCATATCTAAAATTAAACATACAGATATGAGGACGAATCAAGTGATAAGAGCTAATGGTTTACCTTGGCATTCATGATAGTTGAGTTAACAACCACTGATGCAGCTAATACATTGTCAGAAAAGAGGGCATAATGATAAAGATTAGGATTTTCTAGGTTTTCACTCCGAGGGAATCTTCTTTTCTCTGGAGACAGAAGATAGTAATCGATGGTCAAACGCATCGATAGGCAATGGATAGGATTTGGAATTGTTTTTGCTGCTAACTGAGCCAGAAAAGTACTCTGCTTCTTTAAGCTCCTGACTTGTTCGTCGGCAGTCTGAAGCATTGCTCTCAGCTTTCCAGTAACCAACTTGCAGTCATATAACTCCATCTTAGCTTTAGCCAAGGCTTGACCCATGGCTCTGAGTTTCTCATGTGCACTATATGAAAAGTAATTTATAGAGAATGTTACCTTAAGAAGTACACAAGCAGTCAAAAGAAGGCAAGTAGTAGAAACCAAAAGGAGCAATTTACCTCCGAGGAAGATCAGCATCAGATGTTGATTCCCCCAAAACCCGTTGGCTGTCCTTAAGTCGGGCCTGGAGTTCTTGTAACAAATCATTCTTGTTTTTCAATTTTGCAATCCCACTATAGACTCTAGCCATTATTACTTGATCCCGCATCAGGCGTATATTTGAATCAGAGTTGTCATTCTCATTTTCTCTTCTCCAAATACTGTATTTACCGAGGACTGCAGAATCAACAGACTTAGAGCGTTCAATGGCAGCATTTTCGAGTTTCAAAATCGTGTCATCATTGTGCTGAACCAACTCCTTTGCCCGCATCTCACGCCTTTTCTCTCTTAGTTGCTGAAATGTCAAGATGGATAAAGAAATGTTGATAATGAAATACTAAAGACACAAGAAGTCCCTAAATAGTATTTGATGCATAACTTAAATAAATAATTGTTACCCTTCTGTGAATCTTTGTAGGTGTCTCAACTTTCTGATGGCTGCTATCTGCATCAGCGATATATAGAAGAATCAGAGATGGAAAACGTCAAATCAGAGATGCCACTTGAAATAAAAGCCACTACCTTTTGAAATGCTGTCACGTTTTTCATTCAGGATATTAGATTTGACATCAGGAGTTGTTGGATTCTGCTTCAGAAACATCAAAAGATGAAAACTATGAGAAAAAATAATTGAGAATGGAAGTTTGGAAAAAGAAACGAAACAGGTAAACCACACCTCAGAATGTCTAAAGGAGGTATCTACTTCGATTCCCCGCCATGATGCAGACAAATTGTTTTTCTTGAAAGAATCAAGGCTAAGAGGACCCAAATCAGCTGTGCTAGTTGCGATAACATCTAGTACCTGGACAACAAATTTAGTAAGAAACAATCCAATCTCAGAAAAAACCGACAAAGAGAATAAATCGACGAAAAGTTTCACAGATTTAAACTTACCTCTTTCGAGAAAAGAGATCTAACAGATTGCATTGCTAAACGTTCTCTCCAGTCAAGATTCTGCCAGATAAAAAAAAACAGTCCGATTAAACAACATCCTTACCTTTGTTAAAACAGACATTTGAATAAAGTTCCAGCCCACCTGCTTCACAGAAGCATTTGAAAAATCTGCAGTAACGAAAGTAAGCTCCATCAGATGGACAGATAGCAGATAATGATACAAAATCGAGAGACACTAATTGTTGAGACCAAAGCAAATATTCCTCTACATGTACAAACAAAGGGCCAATTTTGCTAGTAAAGGCTGAACAAAAGAGTGTGTAAAATTATATTCTAATGATCATTATAGAAATTCTGAATCTATCTACATGAATCTGCAAATTGGTATAAACAAAGATAAGCAATATATGCATACCAGTTGAGGAATCGACGTACACTCCTCGGCCAACGAAGAAGACGAGAGGTGCGAAAACACAGAAAAAGATGAGCAGCACAAGTACAGATCGAGATCCACCACTACTTCCTCTAATCCGGTTAACTCCAGACAGCCCTCGCTTTAGCGCCATCCCTATCAAATTAAAAAAAAAACCCTAAATTAAGCAACGAAACCGTGGAAGCAACCCGAATAATGAAGAAGAGAAACAAATCATACTCGGAATCTAATAAGAGATCAGGTGAGGTGTTGAAAAGAATCCAGGCTTCACAGGTAAACAGACTAAAACGCCATTGCCAATTCCCCAGCGAGATCTGACAAACTCTAGCACAACGGCGACGAAGAGAAAACTCGGAATTGAAGAAGCTAATGATTGCGACGAAGAAGAGAGTATGAAGAAGATGATGATGATTGATTGATGCGTGTAACAGAAAAACGTTGATACACCGACAATTAAGCAATCGCTATCAACGCCAGGATTTTTGTTTGCAGAGAAGAGAGAAAACCTCACGCGTACTTGACACAGATCTCTTTTATCGATTGCAATTTACGAATCTCCTCCTATCCGGTTTACTCGATTAAAGTTAAACCGATATTATACCAAACGAGCATAAAATTGATTTGTTTTTGGACTGATACTGCTTGCTTTCAAGTTTCGACTTCAACCCATTAATAATTAAATGGCTTTTTGTATATTATAAGCCTATATAGATAGATGCATCACGTCGAATTTCTAATTTAATCGAAGTTATTTTTTTTTTCAGTTTTCATGATTACATATTAATTTAATTTAACAATTCTATTTTCATCTAACTGTATATAGTATGGAATGATTTTATAATATAATTAAGAAATTTGCATATATGTAGTGACTATACACACTAGAGCATCTACATAATATAATTTAAAGAACTTATAAAATGATTTTAATTTGATTGGTTTTTTTATAAATGATTTTAAAAATACAGTGATGGTACATATATTTTCTCTTGAAAGGCTTTTTCATAAAGGAATGCAACTTTTCCAACAACAAATGATGAACGTTTCTGCGTCTTTTGACCAATTAAAACTTCCCGAACTAGTAATTAACTTCACACACGCAATATAACGTTACACCTTCTTCTTTTGGTCATTTTAGTGTTGATTTCTTACATTTTTTTACTGAATTCCACATCGGTTCAGGTTGAACAACATTTAGTGGATGAACGTATTAAATTTGTTTATATAACCAAACCTCGACGAAATCATAGTCACTGAACCAAAAATTTAAAATCAATTTTATAAAAGTGTTAGTTTGAAACTGAATCAATAGATGTAAACTTTAGTAAAAAAAGAGGTTTAGTCGTCCAACTGTTGCATATTAATTAAAAAAAAATATCAGTTTTTCTTATGTGTCAGTTTGAACTTTGAACAATATGTCATCAAATACTATTATTATAAGAGAAATAATGATGATTTTTCCAGTGGTCCAACTGTATTTGCATATTTCTATTTCTAGGTAGGAGAAAGTTTTCGTTTTGTTTCCATCAATTATTTTTTTTTAATCTAACCAAAAGAATTTTCATTTGGGTCAAATAACTATTTAAAACTTCAAATGGCACAGTATGATCATTACCATTTTACACTATAATTAATAAACGAAAAGTGAATTCTTCTTGCATGGTATATGATGAGATAAAACTCGGTTCCACTATGTATGTGGTTTAAATAATTTGATAAGAAAAATAGAAATTAAAGGGGGTAATATAATAAATACACATTTTTACGTATATCCAACCATAGAACTAAAGTATTGGGATTCCTTTTGATTGATATATGTAAATTTACAATATTGAGAGATATTAAAGACAAGAAACGTAGAAAGAAGAGAGAGTGAGAGAGAGATGGGAAGAGGGAAAGTGGAAGTGAAGAGAATTGAGAACAAGACCACAAGACAAGTAACCTTCTCCAAAAGAAAAAGTGGTTTGCTCAAGAAAGCCTACGAACTCTCTGTTCTATGTGATGCGGAGGTTTCTCTCATAATCTTCTCCAACGGTGGCAAGCTCTACGAGTTCAGCAATGTCGGGTACGTATACCCATTATTTCAAGATCATTAATTAGTTTTTTTTTTTTTTTTGAAAATTTGGTAACTAAGATCAGCCAGGTTTGATTTGTGACTGTTCTTAAGATTCAACAACCCAAAGTTCTGTCTTGTGGGATGTGGGTATCTGAAAAAGGTTGTATGTGTCTTTTTGATTCTAACCCTAACTAATTAAGATTAATCACAATCGATCGATCTCTCAGGATCCATCGCACACATGGGTCAGCTTTAGCTTTTAGATCTTTTGAAAGAAAACTTTTTGATCTCAGGATAAATCTTTTGAAAGAAAATTTCATTGTTTGATTACGGGTTTTAATGGTTATCACCAGCTTTTATATATATATACGTTTTGCCTCCTTTAAAATAGATGTGTCTTTCTAATTTTAAGTAGAGAAATTAATTAGGGTTTATCATGGGTAGATCCATTACGCAACTATATCTTCCTAGCGATTTTTTTGTGTAATTAGAGTTTCCTTTAGACATGCATTAAGTTACCAGAGAACTCAGGGTTTCTTTCTTTGGTTTTGAATTTAAGCAAATTCAGATTATTAATTAAATATCTATTGTGTTTTTTTTTTTTTTTGTTTTATAATTAAACTGTAGAATTGGCCGAACCATTGAAAGGTACTATCGTTGTAAAAACAACTTCTTGGACAATGATACGCTTGAAGATACTCAGGTACGTCAATCATTTCTTTCCTAAGTATGTTCTTTATATATATATATATGCGGAATTTGACCTTATTCATTATAAGTGTATACATGCATGGTCAAATTAAATATAAAATTATACGCTGTATAAAATCATCAAAGCATGATGAGAAGCTAATTTAGATAAATTGTAATTAATCTTCTGTTTTTGGTGCAGGGCTTGCGTCAAGAGCTGACAAATCTCAAATCCAAATACGAATCTCTTGTTCGCACTCATAGGTTCAATTAACCGTAGTCTTCGTAATCCATTATTTCCTATAATCGTATATTTCCTAATTTCTGCAACTAATAATCATTTTGAATCGTTGACATACAAAGAAATTTGGTTGGGGAAGATCTCGAAGGGATGAGTGTAAAGGAATTGCAGACGCTAGAGAGACAGCTTGAAGGAGCTCTTTCCGCAACCCGAAAACACAAGGCGGGACATATTTCATACATAGACCAATTTTGTTTTCATTAAATACAAACATGAAAATGTATATATTGATATGCATGTATGTGCAGACGCAGGTTACGATGGAACAAATGGAAGAGCTTCGGAGAAAGGCAAGTACTCGAAATGATGTTCTACAATATATGCATGCATGTATGTAAATGCTCATGTGTGTATCATTTGCATTTGGAATGGCAGGAGAGGGAGCTCGGAGATATAAACAATAAGCTAAAGGTTAATGTTTTTAATTGACATCCAAATTATATATCAAGTCTTTCTTAGTTGCTATTATTTTGTGTTAATTAATTACAAGTGTCTTGTCTTGTATCTTCATAATCAGCTTGAGACAGAAGATCATGATTTTAAAGGCTTTCAAGACCTATTGCTTAACCCGGTGCTCACGGCCGGTTGTTCCACTGATTTTTCGTTGCAATCATCTCATCAAAATTATATATCGGATTGCAATGTGGGATACTTTTTACAGATTGGGTACGTAATAATCGATATTTCTCCTTCTCTAACGATGAATCACAAGTAATGGTTATATGATTAAATTTGGCCTTATGGTTTCAATATATGATACATGTAGGTTTCAACAACACTATGAGCAAGGTGAAGGATCTTCGGTGTCAAAGAGTAATGCAAGAAGCGATGCTGATACCAACTTTGTCCCATGATGGGTTCGTTGACTTGGTATTGACTAACTAGTCACGACGAAGCGTTTAGGTCATTTACTATATATATAAGGACATACTCTTTTCTTTCAATTATTTGTTAGAGTTCTCGTTGATTTATTGGAGGTTATATATGCGATAAGTATGTGCCACTTACAGATTCTTACATTATATCTAATGTTTTTGCGATTAGTAGATTTTTTTTGTTAACTCAGCCGTTTCATATTCGTAAAGCATGTTATATGTATTGTTTGTTAATGAACGATTTCAACCGAATTTACTTTCTACTAGTAGACTTGAAACTCGTATTAAAATATCTGAAAAGTAGCAAACACAAAAAAAAAAAAAAATGAATCGAAGAATAAAAAAGAATGCCTTTCAAATAGTAGTAGTGTGTACTAGTGAATTATTAAGACTACAGATTTAATACTTGAATAATTCAAAAGATTGATAGCAGATAAAAGAATTAAATTACTTTTTTACTTGAGTGCGTTTACGATTTCCCAAATTATTCGAACGTTTTGTTATGATTTGACTTGAGAGTAGAAAAATATAAACGTTGTGGAACGGTAACATTTTTGAATTAAAATAAAAATTTTAATGAAACTTTTTTAACATTTTAATCTGACCGTTTGAATTAATATTTATAATGAAAATAATTAAGATAATGGACTCTTCTTCTAATCTTCTTACACGAGTCTGACTTGAGACTTGAGAGTAGGAATAAACGAACGTTGTGAAACGGTAACATTTTTTGACCGTTTGAATTAATATTTTTAATGAGAAAAATTAAGACAACGGACTCTATAAATAAGTACTCCTTTCTTCGGACAGAAGATCTGAATTCTCTTACTCGTTTCTTCCTTTCTTTTTTTCTTACAAATGTCAAATACACTCTGCTTTCATTTTTCCTTACAAATGTCAAATACACTCTGCTTTCATCATCTCAGTTCTGTTCTCCGACTTGTGTTCCGTTCTCCCACTTGTGTTGTCACTCAAACAAACTTAAAGGCATCATCTTACAGGTAAAATAATCTATAATTTGTTTACCATTAAAAGATTTTTTGTTAGTCTCTGTTAATTACCTTGTACGTCATCTTTCAAATATTTGTATGGAGTTCATCAAACATCTAAAATCGATTTTAAATATCTTGACTCTAATGATGTAGCTCTGATCATAAACTGATTTTTAGATATATATGTCTTTAATAAACTGATTTTTAGTTATATATGTTTGTCTATAACTGTACATCAAGCTATATATTGACTTCATTGATGTGAGATTAATTTTATGTATGATGGCTTTATGAGTTGTTTATATATGTTTCGTCTATGAAGACGTAGAATGGGTTTATATAATTGTTGTGAAAAATCAAAGAAAGATTTTTGTTTTACTTTGTAAGAAATGCATGTGCCAATATTGTTGACCAGCATAGAAAACGATTGTAATGAAGATTTATTTTGATTTTGCAGAGGGTGCAAGTGACTGTGTGTGCCCGAGAGCTTTCCTATTGAAGCTTGGGCAGCATTTTGAAGTTGTTAACAAGGATGTGTATGTTATATGCAATATATGTTTTTTTTTTTTATGAAGGATGTATAGAGATGTATTTATAGGGTGTGAATGTGTCCTCATATGCATAATAGATGTATGAGATAGGGTGTGAATGTGTCCTCATATGCATACTAGATGTATGATAGGGTGTGAATGTGTCTCATACATGCATGGCACGAATGTGTCTCATATGCATACTAGATGTATATGTATAGGGTGTGAATGTGTGAGTGCTAGCGTAGCGGCGGAAAGATAGCACACTAAAAACAAACAAACAGCCGCAAGTCGAGACACTAAAAACGGTTTTCAATCGCTAGTCGATACACTAAAATTTGCGGTTTTTAATCACAAAAACACAAATGATCACTGACAAAACGTCGAAACTACGGCACAAAAACACACCCAACTCCGCTAGTCGAAACACACACAAAAATTCCAAACGATCGCTAGTCGAAACACTCAAAATTGCGGTTTTTAATCACTGACAAAACACTCAAAAATACAATTATCAATCGCACAAAAACACACCCAACGAACGCTAGTGAAAACACTCAAAATTACGGTTTTTAATCACACCCAAAAACACCAAACGAACGCTAGTCGAAACACTAAATGGTGAAACACACAAAGAACAACACACAAAGATGAAAATGAAACACATCAAATGATAAACCCCTAAAAGAAATACAAAATGACAACTCTCACCACAACATCGCTCAGTTCCCGATGGGTCATCTAATCGTTTTCCACTAATAATCTACATGATTAATCAGGTAGTGTTGGGATCTATAGTTCCCACAATGGAAAAGTGTCTAAATATATGACCCGCTTTTAAGTCAATATACTGGCAAAAATGGTCTTTTCGTTTTTTGATTCTCAACCGATTATTGATTCGCGTCCGAGGCTGTGTGCTTTTGAATCACGGAGGGTAACAGAGGAAAAAATGTTTAATGGAACAGTCCACCTTTTACATTCAGCAAGGTATAGAAAATAATAATAAAATTGATACCAAAAAAAATAAAAAGAGGTACAGAGAATAATCACGAAATTGTGATTCTTCTACGCGAGTAAATCTACGGTTTAAATGAAGGCACGTGGCCTCCACAAGGCTGTGTGATGAGAACAGAACTAAAAGGTAAATGGGCTGTGGTATTTGGTGATCATGGGCCTAATTTTAAGAGCCCAAAACTAAAAACAGAACAACGACGTCGTATAGTGTTTGCTGCTTGTCCTCGTTTCTCGCGTGAACACAAAGCGGAGATATCGGAGAGAATCGGAGAAGAAGAAGAAGAGAAGGGTTTTGTTACCGATTCCTGCAAGTCACTGAAGATGCAATTAACTCTTGAATTCGGGTACACTTTTGGTTTGATTTTATTTAGTTGATTCTTATTGGTCGGAAAGTTGAGGAAAAATCTGACAAAATTAGTGCTTTCGATTATGACTTCTTTGTTTGGTTGGGATATTATTATGCACAGTTTGTAGCATAAACCTATCTTTGTTTTGCTTTTTGAGTACTAATAAAGTAATGATTTTTGGATTGACAATATCAGAATTGACTTTGCTTTTTTTTACATTCCGGTCAGCTCTTGAATCATCAGAATATGTCTTGAATGAGATTCGTATTGGTATTAACATGAAAATATGTGCTTGTTGATCCTGCAGCGGAGGTTTAGAATTGCTCTGTGACTCCGTCAAGATTCATAAAGTTAACATCAATGAATCCGATATCGTAAGCTTGTCTCTTTTGATTATTTTTAAGACCAATGAGTCTGTAGTCATGTAAAACCTGCTCACTGGTGTTTCAATTCATTATAGTTGACAATGAAGGATTTGCTATCATGGGTTCGTACCAATTTGATCAAGGAAAGGCCTGAAATGTTCATGAAAGGCGATACTGTGTAAAGCTTCTTTCTTTTCTTTCCTTGATTTCTAGCAAGAACCCTGATTTTTAGTGTTTAATAACAATGGTGTTTTTGAATCCACCATTGACGCAGGAGACCTGGAGTTCTCGTGCTCGTTAACGACTGCGATTGGGAACTTAGCGGCCAGCTAGATACAACATTAGAAGATAAAGATGTTATAGTTTTCATTTCGACTCTGCACGGTGGATGAGTATTGAAATAGCAGAGCCATGACCAGCAATCATTGTGCTCTTTTCCAACAACTTCTGATGAACATTCCACAAAGCTTTGTAATCTCTGGCTCATTTTTACTTCTGAGTTATATTTGCAACCACATAATTTGTAATTGAGGAATTTTGATGTTATGAATCTTAAGCGATTAGAATCAGAATCACCGCAAGGTTGCTTTATTGCAATGTGCCTTATGATGCAGTGTATCATTGAAATTCTCTCTACATACTGGAAAATGTTTGGAAATAGGACTTGCATAAGAAAAAGTTAAAAAAAAAAAAAAAAACAAGACAAATTTAGGAATTAATCTTTTTTTGTTTATATTTTCTTTTGGATTAACAAAATTTACTAATTGTCAAATAAAAAAACTAAAATAATTACTAAAAAATATTATTTCTATTTTCTACAGGAATTTTGAAAAAGATGATGACTCTCTTTTATAGAAATAGAAAATAAAATAAAATAAAAGAGAATGTAAAGCCTCTAATTCGTCTAAAATGTCAAATTTGTTGTGTTTTTTATACTATGTAAGATGCTCTAGGCCCATTAGTATATTCTAGAAGATTTCTAGATTAATTGGTCTCCAAGTAACCAAGTAAACCTAATAACTTCCTATCCTCGTTTCTTCACAACCGGCTTTGAGTAATTATAAAAACCTCTCTCGCGTATCGTTTCCGTTGCTTGATATCTTTCGCCGTCGTCTCTTGCGAGTCTTGCGAAGATGGTTAGTTCTCTCTTGCACTTGATTCTCTCCATTTACATCTCCTGATTTGATTTTGTTATAGAAACATGAATCCTTTCGTGATTCTCGGGAGATGTGTAAATTCTCGTTGGATCTCTTAATTCTTCCATTACGTAAGGCTGGTTATTAGGTTTTAAATCACGGTAACAAAATGGGAAGTACGTAATTAGAAGTGTGGTTTAATTTTTCATTTGATTTGAGATGATGCAAAGTTAATATTTGTTGCTATGGAACAGGTTCTTCAAAACGATATCGATCTGCTTAACCCTCCAGCTGAGCTTGAGAAGAGGAAGCATAAGCTCAAGCGTCTTGTTCAGTCTCCCAATTCCTATTTCATGGTAATGAAAGTTTGAAACCTTTCTCCTTCTTTAGAATCCGGAAAAACCAAATCTCTCTGTTTAGAAACTGTAATACTTCAATTCTCATTTACTTGTATGAAGTTAATCTACTCTCTCTATGGACTCTGATTGTTGTTTCCTTTGTTGTTCAATTTACTGTAGTATGTGAAGTGCCATGGCTGCTTCAACATGTAAGATCTGAAAACAATTCTTTCCCTGTTTGACGGTTACATAGATAAAGAAACTTAAACTTATCGTTTGCGTTTATGGTATCGCAGCACGACTATTTTCAGTCACTCACAGACAGTCGTGGTATGCGGAAAATGCCAGAACGTTCTGTGCCAGCCTACAGGAGGAAAGGCCATCCTCACAGAAGGATGCTCTTTCAGGAAGTTATCATCATAAGCTTGTCTTTTTTGATGATTTAATATTTTAAATTCCAATCAGTTTGCAGTCATCTAAAAAGCTCACTGGTTTTCTCCTCCTGTTTAATAAATTAATAGTTGACAATGAAGGATTTGCTTTCATGCATTTGTTACCAATTTGATCAAGGAAAGCCCTGAAATGTTCATGAAAGGCTTTTTTACTCTTTAAAGCTTCTTTCTTTTCTTTTCCCTGCTCACCTGTCTTTGGTTTCTAGAGAGAACCTTGACTTTCAGTGTTATAAAACGGCGTTTGGGATCCATAAACATAATTTAATGTTATTATGTGTAACTATCTAGGATATTAGAATCAGAATCACCACATGGTTGCTTCAAACACAAACGTGCCAACCAAAGTTTTAATTCTAAAGTCATTACTTTGTTGACGAACCATACTCTGCAAAACACACTATCAATCAGAGGATTTTAAGCAAAAAAATTGACAAGTATCGATGTAAACCAAACAAGCACTTGCTAAGCAAGAACAACCGATCGAACTGAGTATTTGAGATACCAAAAGAATTAGGGATAAGATGCAAGCATTGAAGCAGTAAAGAGTAAATTATTAAGACTTGGGGATAATTCAAAAGTAAAAGAACAAACTCCTGCTTAATTATATTAAAAATCCAAACATTTTAAAAATCCAGACATAATATCATAGCCAACAACAAAACAAAAAAAGAAACCAGCGTTGATTTGATTTCAGATGATTGATTCAATCAATCTCCCTTTCTCCTGAAAGAGCATCCTTCGGTGAGCTTTGCCTTTCCTCCTGTAGGCTGGCACAGAATTGTCTGGCAGTTTCCGCACATCACAACAGTCTGGGAGTGACTGAAAACAGTCGTGCTGCGAGACCAATACAGAACCCGATAAGTTTGTGTTCCTCCTCTAATGTAATATCACAAAAAAGAATGATTGAAAAAATTGTTTTCAGATCTTACATGTTGAAGCAGCCTTGGCACTTCACATCCTACAGTAGTAAGATAAACAACAAAAGCAACAACAATCAGAGTCCATAAAAAGTAAACAAAAAGATATGGTTTTAAGGGATTCTGTAGCAACAAAGAGTTTCAATATAATCACCAAATTGCCAAAGGTTCAACAACAAAAACTACAAGCAGAGTACAAAGACGTCTAGATAAGCCTAATAAAACTTAGTTAAAAAAGTGATCACATAACATATTCTCAAACCTAGGGATGATGAGAAAATCAAATTCACAAACGCCAAACATACATACAATTCTAACACAGAGAAAGGTTTCAAATTTTCATTACCATGAAGAAGGAATTAGGAGACTGAACAAGACGCTTGAGTTTGTGCTTCCTCTTCTCAAGCTCAGCAGGTGGGTTAAGCAGATCGATATCGTTTTGAAGAACCTGTTCCACATCAAAGATTCAAGCAAAAAAACAAATCAAATGACGAAAACCACACTTCTAATAAGCTAATTCAGATTTCGTAAACGTGATTGAAACCTAAAGACTCAAGCTTTTAATAGAAGAAGAGATCAAAAGAGTATTTACACAAGGGGGAAACTTGTGTGACTCGAAATTTCACTAAAAGGATTCCCTTTTCTATAACAAAATCATAATCAAGAGATGTAAATGGAGAGATTAGGATGAGAAGCAAGTGCAAAGAGAGAACAAACCATCTTCGCAAGAATCTCAAGAGACGACGGCGAAAGATATCAAGCAACGGCAACAATAGGCGAGAGAGAGAGAGGTTTCTAGGGTTACCACTTATTGTCTCCTTTATATATTAACACCACAATCTGACCTTGCTACCCTTTCGGACCTTCTACTCAAACTAGAGGCTTTATTTTATTTTATTTATTTTAAAAAAGAGTCATCTACCCAAAAAAACAAAAAAAAAGAATTTGTTGACAGTGGGATTTGAACCCACGCCCTTTCGGACCAGAACCTTAATCTGGCGCCTTAGACCAACTCGGCCATATCAACTTTGGTTGCTCTGTTTCAATTTCTAAATTATTAAACCGCAATCTATAGGACCATTTTTTCTTAAGCCCAACCAAAACTAGAGAACTCTTCCACCGTCGCAGATCTAAAAATCCTAATTTCTCGGTTTTGGTCGAAACAATGACCACTGGTAAGCTCTCTCTCTCTCTCTCTCTTATAGTATGTGGAACTCTAAATCAATTAGTCTGGAAGCTGTTTGTGAATGCATTTTCCCGTTTTTGTATCCAGAGACCAAGATAGTTGTCTTCTGGGACGTCGTAGAATGCCCACTCCCTGATGATCTCCAGCCTTCTTTGGTTTCTGGGAATATCGAACTAGCTCTACAGAGACAGGATTATCTTCCTTGTAATGTCTCAATCAGGGTTTATGGTAAGAAGAATTATGAGTTCAAGGATGAGTTTCTCCTCGCTAATATCATGTTCTTGCCCGCAGGTCATCATTTCCTCTCTCTTTAGCACTCCTTTTTTTTTTTGTCTTAGATCTCTCCGTTGATATAATTATGGTTTTCAGGAGATGCAAGTGCGAGATATAATAGGATGGTGAAGGATATTGATAAATGGGCATTGGACAATGGTGAATCACATTTGATGGTTATCTCACGAGTCAACACGGAGTTGGCCACTTATCTCGCAGATTGGAAAGCCAAAGACTTCAAGATTCTTGGAGCAAGGCCAGAAAACGCACCAGGCAAATGTAGCAGCTGCAAAATGACGACTTTGGACGAGCTTTTCACTCAAGAATGGGTTTGGGAAAGCCTATCAGTTGGAGGAGACCCTATCACCAGAGCAGCTGAGCTTAGTTAGTTATTGAAACGTTTAAATCGATTGTGAATTCTACTTGACATTACCGACTCACCTGTGTACAACCAGTAAATCGATCTCATCATGTATTTTCTTCTTTGTATTAACATTTTTCCTCTGTTTCTCATTAATCAAACGTGGATTTTTAATCAAAAGAGTAAATCTTGTTACGTGTTGTGTGTTTGATTTAGGATCATTTATATAGACAGGTCTCTTTTATGGAATCTGTTTTTTGGATTTGGTTGCTCCTTTGAATGAATATGCTGCTCTTAAACTCTCTCCTTTGCATGTATGATTTAATGATAAATCTTATAATAAGACTGAATGTGATACTTGCACAGAATTCTTGACTAGAGAGGTTTGTGTTTGTTTCTCATTTTGAACAAGACTCTGTTTACTACGTATATAGTAGAAAGGAAAGCATTCTATGTTCAGTATTCATGTTTTGAGCAACTAAGACCACCATTAACAAGGGTATCTTAAAGAGTTCTTAAGTAAGAAATGTGGCTTAGCTAAGACCCAAAACTAAGAAAAGTGGCTTAGCTAAGACCCAAAACTAAGAGTTCTTAACTTTAATACTTCTAAGAACCATGTGTTGTTCAGTATTCTTATTTACATGAATTAAGAAGACCCTAGTAAGTTTACCAAAAAAGAAAGAGACCCTAGTAGGCTAGTACAACACATACACACTCAAAAGAGCCCAACAAGAGCCCATTAACTTCGTTGTACAGAATGCAACCTCTTTATAAACATAGCCACGATTTCCGGGAGCATTTATTAAAAGCCCAACCAGAGCCCATTACTAACCCTTTCACAATTAATACGGAAACAATTTTACTTTTGTCCCAGAGGAACCAAAGTTGTCAGCTTTGTTCAGAAGAAGAAGTCTCTCTCAGTCTAGGTCACTCGAAACCATGTCTTCTTTGACCAGCGAAAATGCTGGTGAGCTCTCTTTCTCTCTATCATGTCGTTGTAATCAATTGAATTCTCTCGATGCTGATTTGTAATGCATTCTCCGTTTTCTAAAAACCTTGCTGGCAGCAGAGGCTAAGGTAGGCGTCTTCTGGGACGTGGAGGAATGCCCAGTCCCTGATGGTATGGAGCCATCTTTGGTTTGTGAGAATATCAAACTAGCTCTTGAGAAAAAGGGTTATCGTCCTTGTAATGTTTCAATCAGAGTTTATGGTGAGAAGACTAATAAGTTCAAGGATGACTTTCTCCTCGCTGATATCATGTTCTTACCCGCAGGTTTAACACTTGCTCTTCTCTTTCTCTTTTACTTTATGTCCGTATCTTAGAGATCTCTGTTGATGGGTTTCAGGAGATGCAAGAGCGAGATATATGAGGATGGGGGATGATTTCTTTTGCTGGGGATTTGACAATCGTAAATCAACTTTGATGGTGATGTCACGAGACAGCACTGAGTTCGCCTCTTCTCTCACAATGTACAAAAACTTGAATTTCAACATTCTCGTAGCACAGCCAGAAAACGCACACAAAAGATGTCCCGACTGCAGAAGGCCTTTGGAAATGATTATCACCGATGAATGGATTTGGGAAAGCCTCTCAGCTGGAGGAGACCCTATTACCAAAACCCAAGAACCAGACCTTAGTAACTCTTGTCATTAACTATATGCTTTTATTACTAGTTAGTATTTGACAATGTTTAAAATCGATTGTGAATTCTTCTCTCCATTGTCACCCTATCTATGTACAACCAGATCATTGATTTAAACATGTATTAGACATCTTTCTTCGTATAAACCATTGTTTTAGGGATATACATGAAGAAAATAACACCTTACATAACACCAAACACACAAACAAGCATATACACCTGCTAAAGAAAGCCTATAAGCAGCAGCTTCCCTCCTCATCTTAAGCTTTGAGCATCCGTAGATAACCATCAATGATCGACATTGCAGATGATCGATAGCCCGAGCCAAACAGGTTATAATGATTCAAGTAATGATAGAGCAAATACAGATCCCTTCTCTTCTCATATCCCGGTTGTTTTGGCATTACCTTGAGAGAGAGTCAAAGAAACAAAACATCAGCTGTGTAAATATAATTATAAACAAACAACCTTTAAACTTGATTTAGTTGATACAGGAACTGAGAGAAAAGGAAGAGAACCTTGAAATAGGCATTGTAGAAAGATTCTCCAAATCCTGCGCACCACGACATTCCAAAATCCGCCTCGTTATGCCCATCTGTGGAGGAATGATATCAAAACGGTGCTTGAAAATGGTAAAACATATCAAGAATTTGAGAATGAAAGCTTATACAGTAACAGGCAGGATCAAGAATGACAGGTTCACTGTTCGTGTCGTATGCGATATTCCCGCTCCAGAGATCACCATGTAACAAACACGGTTCTATGACAACATTCTCAAATAGAGAGGCCATGTTCTGTATCAGTGTATGACCTGTTCAAATATATTTTCAGATGTTACTAAACCAATATCTCCTCAAAAAGTTAATAACGACAGAGAAGAGAGAAAGAAACCTTTCTGATAAATTGCAGAGTCACCATACTGATCCCTAGCTAACTTAAGCTGGTAACCCAATCTCTTCTCACCATAAAATTCAATCCAATCCGATGACCAAGTATTGATCTGCGGGGTACTAAAATAGGCACATTGCATCGTTAAGTTTGTGAGAGAAGACAGAAACTCAATCAAAGGGACTAAGATTTTTGAAAATGGGATTCATTCCACCTGCCAATAGTGTTGTCAACCTCAAACCCGAAGCCTTTCGAAGATTTCCCGGCTTTATGCATCTCAGCTAGCTTCCTTCCTAATTCAGCCTGATGACTAGTAACCATGAACCCATGAAACTGAAGTACTTAACATTGGCTCATAGTTAAGATTCATCAGTATCACCTGGTTGCCTCTTGATCCCCCAAAATCTATAAATTCCATGATGATATAAGATCCACCTGTTGGCAATTCCCCAACCTGTTAACACTTATAAACAAGAATCTATGATTAGAGAGATCAGCAAAGACATAATATATCTACGCCAAAGAAAAGAAAGATTAAACTTGCTTTGTGTGGCTTTGGCACACGGATTGTTTTGGTTTCATACATAGCCTCAAGACCAAGAGCCTCTCCCTCAAACATGGCAGGTCCAATACTCCTAAAACCAGTGTTACAAACAACAAAACATTCAAATTCTGACTGTGAATGGTCAAGTGATAATAAGCCCATAGAAATACTAAAACCAAGACATCATTTTTATAAACCTGTTAGTTTTAACGAAGAAAGAACCAGCATCAGTGTGATAATGGCTTGCAAGATTAATGCATCCACCACCAACAGAACCAATCTTTGTTATCTGAGTCGCTTTTCCTTGTGTAAGAATCCATTCACGAATTGGATCCTCACTCATTGCAGCCACTAACCAAACAATGAAAAATTCAAATAGTAAGAAACCCATCAAGTACTTAGGATGAAACTAGTTCGAATGAATCAAAACAGTAAAACTAAAATTTTCTCTTTTGAGAACAGAGAAACTCAGAATTCGTAAATTTGCCTCCATTATACCAAAACATTCTTCATCCAACACCAACATAAGCTAAAGATAGCTTACTAGCAAAAAATTTGGGTCGAGAGAAGTTGCAAAGAAGAAGATTTGGTCGAGCAGAGAAGCAAATACTTAGAGACGCCACCGCCATATTCTTCTTCTCCGGCTTTGGTAAATCTTCATGTGGCCGTTATTCAATTTCCCGTCAAAGCTTATTTCGAGGACTGTTTGGAGACAAGACTATCTTCATCCTTGTCTTGTTTTAACTTCAGAACCAACTTTTTATAAAAAAAGGCTTCTTAAGGCCTGGCCCATTAATTCTACAAAACGCTGCGTTTACTTGACGGTTTTCACCTTCCTCGATAAGTGTGCCACGTGTGTATCACACGCGCGTATAGATGAGGCCTGTGATGGTGTACACGGAACTCATCGACGGTTAGAAATGAAACGATCAAGAGATTAGATCGTTGATTGAAACGATGCGTTTTAGTTTATTTATAAAGAAGGAAATAAAAAAGAGAGATGACCAAACACGCCTTTATCAGATAGTTTCTATCTCCGATGACACAAAACGAGGAAGATAATATGACATTATAAGTAAGAACAGCTAAGCTTTACCATCTTCTAAAGGCAATAAATCTCGGATCCACTTACACGAAATTTTGATATTTTTTCTATTTATACTATTTCTGGCCACTATCTGGGTTTTGCGTCTTTTGAAGGCTGAATTGCTCTCAATTGTATAATCTCCTCTCCTGGGTCGTCGTAATCGTGATCATCTAGGTAAACGGAATCCTAATTTCTGTAATTTTTGAATGTTGGAATGTTTTGAAGTTTCACATGCCTTAGATTTGACGTTCATTTTCATTTTGTAAACTTGCTAATTACATTTGTTGTGTTTAAGTCTTTGTGGTTGGTGATGAAGTTAATGTTCTAGCTTGAATTTGATCAAAGCCAACATTTTTCTTATTTTTCTTATTAATCAAACGTGACTTTTATTTAAAGGGTGAATCTTGCTATAGCTCTTGACGTTTTATGGGTTTAATTTACAAGGGAACAACTCTGTTTCTAGATTTTGATTCATAGTTTAGTTTGAGGCTTTGAGCTCATGAAAAAGTGTGTTGAATAAATCTTGGCTTCTGTGTTGTTGGTTTTTTGACAGAAGAAAGCATGACTACACTAGATTTGACCAGAGCCGAGCTTGCTCTTATTGTTCTCTATTTGAACAAAGCTGAGGCTAGAGATAAGATATGCAGAGCTATCCAGTATGGTTCCAAATTCTTGAGCGGTGGGCAACCTGGTACTGCTCAAACTGTCGACAAAAACACCAGCTTGGCTCGAAAAGTTTTCCGTCTTTTCAAGGTTAATCCCGGTTTTTTTTTCGATTTCTATCTTTGTATTGACTTCATTGTTGCTGCCTTCTTATATTGGATTGCAACTTTTTTGTTATCTGATTCAAAAATGATTACAAATGTGCAGTTTGTCAATGATTTTCACGGTCTTATCAGCCCTGTGCCTAAAGGAACACCGCTTCCTCTTGTCTTACTCGGGAAGGTGCCAGAAAGAGATTTTTGATTTCTTACAACATTTGTTCTTATCTTGATTTGATTCAATCTTTTTAACTTTTGTTTTTGTTTGTTGGTTGACCTTTTCAGTCGAAGAATGCACTCTTGTCTACCTTCTTGTTTCTTGATCAAATCGTCTGGCTTGGTAGATCCGGCATATATAAGGTGAGATAAGTTTAAAGCAAACAATCTATATTGGTCTATTGAAGTTATGATGTTCATTTGCTCTGCTAAGTGACTAAAGATTCTTGTTCAATCGCATCGCAGAACAAAGAACGAACTGAATTGCTTGGACGTATATCACTTTTCTGCTGGCTGGGATCATCCGTTTGTACAAGTGCAGTCGAGGTTTATTAAGTCTTCTCTTTCTCGACATTTTGATATGCCCGCGTATAAACATGAATACTGATCCTGATCTTCTCATGTGTATCAGATTGGTGAGCTTGGAAGGCTCTCTTCATCTATGAAGAAGATGGAAAAGGAACTCAAAGATGACGAAAAGCATCATGTAAAAGCTCTCCTCTGTAAACTCTCTCATCCTTCTTATATCTTTATAAAAACTCATTCCCTTTGTAAAAAACGCAGGATGAGCTGTATCGTGCTAAGCTTCAGAAATCAAACGACAGAACTCTAGCTTTGATTAAATCAAGCATGGACATTGTTGTAGCCATTGGTCTCCTTCAATTAGCTCCAAAGACGATTAGTCCTCGTGTCACTGGCGCTTTCGGGTTTACCACCTCACTTATCTCTTGTTATCAGGTAAACTCTCTCTTTGTTTCCACAAACCCACTTCCAATTTCACATCTTTGTCCGATTTCTAAAATAATTCTCCATTTTTTCTTCTGTAACCACACAGTTGCTTCCTTCGCGCCCCAAGTTGAAGACACCTTGAAGACGGAAGAAACTTGTTCTCTAGACTTTCAGAATAATTGTTTCATATTCATTAGTAAACCTGTTGTGTTCAGGTATTCTAAGGAGTCTATGTTGCTCCTTTTGAATGAATTTGCTGCTCTTATACTCTTTGCAAGAATATTGATAATTTTTATAATAAGATTATTAATTATGATACATCCTCAAGATTTCTGGATTAGAAATTTGTGTTTGTTTCTCACTTTGATCAAGTCTCTGTTTCTATATAGTAATGAATGTTTCACTGAAACAGATTCTCTCACCCTGTACAACAATCTCACTCTATATCTACAAAACATTCTGATCCAGTGACTTCTTCTTTTGCACATTATTTAGGTAATATAAGAACAGAGTCTATGCATAAAGCCACCTTATATGTGAGTTCAATCAATCTGAGCTTGAGAATTTTGTGTACTTTCTCATTTTGAACAAGACTCTGTTTCTACATAGTAGAGAGGAAAGCATTCGATGTTCAGTAGATGTGATCTTAGAGCTCGTTTATAATCTCTGAATGGAGAACTTGTATTTACAATCACGACCACCTTGTAACTACAGACAAAACTAGAGACAACCCAACCATGTGTACACAAGTTCCAGATCTGAGATTCATCTTGAGAATGTATCCCAGATCAAGAAAAAAGCAGAGTATAGTGATGTTTCACTGAAAAAAATATTCTCTCACCCTTTACAACAATCTCTCTCTCTATATCTACAAAACTATTGTGATCCAATGACTTCTTTTGCACATTCTTTAGGTAATATAAGAACAGAGTCTATGCATAGCCCACCTTTCGTGTGAGTGCAATCGATTTGAGTCATGGAGAATTTGATTCCGGTTGATATATCTGGATTTGTCACTTTGAAATCTCCGACGTGATAGTGACTCCAGCTCCCAGGGTTGTTGTTCAGATAACACAATGAAACAGCTTGTTGGTTGTCCGAAGTGGCGAGCTGGAACCTCACAGGTTTTATGTCCCATCCATGAATATGTTCAGAGTTGCAGATCCTCCTTCCAAGCCTCTTCGATGTTTTACCGAGCTGGATACGGAAGAAGAGACTGTATGTTCCAGATGGAAACTGGATCTCAAACTCTCCTCCTACTTCAAACCACCATATCTGTTGAACATAAGCAACTGACTGGAACCTGCATATACATATTGGAAGATATCACTCATTGATCACAAGTAATTCAAGATTTGGGGTACAAGCTCATTGGCAACATAACGCTTTCTTTTGTTTTACCTAAACAGATATTAAATAAAAAAACCATGTAATCTAGTTGAAACTAACAAGATGGTCAACAATACCAGAGTCTAATCAAGACAAGAAGATGGTCAAAACTAATGAAATTTCAAACAAAAGTCCACAACTTTGATCGTAATCCATAGTTTGAATTACCTGGATTCATCTGTTGGGATATGACTCCAGTATCTCCGATCATCAATTCCAGTAATCCTTAGTGCCTTTGAAGAGATAGATAAACAAAGACGACCCGTGTTCTTATCTATCCACAATTCCTGCATAAAAACTTTGAAAATGAGAAAATTTTGTTTCTTTGCCTAAGATTTAAAGAGAGAGATGCAACAGGAACAAAATTTCAAACCTTTGTGCCATCGTCGAAGAGATTAGGTCGGCAAAGCTTAGCATAAAGATCTTTCTTAATTAATTTCCTCAGAGTAATTTCATCAAACACCTTGTGTGCAATAACACGATAGTTCGAAGGCAACTTTGCTTCCCATATGAAATCAGCCGAGGAAGCGCGACGGAACATCCTGTTGAGACGAGCAAGGCGGCAAATCTCCGGTGGATCAAGCTGTGTCATAATCAACGCTACACAATTCTCCGGTAAATCCACTAATCTGGGTTTCGTCGAGTAAACGTCACCGTTCCGGTCAAACTCCGGCAAACCTCCCGAGATATTCGCGCCCATAATCACCACCAAAAACAAACGAAAACACTAAATTTGCATTGCCGCGGAGAATCGAGAACAAATTGATATGACAGAATTTAACCAACTGATCGACGAAAACACAAACAAACAAATAAAGGAAGCTTTTTTTTTGTTGTTGATTGTTATCTGCTTATACGGTTTTGAACATATAAATATTCAAAGCAACTTTAGTTTATATAGAAGAATTTTTTTAACCGTATGAAATATTCAAAGGTCAATTCTCCTGAGCCTAACAATTATATAATCCTGCAGTGTACTATACGTATCTACTACATCTGAAGATGTATACATACTCCTGGTCCGATTTAGGTCGATCGGGTCGGGTCGGGTTCAGCTAAAGTGATCCAAAGTTGGCCACTTGGCCTAATAGTTTTGGTTAAAAGTGCATTATTACACGTGTTGTAGTCAATACCTGGGTGGGGATAGGGAGTTTTTAACCAAAACACCTGGCCAAGTTTTTGTTTAAGGTGAATTTTTTTAGTTTTATATGGTTTACTCAATAGTAACTTAAAGTTATAACAGTTTTAGTTTTTGTTTGATTGGATATAATTAACACAAATATTTTAAGTTGGTGAATCTTCTTATTCATACATGGTCGACTCGAGCCCACTTTATCCATTTTTTTCTTGTTGTTTATTTATAAAAGGAAGAAATTATGGATATGGTGTGTTTGGCTGCGGTGATCACCGATCAAGAGCATCTTATAACGGTGGAACTCGAATGAATATAATTGGATTTATAAATATATATTGTTAGCGGATTACAAGTGTTGTCCAAAATGAATTATTGTATAAACTATACCTAGTATAATATTGAGGAACGTTCTACTTCTCGTCCGTCGATAGTTATAAAGAAAAATACAATTATTAGATATCACATGCGATACGATGCAAGTTTTGTATGAACTTACCGTACGTTATTGTATTAAGTAGCCGACTGATAATATGGATTAAATATGTAGCATGCATGGTAAATTTAATACAGTACATATCAAATGTTGGAATCAGTCTTGTAAACTGAGAACCATACTTAGGTTTACCCCTGGGGTGAACCTTTAAATTCACCCAACAGATTATAGCCAATCGTTTTGCCATGTCATTACTAATACTAGAGAATTAAAAAAAAAACACAATTAAAAAAAAAAGGAAATCAGAAAATAGATTTAGGGTTTAGGGTTTAGGGTTTAGGGTTTACAATTAAAACGAAATTAGATGTCAGTTTGGGTTGCCAAATGAGTGGTTAAGGTTTAGATTTTATAATTAAAACGAAATTAGATATCGGTTTGGGTTGACAAATGAGTGGTTAGGGTTTAAATTTTACAATTAAAACGAAATTATATATCTGTTTAGGTTTGTGAAATATTTGTTATATAAACCCTAAACCCTAAACCCAAATCCTAAACCATAAACCCTAAACCCAGCGGTGAACAGATATATAATTTCGTTTAAATTGTAAAATTTAAACCCTAACCACTCATTTGTCAACCCAAACCGATATCTAATTTCGTTTTAATTATAAAATCTAAACCCTAACCACTCATTTGGCAACCCAAACCGACATCTAATTTCGTTTTAATTGTAAAATCTAAACCATAAACCCTAAACCCTAAACCCTAAACCCTAAACCCTAACCGATATCTAATTTAGTTTTAATTATAAAATCTAAACCCTAACCACTCATTTGGCAACCCAAACCGACATCTAATTTCGTTTTAATTGTAAAATCTAAACCCTAAACCCTAAACCCTAAACCTTAAACCCTAAATCTATTTTGTGATTTCCTTTTTTTTTTAATTGTGTTTCTTTTTTTTTTAATTCTCTAGTATTAATAATGACATGGCAAAACGATTGGCTATAATCTGTTGGATGAATTTAAAGGTTCACCTCGGGGGTAAACCTAAGTATGGTTCGTAAACTGATCAAGGTCCGTTAGATTAGAAGAAAAAATATTGTGATGACATAATTAATGTGCTTTTGCTTCCGTATCATAACATTAATTAGAAGAAAAAGTAACTAATAGGACCTATTTGGACCTAAGCAGGCCAATTAACAATAGCAAATTGCTTTAACTAATCATCATTCATATATTTGGTTATATTTTCATAATGTGGCCACTTATTATTTACAAATAAAATAAGTAATTCATGTCGGGTCTTGTGGTCGGGACACTTTATCCACTTGGCTTACGTATCAACCAATCAGTACACAGTTTAGAACTTCCCACAGTTTAGGCTTACGTGGATCCAAGTCATAGGCTCGTGTTAACACGTCATCCAATTTTCTCGTCCCAGTCTCCAGATATTGTTATGATTTTAATAAGTAGATAATATCAACAATCGCAAGAGATATTGTTGATCATCAACTTGATCTTATGAAATAGTAGTTCAAAGCTTTAAAAGAGAAAAACATGCAATTATTCGCGTTTACAAATTTTTGTTTTGTTTGTATTTTAATGTAAATTCTTTTTTCTTAGATTTTTTTAGTGAGATTATCTAAAACTATTGGTCTTACAACGACTGAAGGTGGAAGAGACACTAATCGATTGGAAGCCACATATTTTCACAATATATTAACATATTATAATACCAATAATGGAACTTAGAAAACTGGTCCAAAATAGATAAGAAAGATTTTCCGAGTGTCTGTTAGGGATTGTTGTTTGTTGAGTCTAATATTTTCTCGTCATGATTTATGGTATTAGCATTTATGCAAATGACAAAGAGAGCTCCGAGAACGACGTTATATCTGAACGTATGATAGTGAAAGCCACTTACTTATCTATAATTTGCTTATTATATACACTTAAGTCTTAACTGAGTAATTTACTTTCAATCAATCTGTTTTTATATTTAATTTGTTAACTTAACCGATGATGTTAGCATGTTTTAGATATACTTAACAAGTGAGAGTATATGCAGGTCTGACACATTTAATTTGTTCGTAATATAACATTCTGAAAAGTTAAACTACCAAATCATTGACAGGAAATCTATTGTTTATGGGACGATTAAACAAATGACTTTTGTACAAGACTTTGAATTTGAAAGCTCACAACGAAAACAAATTACTGCAGTGAATCCATAGTCGAGAGAGGTAAAGGAAAAAAAAGAACAATAAAGAGTACGAAGTCGCATCGCATGACTAGAGAGTAACACGATGTTATCATCACAAATCTGGCTTAAACCCAAAGTTTACTTACTGCTGTTTCGCACCATCGTTCTCTGGAACGGTATTCACAGGTGTTGAGGAGCCACTACGTTTGCTAGACTGACCTGTGATTGTTCTTCCCATGAATCTCCCTGCTTTGCTCAATCCGCTACCGACCGCTCCAAAACCGCTACCAACCATCCCAACACCCGAGCTCACTCCGGTTCCAACCAATCCGACTCCTGCCCCAATCCCGGTCCCAACCATTCCTACACCAGCACCAAGCCCACTTCCCACCATCCCAACTGCATCCATCGTGCTACCTATCACTCCTGCTTCCTTCAGTCTCTTCCTTTCTTCCATGATCTTCTTCTCCTCTTCTAATGCAGCCAATTGCTCCTCTTTGTTGAACTCATGATAATGTACCTTCAATTCAAGTTAATTTAGAAACCAGCGAAAAGGAAAAGTTTTGCGGTTTATTCAAGGGAACATCTATACCTTAAGAGTTATACTTCCTCTATCTTTCTTATCTTTTACTTTCAAAGTATCAAGTGAAGACAACAGATTTAGCTCCAGTTCTTTTGTTACTCCGGCTTCCAAACTGCTTAAGGGAAGTTTCACAAGTCCCAGACGCTCATCTTGGCCTACGTCTTTATCAAATACCTGCCAAAAGTTTTAATGGAACGAAGAGAATTAGTTAATGTTTGCAATGGCAAAGTTGAACAAGTAAGAAGCATAAATGTTTCAGATTCCAGACCTCTACAGTGAGGGACTGGGTTTCTTTGTCCTCTGCAATCAATTCGAATGTTTGATCCCAAACAGGATTCAGATTGTTCTCGATTGCCTTTGTTTTATACTTGAATACAGGACGAATGTGGATGGTAGCATAAGGGTCAGATTTTCCAATCAATTCCTTATTCTTCAAGTTAGTTGCTTTCAATACTGTTACTATAAGCTTTCCCTGTGGTTTAAGCTCCAAATCACTGAAAAAGAAGAAAGATATAGAGAATAGTCAAATTATATAGTGTTTTCTCAATACGTATCATGACCTCCCCAAGTCAATCCTATGACTATATCAGAAGAGGAGAAAAGACAAAAGATTGGCAATGGCAGGCAAAATATTTATGAGTGAAAAAAACAAGCAGAACACATGAGAGTACCTTAAATCAACAGGAATACCACCAATGGGAACAACAATTCTATGAGGCCACTGAAGCATGTCTTTGACGATCGTATCAACAGTATCCTAACAGAGATAGAAGCAAAAAAACTGTGTGTAAGACCAAATGGGAACAAATAAAACCTCTTGAAACTGCTTGACCTACCAAGAGAGGAACTTACATCAATCATATCAGATAGTCCAGGAATCGCTGTTAAGCTTCCACCGACAGCCTTCAGAGTGTAATCAATTCTTGGTTTTGGCTGGTTGAGATCACATAAAAAGTTGGTCATTGTAAGCCAGGAGAAATGATATAAGAAAAATGCATCTATTCTGGATCTTTACAGGAAAAACTGTACCTCAGCAAGTAGAGCAACAACAACAGCAGATATACAAGGAATCTCATCCGCAAGTTGAAAGATAACACGTGCAACTGTGAAAACTTGAAGATCCTTCAACTGTTTCAGCCAGAAACAAGTGTTTGTAGAGATACTCAATCTCTATTGGGCACAAAAGACAACCCAAACGACAAATACTAAAATATCTCTAGTAACCTGAATGGGTATGGAAGCAACAAGTGCTGTAACACCTAAAACAATATTTGGATCACCACCCCATCGAAGATCAACATCCATTGTGACTTGACCTTCCTTGGAACTTTGAACACGAATACCTGCAACAATGATTAATTATGCATGTGCTCAGGCTTACAGCAAAACTAACCTAAGAGACAAATGCATGATGTTCTTCCAAGCACAAGGATTCATCAGCACTTGGCAGGAAACTCATCCCAAATAAATAATAGGACGATACAAGGTTGAACAATGGAAGAGGAAAGATAGCCATCACAAAAATGATGTTGTCCACCGTACTTTACCTTCAATCTTTGGTGCTACGTTACCCAAAGTCAATTTGCTGAACTTCAGGGAAGTAATTCCTGGTGGTCTGTAATCTTCAAGCAGAGGTTCAACAGAATCTCTTATTACCATAGTTGCTGCCTGGAAATTAGTCAACACAACAACGAATATTATACTTTTTGATTGCCAAGCTGCATTGTGGCAAGTGTTTTCCATTCCAACAAATTGGATCTATCTTAGGTGTCAATAAACACTCGTATTTGTGTAGCAGCAACAAAAAAAGGCAGTCTACAAGTCCAATCTAGATAAGCTAAATCTTACTCTTCTTCAATAATTTCGGACTTTGTAGTACAACTTGACAGTATAAAACTCTACTCTTCCTAGGATATCTTCAGTTACCATTATTCAGGTAAACATGCTAAAGATTTCATAGCCAACTTCCAACCGCATACACGGGAAATTAAAACACCTAATATTGCAACCCAAGAAGATTAGAATCTCACCTCTGCAATATATGGCCACATCTTGCTCAGTAGTTTATTCAGCCATTTGACCTGAAAAAAAGAAATAACAAAAGGTTTGCAGTTAAGAAATTCTTTAAACTCAATGTCTCACAGAAATCATGTCGACCACGGACCACCAAAAACTGGAAGATGGACATTGAGTTAGAAAAGATAAACAAAGAGAAATGATGACAAGTACCTGTTCAAATGCTGGAAACGATATCCATTGAGGAAAATTATCACCACAAATTTTCTTCAAATCATCTCTGCTAAGAGAGCCTAGAAGTTTCATATCAACTGCCTGTCAGAAGGCAAGAGTATACATAGTCAATTATACAGTATTGGAAGGACAAAAAACTCCTCTACTAATGTCAGACGTAGGAAGGATCAGACTCCTCAAACTGAGCAAGTAAAGCAAAATAGTGAACCACCATCTCGCTACGTAGAATCAACAGATGAACACTAACTATTGTCAATAATTAGAAGTTGCAGAGGAAATTGCTAAGCCGAATCTATAAGTACACAAAAGCAGGTACTGATAAGTTACGCGTTTCAGCTAATCCCAAAGACCGAAACAACCAATCTATCCAACACAATTAAAATCTCAGATTTTGAATCTTAAAATTTCTCCGATGAATCAATTTTACAACCAAATCACGGAATCAATTTGAGAATAAGCAGATTGATTCAATCGAACCTTGGCGACTCGCTTGGACGATCGGTGAGTCATCATACGACTCCAGCCAGCCATTAGAGCTACGCCGAAGATAATCCCGAACAGAATTCCAGATATCAAACCCATTTTCCTGCAACCAAAACAACCGATCAGGAACTTGAAGAAACCCTAGAAATCGAAACAAGAATGCAATCGGAACCTTTTCCGTTACTCCAAAAACGAAGGTCTGGGTTATCGGCGAGAAGCGTCGGCGACAGTTAATCTTCAGGGGAATGGTCAAGTGGGAGAATCAGAACAAATTAAGAATGCATTCAAGTATTTTCGGTAGGCCAGAGAGAGAGTGAGATAATGGGGAAGAAGAGGATGATGCGCGAGGCGAGAGATTAGAAACGGTTCTTTTCGAATCGCGATTGTATTTAATTCATTTTCCAAACATTTCACTATTAGTCCTTTATATTTTAATAGTTTCTTAATTTGCCCCTTCAGTTTCTGATTCTACTACTTTCTTTTTATTTTGTAACCTAAAATCTCTGCTTATATGCATGGATTGTAAAAAAATGTTACTTTAATTTAAAAATCTTTGGAATTCCAATCGGGAGTTGAACAATATAGTATAAATGAATTTTTTTGTCATATACATAGATTATAGACTATAAGTAAGTTTGATTAGTGTAATTAAATGTATTTAACATTATATATATATATATATATATATATATATATATATATATATATATATATATCTTGTGATTCTTAATACTAATATTTTTTGTTGAAATTTTTCATATATGTTCAGTATATTGACATAAGTCTCCCTATTAGACAATAGAATTTAGAAAATCTATGATTTTAGCACATTACAATAACATGTGGTCAAAATTGGAATCAGGGCATAAATATATGGACCAGTTTGATAAATCAAAGATTCTGCCTCGTTAACTAGGCAACGAACGTTTTCATGATTCGATTCGATGATCCACGTGACTTGGTAAAAAAAAATATCACGAAGAGTTAAAGACGTTCTTTACCACAAAATCACATCTCCTACACGGACGACGTTGACCGTTGACTATCGATGAATCATGAACTAGCTAGCCAGCAATTAGTCATTTAAATTTTATACACGTCAACAATTGTGTGGTACATAAGCTGTAACAGTGGTAAAAATGAACTTGAATTCTCTTATTCAGTGTTAATTAATGATTTACGTTTTACATAATCGCTGCAGTTATTACCAACTTTACATTTCACATTTAAAATAATTTAGGCGAAATTTCTAAAATTTTGAATCAACAAAAAAGTATAACGCTAGTTTCGTTTAGAATGCACCAATTTGTTATTACTCGTAAAGAATGGAAAGTCTAAGTCCGAAAGCTCCAAATAATGAATGCTATCTCCTTTCTGTTTTTATGATTCGATTCAAAAATTATATATAGAAATTTAGTTGATCTAAACAATTTCATGTTAAAGTATTACTTCAAAAAATTTATCTGATAAAAATTCGTTGAAAAAAAAGAAAAGGAAAAAGAAAGCAAGAATCTCTGATATAATGACACAATTTCCACATGTAACATCAAGACAATGGAATCGGTGAAGGGACAAATAACGTGTCCTCCTGATGTAACGACACAATTTCTTACAATTTACAAACCCCAAATTTTCTTACAAAGATTGTCACTACTTAAAATGTGCATCATATAAGATTTTTTTTTTTTTTTTTGGTAAAAGGCATCATATAAGATTTCTTAAAGCACTTCCAATAATTTATAATCTGGTGTGACGAAGCGTGCATAATATTAGATGGATATCGTAGCAATAATATTGTCTCTGCTCCTCTGTTTCTTTATCTTCTTCTTTTTCTTCTACACCACCGGAAAATACTGTTCCGGTGGAGCCAAGAACCCACCGGGTCCTTCAGGGCTATCTCTGCTTCGTAACATCCTTCAAACTGTTGAAAAACCTCACCGTTCACTTGCCGATCTATCAAGGATTTTTTTTTTTTTTTTTTGATAATGATCTATCAAGGATTTACGGAAGCGTAATGAGTCTTAAGCTTGGTTGTTTGACCACGGTGGTCATATCTTCACCGGAAGCAGCAAAAGAAGTGCTGAAAACACATGATCATGTCTTGTCTTACCGAGTCTCCAGTGACCCGGTTCGAGCCGCTGGTCATCACGAGCTTTCCTTGCTCTGGCTTCCACCGTTGGCTCGTTGGCGGTAAATAAATTCAAGCCGGTTCTGTTCAGTTTTGAATCTGATTTGGGTCGGTTTTGACTTTTGAGTATATAGTATAAATAAATGAATAATTTTCATTAATATTATTTGTTATAATGAATTATAGTTTTTTTTTTCCGCAAAGATAAATTGTAGTTTAATTTGGTTAGTTAGGTTAAATTTTGTATCACTTTGGTTTTGGTTTGTTTTGTTTCATATAAAATAACGGTATTAATCAGTTTTTCAAAATGGTTGGTTTCGTTAGGTTTCTACGAAAGATAACGAGGAACCAATTATTCTCAACGCAACGTTTAGAAGCAACAAGTGGCATTAGGACGAGGAAGGTGCAAGAACTTATGAGCTTCGTTAACAAATGCTGCGAGAGAAGAGAAGCTCTGAACATCTATCTCTCGAGCATCATTCATCACATCACTCAATATAATATCGAACGCTCTGTTTTCCACAAACCTCTCAAACTATGATGACTCAAAGACATCTCACGATTTCCATAACGTGGTGATTCGGATGATGGAGATCTCCGGAAAACCCAATCTCGCTGATTTCTTCCCTTTTCTTGGGTTTCTTGATCTGCAAGGAGCTAGAAAAGAAGCGAGGCTATTGATGCACAAACTGTTTAGGGTTTTTCAAGGATTCATCGATACAAAGAGATCATCAAATGCTTCGAGAAACAACAACGATATGTTAGATTCTCTTTTGGATATTGCTCATGAGAAGGAATCAGAACTCGATGACAATAATATCAAACATCTGCTTCTCGTAAGTCTTAACTAAGACAGAGCAAACTGGCTTCTATACATGTTCTTAATTAAATTCATGTAATGTGTGATAGGACTTGTTTCTGGCTGGAGTAGACACAAGTTCGAGTGCGGTGGAATGGGCTATGGCGGAGTTACTTCGAAACCCTAAGATGATAGTGAAAGTTCAAGAAGAGATAAGACAAGTGATAGCGCTAAACGGCATCGTTCAAGATCTGGATATAGTTAAATTACCTTATTTACAAGCAGTTGTGAAAGAGAGTCTTCGTTTGCATCCGCCTGCTCCTTTTCTCATCCCTCGAAAATCCGATACTGATGACGTCCGGATTTTTGAGTTCCTCATTCCTAAGAATACTCAGGTATCTACTCATTCCTGAGAACCAGAATTTGGTTCTTGTGTTGTGTAATTACTTACTACTAATTCATTCTTATTGTGTTTTGAAACAAGGTTCTTGTGAACGTGTGGGCAATAGGACGACATCCAAACGTGTGGGAGAATCCAAAGCAGTTCGAGCCAGAGAGGTTTTTGGGAAGAGGACTCGATGTGAAAGGCAATAATTTTGAGCTGATTCCGTTTGGAGCTGGACGAAGGATCTGTCCAGGAATGCCACTAGCGTTTAGGATAATGCATCTACTTCTTGCGTCACTTCTCTATGGCTTTGACTGGGAGTATCAAAACGGCGTAGTTCCTGAAAATGTGGATATGAACGAGGCCTTCGGTGCTACCTTGCACAAAGCCAAACCATTATGTGTCGTGCCTATCAAGAAACATGTTTGACATCATTTTCGGTTTTGTATTTCTCGACGGTTCTTCTAGTTCTGTTTCTATCCGGTTCGGGCTTAACCTTTTTGAAAGTTATGAAAGATGTCTAATTTATATATATTATTTTGAAATTAAATTACGTCATATGTTAATATTATTCATAACTAGACATATCACATATTCTTGTTGACAATTAAAAAGCATATCACATATTGTTTCTTTAGCTTTTAAAGCGATCGATAAATTGTACATTTGACTTTTTGAGTCCTAAAGAAATGGGGTTTTCTTTTTGTCAACAAGTGTATTTAATTAGAGTGAAGCTGTTGCTCAAACTAACGCATAAACGATAGCAATGATAGATATAGTATCATTTCTATAAATAAGTAAAAGATGTTGGCTAGAAGAACACACTCGACGAACTGACGATGAAGCACACCATAGCTCTAGCTCTGCTTTTGATACTTAGCTTCTTTTTAACATATCTTCTCCTTGTCGCTGTTAAATCACGACGACGGAGATCAAGCCAACTGGCACTGCTTCCGGGACCTCCGGGACCTTCGGGATGGCCAATAATCGGAAACCTTCTCCAGATCATCGGAAAAGCTCCTCACCGTTCACTTGCTGATCTCTCGAGAGTTTATGGACCAGTCATGAGTCTTCGGCTTGGAAGTTTAACCACAGTGGTCATTTCTTCACCAGATGCAGCACGAGAGGTTCTGAAAACGCTTGACCATGTCTTATCTGGACGAACCTTTAGTGAGACGGTTCGAGCCTTCGGCCACCACGAAGTCTCCATAGCATGGCTACCTTCGACGTCGTCTCGTTGGAGGTAAATTATAATTTAATGTGAATTAAATATGATAACTATATAAATACAATATTGTTCCAATTAGGTTATGGAGGAAGGTACTGGCGACAAAACTTTTCTCACGGGAGCGTCACAAAGCCACGAAGTCCGTACGGTCGAAGAAAGCGAAAGAACTTATAACATTCATTATCGAAAGAGGCGAACGAGGCTTCTCCGTCGACATTGCTCGTGCTTGCTTCATCACGTCGCTTAATGTAATCTCAAACGTTGTGTTTTCGATCGACTTAGGTGGTTACGACCCGAGAGCCTCCACGGAGCTCCAGGACTCGTTGTCTCGTATGATGGAAATAATGGGGAAACCGAACCTCGCAAACTATTTTCCGTCTCTTGAGTTTCTTGACATACAAGGTATCCGGAAAGAGATGAAGGTGTGTTCGGAGAGGTTGTTTCAGATTTTTCAAGGGCTCATCGATGCTCGAATCGCGGAAAGATCATCACAGACTGGACCTAGAGATGCATTGAGAGGTGATTTGTTGGACTCACTGATCGATCTTATTCAAGAAGAGGGATCGGAAGTCGACATGAATGATATCAACCACTTTTTATGCGTAAGTGATTTAATTAAGTCTTAAAATGTGAATGGAAAAAGAAAATCGTTTGGCATTACAGTCTTAAAATATTTTAATTACTTAAAATATTTATTTATGATATTAATTTAGATATAAAAAGCTAAAAATATTGTTATTTTTTGGTTTGTTTGAAGGACTTGTTTATTGCTGGAACGGAAACGAACTCTACCACAGTGGAATGGGCATTGGCAGAGCTACTTCGTAACCCAGAGGCTATGGCTAACGCTAAAGTCGAGATCAACTTTATTGTTGGCCCAAACCGTTACGTTCGTGACTCCAATCTCTTAGAGTTTCCCTATCTACAAGCTGTTGTAACAGAGACTCTCCGGTTGCACCCACCGAGTCCATTTCTAATCCCACGCAAAGCTGAGTCAGACACAGAGATTTTAGGGTACCCCATTCCTGAAAATGCTCAGATTCTGGTTAACGCTTGGGCTATAGGACGAGACCCGAGCGTTTGGGAAAACGCTGAACAGTTCGAGCCAGAAAGATTCTTGGGACGAGACATTGAGACGATAGGTAAAGATTTCGAGATGATACCGTTTGGAGCTGGACTAAGGATATGCCCTGGAATATCATTAGCTTTGAGGATTGTGCCTCTCATGCTTGCTTCACTTATCTATTCTTTTGAATGGCATCCTAAAAACGTAAAAAAAGAGGTTGTTGAGGATTTGAACATGGACGAGACTTTGGGATTTACCTTGCACAAGACCAAACCAATTTATTCTGACACCCTCGAGAAAGCGTACAACTATTTTTATTAGTCTTTCGTAATTTCTTCTCCATTGTTATGTAATTTACAAATGATGTGGTGTAGTGTTAAGGAACCTTGAATTAATAAATTTTATTTTATTTTTTAACCGGTTTTAGTAACAAGTAACAAACAGGTCGTGCCTTTAGTTATAGGATTTGAAACAAACAGGTCTTCTTTCATAATCATTTAAGTGTCAACTAAAAAATATTACTGTAATTTACACTTATATATGGAAATGTGATTTTCTATATATAATCAAGTACAATTCGATTTTTTCTTAAAATAAAGTAAATTTTTTATAAATTAATAATGTTGGACCGTGAAATTATATTAATTTATAGAGGTATTAGTTTATCGATAAATGAATAATTATTAAGTTATACACAATTATGGCTAATTTTGTAATTCTTAAAAAATTTCAATATGAAAAGATTTTTTTCTTTTATAGAATCAATATCCCTATAAAACCAAATACAAGTAAAAAAGTAATTACTATCCTGCATAACAAAAAAAAGTAATTACTATCCTTAGAAAACAATACAAAAAGATTTTGATGTAGTAAAATATTATAAGTGAACTCTACAAGGATTAATGCATATTTAAGGAAAACAAACAATACTAAAATCATATTTTACTAAATTTTCTTATATATATACATTGGTAAGTTTATATAATTATATTAATTTATGATACTGATGAGACCATATAGTTACATAGGATTTTATAGAGTTTTTTCTGTACAAACTATTCACAAGTTAAACTTCAATTTATAATTGTACTTACTTTTTTTCTTCCCCTAATCTATTTGGATGTTGCATAATTGCTAAATCATGTTCACAATCACCGTAAATCTACGATCTTAGGTTTAACTTAAGTGAAATATGTATATAGACAATAACATATCTTAAGTTAATTTTCAATATTTTCATTAATCATGTTGTATTGTAGATTTTTTTTTGCTAATTAAAGAATTTATTTTAAACGATACAAAACATTATTAATAAACTCGTCTATGGCCTTCATTACTTTAGGCACATCTACTTTAAAATAATTGCGAACAATCATCCCCAACCTTCCAATTTGATGGCTATAACAGGCGATCATGATTTCTCTATCGCCCTTCATCAACTAAGATGCCGCAGGTTTAACATTTTGTTGGGTTGTCCTGAAGGTTCTACTGCGACTTTTACAAATCCAGGCATATAAACGCTAATTTTGAGCATAGTTGTAAATTAGTGAAAACAGAGCTCGATTGCTTTTAATAACAAAGCTATACTTGCTTTTTATTCTATGGGTTTTTGATTTCTGACGTTTTTTAAAAATTTGTTGCAGTGTTGGCCAATTCAATCCCAATAAAATGTCGTTCAAGCTATTGCGACAAGCCAGGTTCTTCAAATCTATTAGCGGATTTGGAAATGGAGCATCTCGTCTCAGAGAAAGTGAAATTTTCGATTTTATTTATGTTTTCATACATATTTTAATTACGATTTTTAGATTAAAATCTTATTTATTTATTGTTGAATAATACTTAGCTTTTGGTCTGGTGCCTCCTCTACCACGACGGTTTGGAACTCAGTATCATCGTTTTGGTTAGTTTCGTTTTTTTCTAGTTTGATGGCTATAACGGACGATCGTGATTTCTCTGTCGCCCTTCATCAATTAAGATGCTGCGGATTTAACATTTTGTTGGGTTGTCCTGAAAGTTCTACTTCGAATGCACTTCTTCTCACAGCTGCAACGGTCTGGAGTTGGAACTCGCTGATTTGGGGACAAAAACCGTTTACTAAGAGCGAGATAGAGGATCTCATAGCTGCCAATCTGAAAAAATAAAACCCTAGCCTATATGTAATGTCGTTCTTATAAAAAAACTTACCTCTATTGTTTTTTTTTTGGTCTGTTTATTATGTAGTTTTTGATATTTCCGTTACTTATTTTCTTGTAATTTCTGTCAAAACTTCGAAAATAGTAGAAATACTTCACATTTTATCAAAAAAAAATAAAAAAATTATATGCCTCAAAAGCTTTATTTATTTATTTACACCATCGTAAATATTCGTAATTGTCTTATTTGATTTATTTTTGTTGTAATCACTTTCTTAATTAGATTATGGGTGCGAAATTGCTGAATCAAACATCAGTCCCTCTTTCTCGCGCGCGCCTTTCTCCGATCGTCGCTTAGATACTTCTCCTTCTCCGATTCTACAATGCATTTCTTACGATGTCGGAATTAAACTCTTGATAGGCGAGCTGGGTATATCTCAAATGCCTTCCAATTCATAAATTTGTTTCGACATTTTTTTCCAATCCGTGTGCGTCTATTTACTCTCGCCGTTGCTTTGCTTGAACACCTTATTTACATTTTCGAGCATCACACGAGTTGATTCGTTTGAAATTTTACTAATCGGATCTAGAGATCTCATGTTTAATTTCTCTGTAGCTTTCTTGTGCTTGAAATGTGATGTTTTTTTTTGTTTTCTCATGTATACCACAATTTTCACATGGCGTAATTGTTACTATGTATAGATTCGAGTTGGTACGCGTTACGTTTCCATGTTCGTAACCTTTGTGCATAACTTGTCAATTTTTTTGTTTTGTTTTGGTCTAACGAGCTAAATCTGTAATTCATTTATGAATGTGTTTAAACAGGTGGTGGAAGATAAAATTCTGTGAATGACTGTTCCGTTAGATTCTCGATAAGTTCATAAAGATGGAAGAAGATGATGAGAATAAGTTCCCAAAAGCCTCTGATGGACACCTCCATGCTGCTGAGAAGCCTAATGTGGTAGAGAATAGAATAGATGAATTTGATTTAGGGGATTCTACTTTTCTTGTCGATGAACATGCTCTGGTAGGAGTGGATGATGCAGATCTACAGGGGATTAGTTCAGTTGATGCAGTCCTCAAGGATGACCATTTTGAACAGGTTTCTCTCGGAGATCAAGATAGTTCAGCAACGAGTCTGGATTCTTTCTACCATCAAGAATCTGGATATCCTGTGGTTCAGTCCCCACAGAGGCCTAAACCAAAGGCTACAATGCCAAACGTTTCTCCTGAGTTATTGCATCTAGTTGATTCAGCCATCATGGGTAAGCCTGAGAGCTTAGACAAACTCAAGAATATTGTTAGCGGTGTTGAGAGTTTTGGGTCTGGAGAGGATTCAGAGTCTATTGCTTTTCTTGTCATCGATTCGCTTCTTGCGACAATGGGTGGAGTAGAGAGCTTTGAAGAAGATGAAGATAGCAACCCTCCTAGTGTCATGTTAAACTCTCGTGCTGCCATTGTTGCTGGCGAGCTTATTCCTTGCCTACCTTGTTCTGGTGACAGTGTCAGTTTCATGTCCCCTAGGACCCGCATGGTTCGAGGATTGCTAGCAATTTTACGTTCTTGCACAAGAAACAGAGCTATGTGTTCGATGGCGGGTTTATTATGTGTTCTCTTGCGATCAGTCGAGGAGATAGTATCCAAGGACGCCACTATGATGTGGAATGGAACAGTTTTGTTTCACTGTATTCAACATTTAGCCGGGCACTCTCTTAGTGTTGACGATTTGTATAGATGTCTTCATGTTATCAAAAAGTCTCTTCCAACAGTGTGGTCAAGTCCATTGATAGATGCCTTGGAGAAGGCAATGAATGGAAAGGAATCAAGAGGACCTGCGTGTAGCTTTGAGTTTGTTGGTGAAAGCTCAGGTTTACTTGGTCCAGGAGAAAGTCGCTGGCCTTTTACCAATGGCTATGCATTTGCAACTTGGATTTATATTGAATCATTTGCTGACACATTAGATGCTTCAACCGCGGCAGCTGCAATTGCTGCTGCTTCAGCGGCCAAATCAGGAAAAACGTCCAATGCAGCGCCTGCGAATGTACACACTGGTGAGGGTACTGCTCATATGCCTCGTCTGTTCAGCTTTTTGACCCCTGATAATCAAGGAATTGAAGCTTATTTCTATGCACAATTTTTGGTGGTTGAGAGTGGCAGTGGAAAAGGAAGTAAAACTTCACTTCATTTCACTCATGCATTTAAGCCTCAGTGTTGGTACTTTATTGGCCTTGAGCATACCTGCAATCAGGGACTTTTAGGGAATTCAGATAGTGAATTGCGGCTATATATTGACGGGTCCTTGTATGAAACTCGACCGTTTGAATATCCTCGGATATCCAAACCGCTTTCTTTCTGTTGCATAGGGTCAAATTCTCCTTCTACAACTGCTGGTCTACAACGTCGTCGACGTCCGTGTGCTTTGTTTGCTGAGATGGGACCAGTTTATATATTTAAAGAACCGATTGGTCCTGAAAGAATGACACGATTGGCAACTAGAGGTGGGGATGTTTTGCCTTGTTTTGGCAATGGGGCAGGTCTTCCGTGGTTAGCTACAAATGACCATGTCCGTAATGTGGCAGAGGAAAGTAGCCTTTCGGATGTAGAGCTTGGAGGATACATTCACCTACTTTACCACCCATGTCTACTAAGTGGGCGGTTCTGTCCAGATGCTTCTCTTTCTGGAGCAGCAGGTGCTTATGATTATACTCTTGATTTTTCAATATATTTAAGAATGCTCTACAAGTTTGAAAAATATCTGTTCCCTAGTATGATGTGTTTTATTAGAACTTGTTTTCAGACGCTCATTTGGTTGATTTGTTGTATACTTATATCTGTTCTTGTTCTATCTATATCGCTTTCACTCTTTCTCACTATTCTCCATTCTCATATGAACTTTGTTTTTATTTGCTCTTGTGTCTTAGTATAATAAACTTCTACTAGGAGATGAGAAAACACCACATTCATTTTCTGCTGTAGTTTGCACACTTTGTTATTTGGTTTTCCCTTACTTTGGAAATCCGTTATTTTTTCTTGATTAAGGCACACAAAGACGACCAGCTGAGGTAATTGGACAAGTCCATGTTGCAACGAGAATGAAGTCAGTGGAGTCCTTCTGGGCCTTAGCTTATGGAGGACCCATGTCTTTGCTTCCTCTAACCGTAAGCAGTGTGCACAAAGATAGTCTGGAGCCATGTTCTAGAAATGTTCCATCTTCTTTGACAACATATACTCTTGCTGCACCTATATTTAGAATGATCTCAGTAGCTATTCAACATCCTGGGAACAATGAAGAGTTATCTCGTACCCGGGGGCCTGAAATTCTGGCCACAATTCTCGGTTACCTTCTTCATTCACTTGCATCCCTTGATCTCAAGCATGATAGAGTAGGAGACGAGGAACTAGTTGCTGCCATTGTTTCTCTTTGCCAATCCCAAAAGATCAATCATGCTCTTAAAGTGCAGCTCTTCCGTACACTATTGTTGGATCTGAAGATATGGAGTGTGTGCAATTACAGACTCCAAAAGAAGCTGTTGTCATCTCTTCAAGATATGGTTTTCACTGAAGCAACAGCTATGAGGAATGCTGATGCCATTCAGGTACTTCTGGATGGATGTCGAAGATATTTCTGGACAATTCAAGAGAAAGACTCTGTGAACACTTTTTCTCTACATGGGGATGCACGTCAAGTGGGGGAAGTTAATGCATTGGTTGATGAGCTTTTGGTGATTATTGAACTTCTAATGGGAGCAGCATCTCCTTCGTTTGCTTCTGATGATCTCCATCGATTACTTGGCTTTATAATTGACAGTCCACAACCAAATCAGGTAACACGTTTTTTAGTGACACTTCATAATTGTTACACATGTGTTATTTCTCAGATCTTTTAATACTTATGCTCTGACATCATTCAGTTGTTACCTCTATTTAGGTTGCAAGGGTATTGCATCTCATGTTTAGGTTGGTTGTACAGCCAAATGCTGCAAAGGCTCAGACATTTGCAGAGGCATTTATCACATCTGGTGGGATAGAAACACTTCTTGTTCTGCTGCAGAGAGAAGCTAAAACTGGTGAGGACGACGTCGCAGATTCTGTAGCTAAGGGTGAAACAAACATGCCGACTTATCATAGTGAACAGAGTCATCACAATGGGCCTGGTTTATTAAAGCAGTTGGATTCAATTCCACAAGATAATGAGAGTGACCCTCATACTCATGATGATAATGTAGGATCTTTGAAGGAAACAGAGTCAGTTCAACAAGAAAAAGCGCATGGATCCGCAACTGTCATTTGTGATAGTGACTCAGTTACCATCTCTAATTCCATGAATGCTGGCAGAATATCCTCTGTTTCTGAAACTTCATTCAATAATAATGCAAGAAACAATGTTGACGATAGAGATCGTGTCATGGTTGGGATCATCAGATTGATTGGTGCGTTGATTTCAAAAGGGCACTTAAAATTTTCCGTTGGTGCCAAATCTGATGTAATGAGTAACCTCATGGGTAGTGAGTTTCATGAAAATGGTGGAACAATGTTTGATGATAAAGTCGCATTGCTTCTATTTGCTCTGCTGAAAGCATTTCAAGCAGCTCCAAACAGATTGATGACCGACAATGTCTACACAACTTTGCTTGGGGCCTCGGTATGACATTTCGTAATGTATCTTTCATTTGTTTGATCTATCTTTAAGCGTAGTTGGTATAATGTCAAATATTTGGTGGAAAAAGAGTCTCTGAGGTGCAACTTTTTTTTGTAAACTGTATATGTATACCTGGTTTAATGTCAAGGATCTTTCTTGCAGGTTAATGCTTCATCAACTGAGGATGGCCTGAACTTTTGTGATTTAGGTCATCGCTTTGAACATCCTCAACTTCTGTTAATCCTCCTGCGTTCTCTACCATTTGCATCTAAGGCACTACAAAATCGAGCACTTCAGGTATAAATGTCATAGTTAAAGACACTTTTGTGCACCGAATGCACTTGTGAAAGTGCTCTACAAACTTCTACTTGTCCAGTGTTTCTACAATGTCTCTTTCTGATCTCACTCTTTCTATGTCAGGATATTCTATTTTTGGCTTGTAGCCATCCAGAAAATAGGAGCAGTCTGACCAAAATGGAAGAGTGGCCTGAGTGGATCTTGGAGATTTTGATCTCAAACTACGAGGTATAACTCAACCTTAAAAACTTTAAAAGTTCGCCTCCATGATTATTGTATCAGTAATGAGCCAAGTTGGCTATATGTACACTAGTGTGATATGGCGAGTTACATTCTTTATCTGACAAGTTAATAAAGCATGTACCAGCAAACTCTAAAAATGCTTACTATATATTCTGCGTACACACAGAAGGATGCAGGGAAACAATCTTCTTCACCTGGTTCTGCTGAAGTGGAAGATCTGATTCATAACTTCTTGATCATAATGTTGGAACATTCGATGCGCCAGAAGGATGGCTGGAAGGTAAATTTGTTTGTTTCAGCGGTCTACCAGATTATTTCCCTTTCACCTTTTTGTCAAGCTCAATCGTTTTTATTTATAGTTTTCGCGACATCTGATTCCTTTTACAGGATATTGAGGCTACAATTCATTGTGCAGAGTGGCTTTCTATTGTTGGTGGGTCTAGCACTGGGGAGAAACGAATTAGGTAATTTCATGCACTACTGCGCTACACTTTAGGCTTTCCTTTTGAAATGCCAATAACATTTAGAGTGTCATCTCTTTAACTTGTAACATTGATAGTTTGTGAAGGTCTCTTGTGGATCATATTGTTTTGTACTGTATTGTTTCTTCCTATGTACTTGGAGAGAATCATGTTTCTGTTCAATTGTTTTTACACTTTTTTCATATACTTTTTCAAAGGCGTGAGGAATCACTGCCAATTTTCAAGAGAAGGCTTTTAGGTGGATTGCTAGACTTTGCTGCCAGTGAACTGCAAGCTCAGGTATAGCTCCTGTTTTATCTTATTGACTCATATGGTTAGTTATACAATTCCTTGCTAGAAAAACACGAAGTTCGTCTTAAACATGCATTGTATAGTTGACATTGGTCGTTCTCTCACAAGAAAATATTGTCAGATCTTTTTTATTTGCTCTATAGTAGCTATAATATTGTTAAAGACAGTAAGCTTTCAAGCCTTGTGTTTTCACCTGTCCTGTTATGTTGGTCGACTGCTATAGTTTGACCTACACATTATACTTTCCCCCAACAGACTCAAGTTATCGCTGCAGCATCTGCTGGTTTCGCGGCAGAGAGTCTAACACCAAAAGATGCAAAAGCGGGAGTAGAAAATGCTGCACTGCTTTCAGTGTTTCTTGTGGAAAATACAGTTGTGATTTTGATGCTTGTCGAAGATCATTTGCGACTACAAAGCAAGCAAAATTGTGCTGCAAGCGCAGTTGATGTCTCTCCATCTCCTCTTTCACTTGTTTATCCTCCTAACTACCGTTCACACACATTGCCAACGGTCGGAGAATCATCAGAGGTTTCTAGTAGCCGTGCTTCAGTGTCCAGTGATTCAGGAGGGGTCCATTTAGATGTAAGTGGAAATTACTCTCAACCACTTTCTTTTGGTATTTTGTTTGTGCATAATTTAGTCTGTCCATGCTTCTCCTATCTCCGGATCAATTTGTCTCCTTCTGTATTGGCTTATTTTTTCTTTGTTTACATAACATCATTTAAGAAATATAATTCCGCTCATCTGATTAACTTTCTGCTATTTTCCTGCTTTTACTTTTTCTTCAGATACTTGCTTCAATGGCAGACGCAAGTGGCCAGATTTCTACAGCCGTAATGGAGCGTCTTGCTGCTGCTGCTGCAGCTGAGCCCTATGAATCTGTTTCGTGCGCTTTTGTTTCATATGGAAGTTGTACTATGGATTTGGCTGATGCTTGGAAGTACAGAAGTCGATTGTGGTACGGTGTTGGACTACCTTCTAAAACTAGTTGTTTTGGTGGTGGTGGAAGTGGTTGGGACTCTTGGAAACATGCTTTACAAAAAGATGCTCAGGGAAACTGGATCGAACTTCCTTTGGTTAAAAAATCAGTATCCATGCTTCAAGCCTTGCTGTTAGATGAGTCTGGACTTGGAGGTGGCCTAGGAATTGGTGGAGGATCTGGTACCGGGATGGGAGGGATGTCAGCCCTCTACCAGTTACTGGATAGTGATCAGCCTTTCTTATGCATGCTTCGAATGGTACTATTGTCTTTGAGGGAAGAAGACCATGGTGAAGATAGTCTGTTGATGAAAAATTTAAGTTCTGAAGATGGTATTACTGGTGGAATTCAGTGCCCCTTAGGAAATCCTGCCTCATTAGATATCAGTTCTCAGTTGTCTATGCGACAGTCACCATCAGCTTTATTGTGGAGGTAAAGTAATAACATCTTTTTTTTTTTTACTTTTCCCTTTGTGACTTTGCGAATTATAAACCCATCTGCATTGATACGATTGGGTCCAAAGTATACTTGTGGCTCACTCAAGATTATGACCACATGCCTTAATCATTTTTAGACTAGACTTTGTCACAAAATTAGAATGCAGGGCATATTTGGCATTTTTTGGACGCTTAACTTTTGGATGTTGCATGCCTTCTAAATGGTTTTGCTCCTGGAGAATTTAATGTGACTGTTTTTTTTTATCTCCAGTGTGCTCTCTCCCATTCTAAACATGCCAATATCTGATTCAAAGAGGCAGAGAGTATTGGTTACTACATGTGTTCTATATTCTGAGGTTAGTTCTCCCCTAATTAAGGTTCCATACTTATAATTATGATCTGGTCTCACATTTTCATGTTGATTTTGGAGAACGACAATGGAAATTGATCCCTTAGTTTTCTTTGTGAACTTAATGCTCACTTTGTTTCATTTAGTGGGTTTCCGATTTCTGATTCAAAATCTGTTGCAGGTATGGAATGCTGTTAGCAAAGACAAAAGACCACTACGTAAGCAGTATCTAGAGGCTATTTTACCACCATTTGTTGCAATTCTCCGAAGATGGCGGCCTCTTTTGGCTGGTATTCATGAACTTGCCACTGGTGATGGTTTGAATCCCCTTGTCGTTGATACTCGTGCTTTGGCTGCTGATGCACTTCCCATTGAGGTTCCACAAATCTGTTCACATTTATTTATAGTTTCTGTCAGTGCTGCTTCATCCCTTAGCCTAAGGTTATTAAACTGTTACTTTTTATTCTAGGCGGCTCTCTCTATGATTTCTCCGGAGTGGGCAGCTGCTTTTGCATCGCCTCCTTCTGCAATGGCACTGGCGATGATAGCTGCAGGGGCCGCTGGTTGGGAAGCGCCGGCACCTCCAGCAGCTCCAGCGCCTCCACCTCTTAGGCGAGACACTTCATTACTTGAGCGTAAGAGTACCAAACTTCAGACCTTTTCAAGCTTCCAGAAACCCTTGGAGGCTCCAAACGTTGATACACCAGGTCGACCAAGAGATAAGGCTGCTGCAAAAGCGGCAGCTTTGGCAGCTGCACGCGATCTTGAATGGAATGCCAAGATTGGTTCTGGGAGAGGTCTTAGTGCTGTTGCAATGGCCACATCTGCGGCGCGGAGGAATATCAGTGATATGGAGCGTTTACAGAGATGGAATATCTCTGAAGCCATGGGAGTAGCATGGATAGAATGTCTCCAACCAGTGGATACAAAATCAGTTTATGGAAAAGATTTTAATGCTTTGTCTTACAAATTTATTGCTCTACTTGTTGCAAGCTTTGCCTTTGCACGCAACATGCAGAGATCTGAGGTTTGCTCTATGCCCTTATTCACACTTTGTTTTTTTCTTGAGGGGGCTGGATATACACTAATCCACATTTATTGATTCAACCACTCACCAGATTGACAGGCGTCTGCAAAATGATAAAATAGTGAGAAATCGCTTGTGCATGGGAATCCGTGGTTGGCGCAAACTCGTTCATCACTTGATAGAGATGAGATGCTTCTTTGGACCCTTCGGGGACCATTTATGCAGTCCCAAACACGTAAGCTACATGGTTCTGGTTTAAATTTAAAACATGTTGAGAACTTTTCCAGTGATGTAACATCATCAAATATGCAGGTTTTCTGGAAACTGGATTCTATGGAAAGTTCTTCGAGAATGAGACAATGTTTAAGGAGGAATTACTCTGGTACTGGTCATCTTGAGACAACAAGAAACTATGATGATCAGACAGACTTGAAGAATAAGCAGGATGCACCTGCTCTTGCTGTTGAAGCAATATCAAAGGAAATAATGTATGAAGATAATGAACATGGAGATGCCAATGATCTTGAAATAGAGGGTAATGTTGGAGAACACAAAGGGGAAAACGAAGAGAGGACGTCTGGCTCACTTGAGGATGCAATAACACTGTCAACTGGAATCAACGATCATCGACCTTTGAGTGAACAGAATATGGTTAAAAATTCTACAGAAGTAGATCTCAGTGAACTAAAAGAAAGGATTATCCTTGAAATTTCCTCTACTATGGTCCAACCACTAGGGGTTGTGAAAGGAACCTTTCAAGTATGCTCTGACTAACATTACCTATTTATTTTTTGAACAAATAGCTGACACAAATGAATATTCTATTGATGACCAAGAAATAAAACAGAGCATAACTGACCATATTTTGTATGAACTACTAGTTTCTAATGGTTGGTTTCTGTATTCTCAGATCACAACACGGAGAATAAATTTTATTGTTGACATCAGAGAAGACCAAGATTTGGATGGTAAGTCAGATGGTTTAAAATCAAGAGACAAAGAAAGAGATCGTAGTTGGCTGATGTCTTCTCTTCATCAGATTTATAGCCGACGGTAAGGTTCCATCATAAATATTGTCTCTAGCTAACTATTTTCTCCTCATTGTTATGTAAATAGTGATGGAGACCTATATCTTTGTTAATATTTTTCTTTCACAGATATCTACTGAGGAAGAGTGCTCTTGAACTATTTATGGTGGATCGCTCAAACTACTTCTTTGATTTTGGGGTATCTAAAAACTCTCTCTGCTACATTACATTAAATTGATCTCTTTCATTGGAAATTTCAAGTTTCTAGCTCCTCTCACTATATGATGTTTGATGAACACCATAGAACACCGAAGGACGAAGAAATGCCTGCCGTGCTATTGTTCAAGCTAGGCCTCCTCATTTGAAAAATATTTACTTGGCAACTCAGGTTTGTTTTTGTTTTCCTCCGTTTGCCCATTCTTTAGTGCATGGTGGACAAAGCTAGGAACCAAGCTGAGTAAATTTTTCTCTGTGCTGCAAAACTTACATAAATCGTTTCCTTTTTAGAAGCCAGAACAAGTTTCGAGAAGAACACAGTTAATGGAGAGCTGGGCTAGATGGGAGGTAACCAAAGAATATCCTTCATTCTCATCATGCAATTTCATTTTTTCCCCTTGAATAACATCTGGCAGAGAAGTAACTCTAGCTGGATACTTTGCATCTTTTCTGCAGATCAGCAATTTTGAGTACTTAATGCAGCTCAACACATTGGCTGGACGTAGTTATAATGACATCACTCAGGTAAATCATGTGCAAGTGAAAATGCTTTTTCTTATGTGAAATCTCTAATATCATTTACTCTTTGGTTATCTTGATTTATTTTGTATATCTTTGCAGTATCCTGTTTTCCCATGGATTTTGTGCGACTATGTTTCAGAAATTCTGGACCTATCAAATCCATCTAATTACAGGGATCTTTCCAAGGTGGTATTATTAGTAGTTTTATTCTAGTTTTGGCTTTATGCTTTCCTATTGTGATCCATAAACCTAGAAAACTGGTTGTAATGTGGGTCCGTATATGTTCAGCCAATTGGTGCACTGAACCCGGAGCGGCTGAAAAAGTTTCAAGAACAATACTCTAGCTTTGAAGATCCAGTCATCCCCAAATATCACTATGGTTCACATTACTCAAGTGCTGGAGCAGTAGGTTATCTTCTCTATGATATCTATCACAGTTTCTATAGTTTCTTCTCTTACATATGTTTTCCTCTTAATCACAAAAGAAAGACAATAATTAGTATTTTGATTTGCAATAGGATAGATTTTTCACTAATGATGGTCTTATAATTTGTTATTCTTGTGTGTAGGTGTTGCATTATCTAGCTAGAGTCGAACCTTTTACAACCCTTTCGATTCAACTGCAAGGTCGAAAGTTTGATCGTGCAGACCAAATATTTTCAGACATTGCAGCCACTTGGAAAGGAGTTCTCCAAGATATGAATAATGTGAAAGAGTTGGTAAGACTTGGTTCCTCCCAAAAAATTTTAATCACCTTCCTCTGCTTTGCAGCCATATTTATTATGCCTCCTTAATACTGCTTATAGGTTCCAGAGTTGTTTTACCTTCCTGAGGTGTTGACCAACGAGAACTTGGTTGAAAATCTTGGTATGAGTTTATTTCCTTGTCCACACGAAATATTACTCCTGAAACTAGAAACCATCTTTTTCTGATATTGTTGTTCTTTACCCATCAGATTCTGTAAAACTTCCTCCTTGGGCTAAAAGCCCGATTGATTTTGTACACAAGCAACGAATGGCTCTTGAGAGCGAGCATGTATCTGCACATTTGCATGAATGGATTGATCTCATTTTCGGGTACGTTTTCTTCTTGAACTAACATCTTGTCAACACATTTGTTTAAAACTTGGTGTCAACATAAAATTTCTGTGTAAGATAGTCGGATTTGTTTTATCACTTGTGTTTTTCTTATGAACTTATTCATGTAGGTATAAGCAACGTGGTAAGGAAGCTACACTGGCAAATAATGTTTTCTTCTACACTACCTACGAGGGGACTGTTGATATTGATAAGATCACAGATCCAGTAAGTTATCTGTCCATTGGAGTTTCTCAATTTTGGTATTACCCTGTTTCTGAAATATTCATGTGGCTATTTGATGAAGGTACAACAACAGGCTACTCAAGACCAGATAGTTAATTTCGGGCAAACCCCTTCGCAGCTATGGACTGTTCCTCACATCAAAAGAATGCCTCTAAAAGATGTCCTTCATATGCAGGTAAATGCTTATGTAAAAGATTCATGGCTCTTCCTCTGTGCTAAATTTCACCATTCAAACTTGACAAACACTTTAAATTCTTGTTTAGACCATCTTCCGGAATCCAAAAGCGATAAAACCGTATCCTGTTCCAGCTCCAGAACACTGCAACTTACCTGCTGCAGCCATCAAGGCATCTTCGGATACTGTTGTGATTGTTGACATGAATGTGCCTGCAGCACATATTGCACAACACAAGTGGCAACCAAACACTCCTGATGGCCAAAATACTCCTTTCATCTTTCACCACGGAAAGCCGAGTTCAACTGGCGGAACATTGACACGCATGTTCAAGAGTGATTGGGAATATCCCCAAGCACAAGCATTTGCCTCATTAGGAATCAGAAGTTCGTCTGTCACTGCTATCACTAACGATGGAGAAATTATCACTGGTAAGCAGTTTTGAAGGCTCTGATCTCTATGAAAGTTTTGATTGATAATATATTCATCGTTTGATTGAAAATCAATGTATGTTAATTAGGCGGACATGTGGATAATAGCATCAAGATAGTCTCCTCTGATGGAGCAAAAACACTAGAAACAGCTTTTGGTCACTGTGCTCCTGTAACATGTCTGGCTCTGTCTCCAGACAACAACTTCCTTGTGACAGGTTCACGAGATACAACTGTTTTTTTGTGGAGATTTCATAAGGTATTCACTTCTCAGACAAGCGAGTCTGAGCAGACAACAAGCTCTGTAACATCTTCCTCCGCAAGCAGCAACAACATGTCGAACAAAGCCAAAAAGCATCGCATTGAAGGGCCCATACAAGTGCTCCGTGGCCACCAAAGAGAAATAAGTTGTTGCTGTGTTAGCTCAGATCAAGGAATCGTCGTTTCCTGCTCAGAGTCATCAGATGTTCTATTGCATTCCACAAGAAAAGGTCGACTAATAAGACGGCTTGTTGGCGTTGAGGCCCATGCTCTTTGCATTTCTGCAGATGGAGTTATAGTAGTCTGGAGTAGATCAGAAAGTTGTATCAGCACGTTCACCATTAACGGAGTTCTCATTTCCAAAGCAAGACTTCCTTCCTCTTGTACCATAAGCTGCATGGAACTATCCATTGACGGACAAAATGTTGTGATTGGTGTGAACTCATTTTCCGACATTGATGGATCGAGGAGTTTTAGTATCCTTACTGGTGAAGAAGATTCATCAAACAGAAGCAAAGAAGTTGAGAGATTGAATATACCATCTCCTTCAATTTGCTTCCTCAACTTATACACTCTTCAGGTATTACTATTCAAACAATTTATTAATGTGAAACACTAGATTGCTCTTGATGTCGTTTTAGGCTATTGTCTCCTTACAAACCAAAACTTCTTCTTCTGTAGGTGTTTCATGTGTTGAAGCTTGGTGAAGGGCAGGGTATAACCGCTATGGCTCTGAATACAGACAACACTAACCTCTTAGTTTCCACAGAAGATAAACAGTTGATCATCTTCACCAATCCAGCTGTAAGTTATGTTACTCTCTTCGCATTTGAGCTTCTTCATTAATTGATGAAGAATGATGAAGACATAATATATTGTCATTGCCTTATATGCTTGGAAATATCTTGATCTATAAAACCAGCAAAAGAGCAACACGATTTAAGTATTTCTTCATAATTTTTAACTCAGAAGTCAGAACCTAGTAAGAAAACAGAAGTTTTGTTTGAAATTGCTTGCAGTTAAGCTCGAAGTTGGTGGATCAGACACTGAAGCCTGGCTCGGAATGACGAATGGATCTAACTGTTTCGATAAAATCAACAGCAACTCACCATGAAATGTCTCACTCCAAGATCTGTTGGAAGAAACCTGTAGCCGAGCAACAGAGGATTTGCAGAGGGAAGTGACTTGTGGCTAATGATGGAAAAGAAGAAGAAGAACCTAAGCAAGGACATTAATGGTGCATTTTCCAAGATATTGAATTCAAAAAACCAACTCCGACTTCTCGACTCTTAAGCTTTTTTTCCATCTTCTTCCCATGTAAAGCTTACCTTTCTTTTTTGTCAAAATGATTTTACAGTTTTGCTGCTGGAACATAGAAATCCATTAGACTTTATAGAACATAAAGTAAGATGTTTATTCGTATAAAAGAGATTATGAGTTTATAGAGCAATTCTGAGACTCGGACCTATCAATTGGGATATGATCACAAGACACATACAAAATACAACAATAGATCGACTGATCTACATGGGGATCAAGAAGACAAACACACATGCACAATTTTGCATTGCTTTTAGCTTCCATGCCATCCACAGACATCACTACAAAACATCCTCCATTAATGGGTATGAGGGTAGTTGAGCTTCTTCTTCATCCTTCTTCTTGCATATGTAAATAAAATGGGAATCAGGATCCTCCAGAACATAATCATGTGGCAACATTCCCTCACTTGTTATAGGTATAGCTTCCATACACGACTTTGCTGACGAGCTGCAACTTTCTGGCCTTTTAAATCCTGGTCTTGCTGCAAGAACTCGAAAGTAATGAAGCAAAGAATACAATTTCATAAGAAAACTTTTGTTGCTAAAAAGTGGAAGCTTACGTATAATGTATAAGGAGATCTTCCAGTTGTACGCAGACCGAGTCAAATGAGGCATTCTCACTTTAGGATCACCGTAGGTTATCTAGCCAACAAACACAAAATATCTTACATATCCTTCTAGTACCAGTGACAGTCAATGACTATGAACAGTTGCAGACATATGGGGAATGCAAGAGAAAGTATGTTACCAAAAAGTAGGTCCCTCCAGGTTTAATCAGCCTGCAAATATGAAAGAAGAGAGTTTTGTTGGGAATATATAATAAAAGAGAATCTAAAAAATGGCATCTATAAGAGATGATCCAGGAGCAGCCATGATAATATTAGTGACCTGCTAACTTCACCCAACATTCTCGAAGCACTTAGAAGAGCATCACTGCCACACTGGAATCCACCGTATCACACAAAACAAGAAAACTTATAAACGCAAGTAGACATAACTACGAGAAACATAGGATCCGAACCCGTACCATCAATGAATCAAGGGTTCCTACACAATCCAGCAACCGGAGCAACAGGTAACAAAACATCACTTCTAAGCTTTTCCACCATATAAGAAAGAAAGAAAACAGAGTAAAAATTGGCTGCTACAACATACCTTTATCAATAACAGTGTCAAAGGAATCGTCCGCAAAGTAACTCATATCTCTAACATCCATTTGCATATCTGTTGGGTAAAAACAGAGTATAGGACTAAAGCTTCTTACTTTACATATTTTAAAAGCTATGTAATGGAAAAACTGGAGATGTGTTACATTTGAGCTGAGGAACAGATGCATATTTGGTTTGCATCATCTCAATAGCCACTGAAGAGATATCAACATTCATAATGTCCTCATACCCATCATTCACCATATCCTCTGACATCACTACACCAAAGAGAAGAACAGGACAATCACAGTGTATTAAATTTGGTTGCTGCTCAAGTAAAATCCAATCAATGGTATAGAGTTCTTAAAATCTATTGGCAAAAGAAGAGAGATTTACGGGAGTTGCCACAGCCAACCATAAGGACTCGTGAAGAAGTAGGGACGAAGCTGCGGACAAAAGGGCGGAGAGAAGAGTAACGTTGGTACCAGTCAAAAGAAAGCGCGTCTTGCACGTAACGAGCGTCCCAATAGAGAGCGTCTCCATAGTTGTAAGTGTTGCAGCTCGACACGTCCCTCTGCATCTCTCTCTGTCTAAAGATCCGATCTGAGATTCTGCGGCGGAGCTTTTGTCTTCGTCGTTTGTTTTTGACCGGCTTACGTAGTTTGGGCTTATTGCAGGCCCAATACAAAATCATGTGAAGCTGAAGAGTGACACGTGCTCACACGTGTTATTTAGCCTTATAAATGGGCTAACATTAAGGAATTAAAGCCTCATCTCCTGCCCATTATTATTAATGGTTTATTGATTTGTGAAGGTTTATTTAAATGTTTCTTATCAAAATGATAAAACTTTTGCAGATTTTTACATGATAGTAGAAAACTATTCTGTTTGTCGTTTTCTCTAAAAGAAAATAATTTCTTTATCAGTGCTTTGTCGGGAAATTAGAACCTTCTTTCCATTTTCAAAAGATGTTACCAACTATTGACCAAGTATTTAAAATTGATACCGACACTTATTTATGAGTCTACGGACGATATAGATTAGATTGCAAGTAAAATATCTGAATCCTTTTTTCTCTGAGTGCCTTTACAAAATTTTGGATGAGTATCTAATGAGCATCAATAAACACACTCAAATTAGTTAAGCTAGTTGACCATGGTTAACTCTAGCTGATAATCATAATGATGACGTCAAAAAAGTGATGATAATGATATAATGGTTGCTTTTTGGAAGACGAACCATAAAAAAAAAAAAAAAGAAGCCCAAAGCCCATTTTTCGTGATTTTAGGCTTTTTAGCAAAAGCAAGCACGTGTTCTCATATTAACCATAGTTAACTCTTTAAATATAACCATGGTTATTATTTAACCTCTTCTTCTTCTTATTACATAACTTCATTTCTCACTCCTAAATTGTCTTCTCACTTTCTCTTCTCCACAGTCCGACTCAACCGTCCAAATTCCAATGGCGGTATCACAAGCTTTCTCTCTCTTCGCATTCACTTTATCTCTCCTCGCCGTTGCTTATACCGTCTCCGGCCATAACATCACTCAAATCCTTTCTGATACGCCGGAATATTCCTCATTCAACAGCTACCTTTCTCAAACAAAACTCGCCGACGAAATCAACAGCCGCACTACGATCACCGTCCTTGTCCTCAACAATGGCGCAATGTCTTCCCTCGCCGGAAAACATCCACTCTCCGTCGTCAAAAATGCTCTCAGCCTCCTCGTCCTCCTCGATTACTACGATCCTTTAAAACTCCATCAGCTAGCTAAAGGCTCAACTCTCACCACCACGCTTTACCAAACCACCGGACAGGCTCTCGGAAACCTAGGATTCGTCAACGTCACCGATCTCAAAGGAGGCAAAGTCGGATTTGGCTCCGCCGCTCCTGGATCCAAGCTCGATTCCTCCTACACCAAATCCGTTAAACAAATCCCTTACAACATCTCCGTTCTCGAAATCAACGCTCCGATCATCGCTCCCGGAATCTTAACCGCACCTGCTCCTTCTTCCGGCGGTGTTAACAACCTCACCGGACTTCTCGAGAAAGCCGGTTGCAAAACCTTCGCGAATTTGCTCGTATCGAGTGGTGTTCTTAAAACCTACGAATCCACCGTTGAAAAAGGCTTGACGGTTTTTGCACCGTCCGATGAAGCTTTTAAAGCTAAAGGTGTACCAGATCTGACGAACCTCACGCAAGCTGAGGTGGTCTCGCTCCTAGAGTATCACGCCCTCGCTGAATACAAACCCAAAGGATCGTTGAAGACTAACAAAGACGCTATCTCCACATTAGCTACTAACGGCGCCGGTAAATACGATTTAACGACGTCAACTTCTGGCGACGAGGTTATCCTCCATACCGGTGTTGGTCCGTCGAGACTCGCCGACACGGTGGTCGATGAGACACCTGTCGTGATATTCACGGTGGATAATGTACTCCTCCCCACCGAGCTTTTTGGAAAATCTCCATCTCCGGCGCCGGCACCAGCACCGGAGCCAGTGAGTGCACCGACACCGTCTCCGGCTAAATCCCCGTCTCCAGTGGAAGCACCTGCAGCTTCTCCGCCAGCACCTCCGGTGGATGAATCTTCACCGGAAGGAGCCCCGTCAGACTCGCCGACAAGTTCAGAGAACAGTAATGCAAAAAACGCGGCGTTTCACGTGAAGGCTTCTGCGTTGTTCACCGCATTGGTGGCTCTTGCCGCCACATCTCTCTTGTCATAAAAAAAACCTTACAACTCCCCGTAATTACGAAGACTGCCATTGTCTCCCTTCTTTTAATTTTTATTTTATTTTTGTGATTCTGTTTGTTAAGACTGGGATTAGAGTGTTAAGGTTTAAGTTAATTCAGGCTTGGATGATTGTTTTTGTTTTGTTTTGGTGTGTTAGTTTGTAGTAGTAGTAGTGTTGAAATATTGAGATCTTCTAATTAACTAGTAGTTTCCAGTTTGTGGTTTCTTGTTCTTCCTTGCTTTGTTAATTGGTCTCTAATTATGCTAAGAAACTTCGCTTATGCAACGTCGTGAATATTAAATGCGTGGATTAATGGACCGTTGGAATTTTGCACCAAAATAAATAAATAACTAAAAATGGACCGTTGGAACTTGAACTTGTGAAATCCCACGTGGAGAGAAAACGAAGAGTCTCTTCGGGTCCACACGTACTTTAAAAATAGAAAATTCACTTTTGCCTAAAAAGATTTTGTTTAATCTAAGCCCATTAACTATTTTTTCCAGAGCCCAAGAGAGCCCACGTTACCGACACAGCCTGTCGTTCTTATTGAATAAGACGACACTCTTTTTAGACGGTTTGGACTTCAAAGTCCCCCGCCTTTTCCATTGTTTCAAACGGTGTCTGATGTTGGTGAGAATTGAGAAGGAAGAAGATGAAAGATAATGTTGCATATGATTAATGAACCACTTGATGCAGAGCTATTCTCTAAAACATCTAGCTGAGTCTAAATCCAAGGGGTTGCATAGTCTCCTTCGCTGATAAACATTGCTTATCATAACTACGAATGTGCAGTCTTCACCGCTTTGTTTCTAATGCTCTGGCATGAAACACTAATGTCCTTTAGGTGATTCTCTTCTAACGTTCAAATTTGATGCCTAATGAGTGAAATTAGAGCTTTGCTAATAAGTTTGTTTTTTTTTTTTTTTTTGTAGTTGACAGTTTAAGCAAAATGATTAAAGATTTGAATGTTTTATATATAGAGACTCATTATGCATGGGAGTTCTACGCTATCTAGGGATTCATATATGGTACCATCTTGCAGTAAAGAAGGGGCGTGGTGATTTTGATATGGACCACTCCTATGCATCAAAACTCATCATTGTAGCAATTTCGGAAATTACCCACAATCTATGTGCTAAATCTTTGGCCATTTTTGATCCTTCTTTTGTGCTTTTTTTATGCTCTAGCTTTATAAGATGAAGAATATACTTGATCTCTTTGATTGTGCTAGACAATGCCTACTCTAAGAATGGCTAGAAATAGTATAGAATGTAGGTATAGAATCATAACAGCTTTGATCATTTTGAAGCATGATAATAATTCCGGATGTTGACTAGCTCCTAAAATTTGCAATTTAGTCTTTAGTAGTATTAGTTTTCTTCACCCTTCTTTATTTCTTTTTTTGTTTGTCTATCAAATTTGGTTGCATCTCAAAAAAATATCAACACAAGAAATGAGTAAGAGTTTTTTAGTGGTCCTAGTCCTTTAGATCAATTATATTATTTTCACTATTCATATCACATGCTTAGATTTTACAAAGGAACAAGATATACAAGTCTCTTTGGAACCAAGGTTTTTTCCTTAAAATTAGACCCCAATTATGAGGGAAACCTGGTTTGAACACGAGATGCCAAACCGCGAATCTAAGACTTCGACCTTTGAAATGGGTTTGGTAGTAAGGTAAAGGAGTTTTCTTTTGAGCCTCTTTTGAAAATAAAAGTTGCTTATGGAGAAAATATAACTTTTAAAAATCAAATTGTAGTTGGTCCAAATTTTCATGTGATCTTTCTCTGTAGTTGATTACAATTAAAGTAATCAATTAGTATGAAATTGAATGATTTGTTATTTGTTATGGTCGACTTAGGTATGTACCTCTCAAGTGTTTCTACTAAGTTTCCTCTATTAGTACAGTAACTATTCCATCAAGAACAAAAAACAGAGATTCTGAGAGAGAGAAGAGTCTGCTTTGGTCTTCTTCTTCATCATCTTCGTCCTGAACTCATGCATCCCTGGCCCCTCCTATAATCATGAGTTTCCTTTTGCCATCATTACCTTCAAAAGCCTTTTCTTTATTCATCTCTCTCTATCTTAAATGACACAACAGCTTTATAGATCATATATATAAAGCTTACTCTTCCATTGTGTTTACTCAGTTCTTCTGTGGGATAAAACCATATATAATAAGATGTGTCTGAAATCTTCAGAGCCACCACCATTCCCAGACACTCACACACCAACCATGAGATCATCTTCGTACCATAACAAACGTAAATCTAAGACACAAACCCATATTCGTATCCTTAATCTCACCAGGTTCAGTTTATCTTCCGTAGATATCAAGCTTCCTCAGACACATAGACTCTTTTTTAGCTTTCTGAATTATATAACAGATTCTTTCTTTTTCTTTGGAAACAGGAGGAGAAGATTACTGAAGGAACAGAAGGATATGGAGATGAGAAACTTGAAGCTTTTCGTAGAGAATCAAAGCATCATACGAGAGAATGAAGCATTAAAAAAGAAAGCTCTTCTTCTCCACCAAGAAAACAATAATCTGTTTGCTCTGCTTCATCCAAAACTCTCCCCTGTTTCCACTTCCTTGCTTCAGTGATCTTAGTGAATCTTGTTTCTTGATTACGTTTCTTCTCGTCTTCTTCTTTTTCTTTTCCCACCTTCTAAAATAAAATAAATAAATCAAACTAATGATTTATGATGGGTGATTTACTTTTCTATCGAAGTTTTGATTTTTTTTTTCATGTACAAGTATTAACATACATATCCATGATCATTTTCAACTAAAAAATTTCGTTGCTTACTATGCCGATCCGTGATAACGATGTTTCCGACGACCAAAACCTCAGACAACCATCATGCCGTTTCATATATAGGGCCAAACATACAAAGACAAAACACAATCATCCAAAGAGGAGAGCGAGAGAGAGATAGAGTAAGCAAAAGCCATCAGATTCATCACCAAAAGTAACAGACAAAACATTACAACAAGTAGATTAACTCCATGATCCATCTGTAAGTTTCTCATAAGCTAAATAACCAACAACTGAACGAAGAGAGTATTAATATTAAACACAACCAATCTTCAAGGAAGAGACTCTAATATCGACCGATTAAGATGAAGTCATCATCATCAAGTACCTGAACATCTCTGTCTCCTACAAAATGCTCCCTTCCGATTTCCTTCACCAGTTTAACGAACTCAATCCTTTTGGACAGAGGCAAGGGCACATAAGGTAATCGAAAAACAGGCCTAGCAACTCCTAACTGAGCCAAAGCAGTATTAACACCAATCGGATTCGGTTCTTGGAATAGCCAATCCATTAAAGGAAGAAGCTTTGAGTTCAACGCTGAGTTTCTACCTTCAAACATCAACTTCCTCATCAAACCCGGAACTAAATTGCTAGTAACCGATATCACTCCAGTTGCACCGTGATCCCATCTAGAATCATGGCACTGATCATCATTTCCACTCCACACGACAATTCCATTCTCAGTATACTCTTCAACACGGTTATTACCAACGCATTCCTTAACCCCAGCCATATTAGGGTTCCCGGAGAGTTTAAAGATAACCTGGGGAGGTATATCTTGACTCGTTCGGCCTGGAACATTGTAAATAATCGTCGGTCCCATATGAAGAACGGTTTGAAAATGCGCGGTCATGCCTTCAATGGATGTTTTTCCATAGTAAGGGTTAATGTGCAGTGCCCCGTGCATTCCCACAGCGAATCCTTGCTCAGTGGCATGTATAGCTTCCCTAGTCGAGTTGCTTCCAGTGTTTCCAATGACTTTGATTCTTCCGCCAAAACAATTTACGGTATGGCCTATAAGCATTATATGCTCATCCCAGCTCATCAATTGGCCTTCACCAGTTGTACCACCAACAATCACACCTTCAGCACCACTTTCTATCTGCGTGTTGACTAAGTCATCGTACGCTTGGAGGTCGAATCTTCCATCAGGTAGATACGGTGTCTTAATGGCTGTGATCACTCTAAGTGACCTTATGTCGTCTGTGTTTGTCCTGCAACACAAAAACAAGAGAAAGCTGATAGCATGAACAAAAACAATAGTAAACATCGGAAGGAAAAGAAGATGCGAAAATCGAGACCTGTTTTTATCCTCGAGACTGCGCATTGGAAGATGGAAGTTAGGTACAACAGCTGCTTTTGGAGAGACCCATTTCGCATTCCTTCTGGTTTAATGAGCAAATAAATGAACCAGAGATCATAAGGCAATGTCTCAGAAACACCAATTACATCTTAAAGCATCATCTAGGCTCTAGCCAATCGATCAACAGATATAAACACAACTACAAATCCGATTCTTTCCAGAGATCATTAGGTGAGACAAAAGTTTCAATTACACTAGAGAGCTATCCAAAAGAAATCCAATACCAGTAACTATAATCCCAATAAGATTAGGGATAGATAAGTGAGAGAGAGCAACCTCTTGTAGCTCTCCAATTGATGTGAGCGAGGAAAATGGAGGGCAGAGTCAATGGAGATCAAGCCGTAACCTTTCAAAGCTACCATCTTTAAATCCTAAATTCAATCGGAACACTAGTAGAATCAAATTCGAACAACGAGAAAGAAGACAAAATCAGTTGTAGGATGTGATGATAATAGTGGGCACACTGTCGGTAATCGAAGCGGAAAACGTTGCAACGAGATCAAGATCGATTGAGCTCTGGAAGTGGTTGCAGGGCATGCTGACGTCAGATTCCGGCAAAAGTAATCGGTTTTGTAAGGAGGAAAAGAAAGCGGCGGGAGAGAAGAAGCCTGAAACTGAGAGAGATGATGATGAACCATGGAGGCCACTTTAGGGCTTCCCAATTTCTTTAATTCCTCATTATATTGGGCTTTAAGAGGGTTGAGATTCGGCCCACTTGTCCAGAGATTCCCGCGCGCGTGTATTATGACGCATACCTTATGCGCGTGGGACTGAACTTTGTCTGTCTATTTAAACGGCATGGTTCGATTTTGTTTAGATGATAATATAGATTTGTTTGATTTTAACTTTTAAGTATGTTTCTGATTTGATGAAAAAAAAAAAAAAGTATGTTTCTGATAGGATTCAATTCATGTTTTTGTAAGAGTAAAATAAAAAAAGGTAATTGTAAGTTGATCAGGGGAAAATTATTTATTTTCATAAATTTGTTGTTCTATAGTTTACCAATTGAAATTTTCGTTTTGTAAATCCTACTACTACTAGCACACAAAATATTGACTCCTGTGTATAACCATTATGTATGTGTGTGTATATATATACAAATTACAAAATATACATGTTAACGTGCAAAGTAGTTCAAGTAAAAAGTCTTAAGGAAAGTGTATGTCAATGCAATCATCTTGTTCCCAAGTTTTGTGCCATATATTAAACAAAGTGATTGCATTGGCAGGCACTTTTCTTAGGAATTTTTTCTTGGGCTATATTAAACCAGTATTCTCATGCATTTCTATACCAACTTCTTAATTATGATCAAGCTATAATTATGATCAAGCAATTAACAAAAAAAAAAAAAAAAAAAAAACTTCTTAATTATGATCAAGCTATAATCATTTATCAGAAAACACATGAAGGATAACATTCGAAATCAACTACTACAATATATAAACATCTAGTCAAGGGATATTCACACGCAAAAGCCCAACACTAACCTAATATATATAAGATCAAACCGAGATCAGACCATTGCGTTTCGACTCACGACTCACAACAAACATTGTTTATCCAATCGAAAATCTTCCAAAACCTTTTCAGATATTAATAAAACATTAAAATCAAAACCTAGGAAAATCTTTATAAAATTTAAAAGTAAAAAAAAAAAAAAAACGAAAATTATATTTTAAGGATATTATCTTAGAAAGACGGTCGTTGCGTTCCCCAATAAGCTTCACCTGGCAACGAAACAGAGTTGATTAAATTCGACGGTGACCCTTGTACAAACGATGTCGCATCATGCATTAACTGTTTCTCCGTTTGCGTTCCAACCGCCACACTGGCGTTTCCATCTATTTCTCTATCAGTTTCCTCCTCCTCTAGTGGCAGCCTCTCGTAAGCTGCGTTTCCAAACGAAGCTGCCATAATCACCACCGGACCTGAAGCCATAAGCGGTCCCACCACACTGCCCCCGATCACTTGACCTTGACCACCGGCTAAGTAAACCGTTAAACCAGTCGCAGCTGGAGGAGCCGGTGGAGGAAGAAACGAGCCCGAGAGAGAAAGAATCTCGAACCGTCCGTGTAAACTAACGACGCCTCCGCCGGGTTGTCTAACAGTGACGTTTGTAACGGCGCCGTTTCCAGTCAAGACGCAAACGCCACGCTGACGGCGTCTAGCGAAGACGGCTAAGCTTTCCATTACATCGCAGCCGTTGGTTATCTCCATGACGTGGCATCTGAAGGCGTTCGCAGAGTCGCGAGTGACTATGATCGGTGCTTTGGGTTTGTTTTTGGAACCTGCGGGTCTTCCACGTGGTCTTCTCTTCTTGATATTCCCTCCTTCTGAAGGAGTAGTGGCTTGGTCTTTGCCGGAGGAATCGTTGTTGGGTTCAACTTCGTCTTCTTCTCTGTCGCGTTTTAGTCCAGCGTTTTGATGGTGATAGTGATGAAGATCACTTGATAGAAAATGCGGTGGATAAGAACGAGAGACCTCATCCATTTCTTCTATAAAAAACAAACTAAGTTCCTCTTTTGATTCGCTAAAAGTTAGTCAAGGTAGGGAAAAAGAAGGCTTTTAGCTAGGTTGATTAGATTTGGTGATCCGTAAAGAAGTTAAAATGAATCAAAGATAGAGTTATTTATATATACATATAGTTAGGGCTTAGAAGATGAGATCAATGAGAAGTGGAAGTGAAGTAGTGATACTTGTAGGAAAGAGGAGGGTTTGAGATATGGAGGTTTAGGGTTTAGGTTGTGGCTTAAGGTAAAAAATTCAGAAGGGTGATGGGTTCTGTTTTGGCAATAACACAAGAGCATGCCCCCATGGTGCGGTATATGGGTTCCACTAGTTTTGGTCTTTTGAAGTGTGATGTTAAAGGAAAACAAAGAGTTGAATAAAAAGTGAGAATATGAAGCAATATAACAAACAAACAGGTGTTGATTGAAAAGATACACAACGAATTACCGTTAACCGTGATGGGGAAATTTATGAAAAAAGGAAATATTTGAATGGGCGTGAAACTGTGAAAGGCGAGCATGTGCCGGACATGGGGAAATGGATTGGGACCCAAACAACACTAATGAAGTCAGATTACAAAACACAACGAGTCAGACTGTGTCTTGTGGGATATAACTACTCATAATTTACCATTCTACACTACATTAAGTCCCTTTTGGCTATTTTAATTAGTAGTAGAAGAAAATAAGACTTATTTTTCCTTCTATACTCATTGATTTATCGATTTTTAGTCTTTTGTCATTGTAAATTAGTATGTCAGAATTAGACCTATATATATAAGTAGTTTAAGTATTAATACCAAAAACCTTATGGAAAGACAAAAAAAAGGATGGAGTTGGAGACAGCAAATGCTAGGTGTCAGTCCACACGTGCAATGCCTTCTGACGCACGCGTGAAGATTTTTTTTCTTTTCATTTTTTGAAATTTGAATTTATATATAACCAGGTGATTTGAGCAGTTCTCCTTTTAGCAACACTCTCAAGTACATTCCGGACGACACTTGTCAAAAGTGAGTGGATTTGGATTGTGTGCGAATGTGTTTGACCGATTAGGATTATGAAGAAGAGAAGTTGCGTCTAAGGAACCACGGCGTGTGAGCGTGATCCCTTCAGTCCATCTATGTTCACACACCCACCCACTCACTTGCCGACCAGTTCAGGTTTTGTATTTATTTGTTAGAGAGCCAATTAGTGATGATGGGCGCATATTGCTCTGAAACCCATGCAATATAATGCAACAACATCATGTACTAATACTTACTATAGCATACACAATACAGTTTAACAATGATCATACTCACTCAAACATGGCTAGTGAACATGTTATGCTTTATATCGGACATTTCAAGAAAATTGAGAATAGCTGAGCATTAATTTGGCTCTGCTGTTTGTTCAGTAACTTGTGGTAGTTGCTCATTAATGTTCATCGTTCTTTGGGAGGATTTGTTTAAACTATTTTAGGCGATTCCAGCTGATGATATACCATTAATTCGCCCATGTTAAAGCACGCACATGACGAATTTTACTGTAAATAAATCACGGTCCATAAATCACTCGTTATTCATTGATAGCTTTTAAATGTGTTGTAGTGAATATATCATGCAACGTTCACAAATGCCATACTTGAGACTTGTTCTACGGATTTACCCAATTAGAAACTTGTGAAAATGAAAAATCACTCCGCCAAGGACAAATACGGCGTCGTATCGTTGGAGTCTTGGAGACAACCAAAAAGTGCGAAAAGAGTTAGCTTGCAGATATTGGGCTTACGAGAAGATTAAGCCCATCAAAGTCCATTAAACGAGTGTTATATAGAACCGCTATGAATTTAAAAGAGAACTCTATAAAGGCAAGCATTAACATCACAAGCCAAAGTGAAAGATGAAAGCCAAAAAGAAAAGAGAGCAAAAATCAGCACCATTGGAGTAAAACCGGACCAACCGATAATCCAAGCATGTCAGCAAGAGCAGTCTGAACCTCGTTAGACCCGTGTTCGCAGCTAATCAAGCTAGCCAGAAGTGGAAATAGACATTTCAGGTTCTTCTCAAATGATGCCTCTTCTAATGTACATATTGCTTGAAGTGTTGCAACTATAAGAGGAGCTCTTGCTGCTAGCTCTCTTCGTTTTCCTGATCCCAAAGGTATTCTCCATCGGTATTCGCTGGCCCTTGATGATTCTGATTGTTGTTTTTTTGCAGAAGCAGAAGTCTCGATGTAGAAGTTGAGAACTTCTTGACAGATGTTGACTAGAAGTGATTCTATTTCCTCTTCTTCTTCTTCTTCTTTTTTGGTTTTGTCTGCAACAAGATTCTGTAAGAATGTCAGGCAGATTTGGTAAGACTCGTTTTCGAGACGAAGTAGTGGAGGATCTTGCATCTGTGTCATGGGTCCTAGCTCTTGTAGTCTTGAACGAAGTATTGTGTTACTGTTTATTCCGTGAGCATGTAAAGCTAAACCGTGCAATGCATCTAAGAGGACTAATGTGTTTTTCGCTGAAAGCTGAGGTCTGTACATGTTGTAAATCTCCATCACAGCCTGAAAAAAATAGAAACATTACTACAACAACGACAAAAATTGCATATATTTTTTTTTGGTAAATCATTAACGGAAAAGACCCCTGAGTTTCTCCTTCTGTTTGCGTTTGCATTTTGAGTTAACAATTTACAAAAGAACATTCGATTAAAGAATATAAAAGTTGTCGGTTGTCGGTCCAATTGAAAGGAACACACATTATTATAATACATAAACGTAAGGCTTGAGAAGAACTAACCTGGATCAACAAAAGTTGAACAGCGGCTCGGCACTTAGCATCAGAGATAGCGGCGTAAAGATGGGTTGCTGTTCTCTGACTCTCTTCATTACCATCGGTAGCAGTTGGAGCAGCAGACTCAGCATTACTGTTCTGAATGTTGAGAGCATTTCTCTGGCTTCTTTCTACATATTCTTCGCTAAGGAAATACGAAAAATCTGGGCAAGTTGTTTTTGCCGCTTCTTTTAAAGCTGACACCACCTCTAACCACTTTTCTTCAGAGAACAAGCCATCAGCATCGCTCATCAGACGAACAAACGCAGCAATACCAATCCCTGCAAGGCTTTGGTGAGGTCTCTTTATGAAGCTCACAAGAAGCATTAGTACTTTCTTTAGAAGTGGATTGACTGTAGTGTAAAATTTGACAAAGAGATCCACTACAAGCTGTAGTGCTAATGTACAGGTCTCGTAGAGCCAGGCATCATGATCTAGCTCATCCACATCGCCACCATAACTTCCTTGATCAGCAGATTCGTCTTCGCCAGAAGGATCAATAGAATGCCGTACGTAATCGAATATAGGAAATAATACAGACTCGAATATTTTTTCCCATAATGGTAGAGAAAATAAATGGCCGTGGTTGCGTAAGGTATCAAACATAATCTGTAGTGCGCTTTTCCTGATTTCTGGTCTTGGATCGAAACTAAGCTCTGATAAGCCTGCACATTAGACAGAGGAAGGTGAAACACATGAATAGAATCTTCAACTAAAAGCGAAAAAAGGTAGTTAGAAAATGCCTAATGTAGAGATTATTTAATTTCATGTTATACCTGATAGTAAGGGAAACCAAAAGTAGAGATGATTATTGTTGTTTACAATCTCTCCGTTCTCTTGTTTCCCACTTTTTCCACTGTGGAGAGATGACTGAGGAATCTTTCCAGAATTTTCCTTGTCTTTGTTTGTTGATAGCGAGTTAAGATCTCCTTCTGCAAGCTTTGTTGCACAATATCGGAGGAAAGCTATAGAACTGAGACTGATATCCTTGCTAAATCTGTTATTGGTGAATGCAACTAGGCAATTCACACAATCTGTAAAAGTGGTGGTTTCTGTCTCAGTGATGTATGGGAAATATTCTCGAATAATCTTCTCGATAATTTCAAAGGACAAAAACACAATGTTTTTGTGGTCATCATACGCCGCTGTGGTAAAAACCTGTAAAGAAAGAAAACACATTGTGAGGACACATGGGTAAACCAAAAACTTCTTGAATAAATGTGGTTACCAGAGAAGTACAATAAATGCCTACCATGAACATGCTTTTCCATCCTGACTTAACATTATTTACACGCGACAATACCATCTGAGAAACACACCGGATGATAAGTTCTCTGATCTCAACATCATTACTTCTACGCATAACGATGACAAAAGGTGTCATAAACTCGTTTTGGAAGTTGTAATTAGCCAACTCCTCCCGTTCCAGGAATTTCATTGACAACTGGCGCAGAGAATCCATTGCAAATATTGCAATAGAAAGATTCTCTGAGCATCCAATGGTCACAAAGAAACCCGATAGAACTTGCCAGATGCTTGACCAAACAAGCCTTATGCGGTTCATGTTATAATGCCTGTCACCAATTACAAACAGAAAATTGTCAGACTATATACTTAAAGTTGCTAAGAACACAGAACGTCTCTTATATGCAGTATATGAGAGAAAAAGAGGAAAGAAACTAGGCGATTCTTACGCTATCTCAACAATCTTCGTGAGGCTAAAAACGCGTGGATTAGAAGGAGACCGCAACTCATCCATAGAAACTTTGCAGAGAGCTTTAACAAAGTCTATTATAGCTTCACTGTTTAGTTTCTGACTCTGAGAAAATATTTGATTCATTTCACCAACCTGCTCCAACAAGTTCAAATTTGAGACTATACTGCTCATTTGTTCTTGTCTCACGTTCTTAGAACCTTTTCCGCCAAGACTCATGCTGTCGTATGAACCCCTCAAGACACCTGTAGCTGCATATTGACTTTTCCCAGGACCCTTCCTTTTCAGAACAGGAAGTATATATTGTTTGGGTTGCTTTGATTTCTCTGACTCATTTTGCTTGGAAGCAAAAAAAGTGGCATCTGGAGGAGCACCTTCTCCCAAGAGATGTAGTTGCTCAAAACGGGAAACACAAGTTAGAATATGCTCCCAGGCATCTTGCAAATAGTTGCCCTCTTCATCAGCAAGTCTGAGAATCGCCTGGAAAAAAACCAATATTAATTTGGGATCCAGACAAGTTTAAAGGGGAAAAGGCGACAGTGAGATCAGGAATATATCATCGACATAAAAAGTGACAAGGAATGGACTGAGAACGAGGTCAGACGGGGAAAGTATACTCAAGATACATATCATGTTTTTTTGGTACAGCGAGGGAGCGGAACTAGTATAAACAACAATCACATAAACCTTAATGAAGTAGAATACCAACCTTAATGGCTTCGATATTTCTCTGCTTGATATCAGCTGGGGAGTGAAGTGAAGTGAACTTCGCTAGTGAAGTCACAAAAGCATCTCTATGGGTCTTCATTGACATCAACGAAGTGGCATGGATTGCATGGTGGAAGCCTTCAAGACATATGTTGATCACTATCAAATCATCACTCTGGTCTAGCGGCACACTGAATGCAGCAAGCATAGGAGCCCAACAAGCCTCAATCATAAATCTGAGAATAACCACATCTGTAGCAGCATAGTAGGTTGACCTGAAAACTCAAGTCAATTCAAATACTGTATCAGCTAAAAGATGCCCAAGAGATGAAACAGTTCAGGAGAGTAGCTCTGAGTTGAAATGAATACTAAGTCTTACAGAGACTTAGTATGATGCAAGTAAGAGTGAGTGATCTTACTCTGATTTACGAGCTTTTTCCTTAAATTGCTCTTGCATATGCTTCATCAGATCATCACTTGTTTCCGCATATGAATCTCCCCACTGCTTACGGATCACTATGTTTAATATACCATCCAAACCAAGCATTTTGTTAGAGTTTGCGTGCTGTTTCTGTTGCAAAGGTAAATCATCTTCTTTCATCTTTATCTCATGCTTTGTTATCCTTTCATACAGCGATCTCATGTAGTCCGCAGGTAAATCTTTTCCGTCGTCTATTCCACGATTGTTTCTGATAAAGTCATCAGCAGACATCTATATATGTTCCAAGAGAAAAAAAAATGCACAAAGAACGTCATTAACATTTTACCTAAAACTTCCACAATAACTGTATTATCATAGACAATGAATGAAGCAAACCTTGTTCTTCACCGTGGGGTTGTGGGCATCAGTATTGAGCATGATCACAGAATATGCAAGAACATAAGCTGTATCTGCGCTAGTAAACACCTTAGAATTACACTTGCAGTAACGTTCAGCAAACTTTTCCATGATTCGATCAATCTTTTGTGCTTCTCCTGGCAGCTTAAAACCTTCAAGAAAGGTTCTAATTGCCTCATCAAATTCCATGCCTTGGAAATCAAAAGAATCCACATATGCATGCATCACCTTGAGAGGTAAATCTTCTCTTTCTCCAAGATAATCACCTATCAAAGTTTTATTTAACCCTGACGCATCTTTGAGAAAACCTGCTATTTCTTCAGGAGATTCACCCACCTTACCCGCGTTGATGAGAAACTCAATACCTTTAGTTGGCTTCCGATTAAAAAGAGAAATACCTTCCTGGGACAAACATTTAAGTTAGAATTAACGACCACAGAACTATTATAAATTGTCACTTATTTCAATAAATTGCATAACACCCAAACATCTTTACGTTCTTACCTGAAGTTCGAGTTTGTAAGCCCGGCGCTGCTCGATAGCTAGAGCATCTGATGTACCTCCTGAAGATTCAGAATAGGAATCTGATTTGTCAGCAGTCTCATCAGCATTTCCATTAGCCAATTGGGGACTTCCGGGTCCCAGATCGATCTCAACTGCTTCAGATTTATTCAATGAATTAGAAACTGGCAGGCGCAACTGCTTGTTCAACCAATCTCCCATTGATTTCAATATGGCTACTAGGCATTTCATGGCTTCAAGTTTTGTAGCTGCCTCCTGAGGTGGTAACAACGTTGTAGCTGTACCAGGAGTGACCCCTTGAGCCGTTTTAAGGAGACCATTGACCATCCTAAACATGATCATGCAGAGGAAACATAAATTACGAAAAGAACTTCCACCTCATAAAAACTTAAAACTCTGAACAGCAAAGCATCAAGGCACATAACATACCTCTCAAAAATATTTGATGAATTCACATCACAATCGTAGTTCAAGAAAATATCAACTAGGATTTGGGAATCCAAACAAAGCTTGTCAAGAAACCGAAGAACAATCATCTTCTGTTGAAAATTAGGTTGAGCTACATTCTCCACAACTCTAAGAACAATCATTGGGAAGAAAACTCCAATTTCGGCCTTTAATCCAGCCCGGAATCTTGCAACCAGACTAATGAAAATAGAGCAAGAGAGCTGGAAGATAATCATAAGAGTAGAAGCGCTGTTCTTCAACAACGACAAACACAAATACCGTTTGATATCACGTGAAAACCTGTTCAGCAGAGATGGCAACTCATCAGTAGAATACAAATATGACTTCTCTTCATACAGTGGATTTGCCCTTACATACTCAAACAAGAGCAGATGAGGTATGCAGACATTCTAGTTACAAGAACATACCTCTCACTGGTCCTAAAGACAGCTCCAGCATTTTCCAACAAGATCTTCAACAGCTCAAGAGCCAGAATCTTCCCTCTCATTGACTGCGGATCTGTCGAAGACTCCTTTGGAGGCGCCTTCATGGAGAGCTTACACAGCGCCCTGAAAACCATCAAGGCATCTCTCCGCAGCTTATTCTCAATCTGAACTTCTAAATCATCATCATCTCTCTCAACGTCTCCGTCTACTAGCTCCCCCTTCCTTCCCTCTAGAGCTGACTTGTACATACTGATCTCCCAATACTTAGCGTCCAACATGTCCTTATCAGTGGAGTCCAACAAATCCGTAGGATTCGTAGTCACCACTGTGGTAGTCCCATATACCCCATCTTGGCCCCCGGAGCCTGATCCTGATCCTGATCCTGGCATTGTAGGGTTCAACACGCCGTCAATATCTTGCATGATTTTGGTGATAAAACCCTGCACAAACTGCGTCATTGTCCCATCCGCATCTGATTTTTCGAGTGGCTCCATGAGCTCAGCCACTACGATCGGCTGAATTGGAACTGTTGACGAATCCGCCTCCATTCTCCGGAAAACAATCACCAGTATCTGGATCAGCGAAGCCTTGGCAGTCGTCTGATTCACCACATTTTTGCTTCCCAAGTAAATGTCGTAGCAAGTTCGTACAATCATGAGCAAGCATTCGCCATGGATCCGGAGCGAGATGGAGTTAATGGCAGATAACATAGTCTTCAACACAGGTAATTCAATGGATTCGTCTCCTAAATCATGGCATTTACAAACGGACTCGATCAATTTAAAAAGGAGAAGGGACTCCGCTCCACCGGACGGGTCCGATTCACCACGAATGTAGCCATGCGCGATAAGCTTCTGAATGCAGTCAATAGCAGGTTCGATGATCTTGGCGAGGCCAGTGCCGCAGGCATTGATCAGAGGGCTGAAGATGAATTCAGAATCGGCGAGCGAGTACTCGATCGAACCACCGTCGTTAAGTGGACCGGGAACAGAGGAATCAGGCTCGGAGTCAGCAGCAGCAGAGGACGACGGAGGTGGTGATTTCTGCAGCGAATTTAGCCGCTCGATAACAGCTTTGCATTCGTTAGCGAGCTTCGAGTGTTTCCGCCACGATGCGTTCTTGACGATCTTCTCTAGAGCTGGTGTTACGACTCGACTCAATCGGGAATCAGCTTCCGAGGAAGCCATTCCCAGTTTTCACGGCGAGCTCAGCGACTCACAGATCTAGAACAATAGATTAACAGGAAGGAAACAGCCTCTGAGCTCTGCGTCCGATCCACGTAGACGAGTTGGGTCAACGAGTCTGACTCAAGCCGCTGCAAAAGGAAATTGCAGGGTACAGAGCAAAGAGGTAGATGAGACGATACTTCAGATCGCGTCGTCGCAGTTTGATTTTTCTGCCATCGAAATGAAAATTCACTATATGACCGAAATACCCTTCAGTTGACACTGAACTTAGAGGGCCACTTTGTAATTTAAGGGAAATTCAAACACCAATTTCGACAGTTTACATCACTACGTTTCTGAGCTGTTGATCGCCGGGAAATTCGTTGCCTGTTCCCGGTCTGATGTACTTTTACGTCCAAGATCATACGTATTTTTATATTTACATTTCAAATTCATAAAGTTTAAAGGGTGGCTAATTAGAAAAAGATTAAATTAATTAAAAATCTTCGACAAATTTGTTTCATCGAGTCTAAAATAGCAATCACTTAACAATAAGCAAAAGTGAGAAACCTTGAAAGGTTTCAAATCTTAGATATATGCATAGAAACAATCTGGGTTTGACTTTACATAAAACAAGAAGGAAACACCTACAAGAAACACAGCCAAACAAAAAATCCCTGAAACCTTGTAATAGAATACATAAAATATACAACCTGATTCCCATTTATGAATTGGGAAAGGATATGCATAACAAGATGTATGAGATAGAGAGTTAGAAATTGGTTATATTGAAGAACCTTACCGTGTTTCTACAAAATCTCCCCGTGTCTAAATCCATTGTCTTCACCGTCCGTGTTTGAATCCAAACCACAAGGAGAGTCATACCATTTGGAGTTTTCTTGATAGAAGCTATCATCGACTTGTATACCAGCTAAACCTACATCTGTTACTATACTACCTCCATCGTGGTTCATCGGTTTTGTTAATTTAGAATCTTCGCTATTCAGAATGCTATTCTCATCATCAAAGTCATTGCACTTTAGCCATTTATCAGGCTTACATGTCTCAGCCAAGAGATCCTTCTGACTTCTACAATCCGACGGTGGCCTTATCTGTTCCCAAGGAACAACATCATCAAGGCTCCTCTCAAAACTGTCCTCATCGTCTTCAATAAGTTCTGCATCCTTCCCATCTCCGTATAAATGCTCATGGTGATGGTCACTCCAATGTGTTAGATCGTTATCTCCAACAAGTATTTCATCTGAGTGTGACTTCTCTGAAACCAAGCCTGTTGTATCCTTAACACTCTCAACGCCGATATTCCTGATCTTGTTGAGCATCTCAAACAACTCTGTGGACACTGAACCCAACATCTCTTGTGAGAAATTCCCAATCTTTCCTTCTAGAGTTCCAAGTTCACTCCTTAGTTCCTGCACCTGATGCAAGACAGCAAACTGCATTTCGGCACCATCATCCTTCCCAGTCAATCCCATCCCTTCGGTTTCTAAGTCTTCCTGCACTCCGTAGACCGTCTCTTGATCCATCAAAAACCCCTTATGACCAACAACCCGATGCATGATTCTCGCATTTCCATCCATTGCCCCCGGCTCATGTCCTGAATGGACAGCGTATAGCTTAAAAACTGCTGTCCCTTCTTCCTGATATACAAATGTTTTGGTCTTTTCACTGTAGTTAGCAATGGGTACAATAGCTCTAATCCTAAAACCACAACCGCATCTCTTTGACTGATACGGCTCCCTCTTCAAAATCCTAGACTTCTTAATTGAGACAGGCTCTCCAGCTCTATGACATGCATAATCCTTCACCTCTGCCATGAATGGCTTATACCTAATGTACTTCTGCCTAATACAGAGCACAACTTTGTGCTTAGCAGCCAGTTGCTGCAACCTATCGGGAACTTCCTTGGCAGGCACATCAAAAGACTCAGTATACTCAAATCGACGCCGTTTGTTCCTCGAACCAGAACCAGAGTCAGCATTGCAAACAGGACATGCCGCAACACAAACCCTAATAAAGCTCTCGGGAATTCCATAGAGCTTAGCACCAACAGTCCAAACTTGCTTAATCCTCTCAATAGTCTCTTTAGGCCCTAAGTGTTTCAAATCACCATCACCGTGAAAGCCCATGACTATATCTTGCCACTGGTTAATGTGAGAGACGAATTGCTGAGAATTATTCTTGAAGCAGAGAAATTCGTTACCGGTGGCTGGGTCGAGGCGAGAGGTGAGCTTATCCTGGATCCGTTTCCAGGCGGTGAGGTAAGCCGTTTCCTCGTTACGATCCTTCCAAACGGCGCGCCATGACTTGAGGACAGACCTCGGCGTAGCGATACGGATCTCCGCCGGAGTAGCGAGACGGACCTCGCGGAGACAGCGAATCATGAGAGAGTGAGAAGCTGCGTTGAATGTGTAGAACTGAGATGAGATATGAGGATCGGGGCTGATAAAAAGCCCATCTCTTCCTGCACTCGAAACCCTAGAATTTGACGAAGCATCAATTTGGGGGTTTCCGGTAAGGGAATCGTCGTGTTCGTCTGAGGAGTGACCGGGAGAATCTCCGGAGGGAGAAGAGCGGAAGAGTACGAATTCCGGGAGAGAAAAAGCGGGATCGACTTCGGAATTGTGGTCGTGGTGGTGGTGGAGAATGGAGGGTTGTGATTGAACGAGTATGTCCGCCGTCGGATCAAGATCATGATGGTGGAACAGACCTTCTTCGGTTTTGTGAGGATTCATCAGGAAGATGAAGAAGTAGCAGAGAGAGAGAGGAGACGGCGAAGACGACGACGATGAAGAGAGAGAAAAAGAAGGTTTTTTGAGTAATTTTCTGTGTGTTTTGTTTTAATTAATTTTATTTCAATTATTAAGGCTTGGTCTGACAATACTGATAAGTCCGAGGGGTATTATTTTATTTGTCTCTCTCCACATATTTTTAGTTTGGTTTTATTTTTCTTTCCAGAAGAAATTCAGACAAGCGCTTTGGTTCGTCCTTTTATCCACTTCCAATCATCATTAACAATTTGGTTTGTAAGAATAATACTATAGAGTATAGATGTGGTGATTAATAATGATTTTACGTTAACCAAAAACGATGCGGTGGTTTTGACCACCTAAACGGCTAAACGTATGTATAGCCGACCGATTTTATATGATGTGTGGTTGAATAAAATGTCAAGTAACAAAAAATGTTGATAACATATCATTCGTTATCCTTAAACCAAATAATTTACCCTAATGTTTTAGGAAAGAGTTGTATACTATGTACATTTCTTTTTTAAATAATGTTTTTAAAGTTTTACACAAAATTTAAATTCATTTGAACGGTGTAACTGCATACTTTTATGGTTACAGATTACGCATGTTTAACTTATAAAGCAATGTAGACTACATATGAAGTTACTATAACTTTTTTGTTGACGAAATAAAATTTCCAAACAAAATATTTTAGTCTCATTCTATAGTGACATTTTGTGTTTATTCTTGTACATTCTCTTATCATGCATCGATCAGTTCAAAGTCAAAGAGTATATCCAATGTCAAAGTAATAAAGATGTTAATGCAGTCATTATCCCTCCATTTGATACTATGAAAAGATTTGATAATTTATTTTAATTGTTTATCTGGTTCCCATTTTTTATTAGATAATTTAAGATCATTATGGAGCCAATTATATTTCAAAATATCCGGTTTCAAAATTCAAGGCTTTATTACTCACTAAATCTGGTCCGTTCAAGAAAAGGAGAAAAGCAAAAACGGAAAGGGGATTTTAATAAACGGCTCAGATTCATTACACGTCAACCAAAATCGTGAGCCTCAGATCGTAACGGACCCTCCTCCCGCTCCTTGTTCAAATTTTAATTTTACATCCGTTATACTCTCAACACTTATAAACCCTAATTTTGCTCTCTCTCTATCTTTGATCAATTCTTCACAATTTCTTCTTCTTGGCGCCGATCTTTGATCATCAGGTAGTTTCTTTTTCTCGCTTCTTTTCTCTTGTAGATGTTAAAGATCTTCAACTTTTTATAAGTCATCGCGATTTTGTGATTTTAATTCTGCGGAGGAAACAGAGAAAATTATTGCATTTGTTTCCGAATTATTTGGTATTTGTGTAATTTAGAATCGGAGTTACGAAAACGTTTAGCGGTGATGTTGATAATTGGGAGTTTTTAGTCTTTAGGTTTCGAGAGAAGGATTTAACGTGTTCTAATCATCATGATGCGGATTTCTACGGAGCAGTTTTCGAGAATCGAGACTACATGTGGACTGTTGCTTCGCCAATTGCAGGTTTTTTCTCGAATTCACATCTTCATTGCCAATATTTGTTTATTTTCTTGGGTTTTTTTGTAGAATTTACCAATTTTGATATCAGGAAATATGGAATGAAATGGGAGAGACTGAGGATGAAAAGGATGCTGCTTTGGCTGATATCGAGAAGGAGTGTCTCTCGGTTTATAAGCGAAAAGTCGAAGAGGCTAGTCGGTGTAAAGCGAATTTGCTGAAAGAAATCGCTGTTGGAAGAGCAGAAATTGCAGCCATTGGCTCTTCTATGGGTGGACAAGAGATTCATGAAAGTGTATTCAAGATTTACGTTTTGACAACTTTGGTTTTTGTCTGCTTGAGTTATGGCAAATAATGATGTTTTTCACTTTTCTTGGCGTCTTTTCTTCTTACAGTCTAACAGCAGGTTAGGAGAAAACTTGAAGGAGGAGCTTGAGAATGTTAATGTGCAATTGGATGGACTGCGCAAAAAGAAAGCTGAGAGAATGAATCGGTTTAATGAAGTTATCGATCAGTTACTGAAGTTGTCATTCCAACTTGGAAATCCAACAGATTATCTGAAGAATTTTGCTGCTGAGGAGACCGATCTTTCGCTTCAGAAGCTGGAGGATTTGCGTAAGCAATTGGCTGAACTCCAGAATGAAAAGGTTGGTTTTGATATTAGATCTCAAGATATGGGACTTACAAAGTTTTCAGCTCCTGCTTTGAAATGATATCTTTGATTCTTTTCAAATTGTAGAGCAAAAGATTGGAAGAGGTAGAGTGTCTACTGAAAACGCTGAACTCGTTGTGCTCGGTTCTTGGTGAAGATTTCAAGGACATCATAAGAGGGATACATTCATCTCTGGGTGATTCCAACACCAGAGATGTGAGCAGAAGTACTCTTGATAAGTTGGATATGATGATTGTGAATTTACGAGATGTCAAGTTACAGCGAATGCAGAAGGTTAGTAGTCTGAGCTCTTTTTGAAATGTAGTGCTTATTTTTCAGCGTGCTTATGGTTTTTGACTCTTATCACTTTGTTTTCCTAGGTTCAAGATCTTGCAGTCTCTTTGTTGGAACTCTGGAATCTGCTGGACACGCCTGCGGAAGAGCAAAAGATATTTCACAATGTCACCTGCAGCATCGCTTTGACTGAGTCTGAAATTACTGAAGCCAACATACTTTCTGTTGCTTCCATTAAACGCGTGAGTGCACAGGACCAAACCTTGCTGTGTTTTCTCCCGGTATTGTTAGTCTATCCGTTCATAACAGTACAGGAACCATCTTTTTTATAATGTGGGTTTGTTTGGTTTACAGGCTGAGGATGAAGTCATTAGGCTTAGCAAGCTCAAAATAACTAAGATCAAAGAGGTGATACTAAGGAAGAAGCTTGAGCTTGAGGAAATATCAAGGAAGATGCACATGGCCACCGAAGTTCTTAAATCAGAAAACTTTTCATTTGAAGCTATAGAATCTGGTAAACCATTATAAGAAAAAGCTTATTTTTACATAATATGATGTGCAGAAACTCCAGAAATGCTATGCTCATTATACTGGTAGATAATATGAATATGCTAATAATAACATGTTTCCACTCACCTAAAAAAAGCTTATTTTTACATAATATGATGTGCAGAAACTCCAGAAATGCTATGCTCATTATACTGGTAGATAATATGAATATGCTAATAATAACATGTTTCCACTCATCTTTTAGGTGTCAAGGATCCTGAGCAGTTGTTAGAGCAAATTGATTCCGAGATTGCAAAGGTCAAAGAGGAAGCTTCAAGCAGGAAGGAGATTCTTGAAAAAGTGGAGAAGTGGATGTCAGCTTGTGAAGAGGAGTCTTGGCTCGAAGAGTACAATCGGGTTAGACATCTAATCTCTCAATCTATTCCTCTGCCTCAATCTTTTCTTTTGTTCTCACATTGTTGGCTTCGCAGGATGATAACCGGTACAACGCTGGAAGAGGAGCTCATCTTACATTAAAGCGTGCGGAAAAAGCCCGTGTACTTGTCAATAAACTACCTGGTAACATTCTTGCTCTTTAGATTATATTGCAACAGGTGCACAAAAAAAAAGATTATATTGCAACAAAAACCACAACTCATAACTTATGATCTTTAGTCCATTGCTTTCTGCTGCTGTTGATGCAGGGATGGTGGAGGCTTTAACCGCCAAAGTCACTGCTTGGGAGGATGAAAGAGGAAATGAATTCTTATATGATGGTGTAAGTGTCTATACTGATCAATTATCTGTTCTACACAATTATCAAACAGCATCTTTATACAAAAGCACGTAAAAATTTCAGGTCCGAGTTTTATCGATGCTTGATCAGTACAAGACTCTATGGGAAGAGAAAGAGCATGAAAAACAGAGACAGAGAGTAAGGAAAACTGTTTTTTTTATATTCTTAACATTTGAGCCAAAAACATCATTAGCAATTTTGACATTGTTGCTTTCATCTCAGGATCTGAAGAAACTCCATGGACAACTCATAACAGAACAAGAAGCCCTTTATGGGTCTAAACCAAGCCCAAATAAAAGCGGAAAGAAACCACTGAGAACACCAGTAAATGCTGCCATGAATAGAAAACTCTCCCTTGGTGGTGCCATGCTTCATCAAAACTTGAAGCCTGAGAAGGCAACACTCAATAGCAGAAGATCGAATTACTATGACCAGAACGCTACTAGTAGAAGAGATTCTGCTCTTCCAACTCCTTCAGGTACATAATAATAACACAAGATTTTGGTTTACACTTTAAAGAGACCAAGAGAGAGATTTGTGTTAAGAGAATTATGTCAATATGTGTAGGAAGGAGAAACTCAGAGCTTCCTGGTCGTATCAGATCAAAGAACGTTTCGGTTGCAGGAAAAGCTGCGAGATCTCCAATGCTTAGGAAGCCTCTTTCACCTGTCACTTCCAATATCTTGAACTCCCCAGAAGATCACAAGGATGCTTTCACAACAAAGGAGAGAATCTTGACTCCTAAAACCAACGAAGAAAACAAAAGAGCTGTTCCAACAACTCCGGCAGCTTCAGTCGCTATGACAGAGGCAACAACACCGTTCACTCCTGCTGTGGAGAAGAGAATGGATGAGGAAGACGTTGTTGTTGAGTACTCGTTTGAAGAGGTTAGAGCCGGTTTTCGCTAAACCGTGAAAAAAACTGGTTTCTTCCCTTTAGGATGCTACTACAAAATGTATCCTATTTACTGCTTTTTCTAGAAATTTCAAATCAGATACTTCGTTTGATGAGAAAAGTGAAAAAAAAAATTACTATTCCACAATTTTCTCATCTTGTAAGTGTTTGTTTGTTCAAAAGAAAGAGTTTTTAGCCGCTTAGAAATTACTATTCCACAATTTTCTCATCTTTTATTAACCATCACCACACATACTAAAGTACTAAACTAACACAAAAAATAACCTTATGAGCTTAGGTTAATTTACTACTGGTCCTGATCACAACAGCACAAATCAACATCCCTATTTTTTACTACTGGTATTGATTTCGTCAAACGACGTCGTTGCAACACGAACTTTATGTCTTTATGTAACAACTGAAATCGTTGGTAATCAAACGGTCAAAAAAAAGCAAGGGAAAGTGATATACGAGTATACGACCCTCACTTTTGTTTCGTTTTTTTTTCTTTTTCTTTTTGTCTGCGTCTTCTTATTTGATTTGATGTCCCACAAGTAATAAATACTGTAGATACTAGATAACAGTGGAATTTAGTTATATTATTTTTTTAGCGGGATCAGATTACAAAAAGTTACACAAATTAATTATTAACACAAAAACCTTTGATTTTCAGAATATACTCGAACGGTGAATATACGGTACATCGCTACTTCCTCTCTTTTAAAATATAGGATGCTTACATATTTTAAGAAATTTATTTATTTATATTAAAAACTATCATTTCATATTTAATTTAAGAAAATTCAACCAATAATATAAAAGACTGCATGATACAAATGGTTATAAAATATCAAATATATTTAAAAGTTGCATAGAAATTTATAAAACATCATATATTTTAAAACAAAAAATTCTTAAAAACATAAGGAATATTACTTATTAGTTTTTCTTTAATTTAGTATAATTTTCAATCAAAAATTTAAATAATTTGCTATAACAAATAAGATCCTTGATTCATGTATTTTCAATTGGATTATGTTTGAAAAATCATATCTATAAAACAAATATTTTATTTATTGCTCTACTTATTTTTTCACAAAACGATATTTTTTTTGTTTACTATTTCCTTTGTCAACAATATTGTTTTAAAAAAAAAATTATGATACAAAAAATATGATTTGGACCAAAAACGTAAATTTCGTCGTCCCCAACGGAGGCTGCAGTTCGTAGCCGTAGATCGAACTTCATTGGAAGACCTTCCCGGATCTCGCAAGATTGTGAATCCAAAATGAATAGTTTGGTGGTGTCTAAGTCGTCGCGTAGCAAGTAGATGTCAGAACTAATGGCCAGATTTATGCATTCTATGGTGCGACTAGGGTTAGGATAATCGGAGATCCGGATCGATACAAACACATTCTGGTTATTCTCATCTGTCCTGAACATAAACCATTGTCCCTGGTCAAAACTATCATATACTTCGGGATGACAACTTATGAGGATACGATCTTTATTAAGCCGACGGCGAAACAAGTTCATTTGACCGAATCTTAGGATAGTGTTGAATCTTTTTGATACCGTCAATAATCTTTTGTAGCAGTTTCTTGGCACACACAACAAGATTTCCATAACAATTTCCTCTGGCAATGAAGGATATGAGTGCGGCTCTGACTCCGACGATGACAAAAACCTTGTGGATTCAGCCATTGAAAATTTGTGCAGGCTTTGTTCTCTGTCAGGAAACTCTCGTCCAATCTTTTAACTATCAAACGGTCTTCTAATATATATTGGATTTCATATTCGTAATTTATATAAGGTTAAGGAAAAAAAATTTATATAGGATTCTGATTGGTTAAATATGTGAACAAAAATTAAAGTATGCTCTACAATAGTTAAAACTTAGAAAAACATTAAAAAAAAAACGTAATCCAATTTACATGAACTAAACATAAATAATAGAAATAAAAAAAGTTAATTAATTTAATATAAATATGCTATGTATGAATATTTATGTAATTATTTATAAAATATATGTTAATATTTGTATTTGTCTTAAACGGGAATTTCCCTTCCCGTCCCGTCTTGTCTGGTTCCTAGTCGGGAATATTGCGGTTGTGGTACTGGTTATGTTTTAGAAAATGATTGCGTGTGTCTACAATCGTTTCCAAGATTCAAGAGTTGTTCAGAAGGCAAGAAAACAACTAAACACCTATTAGTCGATATTTGGAAGCCATAATTTGAGATTTACTACATAATTTGGTCCAAATCTTCAAACCACAGTAAAAGCCAACAAAAATAAATAATCCCCAGCTACAACAACAACATCGTTTTGGTCTATTGTTTCAGAAACATTTCCGGTGAACCACCGATGGTCCAGTCTCGTCATAATCAGCTTTAGTAACATGCTGATTCTGCGGAAACACCACTTTAGCTAGTATGGCTCCTCCAACCCAAGCCGAATACATCCCCAAATTCTCTGGCATATATTCCGGCGGTTTCACCAGTGTTGGCCTAATAGCAGATGAGCACAAGTTTGCTTCTTTCTGAAATCTACTTTCGAATCCTGCCAACGACCATTCCACCAAACCCTTCAGTTTTCTGACCCAAAAGATATTTAAACACACAATTGTATCAAGTGTTGTTATTACCTGTCATGGAGGTGGTACCACCACAAAGTACAGTGTTCTCCAAGAGCTGCCTATGGTTCTCAGATGACACTGTGGAGATAATCCGGACAAGCTGCTCAACGATTCCGTGCTCCTCCAGTCCCAGTATTGATGGCTGAAACAAAGCTTCTCCAACAGAGTATCTCTCTCGCCCGATGCTTATCACCTATAAGGCCATGGTTTTGTTATCTATATGTATAAGGTAACAGAAGATGTAGAATCTTGATTTGTAGTCACACAAACCTGTCCATCAGGAAGAGTATGCTGCTCGATTTCACAGTTTTGGGTTTTCTTGTAAGCAATTTCGTCCTCGGCACAGTTTGCATACTGCTCCTTCAGTTTTTCAACATCAGACATGCTGAGATTCATCGAAGGGTTGGATTTTCCAAGCTCCTGGGCAAATAATTTTGTTAGTTCGGTTCCACCTAGCTCAAACCGTTTCGAGGCAATGTGTTGTACGGCACCTTCAAGAACTGGGGCGATATCTGAGTACACCGGAAAAGAGTTAACAACAACTGTGAGATCAATCACAAAGTTAAAACATCAGACATAAAAACATCCTGATCATACCCAGCTATAAACACAAGAGTCTCCAATCTACTGCAACTTACAGGACAAAAAATATTTGGTTTAACAAAACGTTTTAGAGCATGGATAAAGGTTAGTAAAGGAAAACAGCATCTCATGTAACATAAACTCAAATAAAACAGGGAATTATGACAAAGTGAAAAGATAAAAAAGAGTAAGTTCAGATTATAACAAAGGCCAAGCAAGTTGTTATATATACCTATCTTCCCATGGCCAATATCAACAGTGCAACCGGAGATGCGTCCAACAGCATAAAGGGACAACACTGCTTGCTCAGATGCATAAAATCCAGAGACATTGAATGTTTCAAACATCAACTGCACCAATTGTTCCCTAATAGCCTGTCCACAAATAAACATTTGCAGAACCAAATCAGGACGAAACATTAAAAAGAACAGCATCTTGCTATCTAAAATGAGGTACTAAAAGAACAAAATGGGTCCTTTTCATCATCCAACGGAACATGATTATGAGAATTGAAAAGAGACTACAAAATAAATCAAAGTTCTTATCTTTTCAATTAAGAACAAAGGAGGAAGTTGAGATACGAACCTTGGGAGTACATAGTGGATCTGTAAAAAGTATATTGCCTTCGTTTCCCTCTTCCCATCCAAGCCCAGTGTAGACAACATAACGCAACAAATCCTCCATAGCATCCCAATCTCTAATTAACCCCCTTTCAATAGGATCAAGAGTGACATCCTCAAAGACAGTGGTGGGGTTATCAGCTGAAGAAGACCCATCATCAACCATTCGTTTCATTTGAGATGGAATTATCATCGCAGGAGACTGGTCAGGAATTGCTGCTCCTGCTTTCAGGAGCTTAGAGCCAGCATCAACAACAAGTGCTTCCATCGTTTTCACACACACACCCAAAAAACCCTAAATTCACAACTTTACACAAATGCGAAGACTTTTACTAGTAGCACCAAGTCAGGGAAGCTAAAGAAGAGAAAATGAAAGAAGGAACTAGAGTAAGAGAAGAAATAAAGGATGCGTTTTTTTCGAAGAACCCCCCTTCAAATCCTTACAAAAATTCCAGATTTTACTAGAAAAACATCAAACTCCACATGTTCCTCAAAATTAGGGCTTTAACTAGATCTAGTCTAAGCTAGGGTAAAGTTTCTACAATGGAACGGAAACGAGTATGATTGACTACAATCAATGGTCTAAAAGGAAAATGGAAGAAGCTTACGAGTTTGAGTGAGAGAAGAAGAAGAACAACAAAAGAAAAGAAAAAGAAAAATATGTGATATGTCCCAGGATTTCAAAGCCCAAACAAGGCCCATTATAAAGCCTATTACAGCCCGTAAATTCTCACGTCTAAACGGTATCGTTTTGGGTCTGCGTCTTTTTCTTGTTAACAAAGCCAGAGCTAAGATCCGAAGTTTCTTTGACATCAAAAACACAAACCCGAAAAGCTTCTTCTGCCATTTTTACATTCTTCTAGCCCTAGCTCAAAGCTTCTCTCTCAAATCCACCATGACTAAGCAGCACGCGAACTGGTCTCCTTACGATAACAATGGAGGGTACGGATCGTGTGACCTTTAATCAACCTGCTCGGGTTTCTTCGCTTAGTGTCTTCTTCTTTATTCTGATTTGTTATTTGAGTGCTTGTGTTGCGATTTACTACTGTGAATTTAATCCTTGTGTGTTTTTTCAGAACATGTGTGGCCATCGCTGGATCGGATTACTGTGTTATCGCCGCCGATACTCGGATGTCTACTGGTTACAGTATTCTTAGCCGCGATTACTCAAAAATCCATAAACTGTAAGTACTTTCCTCTTCCTTCTGTCAAATTCCTTACTTGTTGATTCTTTGGGAGAGTGATTCAGTGCTGGCAATCGAACTATTGCTGTAGATTTTTAGGGTTTTTCTTAATTTTTCTGGGGTTTTTGTATCGATAATTCGTAGATCTGGATGAAACCAGTTTTATTTGGGTGGAGATGAAATATGTTTTTTTTTTTTCATTACACGTGACTTTTGATATTGGTTACAATTATCTCTATATAGACTTTGTGATTACATTGATCATTCCTTGGATTCTATAATCCGGTTTATTGCTTAGTTTATTTTTGTTCTTCTAACGTTTATTGCAACTGTGTGCAGTTCTTTGAGTTGTTCAAACTTATAAAAGAGTGTTACTGTGTTGTTGATCTTATGCCAGAATTATTCATTCGTATGGAATATAGATAGAATTGTTATGTGTTTTCATCTTATGTAACTTGGAAGACTCTTGTTAAGAGAAAGTTGTCTTCTTTTAACTTTTCCAGAGCAGACAGAGCTGTGTTGTCTTCCTCTGGCTTTCAGGCTGATGTGAAAGCATTGCAGAAGGTTCTCAAATCCAGACACTTGGTGAGCTAAACTTTTGGTCGTTTGATCAAATATCTTTCATCCTTTTCATTGCATATATCAGTTTTTATTTTAAAAAGTAAAAAGGACTTGTGTAAGAGTGTTTCTCTGTGTTTGGTTTCCTGCAGATCTATCAGCATCAGCATAACAAGCAGATGAGCTGTCCTGCAATGGCCCAGCTTCTCTCCAACACGCTTTATTTCAAGCGGTTTTTTCCCCTACTATGCCTTTAATGTTCTAGGAGGGCTTGACGAGGAAGGTAAAATGATCTTCTTTTTATCCGTTATGATGTGACTATAGAAGAGGTAGTTGTGTGATCTTTATTCTTGATTATATCCAGGAAAAGGGTGTGTCTTTACCTACGACGCTGTTGGATCATATGAGAGAGTTGGATATGGTGCTCAAGGTTCTGGTTCCACGCTCATCATGCCTTTCCTTGACAACCAGCTCAAGTCTCCAAGTCCACTTCTGCTACCTAAACAGGTTTGTTGATATTCTTCATTCGTGCTTTGGCGTTATGCATTGTAAGGATAAAATGAATCATTCAGTTGCTTATTTGCTCGTCTTCCACCATGTAGGATTCGAACACACCCCTTTCAGAAGCTGAAGCAGTTGACTTGGTTAAAACTGTTTTCGCATCTGCCACAGAGAGGGATATCTACACTGTAAGTTGTCCTATTTGTATCTTCTTTTGTCACCACGCCACCAATAGCTCGCCTATGTGTTCATATCATTTGCATTTAGTTCAAGATATTGCCAAAACATTTACTTAATCTATATCCGTGATATTAACGTTGCACACATACTTCATCTTCCTTAATTGTTTGTCTGTGACTAATGTTCTGTGGATTGTTTGCTGTAACAGGGAGACAAGCTTGAGATTATGATACTTAAGGCAGACGGTATCAAGACCGAACTCATGGACCTGAGGAAAGACTGAGCTTCTTTTGTGCATTTAGCCAACCATATGGGTTTGTTTTTTCACTTCAACATTAAGCTTCCTGAGTTGTAGAACTCGTATGAACTGCTACTGGGTTTGATACTTTACAATTAAAATCATGACTCATGTTTGAAGTTTCTCCAAAACTGTTTCCTTTTGTAAGAATCACTCGAATCCGTGTCTTAAATCACTGTTTCTCTCATGTATGGCAATGTTTTTACACAAGGGCATCACATTAAGTTATTGAATAGACAAGATTAGAAACTGGAAACTCTTCTTTGTCTTCAGAAGCTGTTCTCCGATACCCATCCCTTCTTCTCTAGCTCTTGTCGCAATGCCTCCATATGTAAAAAATGAAGAAATGTGAAAGAAGATTAACTATTAGCCAGTGGCAAAAACAGAGAAATTTCCGTATCCAAGTTGTTACCTTTATTCGCTTTCTATTCACATCAAAGTCGAAGTTCCCTTTACGGGATGCAGATCGATATTCCACTTTGGAGTTCTTCCCAGGAGCGAACAAGAATTCAACATCATCTACTAACTGTCAAAAACCAAAGTGTTTTGTCCAAAATCATAAGCTATGGTGGTTGAGAGAGACAGTAGAAAGCTTACTTAACTTACCCCTAAGATTGGACTTTCATATTCAACATGAACATAGTCATCCTTCTTCTCCACAATCCGAGGAGTAAACTTGTCAGGTTTCACCGACTTAATCTGCAACAATGGTGATAAAACCGCTGTAACTACGGGATGAGTATCAAGAACTTCAAATGGTGACTCAAATTCACATCTTAAGATTTTAGTACTCGATTCATATCTTAAGATCTAAGTTCATGTCTAAGGATTGTACCACATTAAGAAGCTCTTTCATTGCAACTTGTCTGTTCACAGGTGTTTTCCTTCCTCCATTATAGTTCCTGCCCACCAGGACAACAAGACAGTGTTTGATGATCAAATCTTTGAACAAGAAGACCAAAATCTGAACACACAGAAAGCTCTTGATTTACCAAGGTGGAGCATAATGCACTCGATCACTGATATTCTCAGAAGTGGAAATACAGTTATTAGTGGCAGGACATAGAGCCAATCTCTCGTTCTTTTGTACTCCGAGATAATCTGGTTTTTTCCCACTAAAACCATTCACAAACATTTCATCATCATCATCATATCACCTGAGCCGTGGAAATGTAGAATTCCGGTGAAGAAAACGTACCTGAGCTGGAATATAGCTCCGATCATAGCTAATTCACTGCTCCTAAGAATGATCTCTCTTACAATTTCAACAGAAATTTCAAAATCAGATACTTGGTTCGGTGATAAGCAGAGTCTCAAGCAAAAGAGAGAGAGTACCTTCGACCAATTAGCTTCGAAGGTTTGTCATCTGGATTCTCTGAAATTGAGGCGCTAATACGAAGGGCATCGGAACCAAGTTTTCTCCGGCATTTGTGGTTGTGGTGGTACAAGCAAGTGGTCGGTGACGCCATGGAAGCCATCTGCACTAGCTCGGATTTTCTCTTAACTCTTTGGAGTAAGAAGAAGAAGAAGAAGTTTGTTACTTCTTACAGGGCTTACTAATATCTGTCTATTATTGGCCCATTGGAGTTTACTCGTTCGTTCAGGAGCCCAATAACAGAATACCCACATACGGAGTATAAGCTAGGCCAAGTGAACTAAATAACGTAAGTTTATAACTTACTACTTACTATGTAGAAAGATTACCGACAAGCCCGTCTAGCTCAGTTGGTAGAGCGCAAGGCTCTTAACCTTGTGGTCGTGGGTTCGAGCCCCACGGTGGGCGATTTCTTTTTTTTTTTCTCATTTTCTTTTTTTTTCCTTCACTACTCAAGTCCTTTGAGAATTAAAGTCATCATACTCAGCTAAAAAAAAAAAATTTACTAGTAAGATTTCAGTTAAACTTGATTTAAGTAAAAGTTTTTTTATTCTTTCTATGCTTTTTGTTTTCTTTTTTTTTTGCAGGAAAGAAATAATAAGATAAATTCATATTAAAATCTTCCAAAACCAAGTCAAAACAAATTTTCGAATTTTCATGATGTGCATTCAAGAACTAATTAGGTGGTGTTATTTAAGTTCAAATTTTTTTGTTTGAGCCGAATAAAGAAAAACTATTTTAACTTGTCTTTATTATTCAAATTTTTATTTCGAATATTGACATATGTGTGTTACAGTTTACAATGTCACCTTAAACATCTTATAATTTGAAACATAAAGAGTAGCATGATACGGTATATTGCTATTATTAGTTTTTTCAGTAGCAATCTTATAATTTGGTTTTATTGGTCTTTCTCGTTGTATCTTTCTTTACCTCATTCTAAATTTCTAAGAGCACCCACAATGGTGCATGTGGGTGGGTGTGTGTTAACAATATATTTATTATAATTTTTTTAAGAGAGAGAGAGATTTGGTTAGTAGAGAAAGAGAGAGGAGAGAGAAAGAGAGAGATTTATTATTTTCCATTTTAAAATAGTCACACCCGGATGTTAGTTTACACCCATATTTTGTCTCAACACCTCTAAATCTATTATTTTCAATTTTTAAAATAGTCACACCCTTAGCAAAGGTGTGCCACTGCGTATGGTCTAATATTTGTGTTGGCTCTTTTTTGTTTGTTTTGCTTATCTATCGAGAAATTACCAAAATGTAACATTTTTAGACGGTAGTAGTAAAAAAACATATTATTATTACACAGTTTGGGCTTCTGAAAGATTGATTGATTGACTAAAAGTCATTAAATTACAAAAACTTTAGGGGGTGTTATTGGTTTATGATTTCAAAAGAGTTTTAGTGACTTAAAGAGTCATGTAGAATATGTTGTTATTCAATCAAGATTTTTTAAAAGTATGTTAAAGTTTTGTGTTATTCATTTAAGATTTGTAAAAAGTAATCTAAAATCATCGTAAATTTGGGGTTATTAGATTCATACTCTTATAAAGTCAGTAAAATTTTTGTGTTATTCAATTAAAACAAAAGAATCTCTGACTGTTAATGAATTAAATTATTATGTTATTGGTTCATGAGTTTGTACACTTTTCTTCACAAAATAGTCATAGAAAGTAAGTATTATCAAAATAGAGAAATTGTTTGAGAAACTTTACAAGATTATGAAAAACTAATCAACAAGATTATAAAAAACTCTATATCAATAGTTTAGAATCTTTTATTTATTGACTTTGTAGGATTTGATTGAAGTCATCAAAATTCCTTGGAAATTAGGAACCAATAACACCCTCTTAGTTTCGTCTGAAATTTCTTGTTAGCTCCAAAAGAGGAAAACGAATCCAAGAAGGAGAAAAAGTCTCATTCTTCTTCAAGCTCCCCCATCATTCCTCCTTCATGGGGTCTCTGCATCTTACAATTTATCACTCTCATTTTCTTCCTTAAACCCCTTCTTTGATTTTGTTTCCAGCTTCTATAAAAAAAAACCTAAAGACCTCTTCGAAATTTCCCCAGAAACACTTATTTCTTTGTTTGGCCTTGAATTATCTTCCTTGACTACGCGTCTTTCCTCTGACTCCTGTACCAATAAATCAACCCTGAAGGAAGGAAGGAAGATCCGAAAAAGGTTTTCTTTCGATCGTTGCTTTGACTATGCATAGATCTGGTACAACAATGGCGTGGAACGTATTCAAATTCTGTACTGCCTTACGAGGTCTTGGATCGATCATGATCCTTTTGGTTCTTGGTGTTGTCGGTGTTACTTATTACGCTGTCGTTTTGACTAATTATGGTCCTGCACTCTCTCAAGGTGGCCTTGATTCTCTTGCTGCTCTCACTATCTTAATCCTCTTCCATTTCCTCGTAAGTCAATTACCTTCGCCAATTCAATCCTAAAGCTTTGTGCTTTACTCAATTCGGTCTATAAAGTTTGGTCCTTTTTATTGCTTTAGATGTGAAGTCTTGTTCTGTTTTAGATGGAAGTTTTGTGAATTTAGCCAAAGGATTTGTTTTTAACTTGCTGCAGCTGGCAATGCTTTTGTGGAGCTATTTCTCAGTTGTTTTTACTGATCCTGGTGTTGTGCCTCCTAATTGGAGACCATCTACTGATGAAGAAAGAGGTGAATCTGATCCGTTAAATAGTTTGGAGTTCGTTGGTTTACAAGCTGATTCTTCTTCAAACCCGAGAGTTCGGTTTTGTCGAAAGTGCAATCAGCTAAAACCTTCTCGTTGTCATCATTGTTCTGTTTGTAAGTTTCGTCAGATTCTCTTTTCTTATCTTACCATATATATTTAGAGTCTTGAAACTGAATCTTTGTGAGGTTGATTCAATCTAGGTGGTCGGTGTGTGTTGAAGATGGATCACCATTGCGTTTGGGTAGTTAACTGTGTAGGAGCACTGAACTATAAGTATTTTCTTCTTTTCTTGGTAAGTTTGTTTTTTTACCCCTAATGTTATAGAATCGTTTTCAGCTTGTAATCTGGTTCTCTTGTCACAACTTCTGTGTGTGTTTTATAATGTTCAAATGCAGTTCTACACATTTTTAGAGACGACTCTTGTGACTTTGGTTCTTATGCCGCACTTCATTGCATTCTTTAGTGATGAAGAAATACCTGGAACCCCAGGAACTCTTGCTACTACTTTTCTCGCATTTGGTATGTTCGGACTTCCTCATACTATATATGGTATTTAGTGTAGTGGACTTCATTTATCAATCAATCTCACCTTGTTTCATCAAATTACAGTTTTGAACTTGGCATTTGCTTTAAGCGTGATGGGTTTCTTAATCATGCACATTTCGTTGGTAGCTGGCAACACCACAACTATAGAGGTAATTCCTTTTCTTTTTCTATTGACTTGAACCTTTAAAGTTTCGGTACATCCCATGGCCAGAGCTCGAAGCTTCTGTTGCATAATTGAGAATTTGAGTTTTGGTGCATCTCATGGCTAAGGCTTTGAACTTTTGCTTAAATGAGATTTGAATCTTTCAACTCCTTACACTTGCGGTGCATTTCATTGCTGCTTTGAGCTTTCCTTTGCTTAAAGTTAAAATTTGAGTTTTTAGACTCTTTTACTGTTTATGTGCATTCCCCATATCTAAAGCTTGGAGCTTTCTTTGCTAAAATGAGAATTAGGGTCTTTAGACTTTTTCTCATGAAACTTTCTTGGTGTTGAGTTGTGACAGGCATATGAGAAGAAAACCAGTACAAAATGGCGGTATGACCTCGGTAAAAAGAAAAACTTTGAACAGGTTAGTTGTTAGTTAAAGTCATTGGCTTGATTTCTTCTTCCATCTGAATATATCACATTCAAAGTTATAAGCTCCTTTCTTTTTTCCCTCACTGCTATGGCTTTTTTGTGAATTCCATAATGTTTAGGTATTTGGAATGGATAAGCGATACTGGCTAATCCCAGGATACACAGAAGAAGATCTAAGGCGAATGCCGGAGCTGCAGGGACTCGAATACCCTTCGAAACCCGACTTTGATTCCCAGTAATACTGAAGAAAATGACTTTGATCATCATCCTCCCATATGGAAAACAACGATATGTAGAAAACAGAGGAAGTGGCATTTCAAGGAGAAATCTACTAACATGAAGATTGATGCTTCACTTTAGGCAGTGTAGTGTCTTCCCACGGAAGGCTAAATCATCATCAAATTTGTGGGTTTTTAAAAGAGGAAGATTACAATTTAGCTTTGTTGGCCACATATATGTTCATCTTCTTCAATAGTTCATTTATATGATCTTATTATTATAAATGTAGAAACAAATGATTTGCCCTAAATCCTCCTACTCTTTTGTTTGAATCAGATCTTATAACATAATCCCATTTGACCAAAACAGAAACACAATAAGATAAAACCAGATAATATCCAAACCAATACATATCAAAACATCAAATATCCAGATGTCACATTAAAAATAGAGAACAAATACCAAAAACATAGTTGTTGAAATTTAAAACCATATAATCCTCGAAGTAATAAAGGAAAGAGTACCAATGGATAGATTCGAACCAAAACTCATCATCAAAAGCATTCGATAGTAAAGTAATCGTTACCTTTAGGAAGTTCCATTAGCTTGGCCACTTTTGCTTCTGTCATTAACTGCTTCACTGGAGGATACGTCGATGTCTCTATCATCAACTTATCAATCACTGTTCCTTGTGTCACAAAACGTGAAGCTAATGCAAATTCCTCTTCATTGGAACCATCGAAATTATACATCCATACAGTACGAACGCGGAAGAAAGCATCTGGAAATGGTTTTTCACCATCCAACCATTTGTTACGTGCTCCACCATTGATAGAAGATTCACCTTCTTCTCTAGGAGCATTGTTGTTCTAAAATGCAAATATGTATATGACATGTGAGTGACAAAAGTGATCAAATTTCTCCATATAGAATTAAACCATGAAGTAAATATATATACCTTGAAGATGATCTCTAGATCCTTCATTTCTTCATTCCACAAAAGTAAAACTTCCATCAAAATCTCGAGTTCGTTAGGATTTCTCAAGTCGACACTCACTGATAAGGATCCATACCGTTTCATATTAAAAAATTGGCTCACCAAAAGCTCAAGCCAAATTCTTTTTTTATCCTGAAATTCACATACAACAAAACATGTCAAAATTATAAATTATATTTTCAAAATATCCAAAGGCAGTTACTTGTACTTGTACCTGAGCAAGACTTGATATATGGTAGCTAATATGAGGGACACTAATCGCACCAAACCAATAATCTCTATTAAACATGATTTTAGGTGCATCAAGTAAGAAGCTATCACAATAGATATATTTGATGTCAAGAATCTCCAAACGAGGTGCATTCACTTCCATCTTATTTATCAGAGTAGGGCAAGTCACTTGCAAGACTTGTAAATTCTTGTTCTCGATCTTCAACACACATCCAAGGTTTAAGCATGTGATTTGCAAAACAAGCACCTCAAGAGAGGAGCAAGCTTTGAAAACTATGCTAAGGACACTAACATCGGACATGATGTCAAAAAGCTTGAGGGTCTTAAGATTAGAGCAGTTCTTGAAGGCTGTCTCTGTTAACTTATATCGAGTAAGTGACAGTGAAGTGAGGCTAGGATGAGAGAATGTACTTGGGGACAAGTAAAGCCTATTATATCCACCGAAAGGTCCCATGCAACCTATATAGTTGACAAGAGTGAGCTCTTTGGTTTGTTTCTCATGAGTCACTGTTTGGACCCACCTATCGAGCGTACCATCTTTACATTGGAATAAGAAATGGCTGATTGTGCAGCTCTCTAGGCGGCCACGATGATTGTCTATAGTCTGCACAACACAAATTAAACTTGATGTGTTAGATCAAATATTTAAACATATGCATACAATAATCGTTGTCAATAAAATATATCCTTAGCTTATACATATGTTGGAATTTTGGGAAAGGTTGAGATGCGTTGTATATATATAGCTAGTTATGCATGATTTAGATATGTTTAATTGACTTTTGTGTGTGAAGTACATACATACTATCAATTATCAATAGTTAAATCTATTAATTGAAAGATATATATATATATATCAATAGATACTTGATGTGTGGGTATATTTATTCTGTGTAGATTCTCATTCACTATACAATTTAAATGCATTCAATAATCAATTTCATATCTATTCATTATAATTTTTAGAAATGTCAAAATTTTGGCGCGAAAAAAATCCGTTATCTAATACAATAGATCTTAAGTTAGCTAGATTTTTGGTGCGAAAAACCGTTATGTGAAATAAGAAAAGCATTTCACAAATCTCTTTAATTTGTTTATAAACTCTATATATATTCATTCACCAAACATTGTGTATAACATTTCTTCTACCACAACTTCAAAACTACTATATGATCTATCCAAACATCAGTTTATTGGTCTACCTATTTGTGTATTTTAAAAAATATATAAAAAATCTTCATAAAGAAAATGATTAAAATGAAACCTTATAAGAGAAAGGGATGAAAAAAGAAAAATTAACAAACCCTCGTCATTGATTCAGCAACGCGGAGAGATAATTCACGAAGACGGCTCGTCGGGTTTGTTCTCGAAATATTTCTCATGCCCACGGAGAGATGTGGTCTCCACTTCCACTGATCCACCCATCTTTTCGACAAGGAGCTTGTTGTCACGGCATCTTTAGTCGATAGTGTCGAAAGGATCTTTTGTAGCAATTCATCCGGAAGCATGCTTATCCGATCGACATTATCGACCGGATATTGGATCCTTTTTCCTTTTGCTTTAGATGATGCTCCTGTCCATAAAAGTTTGCCTCTTGCATTTGATGATAATAGTGGTGGTGTTGATGATGGAGACGACGATAATGGTGATGATGATGATCGTGTCGTCATTGATATTGGATGGTAGAGGTGATAAACTGCACCCTGACTTAGAAATGGAGTTAGCGTTTATAAAGGGAGAAGAAATTGAGGACTGTTGTTTATGAAATTATTCGGAAGGATAAGAGAAACAAAATATTTTAGTAATTTATTTTTTGTAATAGATTTCTTTATTTTGGCTAGCTATTAATTTTTTTAATTTTCCTTGACCTTTTAATTTATGAAAAAAATAACATATAGGGAAATAATTTTTAAAGGACATTTTAAAAGTTATAAGGAGAAAGATATCCATTTAAGCTATTTCTCCCAAATATATTAAAGTTATACAAATTAAATTGATTTTGTGTAAATTACAAAATTATCTTCAGATGAAAGTAAATTGTGGACAATCTATAGTATTAGACACGTGGCCGAACGATTATTAGGCGTGAGATGCGGTACATTTCTTAAGAAAATAACACATTTAAGCTAATTCTCCCAAATAGTTGATGGCTCATAATCCTACAAAAACCATAAACTGTTTAAACTACTTCTGATTATCTTTGGTTTAAATATCTTGGTTAAGAACACAATGATTAATTTATGTGTTGAACTGATCGTGAAGTCTAAGACCAAGTCCACCTTATTATTTATGTTTCCTTAGCAAGTGAGTGAACTCTAGTCCGTAGCAATTAGACAATGCCACAATGGTTTGGTTTGCCAAATCAGGATTATTAAGGGTATCATGGGGTTTTGTTCTCATCTAATTCAAAATAACATTTTTGGGAAACAAATCTAGAAGCAAAAGGTAGCTATATACATTTGGAAACAAATCATCAATTACTTCTTGACTTGGCGGAGATTCCTTTCTATATATTACATGATTAGAAATGGAAACTGTTATGGCAAAATACATGTCATGTTTTTTATTAAGGGAAAGAAAAAAAAAACGTTGACTAACGCTTAAACAAGTGTTCCTCTCCAGATCGAGGATCAATCTGTTTAATCCAACGGCTAGGAATCTTCTTCAAATCATTACCACCACCACTGGCTCCCACGTGTGCGATCTCTAATCCTCTCCCGACGGGTAAGAACACCGATCTCACGACACGTGTGCCTCGACTCAAAACACCGTGCCATTTAAACCCAGGGATAGATTTCTGCGTGGCGTTTTTGCACACCAAAACGGCGCCCATTTTGCTTGTTTTCGCTAATCCCAACGCCTTTACGAACTCGTGGCGTTTCGAATCAACCACCATGAAATCCACGCCGGAAATTCTCTCCACCACGTCCTCCGCCGAACCTAAGACCATAACTTCTGTTGATTCACTCTTAACGGCTCCTTTCATCACCGCCTCGTACTCAGACCTTGACTCTTCGTCAGGAACTATGCACACGTGTCTTCCACATGTGTGAATCGCCGCCACGGCGAGTCCGACGCTGGTTGCGATCGGATCTCCACGTGACCAAGTCTCGACGATCAGCCTAGTGTTCCATCCCGCCGCTGTAGCCGATAAGAACTCCGCCACACTCGATTCTCCGTAGCTTTTACACTTCAAAGACACATATATACATATAACATCAAGATTCTAACCCATATACATCAAGATCGACTAAACAAGAATCACATATACCTTCACAGCGAGTAAAAGATTGTAAGAACTATAGAAATTGTAATTCATATACAAATTCAAGATTTCTTTGATCAAGATACAATTTAGGTCATCAAGTTGAATTGACGGTGAACAAACATTAACAAGAAAACAAAAGATGATGTACAAAATGTGCCATCTGTATTAGAGGAGGATTCTTACTGATCTAACGGTGTGGATGTAAGCGTTAGAGGCAGTTTCCGGCGACCAGACGAGCTTCATGATCGTATTCTTGTGTTGATAAAAATGTTTGCTTAAGAGAGAAGAAAGGGTTTCTATATAAAGAGAAGTTGAGAGAAGGAAGGTGATGACAAGACGGTTAGGCAGTTAGGTTAATAAATGGGTGTGGTTTGGCTTTAAGGAATGGACTTAGCGTTGACATTTGTTTAACCCAATCATTTACGTGTCCTTCATTCTCTTCTATTCTCCCATTTATTTCTTTACTTCGATCCTCAGATTTTGTTTTGAATTGCATTCAATGTCGATAGCGAATTTATTTCTTTAGGTCTAGGGTTTCACTTCTACATTCTGTGCAACATACAGTATTAAATATTGCTGAAGAACTTTTATGATCATGCGTCAAGTATTCGTTTGGGACGAGTGTGATATATATGTAGTGTAACGTGCTAGTTAGGTTAATGTGTATATAATGACGTTTATCACTATTTTGTGTCTGCATACATTGTGAATCAATCGGTATTGCTTAAACCAATAGAGCTATAAGTTCCGTTTTGGTTTAAAATGAGTTTTGTTGTTAACTAATATGCTTTATTTTGTTATCCACTTATCCTTAGGTTGATGACTAGTACTTGATTAGACTTTAAATCAAAACCATTGGAAATTAGTGTAATAATGTAGTTTCAATTTAAAAGTTCATTACACAATAAACAACTCAAAAAAGTTGTATACTTAGACCTGCAAATACTGAAAAAAAAAATGCTAACTAATTTAAAATTTCATATTTCACAAAAGTCAACTATTTTCTATACGGTGCCGTTCACCTATGTGTTGTTTATACATGAGTTTCAACTTTCAAGGCCTCTTTTTATTGTTAAACTTTTCATTTTAAATGGGCCTGCTAATGACAAATTAATGCCCATATAGCTTTCAGAACAAAATGACCTGTGGCACGACCATAAGATACGATATATATATAAAGGAGCAATTTAGGGTTTTTGGATACTCTTAAGCGCAGTCGCAGCCGGAAGAAACCAACCGAGGAAGAACGATCTCAGTGAGAGGAAGAAGATCACTTAGCCGTCGCAGCCATGGGTCGAATGCATAGTAAAGGGTTCGTTTTCTTTCTCGTATCTGATTGAGTCTTGATGTGAAAAACTTGTTCTCTTATATTTTGTTGTGTGTTCTGTAGTAAGGGTATCTCGGCATCTGCATTGCCGTACAAGCGTTCATCTCCGAGCTGGCTCAAGACAACCCCTCAGGATGTAAGATTCGTAGACTTAATCTAGATTTCTGTTTGGTTTCATTTTCAATTTGTGTTTCGAAAATTTTACTTGCTACCTCTCGCATGGCTTAACATAGGATTTGATTCTAGTTTTGGTTAGGAAATTTGGAATATGAAAATCTTCTGCGTTTTAGATTTGGTTTGTCATGGACCTTGATTTATTGATTTGATTTGTTGTTTGTTAGTTTCTAATATTTTTGTGACATATTAATAAATGGTTGATAATCTTTGGTGAGACTCACTAATGGAGTTATGATCTTGATTTGATAGTTCGTTTTAGTGATTTAATCTGTTAATGAGTACTATCTGTGATGCAATCAATATTAATGTGTTTGCTTGCACTCTCCAAGTTAGCTTACTTGATGCTTCTTTGAGAATAAAGTGTTTAGTTTGATTGGTCCTGATGTTTGTTTTGATGATTGAAATAGGTTGATGAGTCCATTTGCAAGTTTGCAAAGAAGGGTTTGACCCCATCGCAGATTGGTGTCATTCTTCGTGACTCTCATGGAATTCCACAGGTGAAAAGTGTTACTGGAAGCAAGATTCTGAGAATTTTGAAAGCTCATGGTACTATTCAATCTCTCTTGATTCTTTTTGAAGTGTTTGATTTTTTTACTAATTCAATATTCAATGAAAGTAATAGATCTTTTGTAATTCTCTCTAGGTCTTGCACCTGAGATTCCTGAGGATCTTTATCATTTGATCAAGAAAGCCGTTGCTATCCGCAAGCACCTTGAGAGGAACAGGAAAGACAAGGATTCCAAATTTAGGCTGATTCTTGTTGAGAGCAGGATCCACCGTCTTGCTCGTTACTACAAGAAGACCAAGAAGCTCCCACCCGTCTGGAAGTAGTAAGTACTTGAACATCTAAGAGTTCCTTAAAGATCTCGATTATCAATCTCTTACTTTGAATTTTGATGCCAATTCTTGTTCTTGCTTTTGCAGCGAGTCTACAACTGCAAGCACTCTTGTGGCTTGAGAAGAATATAGTTGATCATGTCCTTCAGGAAGGACCATTTCATTGTCTGCATTGCAACTCAAAGCTCTTCTTCTTTTGAACCTATGTATCTGTTTTCGCTAGTTTTGATGGGTTACAACTTGCTATGAGATTTTCATTTTAGGGAACGAATTTGTTTATGCAAATCTTTCAGACTGGTTAATATCAATTATCGTTTTCAGTGAGTTTTTACAGTTTATCTCCGTCGCTAGGAGCCTTAAAGTTGAAGATAATTTAGTGTTGGGCTTAAATATTGGTTTTAATACTTCTTGGCTTTAATAATTTCGTGATGGCTTAAAGTATTTTGTTTAACTGTTTAAGTTCAGTTCAGTGTTGAGTGGTGACTTGGAGGAAGAACATGTACGTGCAACATAATCAACTTCTTGGAAAAACAATCATCAAGTAGACATATTTTTGGGTGCTCTAGTTGTAGGTCCAGAATTTAAACATTGCATAATATCATTCTCATTATAACATAAGTTGTCATAATGAAAACTTGCATAATGAAAAATCATAGAATAAAATTACTTAAAAAAGTATGTTGATTGGATACATTTTGTGTAATGACAATATATAATATTATATTATCAATATATACTTATATTTAATAAACAAAATATTTTTTTTATAAAGTTTTAACTTTTAAGTAATATTTGATAATAAAAATAGATAAATATTAAAAATTGCTAAAACGTCGTGAAATTTAAAATTTTAAATATTATTTGACAATTTTATAATTTAAATATTGATAAATCGATTACAGTCAACAAAAAAACTTTAGCTATTCATGATAATCACAAAGAGAAAGAAAAAAAAAGAAGTTTTAACCTGAAATTTAAACACAAAAGCGGAATTTAGATCCTTCTGCTATTTCGCCAAGAATCAAACATAGGTCAGCCACTCCCGTAATCCCTCGTTTAGTCTTCTTCAATGCAATTGTTGTCAAATGAAGCTTTTTGTTATTCCATTTTCATCTCCAACCATTGTCCACATGATTACTAACTTTCCATTGTATTCGAAAAGTGCAACTGATTTAGCATTGAATGGTCTCAAATCTAAGACTTATTTAATTCAGACTCTCCTCATACCACATCAATCCTGACGAGATCAACTAAAAGGGCCGTATCAATGTTTATGTAATTTGCCACTATAATTTTTATCTTCACGTATCAATTGAAAAGGTCATGACAATGTTTCTAGGGGCTTGAGGCGAGTTTAAAGTCTAATATATTTTTGTTGTAAAAATTTAGTACGATAATTATAATTTTATTCTTTTTATTTCTATGAACTTTTCTACCAAACAATAGGAGTAGACATTTAGTTATTCGATTAAAGGTTCAAAAGGCAAGCAAGTTATGTTAACCATCACCAATCACTAATGATCGTGATTCGTGAAATCAAGCGATAATTATAGAAAAAAATATACTCATTCTATTCTTAGAAAATTGATGTTTTTGAGTTTTCACATATATTAAGATATAATTATTATTTAATTATTTATCACTTACTTTTTTATGTTAAAACATTTTTTTAATAACTCTGAACCAATACTAATAGAAAACAGTTAATCATTACGTCTTGAAGTTTATAATATATTAATTTCTGTTAATAAGAATTTTTAAAAAATTAATCTTTGTAGAATAAACTAAAAAAATTAGAACATTAAATATCTAGGAACGTAGGGAGTATAATGAAAAAATTTTGAGAAAATAGAACAAGTTAAGTGGTGAACTATTCACCTAATAAGATGAACTAATCAGAGGTGGTCCAGCGTTAGCGAATAGCCAATCAGCACAACGACATGTGTTAGTTACATATGCGTGTGTAAGCTTTGGCACGTACGTGCAAAAGCTACAAATTATCGAGTAATTAACTGGGCCTATAATTTAAATCCATTAGACAGTATTGTGCTTGAATGGGCCTATAGCCCATCAACAATTGAGAAAAAAAGGATTCCGAATATACTCTTTTTCCTTGGCATAATAATGTTGGGATACCAAGCAGTGGGTCGTACTTCTGTTGTCGTCATTGACGACAAATTAAGACAAGTGACTAAGTAGCTTTCTTCTTCTCTTGTTACTTGTTGTTACTAGTTAGGCTTAGGACATGGATATTTGGATATCTCAAGGTAGAAACTTCACCATTCCTTCCATTTTGGATAAATATGGGCCCCAAATGTAGATGTACCTTAAGGAAGAACCTAACCCTGATTTCTCTTGTCCACCCAATGCTTGTGTCTGTTTATGTAGGTAATTTTAGTCTGCATCCCAAGAAACAATTGCTAGAAAGTTTTGCTGAAATTCAAGCATTTAACATTACACGAATGATCATGGGAGTTTTACATTGTCTTTCTAATTTGTTTCTCATCTCAAACCCAAAACCTATGTTGACCTGAAGTACAATAAACCAAAAAAAAAAAAAAAAGTGAAAGTCTTTGCGTCTTGTTGCACTTTATTTCGAGATATGAGACAATGTTGTGAATAGCCTTGTTTCCAAATCAAGTTTCAGACAAAACCCCTAGTGAGGATGGTCCGATCTTAAATCTCTTAGAAGAATGACTTGGCCGCATCAACAACAGCTTCAACGGTGATACCAAACTCCTTGTAGAGTATGGGTGCTGGTGCGCTGGCCCCGAATGAGTTAATACCAATGGACTTTCCTTTGCCTCCAACAATCTTTCCCCATCCAAAAGTCGAAGCTGCTTCGATGCTAACTCTAGCTGATACATCAGATGGCAACACGCTCTCCTTGTATTCATCTGATTGCTCGTCAAATAGTTCCCAGCACACGAAAGAAACAACTCTAACGGTTTTGCCTTCTTTCCTCAGCACCTCTGCAGCCTGTGCAGCAATCTCTAGCTCAGATCCAGTTCCAATCAAGATCACATCGGGTTTGTTGCCTGAAGAGTCGTCAGAAATTGTATATCCACCCTTTTCGACTCCTTCAATGGATGTACCTGGAAGCTGAGGCAGCTTTTGCCTAGACAAAGCTAAGATAGATGGTGTCTTGCGTTTGGTGACAGCGATCTTGTATGCACCGGCTGTTTCGTTTCCATCAGCAGGACGGAACATAAGAGTGTTGGGCATAGCACGGAAACTTGCGATGTGCTCAATGGGCTGATGGGTTGGTCCATCCTCACCAAGACCAATAGAGTCATGGGTCATAACATAGATAACACCAGCTTCAGACAAAGCCGAGATTCTCATGGCACCTCTCATGTAGTCAGTGAAGACAAAGAAAGTCGCACAGTAAGGGATAAGACCAGGGCTGTGAAGGGCAATGCCGTTGCTGATGGCTCCCATTCCGTGCTCCCTAACACCAAACCTAAGATTTCTTTCTTCAGGTGTGGCCTTTTGGAAGTCGCCAAAGGCTTTCAGCAATGTCATGTTGGATGATGCAAGGTCAGCACTTCCACCAAGGAAACCGGGAACAACTTTAGCAAGGGCGTTAAGACATTGCTGTGACAGGTTTCTGGTGGCATCACCTGGAGACTCTGGTGTGTATGTCTAAAAAAGGAAAAAGAAAGATGTTCTTAAAACCCATATCTAGAATACAAATTGGATTGTACGGACTACAAAGAGAGTTCTACTTACAGGTAGAGCCTTCTCCCAGCCAGCAGGTAATTCACCCGTGATAATAGATTTCAACTCTGCAGCGTCCTCTGGGTACTTCTTTTCATATGCTGCAAACTTTGCACTCCAGTCAGATTCAAGAGTAGCTCCTTCAGGTGTATGACGACTCCAGTGGCTAGAAAAGTGCAAGTCAAACAGTAAGTCATCAAAGCAATAAAACCAAACATAAGCCTGCTTTGGATTTACTTACCTTTTAACATCGTCAGGTACCTGGAAAGGCTCATACGGCCATCCAAGGTTATTTCTGGTAGCCTCAACTTCCTTCTCGCCAAGTGCAGCACCATGGACACTGTATGAGTTCGCCTTGTTGGGAGACCCATAACCAATGGTAGTAGTGACCTGAATTAAGCAATATGGTAAATCAATATCAAAGGTCTTTAGACCAATCGATGTTTGATGGTTACGGAAAATTGTGTAGTTACCTTGATCAATGTAGGCTTGTCTGTAACAGCTTTAGCTTCCTTAATGGCAGCACGGATCTCGTCATACCCAGTGTTTCCATTCTTCACCCAGATAACATGCCATCCAAGGGCTTCGAAACGCTGGTCCACGTTCTCAGTGAAGGCAATTTCTGTGTCTCCATCAATGGAAATGTGATTGTCATCGTAGAAAGCAATGAGCTTTCCAAGTCCCCAATGGCCAGCTAGAGAGCAAGCTTCATTAGAAATACCCTCCATCTGACAACCATCTCCAAGGATCGCATATCTAGACAATCAATCAAAAACAGTATTTCTAATATCAGAGCTATATACAAACCAAGAACGACAACATAAGTATGGGTTATATATTACGTGTAGTGGTCGACAACTTCAGCATCAGGTTTGTTGAATCTAGCAGCCAAATGCTTCTCAGCAAGAGCTAAACCAACAGCATTAGCGATTCCTTGTCCAAGAGGACCTGCATAGCAGCCAAAGCAGAGAGCACAACTGTAAGTTATAGAAAGTTTCTGTGAAATTTTACATGAACCATAAGCCAAAAGAAGCAAAATCGCAAACCAGTAGTGACTTCAATTCCAGGAGTCTCGAAATTCTCAGGATGTCCTGGTGTCTTGCTTCCCCATTGACGGAATTGCTTCAAATCTTCTTCCTAATAAACAAATCCAAACACTTTTTCAGTGAATGACTTTCAACTACTTCAAGCAGTCATCAGATGAACATGAAAACAGATTCAATCTATGAATTTCAGAGGTAAATCTATCCACTAAAGTTACTACATTCATCAATTACGATCAGATCGAAAGCCATTAAACAAAGAAGAGATCACAGACCTGGACACTGTCGTAGCCAGCAAGATGAAGCAACGCGTAAAGCAACATACATCCATGTCCAGCAGATAGAACGAATCGGTCACGGTTGAACCAATAAGGGTTCTTGGGGTTATACCTCATGACCTCATCATACAAAATGTGAGCCATCGGAGCACAACCCATAGGAAGACCAGGATGACCTGATTTCGCCTTCTCCACCGCATCGATAGCCAAAAACCTAATCGAGTTGACCGATTTGTCAACAATCGACGAATCAGTGGTTGGCTCAACAGTCTCAACAGCTGCAGCGCGAACAAGAGGACGGAGAGAGCGGTTCTTGTTCATGGATTGAGCGATACGTCGACGAGACGAAACAGAGGCGCGTGAGCCAGTGGATTTGAGTCCAGTGAAAGCTGGTAAAGATCCACGTTGGTCAGAGCCATGGTGAGAGATTGCACGAGCTAGGAGAGCTTGAGAGAGAGCGAGGGAAGAAGTAGAAGCCATAGTTTTTTTTTTTTCGCTCTCTTGTGATAGGAGAGAGAAGAAGAAGAAGGTGTGTGTGATGATGGTGAAGAAATGAAGAAGATGAGAGACTCTCTGCAACTCTTATTTTATGAGCAAGATGATTTTTAGCCAATCAAACAAAATTTCGCCATCTCTTCGTCTTCACTAAGGGACAACTTGGATCAAATCTGACCGTTGGATCTTACTAAAGGGTATAATCGTGACCGTTGATTAAGGCTAAGAGTTTAGTGATCATCTATGCCTTTCGCTATTTTTATTACCATTTTTTTTTCCTTTTTTCAAATAGTTCTTTGGATATTCCGCCATAATGAAATCGGATAAAATATTTAAATGAGAGAAAAAAATCCTAAGGTACGACAAAAAAAGGAGTTATTTTTAAGGTTTTTTTTTGCTTATTCTTGAATATACAAAACCAGAAAGAGATTCAAGTAACGAGCCTACCAACTCTGGTTAAGCCGGTTTAAAAAGCACCCAAAGATGGAAAGTCTAGACCATTGAAACTACGTAAAGGAAGGTTATAGGCCCAAAATATGAACGTGGCCCAATAATACCTATGGGCCTTAAAATTTAAACTCATTCACGGTCGACTTCACCGATCTCGTGATACTCCGGTGGTTCTACACTGACAGAAAATTATCGGCGGGCGGGAAGTTATTGAATCCCTTTCTCTTTCCAGAAATGGCATCTAGAGCAGAGGAAAGGTCGCCGACGAAGATCGAAATCGAAACAGCGGTTAAAATGGAAGAGGAAGAAGACGACGAGCATGATTCTAAGGAGAGAGTTCTACAGAGGTACTTTTTACAAGAATGGAAGCTCGTTAAATCCCTTCTCGATGATATTGTTTCAAATGGCCGTGTCGTTAATCCTAATTCTGTTCAGAAGATCCGATCCATTGTACGCTTCTTAATCTTTTGACTTCATCTACTTGATCGACCCATGTTTCAGTATCATGTTGATTTACCTTTTCCGACTCTTTTTTTTTGTTGTATTGTAGATGGATAAATACCAGGAGCAAGGTCAACTAGTGGAACCTTACTTAGAGAGTATAGTTTCTCCATTAATGTTTATCATCCGCTCCAAAACAGTTGATTTAGAAGCCAGACCTGATGAAATTCTTGAGATTATTAAGCCAATAAGCATCATTATCTATGCTTTAGTTACCGTATGTGGGTACAAAGCTGTTATCAAGTTCTTTCCGCATCAAGTTTCCGATCTGGAACTCGCCGTGTTGCTCCTGGAGAAGTGCCATAGTACAAATTCTGTTTCTGCTTTGAGGCAAGAAAGCACTGGTGAAATGGAGGCCAAATGTGTTACTCTTTTGTGGCTTTCTATCCTTGTGTTGGTTCCGTTTGATATTTCTTCTGTTGATACAAGCATTGCTGATGACAAGACCTTTGGTGTGGACGACCTTGCTCCTTTGGTGTTGAAGATATTAGGTTTCTGTAAGGACTATCTGTGCAGTGCTGGACCAATGCGCAGGATATCCGGATTGCTTCTATCTAAGCTTTTAACCCGTCCGGATATGGGAAAAGCTTTTTCAAGGTCAGTTCCTACCACCATCAGTGCTTCAGTTTGTTTCACTTTGAACACTTAAGATTGTTTATAAACTGTTCTTTACTCTTGTAACATGTACAATTTACTCACCGTGAATGGATGAACTAATTTTCTTTGTTCTATTGTGGCATTTCCTTTTCAGCTTTTTTGAGTGGACACATGAAGTTTTATCTTCTAAGGAAGATAGTGTCACGAACCACTTTCGCTTGCTTGGTGTAATGGAAGCTCTCTCAGCCATTTTTAAGGTTTGTAACCTGGAGTTGTTCTCTTTGTTTTAATTTTGGTCCATACTTAACACGTCAAACATATATAGATGTCTGTAAAGTACAGAATCAATTTGATTTGCCTGTTTTTTATCTTGTAGAAATATTGCTGGTTTCTATTACTTAACCTGTTGCAATTTCCATCTGGATCTAATATGTCTACTCATGTTGGCAGACTGCTAGCCGGAAAGTGTTGCTAGATGTGCTTCCTATTGTTTTGAATGATGTGACTGTGCTAAGCAAATCAAATGCGGCGGCTAAAAGTTCTCTGCTTCGTAAGTATTTGATCAAGTTAACTCAGAGGATAGGGCTTGTTTGTCTTCCTCATCGCTCACCTTCCTGGCGCTATGTGGTACATACCTTTTTGCATGTAGACTAGTAGTGCAAAGAGCGCTAAGATGGGTTTTATAATCTTTGGTAGTCATTTTCAGTTAGTCATCCAAGACTTATTTATTGAATTACTTGCAGACTCAAACTGTATCTCTTTCTGAGAATATGTCTACGAGTTCATCCCAAAGATTGCCGCCTGATCATACTGTGACTGCCATCTTACAACCAGAAAGTTTGGATGATCAAGAGGATGAAGATATGGATGTTCCAGAAATCTTAGAAGAGATTATTGAAATGCTACTCTCTGGTTTGAGGGACACGGTATGTTTAAAGGGTGAGATACTAGTTTTAGGCTGATAACATGAGGTGGTTATGTCTCAACTTATACGACTAGATGCCCACACAATAATTTGAGTATAAATACGCTGCTTTGTCCCAAATTGTAGACTAGAGTAACCAGATATTACTTAAAACAAATCTTGAATGTTATAAATATCTGACATGACACGTAAAGCTGTGATGAGCCTGAATTAATATCTGATGTGAACTTTCTACCACATGAAACTTTCAGCTGCCAACCAGACAATCGCACATGTTACTAGTTTCTTGAAGCATTGTCCTTTTTAAAACTTTACTATTTTCTGAACCGTATAGGACACCGTGGTTCGTTGGTCTGCTGCGAAGGGTATAGGTCGTGTAACTTCACGTCTAACATCTGTTCTGTCTGAAGAGGTGTTGTCATCTGTATTGGAGCTGTTTTCACCAGGAGAGGTACTCGTAATGGATATATGGCAGCATGGCTTGCGTATACATAAAATCCAATTAAAAGCATGCATTATCTAGCTGACAGTTATTGTGATTTTCATGATATTCAGGGAGATGGTTCATGGCATGGGGGTTGTTTGGCCTTAGCTGAACTGGCTCGTAGAGGGTTACTTTTGCCTAGAAGTTTTCCACTAGTCGTTCCAGTTATTGTGAAGGTCGTACTCTATCCCATGCACATGATTACTTATATCTATAGTCATCGCATACAAAGCAATGGCATCACCCACCCACAATATGCAGAAGTTCTATGAATTTACATCTAAATATCATTTACAGGCACTCCATTATGATGTTCGCCGTGGTCCACACAGTGTTGGATCTCATGTGCGTGATGCAGCTGCCTATGTTTGTTGGGCATTTGGACGTGCCTATTCCCACAAAGATATGAAAAACGTGCTGGATCAGCTTGCTCCAGATCTATTAATAGTGGGTTCCTTTGATAGAGAGGTACTAATCTCTCTCTTTGACTATAAATTTTTTGCCGTTTCTTGCTTGATTTGAAGCACTCTGTTTTTGTAGATCTCTTCACTTCGTAAAATTTATTGATTTCTTTTGTCAGGTGAACTGTAGAAGGGCTGCTGCCGCTGCTTTCCAAGAGAATGTTGGAAGACAAGGAAATTACCCTCATGGGATTGACATAGTGAACATAGCTGATTATTTTTCCCTTTCTTCTCGGGTGAACTCTTACCTTCAGGTTGCTGTTTCCATTGCTCAATATGAAGGGTATCTATATCCTTTTGTGGATGAATTGCTATACAACAAGATCTGCCACTGGGTATGCTTATCTTAAACACTGTTTGATATTTGGTTTACCTCTGATTTATCTGCAAATCTAATATCTCTTTAATGCCCTGCTTTAATGTGGGAACGGTTTCTCTTAAGTGTTCAACAACTAATTTCAAAATTCAACAACCCATGAACTAGAGCCAATAGCTTGATTGGGAACTGTATCAAGTAACTTTCATAATATGTTAATTATTCAATCTTGTGATATCAGGATAAAAGCTTGAGAGAACTTGCTGCAGAAGCTCTTGCTGCTCTTGTTAAGTACGAGCCTAAGCACTTTGCCAACTATGTGCTGGAGAAACTAATTCCTTGTACCCTTTCAACTGATTTGTGCATGCGCCATGGTGCAACATTGGCAGCTGGAGAGGTTGTGTTAGCTCTGCACCAGTGTGGCTATGTCCTTTCTGCTGGTTAGTACCACCTATTATTCAGCTTTGGCTTTTGTGGCATCTTTGCATATGCAAGTACTGATCACTTTTAGTATGAAAAACCAAAAATATGGGAACCATCTTGGAATCTAGACTTTGTTAGCTGATTTTTGATCAGATGAAAATTAACAGAGCTTGATGGTTGGCATCGTTATCCCTTATAATTAAGGTTCTTGTTGCACTCAATTTTTACAGATAGCCAAAAGCGTATGGCTGGGATTGTTCCTTCCATTGAGAAAGCGCGCCTTTACCGTGGAAAAGGTGGAGAAATAATGCGACTGGCTGTCTCACGGTTTATCGAGTGTATCTCGCTATCTCATGTGACATTAGCTGAAAGAACAGAACGGATCTTGCTTGATACTCTCACTGAGAATTTAAGACATCCCAATTCTCAAATACAGGTACCTCTCTTTCTAAATGTCATGAACTTATTTATTTTCATCCAGTTAGCAGAATTCATTAGTTGACGAGTTTCACTTATTATACAGAATGCAGCTGTCAGTGCTGTTAAACAGCTTGTGCAATCCTATCTCGTTGGCAATGATAAGAAATCTGTTGATTTGATATCAAAACACCTAAAACATCTAACGGACCCAAATGTAGCTGTCCGAAGAGGTTCTGCACTTGCACTAGGTGTCTTGCCATATGAACTATTGACTGCAAAATGGAAGGATATAATTTTGAAGCTCTGCAGTGCGTGTAAGATAGAGGTAAGGAAGACCCTATATATGACTTCATTACAGAATGATATAATTGACTTTGGAAAACAGAATGAAAAAACTGACTTTGATGGATGTTTTTTCTTCCAAGCAGGTGAACCCTGAAGACAGAGATGCAGAGGCACGTGTGAATGCTGTAAAAGGACTCACATCCGTGTGTGAGACTCTTACTCAGAAAAGGGCTAGTGATCCTGAAAACGATGACCTGTCTCTTTTTCTTCTTATCAAGACTGAAGTGATGGATACTTTACTGAAAGCTCTTGATGACTATTCAGTTGATAACCGAGGTGATGTAGGTTCTTGGGTTCGTGAAGCTGCAGTCCATGGCCTTGAGAAGTGTACATATATCCTCTGTAAGAAAATCGGAACAAATACAGAGGGTGATCATAACGATGATACGTCTTCACTTTTCGATTCAAATCTTGCGACCCGTCTAATTGGAGGTATTGTGAAGCAAGGAGTGGAGAAAATGGATAAACTAAGAGAAACAGCTGCAAAGGTTCTTCAAAGGATTTTGTATCACAAATCTGTTTCTGTCCCTCATATACCTCATAGAGAAAAACTGGAAGAAATCCTTCCCAACAAGGCAAGCTTACAGTGGGCGGTAAGCTGATCCTGGAGACTTGGTTGCTTTGTCGTTTATTTGATGGAATTTCTTATCTGACTATAAGTTACCTATCTTCCTTTATAGGTTCCGGCTTTCTCTTTCCCACGTTTTGTGCAGCTTTTAAAACTCTGTTGTTACAGCAAAGAGGTGATGTCTGGATTAGTAATTTCTATTGGAGGATTACAAGATTCACTTAGAAAGGCTTCTCTCGTTGCATTGTTGGAGTATATGAGGGAAGGTGAAGCTAAAGACCCTAAAGAACAACAATCCAGAGAGTCTGCACTGGGAGATGACATTCTCTGGATACTTCAAGAGTACAAGAAATGTGACAGAGTTATGGTACCCTGTCTACAGGTAAAAACACCCCGTCTTATTATATAGTAACCTCTACTTCCATGTGGTTATGTCTTAACCTCTCTCTTTTACGCAGACAATTGAGATCCTCTTCAGCAGCAAGATCTTTCTGAATCTAGAGGTTGGTTTAAAATTTTCCTCTTTGGATAGAATTGCCAAAGGTTATAGATTGACTCTAAACACATTCCATACAATGCTAATCTGTCATCATTTTATTTCAGTCTTATACGTTGAGTTTCTACGCGGGTGCCATGGATTCTCTAGCCATCGAACTAAGAGCTTCTAAGGATTTCACAAAGTTAAAAGCAGGCCTTGCAATACTTGGATATATCGCTTCAGTCTCACATCCCATCAGCACAAAAGCATTCTCTCAGCTTCTATCATTCCTTGGCCACCGATACCCAATGGTTCTGGTCACTTCAATATTAAACACATTCTATCTACATCTTAAAAATATTTTGGTTACTCAAGACATTTTGTTTTCACATGATCCAGATCCGAAAGGCGGCAGCTGAACAAGTTTATCTTGCGCTCCTTCAAAACGGAATCTTAGTGACAGAGGAGAAGATGGAGAAAGTGATAGAGATAATTTCAGAATCTTGTTGGGAAGCAGACATGGAATCGACTAAGACTCAGAGGTTAGAATTGTGCGGATTGGCTGGTTTAGACCATGAAGTAGTGTTCAAGACAAGAAACAGATTGGCGACCAGGGATATAGCCGGGAATGAAACGACTGCGTCTGACGAGAACGCGTCTTACTCTTCCTTGGTCGATTCCTCTGGCTTTTGATTTCACGCTTTGTCCTTGAATCATTTTTGCCCCTCTTGCTTTTAATATCGTTTTGGTTTTGTTCTGTTGGTATTTTCGTCCATGATTTAAAAAATTTCTTACTATGATCTCAGGACGAGCCAGCTGCTACAAAAGAGAAAAAGAAAGAAAAACAGAAAGAAAAAAAAAACCCTAATAAATACTAGACCGACCGACCTAAGACAATACTAAAAAAACTCTTAGCCGCTTTCTTATTGTTCGCGTCAGAGCCAAATTTAAATTCGTGAAATCTCTAGTCATCAAGGACGCGTGAGGATGAAGAAAAGACCAGACAAGTGAAGCTCTGATTAAAAAGTTTCATTTTTTTTCTTCTTTTCCCTTGCGTATGTATCAACTACACTAAAACTTGCCTATCGATTTCACATTGCAGCCTCCAAGGTCGAAGCCAGAAACCAATATTGGATATGGAGGCACAGGTATTTATATATATCCATATTCAAGTGGCTATGTATCTTGCGCGGATGGTGACAATCGAGGTTTTGATTTGCAGGAATATTTTGAGAACAGATTGATGTATCTTGCAGCAAAGAAAAAAAAGGGAGAGAATCCATACCCACACAAGTTTTTAGTGTCCATGTCAATCTCTGAATTCATTGAAAAGTATACTACTTTAAGCAACGGAGACCATGTTGAAGACGACCAAGTTTCTCTAGCTGGTATGATACACCCATCAATCATCAATGAAGTTTGTTAAGTTTTGCATTGAAGAGTAATATTTATTCAACCTTTTTTTTTTTGAATTTGGTAGGACGGATAATGAGCAGGAGATCTTCCTCTAGCAAGCTTTTCTTCTATGATCTACATAAGTGTGGTTCTAGGGTCCAAGTTACAGTTGATGCAAGGTGACTAATTGGTTTTACTTATTCTACTTAGAGTTGTTTCTGTTTAACTTGTTTTTTTTTAACTTTGTGATGCCTTAATAAGTCAGAATTAGATGAAGCTGAGTTTACGAGGGTCCATGCTAATGTTAAGCATGGAGATATTGTCGGTGTCACTGGATTTCCAGGTTCCTAAAGCCTCTTTATTTTTTCTGATTACCGCATATTCTCTGTATCTTTATCTGAACACATATTTGGCCTGTCTCCAGGAAAAACTAAGAGGGGAGAGCTAAGTATCTTCCCACGATCGTTTACTGTATTGTCTCATTGCCTCCACATGTTGCAAAAGCCTGGTCCTGATGATCTTGGGCCTAACTGGGTTCCAGGAAAGCCTAGAACTCCAGAAACTTATATTCTTAAAGATCAGGTACCATTAAACTTTTGCTCTGAATTGGATTATTTATGTTTTCCCAAAGATTCTGTCATTCTATCAGTGTGCTTCTATTTGGGTGGTAATATGATATGTACCTTTTCATTTGTGTCAGGAAATTCGGTATCGCCATCGTTACCTTGACTTGATGCTGAACGATGAGGTCTGCCAGATATTCATGACCAAAACTAAGATAATCAAATACATTAGAAGATACCTTGACGATCTTGATTTCTTGGAGGTACAATATTTCTCTTTTTTCTCTCAAGAAAACTTTCCATACCTTGTTTTCAGTTTGTTTGCGAATTTGATACAATGTATGAACTTTCTTACTTAGGTTGAGACACCTATGATGAATATGATTGCTGGTGGAGCAGCTGCACGTCGATTTGCGACCCATCACAATGATATGAATATGAAGATGTTCATGCGTATCACACCAGAACTCTATCTTAAGCAGCTTGTTGTTGGCGGTTTTGAGCGTGTTTACGAGATAGGAAAGCAGTTCAGAAATGAGGGTATTGACTTGACACACAATCCAGAGTTCACCACCTGCGAGTTCTATATGGCTTTCGCAGACTACAATGACTTGATGGAGATGTCTGAGAAATTGCTCAGTGGTATGGCGAATACATCTGCTTTGCACTGAGTGCTATGTTTACGTTTTGAACCAACCTTACTTAACATTCTCTTCCTGTTGCAGGTATGGTGAAGGAATTAACAGGTGGCTATAAAATCAAATACCACGCTAATGGGTATGATAAGGAGCCAATTGAAATCGACTTCACTCCTCCATTTAGGTTCGTGAAATATTTTGATGGATCATTCCTAAGATCAGGACAGTGCTTTTCTTTTTTTTGGGAATGATCTGATCTTCTTTATTTTATTTCTCTAGGAGGATTGACATGATGGTAGAGTTAGACAAGGTGGCCAACCTTAATATACCAAAAGATTTGGCTAGCTGGGAAGCTAACAGGTATCTGATTGATGCATGTGAGAGGTTTGATGTCACATGCCCACCTCCTAAGACGACAGCTCGTTTGTTAGAGAAAGTAATGCTATCCCCTAATAATATGAATTGGAAGTTATGTGATCACTTCATGCTTATTTAAGATATCTGTAATGTTTTCACTGTGTAGCTTGTTGGACACTTTCTGGAAGGGACATGTGTTAACCCCACTTTCATAATGAACCAACCCAAGATTATGAGTCCATTGGCAAAATGTCACAGATCCAACGAGTTCCTGACTGAACGATTTGAGTTGTTCATTCCTCTCTACTAAACTGTTTTATTTGGTTGCAGCTTTGCAATGCCTACACTGAGTTGAATGATCCTGTGGAACAGCGGCAGCGCTTTGCTGATCAGCTCAAGGTATATTTGAAGCCATCACCACACTCCTAGTAATCTTAGCCTCTCTCTCTCTCTCTCTTAACCTTGATGATTTCAGGATCGACGATATGGAGATGATGAAGCTATGGCTATGGATGAGACGTTTTGCACGGCTCTAGAATATGGATTGCCTCCTACAGGTGGTTGGAGAATGGGAATAGACAGGCTTGTTATGTTGCTTACCGACTCACAGAACATTAAGGTCCCTCTTTAATCTGAATATAGTCTAGGAAAATCGAGTGGACTAGTATATATTTTCTTACTCATGTTCTGAATTTTGTTGCAGGAGGTTCTCCTCTTCCCAACAATGAAGCCTGGTCAGGACGAGCCAGCTGCGCTGCGACAGGTAGAACCAAATATATCTATTATACATACTCCTTGATCTTGATCTTTTTAGTGTTTTAGATATATGTGCCATTCTTATATAAAATTGTTCTATGTGATTCCTTTTTTCTTCTTACAGTGGAAACAGACAACCGAATCGAGTGAAGAAGACTTGTGTTGTGGATTTTGCATTATCTTTTTATTACTCCCTCCGTATTTTAATAATTGTCGTTTTAGAATTTTTATTTTTTTGAATTAGATGTCGTTTTCAAATTTCAATGCAAAATTTCTTACTTTTTAATGTTTTATGATGTCATAAAACATTAAAAAGTAAGAAATTTTGCATAGAAATTTGAAAACGACATCCAATTCAAAAAAATAAAATTTCTAAAACGACAATTATTAAAATACGGAGGGAGTACTATTTATATTATGTTATGCATGCTTTAAGGTTTTTTGGTAGGACAGCTCACAGCTGTACCAACGATTTTAACATGTAGAAGAACAATATTTTGAAAACATAAATGGTAACATTCTTAAATATATGTTGGCATTGATATAATGTTGATGATTCATTCAAGAGTCAAAAGTGACTCAAACCCCGGCTGAAAACGGCACACCGGTGATAGGGATCCAAGAATCTCCTTGTATAAATCGGCTGACGGTGAACGGAGAAGCCTCCTCCTGGCCGCGAAGGACGTGAAATCCCGGCCAGTTCACCCTTCTGCTTGTCCCTGCTCCAGCTCCGGTGTTCATAAACTCGCCGTAATACAACGTTGACAGAGCATAACCGCCGCTCCATTCTCTCCACCCTCTCGGGTCAATCAACCCGTCAATATCCGTTTTGAGAAACACTGTCCGAGAGTACTTCTTCCACGGCCGGCCCAAGTAGTTCTTAAACCGGCCTTTGACCGCCTCAAATTCTGGTGCGGCCCTGATCCGTGAGTGTTGGATCGAAATGCCTATTCCAGTAACCGTAAACAAAAAATCCATCAGAAAACCGGTTAACATTAACCATGGGTTTCAATACGAATTTCGGTTAGGTTTTGGTTAAAAACTGGTTTCCAATTCGATTTCTGTTCAAGTTTGATTATTATATTACTCAAACGTATACTTAAAAGTTTAATTCGGTTTTCTTCCCTTTCGCATGCATTCGTCTTTGGATTTTTCATATGAACAAATTTTCAAAAATACATTTTGATAAGGATCGGTTGGTTTTAAAAGTTTGGTCTAGTTGATGACTTCTAATTTGATAGTCAAGAATTAGTCAAACAAAAGAGTACCTGAATTTGAATGTGGGTCGTCTCTTCCTTGAGCTGTGATCATATTGCCTTGATGATCCATAGGGCGTCTCACAAATATATCACAGTTCTGAAAAACAGCTGCCGCATCTCCAAATATGAAATCAATCGTACCTATCCAAAAAATTTCCCAAAAGTTCTTAATCCATATAAGTAATGATGATCATTAGTTCTATATGAAATGTATAACCTTAAGCAATTTAATTATATGTAGCTGGTACCATAAATATGACAATCGCGGTAGAATTGACGAAGTGAGTGCGTGAAAAGAGTATCTTGGTATCCTTTGAAACTACAACGATAGAATAAAGACAAGTCCGAGCTCACTCTCAACGCCACAGCTTGATGTTTATGTGGTCCTGCAGTGTTCTCGAATGTCATGTCCCGTGCCCAAAATCCATCCCCGGACACTCCTATATAACAAGTAAGCAGTAAATATCCAACATGCATGATATATGAAGATTAGTAGAATGTTTATATATTTTATACCAAATGTTGCTGATCCATAAGTCGTGGAACCATCCGGGACGTTTCGGTTATTGGTGACGATTGTACGGTCCATACCATCACCAACTAGCATGATGTTTTTCATGTGTCTATCTATATCGATTTTTTCGTTATAAACACCAGCTTTTATGTAGATTATCACTCTATTCAACCGACTTTTACCCATTCTTGAAACGGCGGCTAATGCTTGGTTTATCGTCCGATGAGTCCCCGAACCGTCCTGAGCCACTACGAAATCTGCCCTTGAACTTGTTGGATTCCATGACACTAACATTCCACCGCTTTGATTTGGTCTCGATGGTCCATGGTATGGTCTTCTTGGTCCATGATTTGGTCTCGTTGGTCCATGTTTTGGTCTTTCTGGTCCATGATTTGGTCTCGTTGTTCCATGGCTCTGTCTCCCTGGTCCATGCAGCCCTACAAAATGTTGTTAGAGATCCATAATAGATAAACCGTGATATCTCAAACAAATATTTAAACTTACTCGGAGTCTAAAATTGTTATCTAGGGATAAAACATGATGAAATCGATCAATACCCAATTTGACAAACAGAGTGCGATGCATTGTATCATTTTATTTAATTAGGTATACATATGTGTAAATTTTCTTACTCTTTTTCATATGACCTCTAGACTTTTTGTAGAAAGCTAAAGCTTCATGGAGCACGAACGTGACGTTGCTATGGACCAAAGGCTTATGACCTTGACGTTGCTGAACCAAACCGTCTAAACAGGTGTGATGGTTCGCAAGCACGCCACTTAACCACGTTCTAACATCTTCAACGGTAAAATTCCCATGAGCCATGACAAGTTGCGATAGCCTAGCTTCACTCTCATCGTAGAGCTTCTCACATTCACTTAACCCCAAATTATAATAACTACTAGTAGCAACTTCACTCGTTGCCTCAACCACAGCCAGTGACCCAAAACTAGCCCGGGCTTCAACCACAGCTGTTCGAGCCATCTCAAGTACATCCAATTCGGCTGTGTTTGAGGCGGTTACGACGGCTGCAATGGCTAGCAAGAACATGATGGTGATTAAGTCGGTTACTTTTACAAACGTGTACATTTTTAGTAGATGTTATTATAAGATTGTTGTAGTGTTTTAGTAATTTTCTTGAAATGCGTTTTAAGTAAATGATTATTGTTGTTGTTGTGTATTTAACAGCACAAGAAGAATGGAACTTGTCGTAGAAACGTAGATGAAGATGGTGGCGAGGAATCTAACACATGGAGAGAGAGATAAGGCACGTGTGAGACTATGTGTAAGCTTTTGTTATATGATTATTGATGGCCCATGCATATGAGACTAACTTCATTAATTACGTTATACATTTCAGGTTGTAAATTAGTGCGACGCTGTATCAAAGTGAGTAAACGTATACGTCTATGTGTCGACGCTGTATTATTTTCAAGAGCTGCGAGATTACTGGATGAAACCTAAATTTTTATATACTGGTATAGTGATATATAATAATAAAACTTTCTGTAGGAAATCATAATCCCATTATTACAATGGATATGATAGCTTTTCCCGTCCCACAAAAAAGTAAAAATAAAATAGAAATAATCCATGAACGATCTCTTTGGAGTCAAAAAGAAAACAAAAAGCCATGAATGATCAGTTATATATTTAATAAAATATATATATAAATAATCATTTTGTTGGAGTGATATGATGTAACATTAGTGAAAATTACTATTTTTGTCATGGGTTTATATGTTTTTGGTAAAAGATTTTCTTGAATTAATTAAAAAAAATTACAAAAAAAAAAATGGTTGCATGAAAAATGTTGTAGATATGTTACACGGCTTAGAAGCCTAGTAGGCTGAGGCCCAGCCCATAATAATTTAATGGTCTAATGGAATATGTGGTGCAACCCATGAGAACCGGGTAGACCCGGATCGTATTAACACGGATCAAAGAATTGAATGAACCTCTCAAGTCTTCTTCTTATTTTTTTGCCGGCAGAACCTTTAAAGTTCAAAGATACTCCATCGATCGAATCACGTTGTTCTCCGAAAATGATAATATATCCGAATGTTATCATATTTTACTATCTAAGTATGAGTATTGAATAATTGCGCCTGCTAAGGAAAGTGGATTTAAGTCTAGAACTAGTTAATGGAATAAAGTTATCATCTTTTTAAGGCAGACAATACGGGTCACACTATACAAAATATTTAATGGGAAAAATGTCATTAAAATCTCCAACTTATTCAAAACGTTGATTTAAATCCTCAACTCATGACGAAACGAAATAAATATCAAATTTATGTTGACTTTCCAAATAAATATTAAACTTATGTTGAATTTCCAAATAAACACCAAACTTTCATTGACTTGGCTATATTAGACATGACGTTAAGTGGGTTAACAGACCATGTTAACAGGATTAATTTTCTGTTAACAGACCCGCTAATTGAAAATGACAGTATTCCTTCTAAACATAAAACGACGCTGTTTTGTCGTAACTACTCAATAAAATCCCGAGTTTCAAATCATATGAAGATTTAGGGTTAGGGATTTTGCTCGATTTGGGGATCTGAGATTGAGTTTAGGGATTTAATTCAATCGTTACGACAAAACGACTTCGTTTTGTTGTTATATGAAACGATGTCGTTATCAATTAACATGTATGTTAACAGAAAATTAACTCCGTTAACGAGATCTATTAACCCACTTAACGTCGTACCTAATATGGCCATGTCAACGGAAGTTTGATATTTATTTGGAAAGTCAACATAAGTTTGATATTTATTTGAAAAGTCAACATAAGTTTGATATTTATTTCGTTTCGTTATGAGTTGAGGATTTAAATCAACGTTTTGAATAAGTTGGGGATTTTACCGACATTTTTCCCACAATATCTCAAAGCTAAATCATATTTTAATAGTTTTTCTTTTTGATAAACCAAAAAATTCAGTAAGGAACGGTAACGGATGTGTTCCTCCTACAAAATAAAAGGAATAACAAGAGAGTCCCCCAAAAAAAAAAAAACAGGTCCCTAGAATCTTTTATCCCGAACCATGTCTTTCTTTATATCAATCTGCAAATCATCATAAGAAAAATTATGAGATCATGATACTTATTTCTAAATATTTTTGAAACGAGTGATTTGATCTTAATCATGTGAAGATTTGGCAAGTAAGTATAGGCTTACGCATGGAGTTTCTACAAAGGGAGAGGAGAACAACAAGAATTGCGAATCCAGCAATAACTCCTACGATGATCGCGATTGATTTCCCCACGTGATCTCCGTTCGTTGGATCTTAAAAACGAAAGTTAGATCTTAATAGTATGTGACAAATTAAAGTACATAAGATAAGGCCATAGTATCAAGCTAAGAATTAGATTTTCTAAGATGCAATGACTTTTGGACTAAGTGATATTGATCAAGCTATAAAGAATATATAAAATAAAGTTGAAAATGGGGACATGGGTGGCTATTAAGTTCGTTAAATTATCTTCAGCTTTCTCGTGCTACCAAGAAGCGACTAGACTTGTGATTTTCTCAATTATAAGCGGCGGAAATTTAAATTATGTCAAATTCTCACACATTTCTATACAATTCATTTCTACAGTTATATTATTATGGCACTAACCATAATTCACGAAGATAATTTAACGAACTTAATGTTACGTAATTAGAGCAATAGCTAATAAATGAAATGAAGATTCAAATTTATGGACTGACCTGAAGAGAAGTCATAGTAACCAGAACCCCAATAACGAGCATAGCACTGAGCCAAGTAAACCTCAGCTGCAACCGCCGAGCCACAAAGATTCTTTAGTTTTCCGACAGACTCGGCAAGACAAGCCGTACAGTCACTAGGACTCAAGTCACCAACACACTGAGCATAACCCTCGACTAAACCGGACCGGCTAACTTTGTAACCGAGTTGAGTCGACTCAAGATCCGACAACACATCGTCTCTCCGTTTAAAGAAATCATAGTCATTCTCAACGCTCTTTGAACTACACTTCTTGTACCTAAGACTCGTGTCTGGTTTCCCAAGAAAGTCGTTTGTTTCGTAACGTAAGAAGCAGCCTTCGAGCTGGAGAGAAGCGCCGTAAGAGTAAGGACAAATGAGAGTGATTTGATCGACTGAGGTTTGGATGCATTTTGAGCAGTCTGATGATCGTAGATCGTCACGGCATTGGTAGAGGCCGAAGACGGCGGAAGAGGAGGAGGAGGACTCGTTGCCGACGGCAAAGCTATTGAAGGAGGCGTCAGAGGAGGAAGTGACGACAGAGGAGAGGAAAGTGTCACGATTTGATTCAAAAGGTGTGTTTGGTGTGTATTTCTCCGGTGAACATCCTCCGTAGATGAAGATGTGAGATTCTGATGAAGATCTTGAGGAGGAGGATGAGTTAAAGAAGAGGAAAAAGAGGAGAGAGAAGAGAAAGAGTCTTCTCATATTTTTTGTTCTTTGAGATTGTTTTCAAATGAGCTTTCGTTTTCTATCTATCTTATTCATAGTGTTTTATTTTAAAATAGTTATCGAGAATGATTAGGTTCATCACTATGGGACCGAATTATAACAAAATTATATCGTTTATAACTCACATATGCATCCTAATAGATTTGAACTCGCTTAATATAAGTGCGACATTGATACAAACATGTATACATACTGTAGTTGTGAAATAAATGGGAAAATGTAGGATGAATGAAAAAACTAGATAATAGATCAACAAAACTGGTCTAGAACATTCACTTGTAATGAATCCTAATAGATTTGAACTCGCTTAATATAAGTGCGACATTGATACATCCTAATAGATTTGAACTCGCTTAATATAAGTGCGACATTGATACAAACATATATACATACTGTAGTTGTGAAATAAATGGGAAAATGTAGGATGAATGAAAAAACTAGATAATAGATCAACAAAACTGGTCTAGAACATTCACTTGTAATGAATCAATACCAAAAGTGTAGACAAATTGAATGATAACATTTGGTATATTATTTTGTTAGAGTGCCTAGATGATTTAGACATAATTAAAGAAGATTTGGCTTTGGGGCATAATAATTTCTTGAGACTTCTTTTGTGCAAAGAGGGTCCCATTTTTGTTCGATCGCTAGATCGATTCCATCACACATATTCTCCTCAAGGTAGTGGAGAATTTTCAAGCTTTCTTTAAATCCTAACCACGACCAAAGGGCTTTAGCTTGATCATCATCGATTCAATTTATCTACAATCACTTACAAATATTACTAAACTGGAATCGTAAACTTGATCATCATAGGTTCAATAATACGAATTCTTAGAAGAAAGAAAACGACTAAAGGGCTTAGCTTCAAATATATAACCTAGGCGAAATTTCGATGCTACTCGATCTATCTTCACCTCTACAAAAGTGCAATTTCGAAACTTGAGAATTTGCTCAAGGACGCTGCTACACTCCTCTTCTTCTTCTTCTTCATCTAACCATAGAGTGAGCTTCTTGAGAAGTGTTGCATTCTAGTTAGCAAACTCTGTTTCAGCTTTTCGGCTTCTCTCTTGGCCAGCCTTGGGCGTCATTTTTATTTAGACATTCTGAATGGATGTTTTGAGACATTGTGGCACAGGTGAGCTTGCAATTTCCTCTATCTTTGGAGATATATAGGCAACATCTCTGAAAAGTTGGAATGGAAAAAAGCGTACAAACGGGTCAAGTTCTTGAATTCAGGCAGTTGTTGCAGTTTAGAGTAAGCATAGGTCCCCTGTCAAGAACCAACACTTGGTAAGAACAAATAAAGAAAGAAGAATATATCAAGATATTCCATTGAAATACATACATCTAGAGTATTGCCAGAGATGCTAAGATCTGTGACCTCCGAGAACCCTGCAAAAAACTTGTGCAAAGTTTGCGTCTTTGAAAAGTCATCTTTCCCATCAAAGCGGGCATCGATACACATCTTGATAGAGGAACTAACTAACACTCGCTACTCTGAAGTATTCCAATGGATAATCTCTGATATGCAGAAACTATAAGTTAGGAGAGTGTCAATCACAAGTCCAGATTCTCCATCATCACCCAAGGAGTCATCATCATATTCTCCCTTCAAGATAAATATCCTTAGTAGACTCAAGCTCCTAAACGTCTGAGATCTCACTTTCAAAAGTTCCACTCCAAAATCATGAATGCTCAAGACTTTAAGAACTGGAGAGCACGAGATAAGCATCTCTAGAACCACATCACTCGGAATTCAAAGAGACCCTAAATGCATAACCTCAAGGTGAGGTAGATAGAAAGACTCACAAGCATCAAAATCATTCAGCATTACATATTCCAACCTTTAGTTTACCAGTGTCTCACACATATAAAAGCTTAGAGGTAGCTCAATAAGACCCTAACCCGCAAGATTATACATAGAACCGTTAATCCCAAAAAGTTGAATTCCACGGGTCAACACTTTGTCCAACAACAAAGTCAAACAGGGTATAACAACATCAGGACACTTAAAGGTAAACTGGTATATGGGAGATTCCTTATGCAAATCTAGGAATCTGTCAAGAAAATCCTTGACATCACCAATTAGGTACAATCCAGGAATACTTTGTCAGAGATTTCTCCATCTGGTCGATAAGACACTTTTCCTAACAGACTCACTCGTGGGAAGATTCAAGAGTATCTCGTGCAGCAACTCATTGGGCAATTGCCTTATCAAATCTTCCATTTTCCCCTGAATTGATCAACTGAACAAAGAGACAAATTAAGACACGATTTTTAGTTAAGGTCCAAGAACAGAGACATAAAAGAGAGCAATCCAAACGTATATAATATGTCTGCTCTTACACTAACCTATATTCAATTGCCACAAACGAATGAGTGCAACTATTATACAAACAATTAAAGTCTAAGAAAACAAATCAAAACCGTGTTCTGCAACATGAATCGTTGCAATTTCTAGACCAGTTAACACGAAATCGCATTCATAGAAAGCAAATCAAGTTGAGGTCAAGTTTGTCACGGAATCAACGTACGAGCACTCAGAGATATCCAAAACCTAAAAAATTAAAAATTGAGACGAATTTATGTAAAGAAGGGTTTTGGTTTTACCTTACAAAAGACTCTGGCCTAGTCAGAGTATCTTAGTCTTGTAAAGACTCTAGTACAAAGAGAGTGTCTCTACATTTTCTTTTTTTTGTTTACAATAACGAGCTTTCGAGACATATAACTAGGGTATATCACATTTATTATGTATGAGGACTAATGAGGTTAATTTCTATTTTTCGTTACTCTTTCCCTGTTTTTAATTATGTTTTAAGAAAATATTGTATCTCATTGCAGTGCATGAAACCGCCCACATTTTAAAATCAAGACTTTAAAGTGTGTTTCTGTAGTTTGTGATATAGGATCTACATAGTCTGGATTCTGGAGGTAATCGTGTAAGAGCTTGTTAATCTATAAATCAAAAATCTGATCAAATTTGATTTGGGATCATGTGTAGTATATATCCCTCCTTTTCCCAAAGTTTTTCTACATATATGCAATTACTTGGACTAAGATTCAGTTGTCTGACGATAATTGAACCGGTTTGGTTGAGTTTGGTTATAGAAGTCAAAGATGGATTAGGTTAATAGGTCGGAAGGTCTAACCTTGTGTTCTCAACTTGGTATATGCCTTTGGAAAAGATCAATCATTGATTGTTACATCCACCACTTATCCTTACTAATTTCAACTCGATGGAAAATTGGACCTATCTATGAATCAACTTGGCACTTCAACAACCAACGCAACCCCATACGAAATCTGAAATACCCCACTGATTTGAAAAATACGTAATTTTTTAGACTTATTACTCATCTGTTGAATATCCTCCAAATTGTTAGCAATGCTAATTTATCAAGTGTGAAAATAGTATATAACTAGGTCAGAAAGGAAGGTCTTGCTTCTTGCATGTACTATTGATATTTTTAGTTTATTTTATAATTTAAACATAAATGAACAATTAAAACAATATATCAGGATCAAATAACTTTTGCAAGAGATTTCACAGAATATTAATTTGTTTGAGATATAATAAAACCTAAATTGTAGTATTGCTTACTGTAAAAAATCAAATTAGTCCACTTCTTGATCCAATCTATATATAAACGAGGCAATTACGAATTTTCATACAAAGAACACGTGACAATACTCGTTTGTTGTTCCATGCTAGTATATACTACAAGTAGTAGTAAATAAATCTCGGAAAGTGAATTTTCTGTGTCGATGTTATTAAGACTATAATTTGCATACATTAACTGTGTTACTTAACATTATTCCGATCGATAAATTGGACAAAAATACAAATCAAATGGTAAAAAGAAAGCTGTGTTATATATCCACGCGTGACTATTCTAGTTGAGCGAACTCAATATTTAGTTGTTGTTTAAACGTTAAACTAATAACTCAACATTCTTTAAATATATATATTTTTGGCTGGCCGTGAAAATCATTGATTCTTTTGTGGATTCTCCACTTAAAAGTCATATGTACGTATTGAGATATCGAAAGGGACTCTAATGGCAACGAACACTTCATTTCAATGCTAGAATATCTCCTTTTGGCAGTACTTTCCCTATAATTTTTCTCAACCATGTCTTCACCAATTCCACATTTGCACGAAACTAGATTAAATAATAATCATATTACCCAGTTAAATTTGGAAGACTATTATTTTTGCCTGTCTCCATGCACTTTTTTCCTAGTGAAATTTTCTGATCTGAAAAAAACTCTCAATAATTGATTAATTTCCCAATATATGTAGAATTAGTGGGATTAACCATGATGAATTATTGTGATTGATAGCAAAATCTTGTGTAGGTCCACAGATGAATAGAAGAATCGTGTTAAACTTTTCTTTGGGTTTTATCATTTTCATAATTCACCTTTAATTCACTATCCTAATCAGAAATTCATAATCATAATCATAATCATACCAAAAGCAATCATGCAAAAAGAAAAAATCTCTATTTTATTTACATTATCGCCTAAATTTCAAACTTAATAAAAAAAATCTCACTTTCACATATACATATCTAACAAAAGGGTAAAAAGAGTGAAAAAAGTGAAAAGGTCACAAAGGTAGAAAATAGTAAAAAGAGTTAATAACTTTTTCATCATCATCTTCTTCCCACCGTCGTTATTGCCGGCGCCGGCTCCAGGGAAGTTTACAGAAACCCGACCCGGATTCAATACGGGTTTGGACCCGTTTGAAATCTGAATAAGGACAAGGGATAGTGATTCCACCTTCTTGGCAAAACCCAAATTCTTCTTCTGCCTCTCTCAGAAGCTCACCGAACAGAGGATGGTTAAAGTAAACGATAGGCACCAAAACTCTCTGAAAGTCGCCGTCTTTTTTACCGATGTAAACCGCCGAGTGACCTTTCGGAACCGGGTCGGGTTTTTGTCGAATGGGTTCTTGACCAATTGGTATGTACCCTGAATTTGAGCATTTAGAACCAAGAAACCTGGCGCTGTGGGAT